CGACTCTCAGTGCCGCGCCGTCCCCCGTATCCCCTCCATAGCCTTTAAAAAGGCTCTTCGCGAATCAGGGGGGGCGCTTAAGGCACCCGCCGAGTCTTCAGTCCGCAGGCATCTGCACCTGCGGTTTTTAAGGGTCCCCGTGTCGCCGGCACGGCAAAGACCCATCCACCGCTGAGCCGATTCCCTCCGGAGCTCGGAGGGAATCCGCCATTCCCGGATCGCGCCAACCCGGAAGCCCCTACTGCCTTCTCAAAAGCCAGTGCCTTGCATACCCAGCTTTTGGAAGGCATTGCAAGGGCTCTGGGATGCTGCCAGAACCCTCACACCACCTTCCCAAAGCTGGGTAAGCCCACAATCACAGCTGTAGGAGGGTGGAAATAAAACAAACAAAGATTGGGTTTTCTCTGCCCTCCATTTATTTATTTATTTATTTATTTATTTACTCACTCATTCATTCCTTCACCACCCAAGCAAAGCTGTGGGTTGCCTGTACTTCCTTTTCTCTGTTCTGAATCTTCCAACATTCAATTTCACTTGATGACCCCAGGTTCTAGTGTTATGAAAGAGGAAGAAGTTTTTCCACTTTCCTATCCACTTTGTCTGCAATATATATAATTTTATGCACCTTTTTGAGGTGTGGTGACTAGAGCTGAGCACAAGTGTTGCTTCTCTACAGATATGTGTTGTGATAATTGCAACTTTATTTTCCATCCATTTGTTAAGGATCCCTAGCGTGGAATTTGTCTTTTTCCACAGCTGCTATACACTGGGTTCAGCGTTTTCACTGAGCTGCTTCCCCCGGCCTCCATTAAGCATTTGCATGATCCCCATCCACCCAAGACCTCTTTCTGAGTCAGGCATTGGCAGTTCAGACCCTATTAGCATATATGTGAAGTTTCAGAGGCTCAGATCAGTTTCCAAAGCATGGCTCGCTATCCTGCCCAGTAGTTGGCAGAAGCAGAATAAATTATGCAAAATAAGCACATGCACATATGTGCAAATGCATTTAATCTGACTAATTTCCTACACATCAAGGAATTCTAATTTGGTTGGCAATGAACCCAAGGTTACCTTGAAGGTAATTGTTGGTGGTGGGGGTTTTTTTTAAGCACATAGCACATGGTACACAACAGTTCTGCCTTGGCTTGTTTGCGTAAAAAAACTCCTTAGCCTCCACCCCAAGTGTTTGACATGTAATCCAATTATTTAACATGCAATAAGGAAATCTCTGCCAAGCTTTTGATCAGTGCATTGCTCTGGTTGAGCAGCTCATTGTTATTTAATTTAGTACATGAACCCAGCTCACTGAAGCAACAATGTATGAAAATGAAAAGGCACTCAGGAATTCAATTAAGTCAATCAACTGAGTGAAGGTGGTGACATTCTGACTAATGGATAAAGACTGTGGTTAAATTAGGACGAGCTCACGTCTGGACTTTTCCTGGTAAAAAATGGGATACAAACCAAAGTATTTGCTTTACTTTGCAGAAGTTATGACATTGCTTTTTCTGGAGTCGGAGTTTAAAGGAGAAAAAGTTTAGGCCAAGAGCTAAGTGTGGCATCAGTGGTATCACATGTGCAGCATCAGGCTTCATGTACCCCACCACACTAACAGCAAACAGCTATGGAAGCCTAGCTATGGCATCTCTCTCAAGGTACTCTACATGAATGCAGAATGTTAATGGGGACAAATACTGCTTCTTCCTTATCAGACAGCAGCTGCAGGGCACAAGATGAAAGCTCAACCATATTAGGTAAGGTGGGGGCATGAAGAAGCTTCCAACTGTAAAGTTGGAAGGGACTCCAAGAGTCATCTAGTCCAACCCCTGCAATGCAGGAATCCTGCCCACAGTCACAGCCATCCCTGGGTGGGCTTGAAGAATCAGAGTTACAGACTTTGGGTGGAATTCAACGTCACATTAATATAGTCATTTCATCAGTGCAAGCATTCCCCGCTCTCCTCTTCCTGTACTCTCTGCTGGGAGTTCTCCTGACCCTCCACAGAGCAGATTTGGGGAGAGGTGCAGATGGGGTATGGTGGGGAGGAGAGGGGAAACTCCCTCTATGCTAGAGGAAGTCCCTGCACTGGCTTCTGCTGGCACACTGGGCTAGTTGAAACCAGCTTTCCTGTTCAACTATGGACGTTTGTTGTGTTTTCTTACTGCTTTTCCTTCATCTGTGAAGGAACTGACTGTTTTCAATATTGATTGTTGTTTTCATTGTTTATCATACTTTATTGAAATTTACGGTGGGGACCCTTTTTGTGTAAAAGTTGACATAAGAGCATAAGATGAGCCTCCACTTCTTTTGAATTCTCTAAAAGAGGAAATGTATTTGACTAATCTTAAAAAAAACCTACGTTGACAAGTAAGTGTCCAATCTCCAGCACCAGCTGCAACATGGGAGTTAGGACCCTACTGTGTATTTGTGAGCAGCATATAGACATTCATCTGGTTTGCACATAACTCTAAGCCATTGCTTGTTTAACAAACCATGAGTAAACACAAGCGTTCCCACAGACGAACAAACAATCCGTGCTCGTTTCTCCAAAGTTTGCTTCATTTTACAGCTGCCATTGCCTCATGCCTTTGTAGTTTAGCAAGCATCTGGAGTGTGGTGGTCAAATAAACCATGGTTAAGGAAGGGTGCTAGGTTCACACACACACAAAAAAGCCCTGCTGGGTGAGGCCAAAGGCCCATCTAGTCCAGCATGCTGTTCTCACAGTGGCCAGCTAGATGCTCATAAGCAGAACATGAGTTCAACATAATTCTCTGTAATACGAAGCCATAGTTAAAAGAATCCAAGGTTCACAAGCCAGCAACAAATCAATGTCTTCAGATTGCTGTTCTTTTTTTACTGCCAACAGACCACATAGTTAAATTGCTTTGCACATAATGATTTAATTAATGGTGGTTTAACATTATGTTTAACACTTCCCAGCAGAAGCTGAAGAACCAAGGAAATATGAAGAGAAACTGCAGCCATATAACAGATACTTTAAGAGAGAACACAAACCTTGAAGAAAGAAAAATAGCTGCATTGCTGCCACCTGTGTTCAAGGGATCACAATTCCTTGGGCAACTCGAGCCCCTCATAGTTTGGGAAGTCAAATATTAATAGGAAGCAATCTCTCGGCAAATAAAAAAAAAACTTTGAATGGTCACATTTACAGGATTCCATTCCTCCTCTCTTCTCAACACCAAGTCAAGCCCAGAACAAACTTTGAAGTAAAACCACAAATCCCTGGCTCAGTGTAATCCAGGTTTAAATCTATCAGTAATCACAACACTGACAGCATATACAGCACCTTTCCATCTCATTTACCATCTCTGCTGAGCCTGCTGGGCTGGAAGAGAAATGCAGTCTGGAAAGTGCACCAGTGATCAAATCATCCACACTTTGCAAACAGGGGAAACAAGGCACTGAGGTGCTGTCTGAGTTCCTCAAACCTGGGCAAACAGCTAGAGAAAGGGATTAGAATTTGCATACTGTTTATCTGGTTACAATTGAATTTATGAAACAAGCTACCCTTTTAAGGACAGTGAGGCATTTTTTGCAAGAACTAACAATGAGGGTTGGTATCCCCAGGGTACCTTGCATCAGATTCCTCTGACTGCATCAGATTCCCCAGTGGAAGAGGCTGGGCAGGTGAGAGGGCAGGCTTCAGGAAGTAGCTCCATGATGCTGCTAGGCATTTTAGACTGAGCAAAGTATTCTGGAAGCCCTGCATTAAAATAAGTACCCAACTTTTTACACTGTCATATAGCAGCTGGATCCCGTGTATGTCATGCGACCAGACATCCATGAACACCAGCAAAATGTGCATTCTTTAACTACTGCTCCTCTGGTGCTTAGTGGGTAGGGAAATGCAAAGTTTTCTGTGGGTGAGAATCTTGTTTGAAGGGGGTCTTTTGTCCAGGAAGAGAATCCTGCTGCAAGTATCTTGCCTAAAACACCTTTCAAACATTGTCAAAATACTGTTAATTGGCAAGCTGTCCTTGCAGTTGTTGGGCAAAAATGACTGATTTTGCCTTTGGCTTTTACTTTAAAAAGCCGAGACATTCAAATGAATTGGCACCTTCAAGTGAGCAGCGGAAAGCTCAGGAAAAGGTGGCAACTCGTTTTGGAGTAGTGCAAGTGTAGAAATTGGTACTTGTAAGAGAATTTGACATCCTGAGCAAGTGTCTACCCTCTAGAGCTCTGGAAATAAGTGGCATCGCCTGACTAAACACCAAGAGCTGGAGAGGCTGTGGAGCAGGGTTTCCAGTTGCCAGAGGATGGGGCTTCAGTGCTACACACCTTATTGCTGCTCCCCATGCCCAGCAAGAACAGCAGCTATGAAAAATAAGTATAGATATGCAAATGAGCTGAATTTGCATACAGATATTGCAGACTCCGTATTTTCTTGGTGCGCAATTTAAGGCCATGCTGGCACAGGTGGGGGTGGGGGTGGGTCTTACACAGTGCACACAGCAGTGGCCATTAGGACTTGCAACCCTTGAACTGACAACAGGCACATCTGTCTATAACAAAACTGAATTCTGCAGTAAGCATTTAGGGCAAGCCTGAGGAACCTACAGCCCCTCCAGAGGTTGTTGGATTCCAACTCACTTTAGCCCCAAGAAAGCACGGCCTATGATGGGGAATGATGTACGTTGCAGTTCAACAACATCTGGAGGACCACAAGGACCAGGTTTACAGAACATGAAACAAACACAGACCTTGGTACTGTGCTCAAAGGGTCAGCTGTGCACCCATGAGAGATGTCACCAGACATGGTCTTGCTGCCATTTCAGTGAAAACCCACACAAAATCTGCAAGCTGCAACGGTGACTAAGCTCAATGTATTTGGCCTTACTGAAAAGCAGCTGACTTGTCATACTGCCAGCCTGCTCCCTACTTCAAAACCAATCATCAGTTGCTGCTGATTTAACCTGTTTCTGCAGCAGTTGACTCAGAAGCAAGGAGTGGTTTTCCTCAAAAGAAAGAGAGATTATACCTGCAAGATAACCCAATGTCCCTCTGCTGCAGCAAGGTCCAAGGCTTTCTCAGCCACTACCTCCTGGCCTTGTCCAAGCGACACATTGTGGAAATTCCTGTTGTTAAAGGTGTAGCCAAGTTTCTTCCCTGAAAGAGGAAAGTAAGTATTTTCAGCACAATGAAGCACACAGCATCACATCTTGGCCTCAAGATGCTTCTTGATGGACGTTTATGGTAGAATCAGTGCTACGCATGCGCACAAGTTTCTTGCACCATCTACATGACATCATCATCACATTATCAGCCCTTCCTTTTCTTACATTTAACCTAGGATTTCATGTTACCATGGAAAATCCAATAAGTAAAAATAACCCAATGAGCATCCACAGTCACCATTGGTGTAGAAGCTAGTCCTTTTTTTTTTTTTAGAAGTTTGTGGTGTGTGGGGTCATGTTTCTGTGGGTTTCCTTTATTGCCACACCCCAACTTCCACATGCTCCTCATCTGAGCATGTGCGCATGCCTATTTCCACTGATTGCCAAAGGCATGCTGTTATTTCAACAACCCAGTTTGGAGAAGCTATGCGCACATGTGGGGCACTACTTTGAGGACTAAGAACATAACAGTTGTTGGGACTTTACATTTTTAATAGTGAGGTATTATGCAAAACCTCTCATCTTTATCATAATTTCAGCACAGCTAAATGTAAGCCTTGCACAATACCTTGGTATTAAAACATTATTATTTTTAACAAAACCAAAGGGATATGGATGTTACCCCACTCCCAAATACACACAAACATCCACAGGAAGGATGGGTGGGGGAATTAAAAGTGTGTGGGCATTACAGAAATGTCCGTGTGAATGTCCAGAACAGGAAAATGTAATCAAGGGCACAGAAGAAGTCATTCAGGGGAAGAGCCAGAACACACAGCATGGAAACATTCTATCAATGGTTGCCCATTGATGTGGATGGGAAACAATGGTTATAGCTATGGAACTGTACATGTGGACTCTTGTGTGCCAGTTGCACACAGAGAAAAATCAAGTCTGAATGACCTATTTGCAACATATCAACCCTTGTCTGGAAGAACCCTCAAACTTGATCTTAAAAAGCCACAGTACCTACGAAAACACACACACCAGCCCAGGGTCCCATGCAGGGTACATAGGGGGCTAGGGCTGTTAAAAGCACCCAAGTCACTTTTTGTTATCTTCAGCTTAACTTAAAGAACCTTATTGTAGGTGAGCTGGTGGAATGGAAGAATCCCGTTAGCTATAAAAGGTAGGGAAGGTAGCTGAAAGAGCACTGCTCTGTAAACATATGCTGTAGCCAGCCACATATTTAAGGTTTGCTCTTCAAGCTATCATCAAGATGGGCAGGAAAGAGCAGCACCCACACATACCCATGATATATATAGTCTGTGGCAACCCAATCAACGTGCATTAGGATCCTGAGATTGAAATGACAAACAGCTAAATTTCTCTTTTGTAGTTGAATAATAAACGCTCCCATCAAAATCAAACTCTTAAGTGTGGATCTACACTGTACCTGGGAAATAATGGGAATGTGCCATAGGGCATTTTCACACATAAAACAGACAACTGCAAGGATTTGTAATGCAAACCTATTTGTATGCTGAGCATTCTGATTTGCATATGCAAACACCTAAGGCAGAATTCTGGCACCACTGCTTGGCACAGAAACTGTGCTTTTCCTCTCTCAAAGGCACTGAAGTTGCAAGTTGAATAAACAACAGAGATAAAAGGAAGGATTACAATACTCATGGTTATGAATATGGCACCGAAATGCTGTGTGTTTTGCACACTCACAGGCTGTTATATCCAAGGTCTGTTGATAGAATCCCTTCCCTCAAGTCTCCAGACTGGGCCTTTAGGACTGGATAAAATCCTTCTCTCCAGTTCACTGCATGAAAATAATCATGCTTCATACACTTCATAGGGATGGACAAGAATCTGAAGCAAGGATGCCAATTATGTGAAGACCCCTGCTTGAACTAAATCTGAGGTGGGCACAGTCTACTCCTGCTTCAGTTCTGCTTGCAATCTGCAGCCCTTTAAATCGGCTTATGCTATAAATCGACATCTGGATCCATTTGTATATGGGGCGATTTGAAGGACAATTTCAACACAAGCTTGTCCAAGTGGCTATTAGAGCAGCTGGGAGACATGGAAGCTGGAAGGAACAACTTGGAAGGGATGCAGTTCAGTGACAGAGCACATGCTTTTCATGCAGAAGGAACAATTCCCAACATCTCCAGGTAAGGCTGGGAGAGACACCTGCCTGAAATCCTGGAGAGCCACTGTCAATCATTGTAGGCAAAAGTGAGCTAGATGGACCAAAGGTCTGACTCAGCATAAGGCAGCTTCCTATGTTCCTATGGAAGCCAGACTGCTGTGCTTTAGTGTCTATCAGGTGGAGGAAGTCCAAAGTGTAGTAGATGCCAGCAAGTTGAGAAGATCTGGTAGAGGTAAACTAGTCCAACAAGAGGCATTCCTCTTGACTGGGTCATAACTAAGAAGAGCAGAAAGTAAGAAAGACCTTAAGGAAAGGAGGGGGGAGATGAAATAAAGTGGAAATGAAAGTGTGAGCTTTAAGTTTCTATAGGAGTGCTGCTAAAACTTTGCTTCTTCTATGCAAGCCAAACAAGCAGACCCTGCCTGCTGCCAAGGGGAGATGGTTTCCCAAGAGTAAAGACTGCCCCACCAGAGAAGGCTTCCTTCTTTCCCTGCTGTAGCTAGCACATTGCCATGGGTTTGGTTTAACTGATGCAATTTCACAGACACAATTTATTTACCAAGCTTCTCTACATCCTTCAGGGGGTCAACTCCAGGTGAGAGGATAAAGAACATTGGGGTTGCAGGTCCAGACTCCTCAAATGATGTTGCAAAATCCAGAGATCTTCCTGCCACGTATTTATTCCCAAGTTTTTCTTCCACAAAATCTCTGTTGGAAGAAATTGCTGAACCTATTAATATTCAGGAAATACAATGCATTTATAAAATAGTGTGCTCTTTGACTTAATCAGAATTCATCTATATGGCCTGGGGATTTATTATCTTAGACTAAGTCTCAGAATGGAAAGAGAGAGACAGAGAATACATGGAGTAATAATGGTGGCTCAGGAGCAACCCCAGACTTCAAGCATTCAGGTGGATAGTCTCTTCTGAAGGAGAGAATTATTATTCTTTATTAAATTTGTATACAGCCCTTGATCCAAAGATCACAGGGCAGTTTACAACATGAAAACACAAAATACATAATAAAACTAAACCAAAACAAACCAATAACTTCCCCCTCCCCACAGACACATTTAAAAAGCCATAGAATGTTAATCAGCCAAACAGCTGGTTGAAGAGAAACATTTTTGCCTGGCGCCTAAAGTTATGTAAGGACGGTGCCAGGTAAGCCTCCCTGCAGAGAGCATTCCACAAATGGAGAGCCATCACAGAAAAGGCCCGTTCCTATGTTGCCACCTTCCAGACCTCTCGTGGGAGAGGCACCCAAAGAAGGGCCTCAGATGATAATTGCAGGGTCTGGGTCAGTTTCTATGGGGAGAGGTGGCCCTTGAGGTATTGCGGTCGTATGCCATTAAGGCTTTACAGGTCAAAACCAGGACTTTGAATTGGGCCCAGAAACGAATTAGCAGCCAGTGAAGTTGGGTCAGGATTGGTGTAACATGCTCAAACCCATTTGTCCTGGTGAGCAATCTGGCCACCAAATTCTGCACCAGTTGGAGTTTCTGAACCGTCTACAGCTCATGGTTAGTGAGAAGAGCCCCAGTCTGAATGACATGAGCCCCAGTTTGGATGACATGTTAAGTCAAATGATGGCTTAGCTCAGCACAGTAGCAAGAAAGATTGGGGAGGAGCAAAGAGGATGCACATTCCTCTCCAGGAGCCTGCATGTTCAAATATTTTCACTAAACCATAAAGGTAAAGGTAAAGGTACCCCTGCCCGTACGGGCCAGTCTTGCCAGACTCTAGGGTTGTGCGCTCATCTCACTCTATAGGCCGGGGGCCAGCGCTGTCTGCAGACACTTCCAGGTCACATGGCCAGCGTGACAAGCTGCATCTGGCGAGCCAGCGCAGCACACGGAACGCCGTTTACCTTCCTGCTGGTAAGCGGTCCCTATTTATCTACTTGCACCCGAAGGTGCTTTCAAACTGCTAGGTTGGCAGGCGCTGGGACCGAACGACGGGAGCGCACCCCGCCACGGGGATTCGAACCACCGACCTTTCGATCGGCAAGTCCTAGGTGCTGAGGCTTTAACCCACAGCGCCACCCATGTCCCCACTAAACCATAGTTTATCTTAATGTGTTGTGCAAACCAGTCCACCCTTTTGTTTAGTATGCTTAGCTCGTCTGTGCATCTCTCCTCCCTTTCACTGTGCAATAAAAATCTCCACAAGATGTTTTAAAGAAAACATGGCCAACTTGGATCTTTAGGTGTTTGATACTTTCTCCTAGAACAAAAGTTTAGACTTGATTTTCCAACTTCCAAACTTAGTGATTCCATGATACATGAGTGCAAATTTAATTTTTTGTTCTTTGCTGGGATCATGTAGCTGCTGAAAGTCAAATCAGAACCTTCAAGCCCATGGACATTATCAAATGTCACTCAGCGGAAGACTCAGATGTTGAGCAACAAACAAGTCCTGATGGAGCAAAAGACCTTTTGCTTTATTTGAAGTACTTGTACTACTTTTACATGCCTGCCTGAAGTTTACATCTCCTCAGTCTGCTTCACTAAATAACTTATAAAGACATTAACAACCAGTCGCATCAGCTAAACTTTATTTATTTTTTTCTTTAAGAGAAATAGCAAGCACAATTTACTAATTGAAATAGCAATGAATTATGGAGTTTGTTTCTGCTAGAATGGTTTATTCTTAAAACTTGAGAGACAGGGGGCAGGTGTCTTGCACTAGGATGTGTTAAAATGCATGAGGCTGATATTAATGAAGTCACCAAGAGCTGTTGTTCTTCTCCTTGGATAGGCAGCATTTGTCTCTCTCTTTATGACAAAATTGATTGCACACAACAATGTTTTCTAATGAAGAAATATAAAGCAAAGCCTTAAGAGAATGGCACAAGTTAAAGTGTTTTGTAGCAGGCAAGGAGTTGGAAATAAATGATAAAAGCAGCAATTTATTATAAATGTTAAAAGATTGTCTCCCCTTTGCTCTTTTGCCCAAAGGATGGTTCGCATTGTATTAAGCACCCCACAAAGAGTTTTAAAGCATTATAAAGCATAATGAAACCCAATGATAAAAGGCAAAACAACTGATTAATTAAACGCAACTATAAAAGGCAAAATAATAAATTACAACATAAAAGTAGTTGCAGTTGTGGTTTAATAAAGTGATTGATGAGGATTCGTGTTAACAAAAGCTTAGATTTGATTGGGGTCGGGGAGCAATGGGAGCAGGGGTTTATAATGAAATATCCTCCAAGAGATTTTGGAACTTTGTGATCATTACTATCAAATTATCTCACGCTGTTCCTGTATAAGACTGCCTGGCTTCCCATCAAGCACGGGTACTTGTTATGAAGTCAAGATTTGATGCAAAATAGCCTATAAGTCAAACATAGTCTATGCTATTCTACCATTCTATGCTATTCTACCAACTTAAAAAACAAACAAACAGGAAAGTCAAAGTTAATGGAAAATTTGCTTGCTTGTTTTCTGTCACGTTGCAAGGAAGAGCAATAGGGCTGCAAGTGTGGCCAAAAGATGTGTTCTTTACTACCCTGGTTTGTTTGAAAGCTGTTAGCCAGCAGTGAGGAAACTCCAGTCTGGAACCCACATTAGGCCTGGTAGAGATCTGAACTAGGCTTGTGAGGACATCTTCCTCAAACCACACCCACCTGACATCAAGTGTGGGACAGGTAAAGATGTTGCTTTGATTGGCTGAACTAAGGAAGATGATGGACAGAAGATGAAGGTCTCTGTATGAGAGGTAGGGCAGAAAAGATCCCTCAGGGTGGGAGGCTGAGGAAAGAGGGGGAAGCTCCCAGGTGAGAGCTGGGAGGGCTCATTCTTCCGTGTTAAGGTATAACTGTGATAAAAGGCTTGGTATTATTTGTTAGGATATTTCCGTTCCACCTTAAAAGGGAGCAGGCTTTTGTGAGTCACAGAGCCTGCGTATTTCCTGTTCACAGGAAGTTTATGTTTTCTGTTGCTTTTGTTTTTCTCTCTCGGTGCCTGAACACTGAAGCAGGCGGTCATGTTTTCTTTGTTCTGACCAACGCTGAATAAACTTATAAATAATGCTCTCTTGCATGCATCTTTCACTGTGCATTATCTGCTGATAAGAGCGTGCATCAGCTCTGGAATGTGGCAAGCTATTTCTGGAGCTCGTGTCGCTAATTGCTGATACTGCGTGTTTACGGGAGATCGATGGACGTCCGGAGGCGACGTGGGGCCATGATGGACTTTGTCCCCCTGGCAGTATCCCAACAACCTCTTTTTCTCTTCTTCTTCTTTTCTTTTTCTTTTCTCTCTTTTTTGGTTTCTTTCCTAGATGTCTTATATTAGTTTGGCTTTTATTGTTTTTATGTTGAAAATTGTCAATAAAAATGATGATAAAAAATTATTTAAAAATTATCAGATTTATCAGCTGATTGGCACTGACAATACACCTTCAAAGAAATTTGCTCTCTACAGCAGTTACCACAGACAAGGAGCTTCTTTGAAGATGTTGCCTGATGTCATAATCCCATCAAGTGATTGATAGGTGCCCCCCACCTGTCATATTTGGTTCACCCCTCCTGTTAACCATCATTTCCTGGTCTGGATGAAATGGGCTAACCTAGGTAATGGAGGACTTCCTGGTTTGTTTGCTCCCAAAGGATGGAGGTGTGTATGTCCCAAATGTTTGTTTCTGTCTCTGTTTATTAAGTCAAGATACAATCTTCGAACTCACTCATAAGCAGCTTTCAGGGAGTACAGAACTCTCTTTTAAACAGAAACAATGCAGAACAAAAACAATGCAGTTACCAAATACACTACAATAAAACTAGGGTGACAAAAACATCAGGAAAAATCAGGTTCTAATTGTGCCAAGCACTGATCAAGAACTTAGAGTGGCTAACAATGTTTGATTTCAGTTTATTATCCTGAGCAAACTTTTTATTACCAAGGATAATTTTAGCAGATTGCACACACTTATCTATCTCCCATACAAATCAGTCATTCACAATGAATTGCTTTGAGCCCCCCATTATGAAATTATATCTTGTTTTATACTTGAAAATGACAATTATTTAATCTTACATTCAAATATCAATCTGAAATCATGTTTTATTTTGTGTCATGTCAGGTAATTTGAGTATTTAAAAAACTTTAATTCAGACTGGCTTTTCCAATTTATTTATTTGAAAGTTTTAGGGTGTTTTGAGACCCCTTTAATTTGCAATACAAAGAGGTTATGCATGTATCCAGGGTTGGATGTGCTGAGTTCCAATTTATGGACAGATGCCCAAAAGGTAATGTCTGAAAGATGGGCAGAAATTTTATTTGAAGTGGGTGAAAGGAGACAGGCTGAAACACCAGGATAGATTGTGCATCATCAGCATTCTGTAGATGGCAATCAATGTTGAAAGTGGTTGAGGTTAAATGGACATCACTGATTGATTCTGTTCTGATTAAGTGGAGAGTAGAAAGAACGGGAAGAAACTGCACTGTAGAATTAAGCAAGCTGCACTCTAAGCCAGGAATATAGATATACATGAAAACATTGAAGCATTTGTTCCGTGACATGTCTGGTGCTTCTTGGACACACTATTGAAAGGTTTAGTTTTTCACATTACTTGACAATGCTTGACTCAGTCACCGTGTGTACAGCACTTACCTGACAGCATATGTCATGCGGTCAGGACGTATGGCTCTCATCATACACAGCTGCTGCAAGGCAGACTTATTCTTCCATTCCTGAGGAAACCTTTCCTTTTCAGGGCATTCAGACTCCACGAACTTTTTCCAGCGTTTGGCAGAACCCTCAATATCCCGGTCCAAGTTGCGGAATTGTTCCATGGAAGAGAGTGCCTGGAAGAAGAGAGCTGGCCATTACTTAGAATGGGAAGCCCAACATGGATGGTACTTCCTGGAGCTGCTTCCTGAAAATTCAAGTGCCAGGAGCCCTTCCGAGGCCGGCACTATCTTTATTTTTCATTAACATATTTATTGAAACCTATTCATAGATATACAAAAATGTATACCCATTACCTAGTTATCTTTTTATAATATACTAAGATAAAGCAGCTACTTAGTCTAAAAAAGAACAATGTTGAAAAAAGAAAGAAAGAAAGAAAGAAAGAAAGAAAGAAAGAAAGAAAGAAAGAAAGGGGGAGCCCTCCCCCCCAAAAAAGGGGGAAAAAAAGACTAAAGAAAGATAGAAAAGAGTAAAAGGACTGTCAGCTCTCTGCCTGCAGCTACATATAACACTCATTCCTTAAAATCCAACTATTCTGTCTTCCATAAACCAGTATTTTTTTCAATCTTCAAATCCCCTTATCACAAGTTCATTTTCACAAAAGGTCCATAAGAAATTTCCAGTCCTGAACAAATGTCAGTAATGATTGTTCTCTAATTAAACATGTTACTTTTGCCATCTCAGCCAGATTCAACCAAGGTCAGCACTATCATTCAGCACCTGATTTATATTTTTTTAAGTAAGCACCTTACTGCACTTCTTTCTTTCAGGGGAAAAGAGAGTAACTGTGGGTCTCTGACATTTTTTTTAATGCTGCAGAATTTTATGGAATCTCTTTGCAAACTTCCTGTTTCTGTGTTGTTCTCCATAACACCCAGGCTTCCTTGCACTGCTCCTCTGCTACATGGCTTTGGAATTGTGTATCTTTTTGCACAGGGACACTTAGAAATAACACCTAGGCGTGAAACTTTAAAACAACCAACACACTGCTGAATCCTGCCCCGCCCCCGCCCCATCCCTAGGATCCATAGAACCAAAGCATTTCTTTCTTGCTTCCTTTTCCCAAAATGCCCTCTTAATTTATCACTCCACCAGAAGATGTGAAATGGATTAAATTACAATCAGGCTAAGCCAAAGGAATGAATCCTTCAAAAGTATGACAGACATGTGGATCCAAGCCAAGACTATATGAAAATGAAGTGTTTGGTAATAATGGTGATCACCATAAGAAATACTGGAGAATGCAGCATTGGTGAACCCCCCATATATGTGAACACAAGCAATTGTTTGTGTTCTAGAATCTGAACATTTTCTGGCCTGCCAAGAACCTTGTAAATAAACACCTATCCACAACTTCCCATTAATCAGCAGCGGGAGATCAGAACAGCTACATGGTCTTATTTATGTTAGTTCTGGATCACTGTATTCTGCATAAAATGTGATCAGGATAGGCAACTAGTACTTCTCAGGTGTTCATACACTGTAATCTGCCTCTGTGTTTATAACTTAAGAATATAGCATGAAAGGATCAGGATGAAGAATCTAACCCCATGCCTCTCCAGTATCCTTGCAGCTCTTCAAAGCTGACAGCTAGGAAAGAATATTGACATGGAGTGCTAAGACAACATCATCAAGCTAGAATGTAATGGGGCTCATACTGATGGAAAACTATTCCATTTGGGAAGCAAGCTGTTAACTCAAAGGATTGGTATAAACAATGAATTATTTGCTTTCCTCCAGACTACATTTTGTTTTATATAATTCGTTTGCTGGAGTTGGCTCTTTGTTTGGCTGCATTAACTGAATTATTCAACTCATGAGCACAAGTCTAATGAAAGTAAAAATAAAGCCATGATGGGTATGTAAAACTTCAATCAGCATGTCACGCAAGAGCTACATTTTAATCACCCTTATTACTATTATAACGTCTGACAAGCTCACTAAGTCTGCCCACGCCAATCATTTCTCGGATTATCTTCCTACTATGCAATTTCTTTTACAGAAATCTAGAGCATAATTAATTTATATGATACTTTGAAGACATGTCCATGCCCCCATTCTAGACTATCAGCCCCATCAACGAGCCACTGGTGAGTCTTAAAAGCTATGGCTCTAACTCTGCAACAGGAATTCAATGAGACTTCTACTGAATTCCTGAGAGGCATATAAGTGATCTGATCTCAATAAAACCAGTCATCTCTAAAGGATTTCACTTGTCCATGATTGGTAGGCAGCCTTAAGGGGGATGGGATGGTTAGGCAAATACATTCCCTCTCTCACTGAAACTAGTTGATCCACTTCCAGGTAATCAAGGGATGGTTGTGCTCCTGACTGAAATACCACTTCCCATCTGACCCGTTTTTACCTGCTACCAATAAGTATGTGCCTTGTTACGTACCTAGGACCAAGCTACAAACACTGATGACCTGTAGTTGTAAAGCTAAACCAAAAAAACAACAACACTCAGGATACAGTTCACATCTTTTCACTTAAATTTAGGTTTACAGTTCACATCTTTTCACTTAAATTTAGGTTCCTCCATTAAATAGTTACACTAAGTAATGGCTCTTAAAGTTGCTCAGGGTAACACAAAGATGTTGTGAAACAGGAAGATAGATCAGGATCTACTGGTAGATCACCAAGTGATTTGCAGTAGATCTGCAACCGATTATTACTCCAACCTGTTTAAAAATAGTGTCAAGAAAAGGCTTCCCGCTCTTCTAAATTAGGCTGAAATGAAGGAAGTTGGGTAGGTGGGACTAGGAGCAGATTTTCTATGACAGGATTGAGAGTTCAGTTTGGATTCTGAAAATTTGTACTTGTGTACTCAGAGGCACCCTGTCCCTTAACTACAAGTGGTGTTCACTCTACCATCTTGTAACACAGTGGAGTTACTACTACTACTACTACTACTACTACTAGAATTTGCAAACTGCCCTTCATCTATAGATCTCAGGGCAGAGTTGCTTTTTTGGTGTATTTCGCAGATATTTCGCCCCTAGCTTTCGTATCAGAACACCTTTAATTTGTTTGTGCTTTGTACATTGACAGGGTGGGGATGTCTTTATCCTATGCTAACTTGTTCACATCTTAGCTGCAGGCAGATTAAGAATGACTTAAGGACTCCAATCAGTGTGAAGCTGGTTTGAGAAATGAGACATCAAACAGTAGTATCTTATAACAAAGCACAGGAGGATGCATATGCATTTTGGATAATGTCAACTGAACACAGATAAAAAATCCAGCTCAGGAAACACAGTGAGTGCACAGCAAACACAAGCATGAACAAAGCCTAAGAGTACAACTATTTCACCTGGCCCTAGTTGGGGGACCTTTGAATTCTAGTAAAAAAATATGGAATAGATCCTACAAACCTACCACTGCCCACCGCTGTTCTAAAAAGGATCTAGATTTTCAAAATGGGAAGGATTCAGTTATGACACTGATAAAACCCTAATATTTTAAACATGGGTACTCAAGTAAACTGTAAGCCAGTCTTATCAGACCATCTTGATCAAAAGATTGTGACAGCATTAGCAAAAAATATCATTGTGCATTGCATATATTCAGCAGATTGTGCCAAAATCAATCGTCAACAAGAATAGAAACTTAACAGAACTACAAAGTACACAGGGCGGGAGAAAGAAAGGCCTTTGTCAAGGAAATACTGGTTTTTCTTCAATGCGAAATACATGAATTGCTATTTTATCTTTTAGCCACACACACAATCTTATCATGTGCATTCTGCAAAATTATAAATACAACATTAATATGCATCTTTGTCTCTGCAGCCGTTCTCCTCTTGAAAGCTGAATCCACTATTTAGAGCTCATTATTCAACACCACGTTTATTAAACAATGCCTTTTCAGTTGCTTTTTCATATCTACATAATGAATATTCTTCCTCTTCAGAAATAGAAGATGAAAATGATTGGGCTTGGGGAGGGGGCTAGGGTGGAAAGATTAATCCAAGCTAGCCAGGTGTATCCTCAACTCATAACAAGCAGCTTCTCTCTTCTTGGCTGAGCCATTTACATTCAGAAAAGAAAGCATAACAGAAGTGAAGAAAGGGCCATAGCTCAGTGGCAGAGCACATGCTTTTCATGCAAAGGGTATTTCGTTCTTTAAGTCTTTAGCTGGGGAAGGGTTCATGCCTGAAATCCTGAAGAGCGGCTACAAGTCACTGTAGACAATACTGAGTTAGGTGGACCACTCATCTGAGTTTATATAAAGACAGCCCACTACATGGGAAAACTCAAGAGTTGGGAACTGGGTCTTTCTGTCAAGGAATTCAGGTGTCTGGAGGCAACACTGAAAAGGGAGTCATAATAAGTTGGGGGGGAGAATAAGGATTAAGATACATTGGGGCCCTGGCAGGGTCACAAATGGAAACCATGGGTGCCTTACCTGTGGCGGGAAGAATAAAGAAAAGAAGCTACACATGGCAAACATGTTTGATGTTAACTGGTTGGTTCTTTGTTTGGGGAGGGAAAAGGGAGGGCAATGCTTTCAAGAGCTGTGGCAGATATAACAAACAGACTTGCCACTCACTGTCTACTTGTTGCATAACCTTAAACTCTTAAGAAAAGATGATTTCTCATTATATCCTCCACTGTAGAATAAATTGGAATCTGAAGAAGGTAGCAATAGCAGGTATTCGTACACTCTCAGTACTACATTTATTACTGTGTAGAAAAATGGCAGCATTGGTGGTTGAAGGCTCCAAAGAGCTCTCCACCATGAAGCTGGTTTAGCTTTTTGCCTTTTCAGTTCATCAACAACAACCCTAGGTGAAACATCATTTCTCTCTCTCTCTCTCTCTCTCTCTCTCTCTCTCTCTCATTAGTGGGTAAAGGACTTGAGAGATTTCTGCTGAGAAATGTGTATTTAAAGCTTCCAGTCATACATTGCAAACATCAATGTGATTTTTTAAAAAAGAAAAGAAAGCCAGCTACATTATTTTATTTATTTTTTACTGGCCCTTAATTGAAGTCCCAGGGTGGGTTACAACATGATAAAAAGAATATAGTAAACAGTAAACAAAGCAACTAATAAAATCCTGTGCAGAAAGTGAGCAATCACTGCATGTTCCCCAACGTGTGGATAAATCAGAGATTCCCTTCATGGTCCAGACTATGACACACAGAGAAATATGAAGCAGAGAAGGCACTGAGGTGGAGAAATACAACTGCAGTTCTGAAATCTGCAGCAACAACAGAATCCCTACCCTAAAAAACTAAGCATGGCAGGAACCCATCATAGCTTAGGGCTGCTGTGGAAGGCATGAGAGAAAGGAACGTCCTTCAAGCAAGGAATAAGATTATCAGAGCCACACCTCATAGAAGACAATCTGGTAACAAGCCCTTGCAGAGTGTTATGGAACGCATCACCTGAGACGCAACTTTACTTCCCACATTTTTGCTGGCTATAACATAAAATACAAACTACAGTGTGTGTGAATGAGAAGCTTTATGTACAGTACTCAAGCCAATAAAAATTTATAAAACCAATAAAAATTTAAATATAAAAACCCAAAGCTGGCTTCTACTGCATAACTAAAACATATTTTAAAGTTGTCTAAAATGAAAGACTGGCCTGTCTAAATTTCTGCTCAACCAAAGATTAATGGACTAGGTGTGTTTGTTCTCCCAAACAACTTTTTGGGGAAATATGAGTGAGGCTATTTTAGTCTCAGAGTTTTAGCAACTTTCTTCAAACAGGGCAGCCCTAAGCAGAGAGAGCTAGACAGCCTGAACGCATCCAACCTGAATCACAGTGACAACTTGGCAGGAGCTCAAATCCCCCACAGAATGCAGCAGGGTGTGTAAACCACCTCCTCCTTCACATTTGATTTCTTAAAAAATACTTATAAACTGCTAGGGAATTATATGTGAGTAAGAAGAAGAGAAGGAAGAGCCCTAAGATTAGTCGTCAAGGAGTGGCAAAAAGTAAGGGAAAAGGTAGATGTTATTTCCCCCCCAGAAGATGTCCAGATCGTGTAGTTTAGATCTTTTGCCTTATGTAATATCTTATATTGTTTTGATTGATGGCATTTTATTATACTTGGTTGCTTTAAGATGCTGTTCACTGCTTTGGGCTGAAAAGTGATATATATATAAATGAACAGTAGCAATAATTATGTTACTGTGGCTGACATCACAGCATTATGGCAATCCTGCAGTTCCTCTCTGCTCTTTTAAGATGCAACCGTCTCTCTTCATTGCTTTATGATTAGAAACTATTTAATCTGAAGCAGATTTCTTACTGAAGGTTTCACAGGCGTTCCTGTTTTAGGGACACTAGAGCAGGAAATTCTCTCTGGGGCTGCTGAGAAATTTCTATTGAGATTATCCTCAAGAAGAGACAGCACTAGCAAAAACAAAACAAAAAAACCCACATTGTGTACACGCATGTGTGTACAGACACACAACTCCCACATTTCCTTCCCTGAAGAGAGAAGCAAACAATTGGACCATGATAACCCAATTATTTAAATATCCCACAATCAACAGGGAAATTATACTTTCCTTTAAAAAGGGTAGTAGGCATTCTCTGGCTCCAAACCTTCTCAAAGTCTCACCCTGAGAACAATTCAAGGGAGAGGGGAAATCACATCCAAACAGGCCTAATATCTTTGTTATTTGATATGGTCTTACAGAACGTTCCCCTGCAGGGCTCTGATAACTTTTGCTAAGTTCCCCAAAGGCAATGCATGCACACCTAAAGCCATGTTCAGCTTTAATTGCTTTGCAACAGAATCTTGCTTGGCTTGGGGATTTTGGCCTTGTTTTCATTTTCTCATTCCAGGCTTGACCCTGTAATTCAGAAGTCTTCAAAGAGCTGCAAAGTTATTCCTATTCTCTCCCGACTGCGTAACAGTAGGACTAGGTCACCTGCAAAGAATACATTCAAGTCGCAAGTCATTTAGACACAGCCCTAGATTTTATGACTATTCCAATGGGGTCAAAACATCACTGATGTAGTTTGAAGCGACTCTGTCTGAGGGTGCTTCCCTGCTTTACACCTCTCTCTTGTTTGATTGCCTTTGTTTCCGATCCATATCCTGAATTTGATGGATTGGAACACAGATATGATGAGACTGTATATATTTTTGCCAATTCCATTTTGTAACAATTTAAGGCTCAGCTCCAAGTTGTCAGATAGAGTCAAACACTTTTCTGAAGTTGATGAAGCGGGAAAATATCTCCCCCTTTACTTACGGTAAAAAAAGAAAGAAAGAAAGAAAGAAAGAAAGAAAGAAAGAAAGAAAGAAAGAAAGAAAGAAAGAAAGAAAACATATTGAAAGTCTTATTGTAAAGATGTGGTCAGTTGCTCTTTTTCCAGGGAGGAAACCAATTTGGCGTTCATGGATCGTTTTTGTGCTTTGTTAGGCTCTACACATTGTCCTTTTGTAGAGGACTGTGCAAAACAGTTTGCTGATATTGCTGTTAAAATGTATAATTCTGCAGGTCCTTGGCGGTCCAGTTCAGCTTTATTGTTATCGTTTAAAAGGTTGATATAACCAAGTTTCTGCAAAATGGTGCACTTGGAAGGTGACAGGAGACTGTATATTTAAAAAGAACCCTTCAAGAATAATCTCAATACTGTATTTCAACATTGTACTTGTAACTGCTTAAGGACATTTTTTTGGATTTCAGTGTTCTATAGTATCAGAGAGTTGGAGGCGACTATGTACATGAGCCCACCGCCCCTCTAGGTCACTGCTTCTGTTGTTCTGCTCTTATCATTAAGAAGTTTCCCCTAATAGGAACATAAGCAGAGCCTGCTGACCTATCTAGTCCAGTATCTTGTTCTCACAATGGCCAACCAGATGTGATGGGAAGCCATCAATCAGGGCCTGAGTGCAGCAGCACTCTCTCCACTTGTGATTCTCAGAAACTCACATTACATACTGTGGCCGTATCCTCCACACATTCAGCCACTGAAGGCTGGTCCATTAGGGCAAATGGAACACTGACCCATCAACCTCGGTCTGCCTTCAGACAGCTCACACCTGCTTCCCTTATTTCATACATCCAGCCCAGAGGGTGGCAATGGCTATCCACTTTAGTATCTCAAGTGTTGCCCTTGTTGAAATCAATGGGGTGGGGGTAAAACTAGAATTTGTTGGCTCTGCATGTCATTGGCTGTTGGTTTACCTACAGTTGGCCTCTGTGCCTTCTGCCTCACCAGTTCCAATGGGCACCAGCCACCACTACATCCAATGCACATTTAAAGCATGTGACCTCCTGCAAACAATCCTAGGAACTGTAGTTTCCCCTTACACAGCCACAATTTCCAGGACCCTTAAACTATAGCTCCCAAGATTCTTTGGAAGAACTCACGTGCTTTAAATGTATGGTGCGCTTTTGGGTGTGCTCCAAATGCATAGTGTGGACCTGCCCTGTGTTAATTCACATGCCACCAGGCACTAGGAAAATGGGTAAATTCCCTCAACCATTATGTTGGTGGCATTTCAGGAAATCGGGGAAAGGCAAAAGAACCCAAAGAGAGAACAGTTCTCAAAGAACGAGAAATCCTAAGAGTTTTATTCTGCAGTACTTTTTACTAACTTCATACTTTGTGGCTAAGCAATGCCATCATCCCCAGCTTTGCTTCAACGATTTGGTCCTGCTGGGTTCTGGGAAGGGCCAACATAACTGAAAAAAACTTTTTTTACATGGAAGATTAGGCTACATTTAATAGTAGATACTATCTATTGGTTATACATATAAAAAGACTTTACGAGTTAAAAACAGCTACCTTGATGCCACCCCATGACTGATTTGACAAAAAGTCTACTGGACTGGTGACTCCTGGCTGGGCTGGATATCTTAGCAGGAAGTCAAGTTCTGTAGCGTTAATTTCTTTATTCATCAGAAGTATCTGCAACGACAAACCCACATGGCACTGCAGAAAGTTGCAAGGATTTCCTGAAGAAAAGGCTTTTGTTTGCAGGACACACACACACACACACACACACACAATCCAGCGGGATTCTACCCAAAGGCATGAATGTTAGGACTGGTGCTAGAATTGCAGACATTTTGTACTTAATTCTTTCCTTTTGAACTTACATTTAAACATGGACCTGAAATAACTAAAGCAAGTAATAACCTTTACAAATAAAAGCACCAGTATAACTTATGGGTGGGGAGGATTCCAGTTCGCTCCACATTTCAGAACAAACCTACCCACTTTGCCTCCTTAGGACCAATGTGCAGATTAGAACATATTCCGGATAATCAGCAAACCAATCTGTGCATTGGTCCATACTGTACTTGCAAGGTTGCCCAAGAGCTACGTTTCTCTTTCTTTAACATTTTACAGCTGCTTAGAGCAGCTCATGTCTCCTTTGTGGCCATGCAGCCAAAAATATATCTTTTTAAAATGCTCCCTGGAGCATTTTACTTCATACTGTGTACCCCCTTAAGCAGGGGTTCTGCTCCTGGCCGCCGTGTGCATCATCAGGACACACACAAGTCCAGTCCAGTCCAGTCCACCCTGCCCCAGCCCATTCCATCTCCGTTCCACCCCACCCTCTTTCAGAGCCGAAAATGGCACACGTGTCAGCAGTCATGCACGACTCAAATGTGTGCAAGTGGGGAGTTGCCTGTAGTCACTTTCTGGAGAACTGTGTGAAGAAAATGATGGCTGCCCCCATGTACCTATGGGGGAACTCTTTTCTTTTTCCGTACAAAAATATTCTGGTGGCCACAGAGGAGGTATTCACTGCTCTAAGCAGCTGTAAAATATTAAAGAAAAAGAGAGGATATCAGGTAAGTACTTTAAACACACATACACCTGCGGGGGAGGGGGCAGGGAGAAGAGGGCAACATGGAGCTGGTTTTGTGAACACATGAAACTAGTACAGGACAGAAATAGATTGATCTGTCCATCCCTAGTTGTACACATAACTTGTATGTGGATTTGAGGGTCTAACTGTCCATAGGACAAGTCACAGACATTTTTACTCTGTAGGTCAGTGGGTCCCAAACTTCTTCCCCATGGAGTGCTTGATAACTGATGGAAGTCTTGAAGGACCACTTAAGGATTTTTCTGCTTGCTGTAGCAACTGTAATGTGCTGTGCTAGATGCTGTATGATGCTCAGTTGTATTTTTACAGACACAGTTTGGGAACCCCTAATGCAAGTGATGAGCAGAACACCGGCACAGAGTGGGTGTGGCTCACCAATAATTACTGCAGAGGGTGCTACGAGGGAATAATCAATTTACCTGGAAAGTGACTTGGGCCGTGTAAATCAGTTTGTCACATTCAAACAGCCCCCGAGTTGTGTACTGGAACACAGAGCTGGTGATGCTATCAATAAGGTTGGCTACTCGCTCTTTTAGGTTTTCATCTGGCGAGGCTCTTGCAACAGCTTTCTGAAAGACAACACTGAATGCCTAGATGTGGAAAGAAGAGAGAGGCAGGGAGAAATGAATTACATAAGACACTACAATAATACCTCAAAACATTCCTGGCTTCAATAATACAATGCTCACTTCCATCCAACCTTGGAAAGTATGGGCAAAACATTATCCATCAATGGGATTGAAAAAGTTGGCAGATAGCACGAGGAATCTCCCTCTTCATTGTCAATCTCTTTCAAAAGAAAAAGTTCCCTTTGCTTCCCTCCAATTGGACATGTGCAGGATATAAACTGAGATTCTGTGGGTGAAACTAGACAGGGTATGAGTGATATGCAATTTCAGGAATGCATACGCATGTCTCACGATGCCTTGGTCAGAATCTGAGCAACCCAATTTTCAGTTTTAAAAAAAAGTATTAAAGGTTTAATGTTGTGTCACACACTGCAGTCTGGAAGCAAGGAAAGTAAGGCGAAATTAAAGAGGGCCAGTCCAGTTTCTTCTTGCTGTGCCTGCAACCTTTAGCTGTGCTTTTAAAAAAAAACAGAACTGCCACCACAGTGGGAGGAAGCAAGGCTGAGCAACTCTCATACTATGGAAACCAGCCTGGAGTGACATTCCCACTCAAACCATATGGCAGATTCAGCTTGTGTCTTCAAAAAAAATAGTTCCAGGTTGAAAGTTTAGAATGGATCTTTTCCCCTAAAATTGGGGTGGGGGTAGCAGCACGTTTTTGCAAGTAACTGATGTTCTCAGAATTTTATCATAATGCTGCAGCAATGGGATAATTACTGGTTTGTTTGTTTTTTCTCTTTCTGTGCCATTCTTAAAGCCACATGCCTGTTCGTTCTCTTCTTGCCAATAGATCACCATCCCTGCTGTCACTGGAACTCATCTTCAGTTTTGCCCTAGCTCAGTTTTCTCCTTGGTCCCTCCCTTCTTGCCTTCACCCCACATTGTTTCACCACCCTGACCCATCTTCAGGCTCCCTATCCAATGAACACACTGCCTCTTTCCCAACTTCATACAGCCTCTCCTGTCCTTTGGTTCTGTCACAGCACTCTTTCCCATCAGTTTTGTATCTCTTGTTATTTTAGTCTTATAGCTGAAAATTTGAGGCAGGGGAGGCTAGCATTTTTTGGTCCAAGGGCCACAAGGTCAACTGAGGCTCCATCCACCAAATGATCAGCCCAATGACTGCAGAGGGGGTGATTTGCATCCTCATCAGGGTACTGTTCTTTGCCCACCCCATCACAGTGTTTAATTTATGTTTGTCCCCATTGCCAAAACTGGTGGGATCTTGCTTGGTGTGTGTGCAGAAAATCTGCAGATCCAGTCTCCAAACAGGAGCATGTCAGCTCTGATTTAAGGGGTGATTCAAGTTATATCTGAATGCTGTAACTTCATAATCTTTATATTGTAGACCAATTGAAACAAAATTTGTCAAATGTAAGCTTGTCTGTTTCTGGAAAATAATATGAGCATTTCATTAATGATTCCCGATTAAGACACACATTCTGTTTTTTCCCATGTCTTTTTAAAAGATATGCCACAGAAGAGAATGCCTAGCCCAGACCAGATAAAGAAAGTAAATGAAGATATAAATATCTATAACACAAGGTTTTCAAAGACAGACAAAATATTCATTTTCCCTAGGCAACAGAAATGACACTTCTCTGAAAATGATTATCTGAAGGACACTGGCCTCCCCGGGGAAAATGCTCCTCTCATTATATTCTCTCTAGAGGAAACTCAGAAGATAAAGTCAAGTAAAAATCTCAAATAAAAAAATATTTCCTGCAGCCAGACCAATGGACATGCTGTCCCAGGCCATAGGAACTGAATGTTTCATAAAGGCTAGAGTTGGGGTTATTAGAAAGAGAAAAACAAATGAGAAAGAAACACTTGTAAGTCTTCATCACTTGAATAAGGGAAAAAATACTTTAGGAAAAATCACTGAATGTGCTTTCAGATGGTAAATACTGGCCCTTAAGTTAAATTACATCTGGAAAATAGTTGTTTCTTAGGATTTGAAGAGCCTCAGCAAGTAAAATACTACTAGTTTATAGCAACACAACGTCTAGACATGCAATATCACTATATTACTCACAGGATAGTTTTTTCCTTCATTGTTCTTAAAAGCTTTCTCTGAGTTATTGCAAAGGCCTACTTAATTCTCGTGGGGGGTTGATATGATAAATTTTGAAACCAATGTTTCAGCAATCTTCTGTAAAGCAGCCTTTATCTTTGATTCAGCAGATTTCTACAAGTACCTTCAAATCTACTGAATCAATTGATTCAAAGAGACTTCTTAACTAACCTATCACGTCCTGGAGGCTGTAAAAGGTTTCCTCTTGGTATGATTTGCAGCTCAAAAAGGCACACAATCTGGGGCCATGTTACTCCCCTCTCCAGTGCTACTTACATGACAGGAAAAGATGCATGAGAACCTTCTTCAGTCCAAAGACCACATTCCCTGATGAGGAACCTTCTGGAGGCCAGGTGCTAGTAGTGAACAGGCCCAGAAGCAAAATATTTGACCCTGACATTCCAGGCATGTTAAAGTTAAAGGTTCTGCATGCACATCCAGCCTCATCCAGCCAAACAATGACACCTTCCACTCAAGGAGGACACAGAACAGGGCTGGGACAGGTGTGGCCAAGGGAGAGGAGAGGAGATGCAGCCCCTAGTGAGAGCCCAATGGGCCAGAAGGAGGGGCCTCAAAGGCTGCATCCAAACCCTGAAGTGAGATACCTCACCCTCTTTTCAATTTTTTTTAGAAGACTGCAGGAACACACAAGCCACGGAACAGTCTGGAAAGCACTTTTGAAAACAAAAAGCGAAATGCACAACATTTGAATATGCAAAAGATTGCACAGGCATGGGAAGGTTGCACATCTTGCCATCAACAGGCACCACCCTAGGATGTGTCAGTGACGTTCGTATAACCATCTTACACAGAAAACTCTCAGTGGTAAATGAGGTTCTTCTAGCTCAAGGGGAGAATCACATTTCATTAGCAATATGTAACTGCAGCTTGATAGCAAGCTCTCTGCGACCTGAAGGGAAGACTGTGGATCTTTTGTAACCAAAGTGTCACACAGCACACACATTTCTTTCTTATTTTAAGTCCGTACAAGCTCTAGGACACAATGATCTGTAAAACGATTCTGTGTGGGATGTTGGCTATATGAAATGGGTGTATCAATAACTAGAAGATACTAAAATTGGTCTGTTACGGGCACATTGAGTGAAGTCATTGTATGGGCATGGCTTTTCTCAGTAAGTCTGTTCTCAGAAAGCACACACAACCTGTCACAGATCACACTGTCTTTACTTTACAGAATGCTGCTTCTGAAACAAAGATTTCTTTTGTAAGGCTGAATTATTTATTTAAATATTTTCATCCTGCCTTTCTACACCTAGGAATACCCGAGGCAGTCTTCAAAGCGAAAATGGCACAGCATAATGAACTAAAAGTTCAAGGTTAAAATATGGAGGTTAAAATATGGTTATAGGGAGCATACAACGCCCTTGTTACAACAGCTCCACTCGATATTGGCCTGTTTCCAGAAACAATTCAAATGCTGGTTTTGACCTATAAAGCCCAATACAGCTTAGGTCCAGGCTATCTGAAAGACCATATTCCCTCATATGAACCTGTTCAGGTTTTGATACCATCAGGGGAGGTTCTTCTCTCAGTTCCACCACCCTCACAGGAACGCTTGGTAGGGATATGAGAGAAGGCCTTCTCGGTGGCTGCTCCCAGACTTTGGAACTCCCTCCCTAGAGAAGCTAGACTGGCTCCTTCCTTGTTGTCCTTCCACCAGCAGGTGAAGAACTTATTCCAACAGTGTTTGGGGAAATGACTGCTTTTAATGAAAGAGCTGGTGCCGTGATGTTTTTATTGAAATTATCTGTGTGTTTTTAATAGATTATAGATAGATATGCTTGTTTTTAAATGAATTAAAACAAGTGTTTTTAGCTCTTATTTTATCTGTAAGCTGCCTTGAGTCCCTATTAGGGAAAATGGATGATGCTGATGATGATTCTGAACAACAACAACAACAACCAGAAAATGGACCAGAAAACAGCAGAAGTTTAAAAAAAAACACACCTGAAGGTCATAATATAAAGAGTTTTAGAGAAAACATTAAAAACAGGTAAAGGATTCACATGCTACCAAAATTTAGGTGCTGCAACCCAAATGCTTCTCCCTCTTATTCAGAAGCAAAAAGCGAAGATATTGAGTGGGTTCATAGGGGAGGAAGCAATTCCTGAGATCTGTTGGTCCCTGGCTGCTTAGAGCTTTAAAGGTCAAAACCAGCAATCCTGTAGTACAAATGGTTAGCGGTTAAAGTACAGAGAAAGTAAAGAGCCACTGAAATCCAGCTGTCACTATATTTGAAAAGCAATGGGGTACTCCTACAATTTGACTCATAAGATTTAGCACAATTTAAACTGCCTGGGAAGTTGGAGGAAGTCCCCAAACACATAAATGCTGTACCTTCAGGGAAAACTGGTACATGGGATGGATGGTATTGAGGTCATTCATGATAAAGTACAGCAAGGAGGCACGAGCTGCTGCAGGACGGTAATGCTCCCTTGCCTCATTAATCTTTGTTTCTGTCACCTTCGACTCCTGGACCTAGAGGAAAGGAAAGGCAAATCCAGCCATGAAGATGTAAGACAACGACATTCGTTTGTGCAAACTTTGTTTCCATAGAGATGACATAAGCTCAGCTGATTGGTTTAGACATAACAACATGCCACGTGTATCAGGAGTGCCTCCTCTCTCCTCACCTGCCTGCTTCTTCTGGCACTGAAAAGCTCCAGTAATGTAAAATCCAAGGAATGAAGAGGAAAGGTGTTCAAATGTCATCTTACTTGCAACTTGGTCATCAAGAAACTTAAGGTGGTATCTGGCTGCACAACAAAACTCCCCCTCCCTCCCCACTCTCTCCTCTCATACGCACTCAGAGTTTCCCCCTGTTGGAAGTGTCAGGATGCAACTCACCTTGCACTGGAGGATGATTTGTCTATATGAAAAAGAAGAGAGAGAGGGTGGGGGGACTCTGAAGTTTCTTAGACTGTCCTTTCTGACCTAACCTGTACTGACCTTCCCAAAGATGCTAGGCTGATATTTAGGGTTGCTCACTTCATTTCCTACGCCCTTCTTTATCCTCACCTTGGGAGAGCAGACATACCGGTATTTTGTGTCTCTCCTGCTGAGACGCAAGAGCATGCCTGCTATCAAGCTATCAAAAAAGTATTTCCTGTAGAATCTTTACTGTCAAGCAAGTATTTCCTGTAAACATAGTTTTCTTATTTTCCTAGACTGTGATCATATCCAAGATAACCTCCAGAGCAGGTTTGGGGAGAGAGGAGAGGGGCAGAAGTCCTTGTAGTAATGGAATTCCTTTGCTGGATACTATCCTGATTTCCAACAGATTTCTTCATTCATTTGGAAGTTCCTCAGAAACCAATGTCTGAAATGTATTCTTGTGAAATGTTTAAGATTTTAAAAAAAAAAAAAAGCTTTGATACATTGAATCTGAATTCTGTAGCTGGTCTCCTTTGTAATGTTTTATTCTGAAACCTTTAAGATAATATTTAAGTTTGGTACAGCATGAGACTCTTCATCTCAAGGTCATGGGTTCAAGCCTCAAGTTAGGCTAAGGATTCCTGCATTGCAGAGGTTAGACTAGATGATCCTTGTGGTCCCTTCCAAATCTATGATTCTATGTTGCTTTGAATGTATACTTTATATTTGACTTTCTTCAGTAATGTTTTATCCTAGATTGTTGTATTTGAGGTTTTAATTTAGGTTGTAAACCACATTGAGATTTTTTTTCTTTAAAATATAAAGCAGTATAGAAATGAAATGAATAATAATAATAATATTTTCCCACATCTTATAGTACAAAAGTGTACAAGGCCTTCTTACAAAATTACTTGGCAAGGAATTCCAAAAGAAGAATGATGATGCGCTAGCCTCTACAAACATACATCATGTATGTGTTTAAGAAGCACCCATACAAACAGCATGGGAACTTCTGTAGTCTGTACATAGATACAGCTTGGAATTATATGCTCCAATAGCTGGAGAAAGCTACTTGTATGTGAAAGATGCAACTGAAATTTGCAAAGCAAATTATGTGTGTCAGACGACTATCAAAGAGGATGGTTTTAAAAGACAGATTTTTTACCCAGGGGAGCCACATCAGTGCCAAACTGCTGGAATTCCTGCCAATTTAATCTGGACCACATAAACTTCAGTGGATCCTGTCATGCCGCCTCTGCTAAAATCCAAGTTTAATTGAGTTAATGTAATGCATGTTGAATTAACTGAAGTTAAATAAAAAGCCTTGGTATTAAACTGGAATGGTTTAAGGCATCTTATTATAGTGCTAAAGTTTTATGGTCTTTACATTGGATACTGCTATTTGTACTTCACTTTGAATTGCCCATTTAATGCCCATCTATTCTGAAGCAGGAAGATTCCTAGACTTGACCATAACTGAAGTGTGTGTGGCCTCCTAATGATTTCTAGTCTCCAAGCAGAACAAGATGACCTAAGATACATTTTAAAAGTTTTAATGAACTTCCTAGCTCTTAAGACAAAAAGGAATACACAGGGGTCGTTCCCTGCATATCCACCCAGACCCAGTTTGCATTTTTACCTTTTCTTCTATTTCTGCAGCTGTATGTTTGGTGACTTCTAGATTTTCCACCAGAGCTGTATCCCCTAGGAAGTTCCCTGAGGCAGAAGAGAGGCGGGACAGCAAGTTGTCTTCCAAAGTTTTCAAAGTTATTTTGAATCCATTCTGCTGCTTTGTGAGATCAGACTGTAAAGAGTTGAGGCACAGACCCCCCACAAAACACAAAATACATTAATGCCTTGATTTCCACAGCAAGCATTTTCCTAACACCAGCAGCAGGGTATTTTTTCTGTAGACTTTTCTGCAAAACCACCCATTCTCTCTCTGTCTTTCTCTCTCTGTTTCTCTTGTGCCCACCCACCCACATAGAGGGGGGGGGCGCAACACTGAATAACAACAACACCCTTGTCTGGACAGAGAGATTCATGTGTAGAAACCTCCAACTTTTGTGCAGCAGGAATGTAGCATCCTGTACAAAGGTAAGAAGCGCACTCATTCCTCTGCACACTTTTGCCACTGGCATGTGGCCTCTGGAAGGTTGTACATGAGGCAGCACAGTCCTCGGGCCAAAAAAGTCCCAAACCAAATCATAATATCATATACTGGCCCAGCTTTTTTCTGTGATTCATATTTTAAATTTACAAGCTGCCTTGTCAAGATTATAACAATTTTATATCCTTGATAGATTTTCAGTGGACAAGCCATGAAGATGCCACCATAAAATTTATAAGAAGTCTGAATATTAAGCAACAAATAAGGTCACATTTTTCAACAAGAAACTTTTTTTCCCCTATTCAAGGAAGCATTTGACTCTGGCTATTTGTCGGATTTTTTTAAGAGCCTTTGTTCAGAGAAGTCTAAGATGGATGCTTTTACATCAGTACGCTATACTCTAAGCAACTTGATAACCAACCCCCACAATATGTTCTGCTACTATTTTTACCTAGCAGTTAATTAAGCGTGTGATTCATAACTATTTAGGTATATGGTTCACAGATATTAAAACCAATGGGAATTTGTTTACAACTCGCCTACATATTATGGCCACCACAGGGAGGCTACCCAAAATACCTGCTCAACACCATTGGGTTGAAACATATACTGATTGCCACTATTATATGCATAATTTTCATGCCATCTCCAGACATTTTAAGGGGACATGCCTGTGGCATGGAAACTCTCCCAGCAAAGGGAGCAATCTGTGAAGCAAATTTATTTATTTTGTTCATTTAGGTATTTTTATACTGCCCTTCACCCTACAGTCACCAGGTGCTGTACAACATATTAAAACACACTGACACATATCTCTGAAACCAATTTAAATATCAATACAATGTAAACAGCACATAACAATAGAGCTCTCAGCTTGCATCTCCCCTCACTTCCAAAAGCTTGATGTAAAAGGTATGTCTTCACGTTCTTTCTAAAAGCATTTAAATTTCCTCAGTGGAACATTCCACAGTTTTGGCTCTGCCACTGAAAGAAAACCTTACTGGGTAGCCCAGGAGAAGTCTGAGCCCCAAATCTGCAGAACCCTGAATTTTTATTTTTTGTGGGCTGCAGTGCTGGCCACGCCTAGCAAGAGTGCTGTTCTCCAGTTGGAAGTACAATAGCAGATATTATTCAGTGTGCAATCTAGAGGTAACTTCTGTTGTCAGTAAGTCAGCTAACCAAGGGTTGTGGTGGGGGGTGGAGAGGTGCTGCACAGCAACCAAGGAAGCTGCCATTATCTTCATTGAGATTACTGCAGAATACACTGGCAGCCTAGCTGCAAGGCAGCTTTCTTCTGGATGTTTAGTTGCATGCCGCCATGCAAGGCCTTGCAAAAAGACAAAAGCTCTCTGTTCCTTCCTGATGAAGCTATATTCTGCTTCATTCGGTTAGCTTTTGCCAGGCTTTTCTCCCTGCACTCTGTCTACTTTATTAAGTGTCTTGTATGTAAGCCACCCTGGGAGACTTTTTGGCTGAGCAGCAGGGAACAAATGCTCTAAATAAATATATGAAGTGCCTCTGCAAACAGTGCCCTCCCACCAGCTGTCTGGCTGCTGTTGGGGTTGAGGGAGGAAAGGGCACAACTGCCACCAACACACCAAACACTGTGTAGTGGAATGAGGAGCACCAAAAGACACAGGGCATTGACTAGTGGCCTTTTTCAATGAGTGAATGAGCATGAGTAGAGGGACCGTTCAGATTTTGCAGCCAGCACAGATGCTGTTGGCAATGGAGACAGGCCAGTCTGCACAGGGCAGCTGCTGGGAAGGGGAAAGAGGCCAGAGGCAGGTCAAGGAAGGCCTCTGCAGTGCCTCAATGCTGCTTGAGGGGAGAGGTGAAATGAGGCCAGGTTGTGAAAGGCCTCTGCAGTGCTGTCACTTCACATGGGAGCAGGACAGGGAGAAGAGGCCAAGAAAAAATGGCAATGCCCTCAGAATGTGGTCTGGGCCAAAACAGCCACACTGTCTGTTACTGCTTGCTGCCTGGTCACTGAAGAAAACCCACAGGAAAATAGTCTCTCACCTCCTACGATGTTGCTCCCTCAAGTTGGGGGGTTTTTTCCACCCAGAAGAGAGTCTCTACTTCCTCACATCAGAAAGAAAACTATATGCATAGCCACCAGCCAGCTGCATCTCATTTCAATGCCTAACTCTTACTCCTTTCTCACCCGTTCTCCTCCTGGTTTCCTGCTGTTCACTGCCGCCTCCCTCCATCTCCAGGCATATTTCTCTTCTTGACCCTTCTGCCAACCCCCCACTTTCTCTTCTGGCCAACTGTGAAGGAAGCACATGCATGCATGCCACTGCATTTGAGTGGGGAGCAAGAAGAGAAAGTATATGTGCTGGCCTGTGGAGTACGTGTTGTTTTTTTTGTCTTTGGCTTCCAATTGGGTGTCATGAACAGCGGGAAGTACATTTTAACTGTACAAAATTCATTTTGTAGAGGAAGGCTCAATGGGAAAAGGTTTCATTTTAGGCTTGCAGCCAGCTTGCAACTTACCTTTAGTTCTTCCAGGTCAGGCCTCTCCATACTGACAACTGCTGCCAGCAACTGGTCTTCCAGGCCATCCCGAGTCACGGTGAAGTTGATGAGGGTGCACTGTGCCTGCATTTCCGGCTGGTAATGGGGGTTTGCAAGCTTGGTGTGGAGAATCAGTCGGAAATTGGGGTTGAACTCACACTCTTTATCTCCAATTTTAATGCACCTGAAAGGAAAACAAGAGTCCTCATCTATCTCCAACGTCTCTCCCACAAGTTGCATATATATACGTATAAGGTTGTGGGAATGGGTTTTTCCTAAGTCATCATGTGACAATGCTATTCTTGACCTTTAGGCGAAATAAACAGAAGTGCCAAATTGAAGTTGAACGACTATTTTAAAGCAACACTATATCACTATGAAATGAAAGGTATTCAGTAGTATGAAGATAAGAATGCACTGTACCTCTCAAAATTAAAAAGCATGACTTTTTCAATAAGGGAGAGTGCAGGACACCTCAAGGATGTCTGTCACACAGGCCGCTTCATACATGGTGGCCAGGGCAGAGTTGTCACTATAAATGGCTTTATGATCAGGACTCCACAAGAATATACTTTAATGGTTAGGCACATAGACTGGTGTCATGGCTTGTAACATTTCCACTTCAGTGACAGAGGAATGTTGTGGAAGGACCAGAGGAAATAAACCAAGAACAAAAAAGACAGGAGTGTAGCAAAAGAAAAAGGAGGAATGACAGCTGAATATCAGAATGAAGAAGCTTGTCAAATAAGAGCATTTTTCATTACTTTAATATAAAAGGATTTGTTTGCTTTTTTATTCTTCTATCAAGTCTACGAGGCTTTGCTTTATTTGACTTGCCTCTTCTAATTAAGAGTACAGCAAACCACATTTGAGTCTTCTATGTGTGACTGCTGTTATTTTTATTATTCTATGGTGATCACTTTCCCAATACTCACTGGACCTAATAATAAAACAAATATTTAAAATAGAACCCCATGATATAAAAGTAATGGCCTGCTGGATTATTTTTTTCTTATCACTCAGGACACCATTTTTCAAAAGCTGCTGCAACAAAAGTGTTTTAAAAGATGCCTCCAACTTGACTATGAGACACCATCTCCCGGGGGAGGGGGCACACCCCATCACTGTTGTACCATTATTGAGAAGGTCCACCTAACTCAACCATTACAATATTTTGGTTCCTGAAATTTGGGCTTGGAGAATAATTTCCCTTGGTGGCCTCTAGGAAAGTTCACCAGACCTTGCACACATATCGCCCACAGAATCGACAGCAGCTCCTGTCAGACAACACACAAGCTTTCCCGCCATCCAGAATTTGACAACCGCAGATGAGGAGCCTTCTGATTCACCAGCATCTTACCTTCCTTTTTTTATTGTCTCACGGCCAAGCAATGGACCTAGAACTGGGTCAACAGATTCTTCCAAATTCTCAATCAGAACAACTTCACCAGCTGCAAGAGCCTGCTCTATCATATCCAGATACCTAGGAAAGATGGTACCAGGGTGACATATGCAGCAATAATCCACACAGACTTTTAAAGCAAGGAACATTTGCCTTCATAAGGGAAAGAGTGGGAGAAGCAGAGTAAACTCGGTGGTTTAAATATGTTAATACTGGTTATATGACGGGGGGGGGAGGCATTGAGAGTAAAAGAAAGCAAACGAAGTGTCTGCACTATCTATGCATGATTATGCTGGTCCAGCAGCATGGGGTAGCGTTTCACTTGCTAAAAGGAAAGCATGTTAGAGGCACAAAGTTTAATTAAATTCATAGGATCCACAGAGTGATCAGCACCTGTAAGCAAAACATTTGGGGATACAGTCATGCCCCAGATTCTCTATGCGCAATTTGTTTTTCTGGGACACTTTATTTTATTATGTACAATCGCTTCTGCAACCAGATTCAGATCTCTCTTATTTTCCCAAGGTTCTTGCTGGCCAAAGTGTGTTAGATGAGAAAAGTAAAAGAGAAACCATTTGAATTAAACAATAATGGCCAAAACTGGAATGCTACTTGGAGGGAGTGCAGTATACTGATAATTTAAAGATAAATGACTGCTCTAACAGAGGGAATCTTGACTTTTGCCTTATTCAGGTATGGCCATAAAAAAAGTCCCTGAAGATGGGACTTGCAAGCACTGGGCAGCTTTTTGTAATCTGCTGAATTTATTTGTTCTTGAATCTATGGGATGAAGTTGTGGGATAAATCAGTCTTGTTTAAATCTAATGAATGCATAAATGGGTTTAATGGGGTTTTATGTTGTATTTTTATGTTGTGAACTGCCCTGAGACCTATGGATAAATGGTGGTATACAGATTAAATAAATAAATGAGAAAGGCTTCCTGCCAGGCTTAGCTAGGCCACTCCCCCTTACCTTTGTAGGAAGGGTTACCAAACTCTTTGTTCTCTCACTTCCACCATGTGAACCCTACCATTAAGGAGGTCTAAGCTGAATGCTCCAAGCTTAGACCACATGACTTCAGCAAGTCATCCTTGTGTTTCTATACAAATAATTTAGAAACATTTACCATTTTGGAACCTAAGTCATACTGCCTGTCTTTTCTTGCTGCTGTATGGAAAAGCATATTAATATAACTTTTGAAGAGTTTGTAAGGAAGCCATTTTTAAGTTACCAAACGTGTGGTCTCTTTCTATGCTAAGGAAAGTGAAGAACTTTGGAAGCAACTTAGAAGGGATATTTTAAAGGTCTATCAGTCTATACTTCCATGCTTAACTTTGATGATGCTTTGAGATTTTAAATCTCTGCTGGGGCTCTCCCACCAAAGATTACTTACTACAGACCTGGATCTAGGCACCCAGGGAATTCTCCTTTTATCATTATACCATATCTATTTTTCCTTTTACCAAATTAACCAACAGAAATTGTTTACTTGGATGCATTTTATCAAACACACATATTAACAGAACATGCAAACATGGTGATTTCCTCGTGAAATTGCTGCTTCATTATCATAACCTGTGAGAGTTCTGCTAAACTGACCCTCTTCATTTGACAAGACAACACGCGCAGAAGACAAAAAAATGGCTTCTCATGTGTGCCTTGCCTGTCTTTGAATTGTTTCCTAAGTCTTTTGAAAGATCTGTGAAAGACAATTCCTTAAGAATCCTCAGAGAAGTGGACTATAACAGTTCTATTTTATCACCCCACCCCTGGACCTCCTCCTTTTGAAAACTTGCAACATTGCAACCTGGAAGACTGCTGTCCATGAGGCCTGAGTCTTAAAGGCCAAATATCAGAGGTGAAGCAACAGAACAAGAGACTAAATCCTCAGCGCTGAAGAACTGCAGTGTGACGCACAGCCAGCTGGTACCCAGAGTGCAGCCAAACCTCCTTCATTCTCCTCCTCCTCAATACATTCACAGTTTCAGTGACGTTTCTATGGCAACCATGCCAAGTTCTGCACAGCTCCTCCCCATTTAATCAGAAATCTCTATAATCTTGGTAATGAAAAAGGCAGGTTAATACACAAAAGTTCTACATAGCTGCAAAATTGGAGTGCTTTCCTTCCAAACGTAATTGCCTCCTACGATCTTTAGTCTGAAGCAGAATATACATCAAATCTGACACTGCAATTGAACACATCAGGTTTTGCTTTTTTCCAGCTGCAGCTTTGCATGGTCCTGCCTGCTCACCCTTTCTGCCCAATCCGGGTCACTCGGAGAGCTTCACCATACTTGGTTTTGATCCACTTGATGCCCTGGAGCTGGGGGTCAACCATGAGCGGCCAGCGCTCGCAGTTGCTGAGGATTGTGGCATTTTCAGTGGACATGCGGTCAGCCGGTAGCCCTTCATTCTGCCAGGCTGCTATGTCAGCATCATCAGTCAGCATCAACAGAGGATCCAAAGATGGAGTCAACGGGATTGCAACCTAGGACAGCAAAAGGCACACAACTTGCAGATGAACAGTAAACACCTATGTACTCCAAGTACCAGCAAGCTGAATTAATACTGCTTTTTCTATTATTTAACAGCAAGTCTCTACTATCGCCTGCAATTTCTTAAGATTGTATAAAACCTTTAGGTGAAAGACTGAGAGGCACAAGAGGGATTTCAAACTTCTTGCTGCATCATCGAAACCAGAGTAAGGGGAATAAGGTATTTTCTGCCTCCTAACCATCAATGGGGGAAAAACAGCTTGGGCAAAGGAGTATTCCACATAGATACCAAACTCACCATTGTGTGCACCATCCAAACCAAACAACCACCACCTGGAACCCCTTACAGCAGTGGTTTTCAACCAGTGTGCCATGTCACCCTGGGGTGCCTTGAATGATGGTTGGGGTGCCGCAGGCAACACTGGCCTCTGTCCCTCTTTCTTTCCCTCCTCTGATGCCCTCTCACGTCTCTGTCTCCCAAAGGCTTGCACAGCTGTTTATTGCAGCAGACCTTGCTACAAGCTCCCCAGATGAATGGTGCCTCTGAGAGGCATTTGTCTTTGGGGCGGGTGGGGGGACAGCTCAGAGACCAGGGATGGCAGCTGCCCAGAGGACTAACAAGGAGGGGAGAGGAGAGGAGAGGAGGCTGGGGGCACACTCCACAAGAAAGGGTGTCTGAAAAAGGGTGAGAGGCTGCCAGCTCTGCAGGCAAGGAGTGACATAACTGGGCTCCTGAGCCCCACAGGGATGCAGCAGAAAGAATATAGCTGGTTAAGGGTGCCACGGTCTCAAAAAGGCTGAAAACCTCTGCCTTGCAGCATCAGTTCCAGGGTGTAATTACCCCTTGGGATCATTGTTCTCAAGCTTTTCAAGCCACACCCATTTGATCTTCAAAACGCTGCCAGCATTCACGTGCATGTATTATTCAACAATGCGTCACATGTATATGTATATGTCTTCATACAAGTGTATATTTATTTTAAAGTGAAAAATTTGTGTAAAAGCCCCAAGGGTCAAGAAGGTATTTTCCAAATTTAAAATTAATTACCGTATTTTTCGCTCTATAACACGCACATCGTTTTTAGAGGAGGAAAACAAGGGAAAAAACATTCTGAATGAAACAGTGGATGTATCATTTTTGTGCTTCATGCTGTGGCCACAGACATGTGATCTGATGGTGAATTTGGGGTGACCCAATGCAAAAATCCTGAGAATTCCTGTGGATCCATGCTTTGTAACCACGTTTTGCACCATTGCAGCCCCAGGCAACAGTGGGTGCGTGATTTTTTGGGTGCAGGCTGTAGCCATGGACATGCTATGTGATCTGATGGTGAATTTGGGGTGACCCAATGCAAAGATCCTGAGAATCCCTGTGGATCCATGCTTTGTAACCACATTTTTGCACCATTGCAGCCCCAGGCAACAGTGGGTGCGTGCTTTTTTTGGGTGCAGGCTGTAGCCATGGACATGCTATGTGATCTGATGGTGAATTTGGGGTGACCCAATGCAAAGATCCTGAGAATCCCTGTGGATCCATGCTTTGTAACCACAGTTTTGCACCATTGCAGCCCCAGGCAACAGTGGGTGCGTGCTTTTTTTGGGTGCAGGCTGTAGCCATGGACATGCTATGTGATCTGATGGTGAATTTGGGGTGACCCAATGCAAAGATCCTGAGGATCCATGTGGATCCATGCTTTTTAACCACGTTTTTGCACCATTGCAGCCCCAGGCAACAGTGGGTGCGTGATTTTTTTGGTGCAGGCTGTAGCCATGGACATGCTATGTGATCTGATGGTGAATTTGGGGTGACCCAATGCAAAGATCCTGAGGATCCATGTTGATCTATGCTTTGTAACCACATTTTAAGTGGGGAGCGAAGGAAAAACAAAGAAGGGACATGAGAGGGGTGTGCAGAGAAGCAGCTGGCTAAGAATGCTGGAGAGGGATTTAACGGGTGGGAGGAAAGAAAGGCAAAAGTTCCCCCCCAAGCCAGCCATCTCTCTCTCTCTCTCTCTCTCTCTCTCCCTTCTCCTCCCTCTCTCTCCCTCCCCCTCTCTCTCCCTCTCCCTCCCCACTCTCCCTCTCCCTCCCCCACTCTCTCTCCCTCTCCCCCAGCAGCACCGGAGCACAGAGAGGAATTAGAAAGAACGACACTCTGCTTGCCTGGAGGGGAGGGGCTTTCCCTGCTCTTTGTTCCGTTTCAGCAATCACAGCAACGAAACAGAGGAGAGTGGGCAGTAAGACCCTGAGGCAGAATGCAGGAAAGCAGCCACTTCCTCTTTTCAGGTTTCCCTTCTCCGTGACTCGCGATTTGACTTTTGCTTGATTTTTTGGCTCCAGGGACCACACATTCGCTCTATAACACGCACAGACATTTCCCCTTCCTTTTTAGGAGAAAAAATCTGCGTGTTATAGAGGGAAAAATACGGTAAATGCGGGATAAACCTTGCCCCATTGACATATGCCTTGCCCTCCAAAATGTGAATCAGCCCACACAGCTGAAGTGGAAGCAAGGGTCCTGTCTTCATTTCTTAGGAACTAAATGGTTGGTCAAAGCTAGCTATATTTTCTACATTCAACATTCCACTATCCTGGCTACAGGATAGTCACCCAAAGGGAACACAACCTAGAAGGGGTTACCATCTGATGATAAGTACAATATTCAAAGCTTTCTGCAGAGGATTAAATATTTTTGTGCCATGGATTCTGCCCTCATGTCCCATCTTTTGAGAGTGGTATGGAACGCTTCTCTTAACTGGATGCATAAGGGTCCCCAGCTAGCCAAGTTACAGAGTTTCTAGATATTGCCACCACCAAATTTCTTTAAGAAAAATGTACTTCTAAGCTGAAACCATAAGATTTAAACACAACTGGTTTGTGTAGTGGTTTCTGTTTTGCCCTTCTTGTATCTGAGCCAATGGGGAAAGAACGTGCTGCATTTACACTTTTCAAACTTTAGTCTTAGAATATAGGGGAGGAGAACATCAGTAGAAATACAGCTAAGCTAAGTTTTCACAATTTTATCAAGGAATCATGGACTAAATCAGGGATCAGGAACTTGTGGCCCTCAAGGTAACGTTGGACTGCAGATTTGGGAGCATCAACATCTAGGAGTCCAACAACATCTGTAGCCACATGTTCCCCATCCCTGGGCTAAGATAAATTAGCTCATTGGCAACCCCTCCCTCTTCTACTTCAATACATCCTTTTGTGTACAAAAACAACAAGCAATGACACAAAAACCTCAAAGAATGAGGCCTGGGGCAGGTTAAACTGACAGCTTGATAGAACAGGATCAGATTGCACCTTGTACTTTTGCAGAATGTAATTAACACATTCACAAGTCTGCTGTGATGCTGCAAGGCAGCATTCACAGTTCCAGAAAGACTTGTATACACCAGGCGACCCTAGAGCAAGCTTTGCTTACCCAGAAGGCTTGGAACTAGAATCCCTAAGGGTACATCATATATCTTAAACACAGGAGCAATATAATAATAAATTATACAGAAATGCTTTTTTAAGGATTGTTTGGCATTTTAGAGAGAATAGGAGACAGAAGCAAACAAAAATGGAAGATCCAAAAGCACTCTCTCTGTGTGTATTGTGGACATTCACAACCTATTAATTCAAAGCCATCTGGGTAAATAATAACAAACATTTCCCAAATGTCATGGTCAGCAACAGGGTGCAGCACTTTCAAAAGTCCATTCTAAACCTGGTTCCTACACAATTATAGCCTGCCTTTGATTTCAAGCTCATGACAGAACAAAAGCTCAGATTGGAAAGCAGAGATGCATCTGAAAATGTGACAGTTATCTTGTGCTCACTTTTAGCTGGCGCAAGTATGGTTTCCATACGCTGTCCATTAGGTCCTGCCTGTATTTCTTGCTGAAGTAACCCAAGTAAGAGACGAATGCAGTTATCAATAAGACATCTCCACACAGTGCACTCTCTTGCTGCTTGAAGTCTTTCACTGATTCAGCCCACCTCACATTTTCAGAGGCTAGGCCTCCAACCTAGAATGAGCAGTGGAAAACAAACCACACAATTAAAGCTCGTGGAATAAATTCTGGCTTCAGAGATTTTTCATTCTTAGGAGTGCTGGCCTCTTACAAGGTACTGGTTGGGAGTAAGCAAGATGTCTATACTGGCAACCTAAGAAGTCCTGTTTTACAAAACTGCTGTTGGTGAAGAGTGATGCAGTAAGGAGCTTATAGCCATTTTTCATCTTTGTGCCCTTCTTTTTGGAGTTTTTTGTTTAGATTTTGCATAGGTCAGGAAAGGGAAATTTGAGGAACAATTCTCCTAACCGACCCTGGTCTCAGAAATTGACCAGTGGTCTGGGCCTAGTTGAACTAGCATGTTTCTCACACTGGGACCCAGCTCTGATGGGATTTTAAGTCAGAGAAAATAATGCTTTCTACTGCTGGTAAAGATAAAGGGACCCCTGACCATTAGGTCCAGTCATGGCCGACTCTGGGGTTGCGGTGCTCATCTCACTTTATTGGCCAAGAGAGCTGGTGTACAGCTTCCGGGTCATGTGGCCAGCATGACTGAGCCGCTTCTGGCAAACCAGAGCAGCGCACGGAAACGCCGTTTACCTTCCCGCCAGAGTGGTACCTATTTATCTACTTGCACTTTGACATGTTTTCAAACTGCTAAGTGGGCAGGAGAAGGGACCGAACAACGGGAGCTCACCCCATCACGGGGATTTGAACTGCCGACCTTCCGATCGGCAAGCCCTAGGCTCTGTGGTTTAACCCACAGCGCCACACGCATCCCTTACTGCTGTTTACCCAAATGTGAGTAATATGCTATTACTCTACCATATAAGTTTATAGTCAGACTGAAAATGCCTGGTTAAAACCTTTTAAGCTTTTTCTGATTAAATAGACAAAGGAGTCGTTTCTGAGGAGAACGGTATCTGTTACAGGAAACCACAGGAGCAGCACATCCGGCTTTGCGACTTGAGGCAAAATGGGAAGTGCCATCCTGCCCTGCCACTGCCACGTCTGCCGCCAGTATCAGCGCCAATTTTGGGTGAAATCATGTTGAAATTGTGAGGGATCTCATGCACTCTGCAAGATGTCATGTGATTTCAGAGATCTCGCCTGAAATGCTGGTGCCGCTTCTCTGGTGGAGCGCCTGCAGGAAAACCACCTTGGAGACTTCTGCCACCTGAGGTGTAGGCCTCACTCTGCCTAATGGCTGCACAGGCCATGGGAAACCATCTATTTAATATTTTTTATAATTATAATATTTATCTCTCAGAGCTTTCTACAAAGTAATCAAATTGCATGTTGGAAAACATGATTAACTCACTTTTTTGCATATTCATTTTACTGCAATAACAGAAATATGTCTGTCTAAAAAATATTATGAGTTCTCTTAATCGAAACTGCCATTTCACCGAACACTTCGAGTCGCTTCAAGCTTTTTTGGTAGTGCCGTTCTTTGTATTTGATTAACATGGTAAAATTATGTAAATCTTGGTTTACATTACACACACAAAAACTGGAAATGTTGAGAAACCTGTGCCCTAGTTGAAGCCAGGGTCTTCCCAACTTCACCATTACTTTCTTCAGAAGTATTACATCCAAATAGTACATAAATGGTACATAAATCCATTTGTTCTTTGAGATCAATAAATTGAGGCCTCATTATATGCACTGCTAATGTTCAGTTAATGTCTTTTTCTGTGGCATCTATCACTTAGAGAACATCATCTTCAAGGCAGGCAATTCTAAAAACTTTTTTATTTTCTCAAACCTTTTATAATCTTAGCTGATGCTGTTGGGTTGTGGGTCAATTGTTTTAAAATTGTTGTTTTTAAAAACATGACCACTGCTATTGGGCACTTTTCAGTGGAAAAGAAATTAAGGAAGGAGAAGCTGCAGCACTGATAGGTCAGAGTATCAGAATAAATACTAAATGAAAGAGCAATCCTAAACAGCAACAAAAAGATTTATTTCGAGAAACAGAACAGAATGTGAGATCAGGCATATAAGACAATAAATACAAAAATAGCATGCTAATTTTGTTACAATTGTGAGAGATGTATTTTGAAGGTGGAAAGTGCTGGCAGGAGAAGATACTTAGCATTACAAGATTTCCTAAATTACTGCACCATTGGCAGGTTGTCTGTTTGTTTTAAATCAAAAGAACAAAACAAATGTTAATTGAAATGAGTATCTCTAATTTTACTATTCCAAGCAAGGTAAACACATAAAGAAAAGAGGACTATTCCCAAATAGATAATCTCCTGAGACAGGTGCACCAATAAAAAATCATGAGTCATCTTGAAGATTGGGGGGGGGAGCTACAAATTAATGGTGCTTCCACACAGCAGTTTATTGTGGAGTTGGTGCTGCGTATGCATGCAAGTTTTTCATTGTGTCCACACAACACTGTCCTCATCAAAATACAGTTCCATATATCACCCCACCTCAACCTTGTTAAATATAAACTAGATTAATTACGTATGCAAGTTTACAACAACAAACTGGAATGCCTTGTGGCAAGAAGTGTTGAAATGCATGTTTTTCATCTGCTTCCAGAAATACAAAAATAATGCCATAGGTTGGCCATCGTGAGAAGAGGAAAAGTGATTTCCATCTCCGATATTCCACTTCCGCTTACCATGGGAAGCTCAGACTGGCTTCCCCTCCACATGTTTGCAAGGGAAATTACTGTAAGTCATCTGAGTTTCTGCTGAGCTTGGGGTGCAAGTACCCTCATTTTTACCAAATTAGTCCAAAATTGCATAAAGCATACACAGATGCCAGGCAGGACAAGAGGTCAACTTAAAAATAGAAAGTCTAAGATTGAAAAACATCCCACATCTGTGCTATAAAGCAAAATCTTTCATTTTACCAGTTTCCATCTTAATTAAGAGATCACCCTCCATGCTAATTAGTTGTTATTGTTCTTTTCCTTTTTTCACTTTTTAATTGGCTTCTCTAAGAGTGACTTCTTTGGTAACAGCCTCAAAGCTAAACTCTCAATCCTCTGTAAATAAACACAAGTAGGGATGTGGGAAAGACTAGCTCCACTTGCTGGTGAAAATGCAGAATGGTTTGATACTTGTGTTGGAAAAGCATGACGGGAAAAGTGTCTCCTATTAGCCGCTTGCCGCTTGCCTTAATTATTCTCGGATGCAGCGTTTATCTGTATGAAATTTTATGTTAAACTTTTTAATTAAACTAGACTTTGAATGAATGTGCTCGGTTTAAATTAGCCATGACATCATTTATGGCGGTACAGGAAAGCATTCTAAGCTTTAGTGGCAGATATGTTCCAGTGCATTAACAAATTTGTTGATGTATTTTAATAACAGTAGTAGTAGTAATGTAGGAAATAAACTAGTTTGTAGGGTGGCCTTAAATCATATGTAATAAATTCCATGAGCTACTTAAGGCTTAACCCATTGTACTTGCCAACAACACTGGCTTGGATATATTAAAATACAACTGTGCATTTGTAGCATTAAAGCATTTGTAGACTGTATCACTTTTCTAATGCACATAGCTATAAGCTGCAATATCTCTTACTCTGGGTGAACGCTACTGAAGTCAGAGGAAAACTTCAGTGTCAGTGAGTACAGGACTGCTGCTCTAGTAATTCTATATGATTATGTCCCTAACTAGTTCGACTGACTGCTATTTTTTTTAAGCAACCAGCAGGCCCTTACTTTTTGCTTCTTGTTAAACAAGCAAGGCAGGCCTTTTGCACAACACAATACTATTACAACTACACACATGAATAGACACTTATTGCAAAGATAAAGGGCAACAGTGCTCATTAAAAACCCATATGCTCATTAAAATCACAAATTAAAGGTTTCATTTCACAGCAGCTGGAGCTAGTGAATGGCTGCTATGCCAACAGCCATGTATCATTCACAAAACCAGACAATACAGACATATACTGCTATGAATGATTAAAAGTGAAAAAAGGCATGGGGGCCGGACTGTTGTCCCAAAGTTTCAAGGCTTTACATGCAATGGTCGCACTGTGCATTGTGCTAGTTCATTAGTCCAATCAGATATGGCAGTCAAGGAGTTTTATGCTCACAGTAACTAATGACTGCTGAATCTACGCTTGCACAGAACCACTAAAGCATTCACTACAATGCTCTTCTGATCTATTCACATGCTACTATTCCTTGGAGAGATCAAGAATCCTAGCTGTCACTTGATTTTTCTCCCTGAAGCAGCACTCCACACTGGGAAACACTTCCCCTAGAAAAGCAAGACTAATAAATAAGAAAGGGGCACGTGCTATACATATCCTGGCTGAATAACTGCTCCCTTCTGCAAGTCTGGTGTCATACCGGTATGCTATTTACTTTCATTCTGAGCTGGACAAACTTTCAGATTCAGAAGCACAGCTAGTTGTCCGTATAGCACTAAACAAAGTTCTTCCCACACCCACCCACAAGTTGGCCTTCACATGGTGGCCCAAACCTCATCAAGTGATTCTCACCAGGCGATTTGCAAGGGAGATGGTCTTCGCTGTGGCTTCGGCTTCCTGTTGACATTTTAGCTTCTCTGCTGTGGCCTTCTCAAATTTGGCTGTAAGCCTAGCCAGGTTCTCGTTAAGGTGCTGCAGTGTGAAAAGAAGAAAACCATAGGAGAAACTAAAGATCATGACGTGATGCAGTTTGAATTTAAGTATTCACACACCCCTAGTCAGAAGGAAGTGGGCTTTCTTCTGTTACTCAAGAAGACACACCTAACAGAGGTTATTTATTTCATCGCTGCTGGAAATAGAAGAACCAGTCTGACCTTTTAAATTCACAAACCCACAGAATCCCCTTTAAGCATCAACTATGGTGCCAACTCTGTGGGAAAAACAACATGGTTAAAACCCTCTCCTCCCATGGGGAATCTGGGGAGGCACAAAAGTCAGGCCTCTTTGCAGCAAGCTGGTCTAGGCTTGACCTGGGGTTTCTAAGGGAATTCCCCATCACTCTTAACAGCTGGCCTCTTCCACAGTTAATAAAACTTACCTCACTTACTACACACCCCTTTTATAAACTCACCCCATTATTTGTGCCTTAACATACATTATAATAATCTTAACCCCTTGGACATAGCTGCTAAGGAGATAGCGGCATCCTTTACCTTTGACAGTTTACATGGAAAAGTGAATTTTGGTAGGCTCAGCTTGCTATGCAGGAGTGACAAAAGCTGCAGCTGCCCAACTTCCTTCTTCTCCTATGCAACTTTGCATCTTGTGACCTACCCTGTGCAAAAAGCACAGAGCAGAAAAGGAAATTGCCTCCTTGCCAGTTATGGCTTATTGCCCTTGAGATTGTTGTCTCCAGGCTTAATACTTATTTATCAACATTATTTACCAGCCTAAATGTGGAGGGCTGTTTGTGTGAAAGCTACAGAAAGGGGTGTGGCCAAGGACACAAGCAAAAATGCCCTATTTAGCTATGCTTCAGGGGTCTGACAATGGACTTTGAAAGGGCCATCCAATCACTGCCCACATATGATGACATTCTCTTCCTGCTTCTCTGTAAAGCAAAATCAGGCTGTTCTCAAAGTTATTGAAACGTTTCGCTTCTGTGACAAAAGAACTGAAGTTAACAATTGATTTTTATCTGCATCCAGCACAAACAGCTTAAAGCTAAGTGCCTCTAAATCATTTTAACACTGCTTGAACAATACACTAGAAATAAACCCAAATATGAAAAAGGGGCTTCTTCTTTTTTTAGTAGCATCTGGAGTTACTTGATCAAATACCTGCACAGAATACAAAACGCAGCCTTTTCAAACGTTGTTTATCATTAAATCCCAGAGCTGTAACATTTAAAATGACTTCTGCACATTAAAGTTTCCACCGTTTCTGAAAGCATGTGCATGCATTTTCATTTATTTATTATACACTGGATCCCAGCTTACACTCAGCTGGGTTTCATTCATGCAACATGCTGTGAGGAGAGGCAGAGGAGGTTCCTCATTAGGATAAAGTGAGGCAGTGCCCTGCTTGCTTAGGGTGCCCCCTAGAAGGGTGGGGTAGGGCAAATCACACTAGTCCCACTATTGTCTTCACTTCCCCCTGATCTCTGCCACCCATCCTTCCCTTCATGCCAACTCAACACACTTCCCCTTCCTGCTACCCACCCACCTACCTTCCTTCCTTCAGCTGAATGTTTCTTCTGATGGCTGTTTTGTAAATGTTATTGTGGTCTCATTGGATTTTATGCTAATATTTCAATTAATGATTTGGCGAACTATGGATTTCTAAAAAAACATTTTGTTATTATTTTACTCACTGAGCCTTGGAATTCTTCTTAAAATAGGCAGGTTATAAGTTTTTAATTATTTATTAAGAATACTGACATCGCACCTTTCCAACAGAATATTGCTCAAGGTGACTAACAATAAAAGGAAAATTCATCAAGCTAGAGACTTTCCTTGGTTATGAATGGTTTGTATCATCACCCAAAAACTCTAAGAAAAACACTGAAGAATAAATTGGTTGGATTTGAAGTAGCTTGGTTCATTACTGCTCACACTACAAATGGTTTAGGCAGCAGCTATTAAGTTTGAAGATTTTCAAAGATGGGTAAGTCTGAAGAACGTATATAGAAATTATTTTGTGAGCTGTCCAATGTCACCGTATTTCAATGTCATTTTACATTGGTTTTTAACCACCCTAGAAAGTTTTGTTGTGATTTGTAAAAAAATTATGCTGTGGCACAGATTGGTAGGTTTTCCTAATTAAAGACCACATTTTAATTGACAGTTCTGAGCAGTTTTCAATTCCGTACCACACTGTGTTGTGAAGCTGGAATGATTTTTATAATATAATATATTCAGTGTTTATGAGATTGATTTGGTATAAGATGGTGATGACCCATGAATGTTTTTTTGCTGTTGCTAACAATAGTGTGCAATACCTAACAAATGGATTTCCCCTGGTTTAAAGCTAATTTAAAGGTTCACAACTTCAACTGAGAAAGGGATTCATTATCCCTTAGTAAAAGTCACATAATGTACTGTACCAAAGAATTAGCTTGGATCCAGGAAATCTTTAATGCAAACTTTCATGGGCGTAGCCAGGATTTTTGTTGGGAGGGAGACTTATTGTTGGGGGCGGGGGCAGAACCTCAGCTATGGATTGGCGCGGGGCAGCTGCCACTCCCTGCCCTCCTGTGGCTACACCCTTGCAAACTTTAGTTCCTTACAAGTGCATGGATCTCTAACTTCTGCCAAAACCCATACTGTAGATGCTCCTAATAGTCAAGAATGGCTATTCCAGGCTCCCAGCTACAGGAATGCTCCAATTATATATACATATGTGGAACTATGGGGACGCGGGTGGCGCTGTGGGTAAAAGCCTCAGCGCCTAGGGCTTGCCGATCGAAAGGTCGGCGGTTCGAATCCCCGCGGCGGGGTGCGCTCCCGCTGCTCGGTCCCAGCGCCTGCCAACCTAGCAGTTCGAAAGCACCCCCGGGTGCAAGTAGATAAATAGGGACCGCTTTCTAGTGGGAAGGTAAACAGCGTTTCCGTGTGCTGCGCTGGCTCGCCAGATGCAGCTTTGTCACGCTGGCCACGTGACCCGGAAGTGTCTGCGGACAGCGCTGGCCCCCGGCCTCTTGAGTGAGATGGGCGCACAACCCCAGAGTCTGTCAAGACTGGCCCGTACGGGCAAGGGGACCTTTACCTTTTTATGTGGAACTATGCTCACAGAACAAAGGTAGCAATCCCAACTACCCTTACATTGAACTCGAGGGGATTTATTTCCGATTAAATATTACAAGTCACTGTTCATGGGCATGACTAGAGAAACATTCAAAATCTCAGGACACTCAATTGTCTGGAGAAATGGGTTATGTAGACATTTTCCATTTTCCAAAGTGTTGTTCTGCCAAGCAGCCTTGTAAGTAAGTCTACGAAAATAAACTAGACCTGCCCCCTGCTGAATTTACTCGCCTGCCTATACAAATCTGTCAGTCTTCCATGGTCCATGGATAGTCTGAAAGAAACAAAAGCAACAGCTCCTTGTACCTGTAGGTGTTTCTCTCACAGCAACCAGCCAGAAGGGCAGCTATTAATAAGCTTGATGTACAGCATACACTGTGGATTACAATGCTAGATTTTTTTACTTGTTATTTTTGCACAGCCAAATGATGTATAATGCAAATGCCATCATCTCATAAAATGTTAAAAATGTACATCTGCTATGGGGCAAAACTAAAATTCTGGTTACCGCCAGCGGCGGAGGAAGCCACTCAGGCACCTGGGGCGATGTGCCCAGGGGTAGGGCGACCCGCCCATAGGGGTGGGGCCAGGGCAAGGCACACCTTGGGGTCTCCAGAGTCTGCCTGCCTCCTCCCACTCAGCTGCCCTACAGTTGGGGGGGAAGCAGTGGGCAGACCATTTGGGCAGCGTGGAGCCTGCACGCGCCCAAGCCAACACATCTCTGCCAGGAGAGACGCATGGCTCGGGCACACTGCAGGCCCTGCTGTGAGTGCAACCCGGCATTTTGTCACCCCTCTCAGTGGTGACACCCGGAGAGAACCGCACACACCGCACGCCCCTTCCTCCGCCCCTGGTTACTGCAGCAGGGAAATAATAGGTAGTGCAACGAAGCAGGAGACACAGAACCTGCCTCATCTCACTTCTTCAAAGCTTTGAGATGCTGCTGAACTCTTTTAACCCAATCAGCCCCAGCCAGCATGGCCAAGAGTCAAGGATTATGGGTGCTGTGGTCCAACAGTATCTGGAGGTTCCCACCCCTGTCTTAAAGGAATAAAGGAAGGCTCTCTGAATTGACATCTCACAAACATAGAAAGATATGTTTGTGAGTTTCTGAAGAAGCATTCATTCAGCTGCAAGCAACCATCTGCCAAGGTGTTTCAGACAGACGCGTCAAGGGCCAAAGGTTCACGGCTATACTCCTGCATGTCATGTAAATCCTGGGGTAGTTTGAAAGACAGGTTTCACCACTGGCTAATGCGGCAACTTCTCAAAGCCATGAGTAAATTTAGATCATTGTAATAGCTTAACTGGGACTTAAGAGAATTAAATTAGAATTTTTGCAATTGATGTGAACAACTCCACCTTATCAGTCACGTACCCCCTGTAATCTCACAATATAGACAAAAATCAGATAGGTCTGCATCAGGTAGTAGCAGCAAAAAAGACATGACATAATATGATGACAAAGATAAACCTAGCTCAATTCATTAGAGCGTGGTGCTGATAATTCCAAGGTTGAAGGTGCATATTCCTGCATTGAATAGGGTTGGACTAGATGCTACAATTCTATGATTCCATTATTATATGATTCACACTGTTAATGGATAGTTTGTGCAATGCAGATGCCTACAAAAGCAAATTGCTGAACTTTGATGAACTTCGTATACCAAATAACCGTGAGTGGTGCACAGCACAATGGCCCATCTACTGGCAAGAGACAGGCAAAGGAACATCGCTCAGCAGATTCCAGGTTCACTACTGGGCTAGATGGCAAAATAGCCTGCCCTCGTATAAGGCAACTTCGTATACTCTACCCAGTGCATCACAGAACAATGCTAAGAGAAATGTAAACCTGTTTTACAGGCTGCCTTGAACTTACTGCAATTTTGGCCTTGATGCTAGCCAGCTTTTCCTGGGCAGCAGCAAGCTCGGCATTAGCTTTGTTGAGAGCCTGCCTCTTGGGCTCCACATCGCAGTACACTTTATGGAAGTGCACTATGTTGATGACCCAGGAGCAGAGGCCAGCAGCTGCATAGGACTTAGACGTCACCAGCTCAGGCTCGAACTCCGGGTCCTGCAGATACGGCTGAAGGGCTCGGAGGCAGTTCTCATGTATATTCTCTTTGTTGAAGTGGATCAAGGAATCCAGGAAGCTGTCCACTTTTGTCATGGCCACTTTGGCTGCTTTCCAGGTCCTGTCCTTGGGCACCTTCCCGCCGGGAGCCATGAGTACCATCACGGCAGCAGTGACATTGCTGACAGCGGAAGGCGGCGATCCAAACGACTTCAGTTCTGTCAGATTGTTCTGAAAAGGAGTGGGGAGGAGAAACCAAAGTTGTTAGACGAAAATGAATGGGTTTTCTTTTTACTTTGCTGGTAATGGAGTCAAGCTCCAGAGCTATCAATCTGAGAGAGGAGCTTTGAAGCCAGGAGCAGCACTGTGAATTTTAAATATTATGACTCATCGGACGTAAAGCAATGAATCCCTCTAGTGGCACAGGGGCCTCTGCCGGCTTGTTAGATAAGAGCCAGTCATGTTCCTTCAGCATTTCAGCCCAACTCACAGGCCATTAAAAATGCACAATTATATTACAGATTTAACCAGTATGAAAAACAACAATGACCAAAAAAAATATATCAGAATGCCCTGAAATCAACAAGGCATGTCTGAAGCTGCAAAAGGGCTTTAAAATGTGTCTCTTAATTGAGAGTTCTCATAAAGGTGACTGCCTTATAAATCTTTATGCCCTTTAATGCAAGGTGGATTCAGGCCAATACAGCGCCACAGAATGGTCTCTGAAAATCCCGCTGTGTTGTGGCTACATCCACAGGGAGAGACAATTGTGAGTAACATCAGGCCACATGCTGATACTGATCCTGCAATGTCCTCACACAACCCCCACCCCTCCTGCCCATGTTTATTTGGTAGCAAGGCCACCACAAGGTTACGTACGCAGTGCGGTCAGTCACTATACACAAGAAACTTTGCATGTGAACCATATCCAAGATAAGGAAATAATGCCATCTGGTGCTGGGCCATCTGAATCCACCCCTGCAATACCATTTTATTTAAGTAGGATGCTTGAATCCTGGATAAAATGTGGGGCTATGCTCTCTGAGCATAACCCCAGAAAAAGTTATGCCTTTTAAAGTTCCATAGATTCCAGCGGGGGATTTTTAAGCCTGTCGGGCTAACTCTTCCACTGAATAAATGGAATTTAAAATGTGTTTAATATGACGGACGTATACCCTCTGTTTTAATGTCCCTTTCACTGAAAAAAAGAATTTTAGCTTTTTGCCTTCTTTCATAGAATAACCTTTCCGCTGTGCCACACACATACACACATCCCTGTGTACTTTGTGTTGCTTTGAACCCTTTTTCTGCCATCGGCTGGTGATAATATTCTAACAAGAAAGCAACAAACTAAAGTGCTTGGTTTCGTTTCTACACTGGGATTTTTTAAATACACACACACCAAAAAAAAATCACGTTAATCCAGCCAAGCTATGAAAGGAGTGCCATTTCAAGATCACCACATGACACCTGTTTCTCATTAATTGGCCCATAAATTTCCTCAAAGCCATTTTTAAACTCCTCTGAGCTGGAAATAGCCAGAGTTAAGGCTCCTCTTGTCATGCACATGTTAATTCTGAAGCAGAATTCCACCTACCCATCATGGAACTGATAGCACAGGATGCTAAGCAGGTAACCTCCAAAGAACAGAGATGGTTGCAACTGATATAAGCACACAGACAACACTGGCTATATTCCAAAGGAGCGATCCTGCCAAAGATCTGTCACATCAAACTGAGAAGAAATGTGTGCATCATGCTGACATCCAGCAAATGTGAAAGCCCTGGCAGAGCAAGCGATACTCCTCACTGGGGATTCCTGCCCCAATAACCTCTCGGTACATTTGTTCTTCATATATCATCACCCCAATGACACAGAAGTCTACAGAAGGAAATTACTCTATCCCTGAGGGGCAGGGCATGCTGAAGCATACCTGTAGCATGGGATGGTCACTTGAAAATCCTTAGGACCTCTCTGGTGCCAGATGACTATGTTGATTACTTGGTAGGTATGTACAGATAAAGGGACCCCTGACCATTAGGTCCAGTTGTGACCGACTCTGGGGTTGCGGGGCTCATCTCACTTTATTGGCTGAGGGAGCCGGCGTACAGCTTCTGGGTCATGTGGCCAGCATGACTAAGCTGCTTCTGGCGAACCAGAGCAGCGCATGGAAACACCGTTTACCTTCCCTCCGGAGTGGTACCTATTTATCTACTTGCACTTTGACATGCTTTCGAACTGCTAGGTTGGCAGGAGCAGGGACCGAGCAACGGAAGCACACCCCATCGTGGGGATTCGAACCGCTGACCTTCTGATCGGCAAGTCCTAGGCTCTGTGGCTTAACCCACAGCGCCACCTGTGTCCCTGCTTGGTATGTATAGACTTACACAATTTGAGCAGCAGAACCAATTTGGTCACGAAGATAACCTTGATTCCAGGACTGAGCTTGGGGGGAAAACCCAATGCTACCAATTAACACCAGAAGTTCACTATGGGCAGCATCAAATGGCTAGTGCCAATGGTATCATAGATCTTCCTGGCTACGGTCATGATGACTCTATAATGCTACCTCTGGAATCAGAGGCAGTATGCCCCAATTGTCAGTTGCTGTGGGCAGTAGTGGGCTGTTGCCCTTGTGTCCTGCTTATGAAATTCCCAGCAGCATCTGGTCGGACTCTGTGGGAACTCAATAAGCAGAGACAGGATTATAGCCGGATCCAGCAGGGTTCTTCTTATGTTCAGAACCTGGGGGAATATCAGCAAATCTGCATGAAACGAAGCAAGGTGTGTAAGCTATTTCCAGATCCCAACATGCTCACCACTGGAATTTGTTTCGAGTAGCTCTGAGAAACGATGCCTCTGTCACTACTAGTGAACGGGGGAAGTCCCACAGAGAAAGCAGCTTGAGTTGCATTGTTAAGTTGAAGTCCTATACCTGAAACCCTGTCATGGGGCGGGGGGAGGCGTTTCAGCTGCAAACTGTCGACATGCTCCCCACTCAGCTAAAACCCTTCCGGCAATGCCACTCCTGAACTAAGGTTTGAATTATTTGCCTGACAGCAGAGTCTACCTGGCGCTGAAGCGCTTTCATTTATTTGCTTGTTAGGAACAATGACATCTGTTTTAAGGCCACACAGACAGCAGTCTGCTGTGCCGTGGGCTTTGAATTATTCTACTAACAGATTAACAGTATGAATGGGCTGGGTGCAAGCAGCAGCCACCTACAGTACTGGCTGCAGAACGCAATAGCTCCATCTCAGGGCCAAGACAGACTTTCCTTCCACTGCAAGGCTAGCTTCCACATCTGGGCTTTTACATTTTAAATTCCCAGCGTGGGAGTGGGGGCAAGCTGGCACTAACAGGGCTTACCTGCCTAAAGTTACCGTATTTTTCGCTCTATAACACGCACATTGTTTTTAGAGGAGGAGAACAAGGGAAAAAACATTCTGAATGAAACAGTGGATGTATCATTTTTGTGCTTCATGCTGTGGCCACAGACATGTGATCTGATGGTGAATTTGGGGTGACCCAATGCAAAAATCCTGAGAATTCCTGTGGATCCATGCTTTGTAACCACGTTTTTGCACCATTGTGGCCCCAGGCAACAGTGGGTGCGTGATTTTTTGGGTGCAGGCTGTAGCCATGGACATGCTATGTGATCTGATGGTGAATTTGGGGTGACCCAATGCAAAGATCCTGAGGATCCATGTGGATCCATGCTTTTTAACCACGTTTTTGCACCATTGCAGCCCCAGGCAACAGTGGGTGCGTGATTTTTTTGGTGCAGGCTGTAGCCATGGACATGCTATGTGATCTGATGGTGAATTTGGGGTGACCCAATGCAAAGATCCTGAGGATCCATGTTGATCTATGCTTTGTAACCACATTTTAAGTGGGGAGCGAAGGAAAAACAAAGAAGGGACATGAGAGGGGTGTGCAGAGAAGCAGCTGGCTAAGAATGCTGGAGAGGGATTTAAAGGGTGGGAGGAAAGAAAGGCAAAAGTTCCCCCCCAAGCCAGCCATCTCTCTCTCTCTCTCTCCCTCCCTCCCTCCCTCCCCCCTCTCCCTCCCCCCTCTCCCTCTCCCTCCCCCCCTCTCCCTCTCCCTCTCCCTCCCCCACTCTCTCTCCCTCTCCCCCAGCAGCACCGGAGCACAGAGAGGAATTAGAAAGAACGACACTCTGCTTGCCTGGAGGGGAGGGGCTTTCCTTCTCCCCCAGCAGCACCGGAGCACAGAGAGGAATTAGAAAGAACGACACTCTGCTTGCCTGGAGGGGAGGGGCTTTCCCTGCTCTTTGTTCCGTTTGAGCAAACACAGCAACGAAACAGAGGAGGGTGGGCAGTAAGACCCTGAGGCAGAATGCAGGAAAGCAACCACTTCCTCTTTTCAGGTTTCCCTTCTCCGTGACTCGCGATTTGACTTTTGCTTGATTTTTTGGCTCCAGGGACCACACATTCGCTCTATAACACGCACAGACATTTCCCCTTCCTTTTTAGGAGAAAAAATCTGCGTGTTATAGAGGGAAAAATACGGTAATTGCAGCATGGGAACAATTTTCATCCAACTTGCAGCTTGGGGTGGGAACTTAAACCTTGTCTCCTTGTATTGTGTTATCCCAATGAAAACCCTCTCCTGAGAATGCTGAATAAATTCTAAAAACAAACAAACCCTAAAGTGTACACTAGCCATGCAATTGAAATAACACCTGTTTTGGCCCCCTCAGCAAAGTCCTTTGGGTGAGCAAGAGTTGATGTCTACCAGTCTGTCATTCAGTATGAATCTTTCTGGGGAGGGGAGAGAAAGTTCTACAGGTCTGTTCCCACAACTCTTGATACACAGCAGCCCCGAGACGTAGTGAATGCACACTGCAGCTGAATGGGTGGCAAATCAGTCACTTCCTTGCTTCATCATGCACTCCAATCAGCACACAATGAAGCACCAACTGAGTGCTGAGGCATCCAGCCGCAAAGTGTGTCACTCAACCTTCACACTGATTAGGCACAGTTATCTGAGCTGGCCATACATTTTTTCCCTTCTCCCTGAAATATCCCCACTCCCCAGATGGATTTATTGTTCTTATCGTCCTTAGGACTTAGGGTAGATTACACCACTTCGTGATGTCCAGGAATGTGTGCCAATCCTTAATGTATCCAAAAGGGGACATATCGGCAGGCACAAGGAAACCCCATTTGAAGTACAAAAAGAAAGGGAAATGGAACAAGGAATTTTGGAAGAAAGCATGGCTGATTGACTCAAATACTGAACAGAAGCGCTCCACACTGCAACGTTTTGTTGCAGGTCTCACTTCTATTTTTGAATACCAGGTACAGATAACACAGCATGGCCATTGCCTTCTTGGTCTGCATATGAGCTTCCAAGCACATCTGCCTTGAAAACAAATACAAGACCAGGTGGAGGTTAGGGTGATCCAGCAAGCAATTCTTATGGTCTTAAGAGCTTTGTACCAATGTTTGCCATTCATTTTCACCCAAGAAACTGTGCAACTGGTAGAGGGCACCCATTCCCATAAAAGCACCAGGGCAACACTGGCCAATGACCAGAGAGCACCAAAGGAATATTCATCCTCACAAAGCCCAACCATCTTGAAGGCCAGATGAAGAATATGGGGTACCAGAGATCTCTCTTTTTTAAAATAAAAATAAATCCCCATTATCAGACTAATACCAGTGTATGAAGGAGAAAATATGTGTGGCATTTTTCTAATTGAACTATGTATGCCTAAAATTGATCAGACAGCACCACAACTGAAATGCAAAGCCCAGATAATTTATTTGGACACCCACCAATCTTCCTTGTTCCAACCTCCCTCCCCCAGCAATCTATATTTCCCACTGCTTTCTACTAAAGAGCAATGCATATTCATTTTGCTCTGTATGAAAGCACAATGTAAACATATCTGCACTAATGGCTGAAACTTCTTAATAAACACACAAATAGAGCCAATTATTCATGTCAACGGATGGGCTAAACTCTCTGACGCAGGTGAGGAGGAGGATGTGATTTCTGGTGCTCTGTAAACGCTGCTGCCTTGGTCTCCAGGGAAGCTCCAGGCTTCCCATTAATCTTGCCTTAATGAGATGTTATACAGTTTCAGCATGAAACCCAAATTGACAGGATCCAAACATTTTCCTGCTGCATTAGGATTTTGTTTCTAGACACACGGATCCTGTCAACAGAATCGCCATGGCTGCCCTAAAAAACAGAACCAAACAGAAAGCTGCTACCTGCTTTTGTTTGTTTTTAATTGCTTGATCTTTGGGCATTTTTCTTGGTTTAGCCTAACCATAATGGAAGACAGGGAACAATTCAGTCTGTGCATATGCTAAGATACATTAGCAAATAAGCCTTGACATAGGGATCCTCTCTCCTGCTTTTTGGGTATGTTGCAGTCACCCCACAGCCCGTTTATTCCACCCCCCCCTTTCACCTCCCCCTCAAATAGGTTCAGTTATTTGAAATGATTCCATTGCCTGGTTCATAAAGCACAGTTAAAAATAAACTGTGCTTTAAGGTGAATGAGCAGTGTATGGGTTCATTGCTCAAAAGCCCCTCCTTCACTCCTCTTCTGCTGCTGCCACACTTGGCAAGAAGCAAACCAGAAGCTAGCTCTGCATTATGTGTGAACCAGTAAACATGTGAGCCAGCATAAACATAATGAGCCAACCAGCCTCTGGTTTGTTTTCTCCCTGGTATGGCTACAGCAGGAACGAGGAGGGGTGAAGTGGGGACTTTTAAGCAGCATGCACTAGCGCTAACAAGCTGCTCATTCACAACAAACCATACTTCATGTTGAACTATAGTCTAATGTGACATCCAAACCAGGCCCAGGAGTGCAAACACAATGGGACCAATTCTTTGCAAAATATTTCCCAGGATGGCTTTCTGAGCAGCATCTTATATCTTGTGTCACCTTTCTTCTTCATTGGATTGGTTCTGCAATAGGTATATGGATGCATAACCAATTCCTACAATGGGACCTCCACAACTAAAGGATGGCTCTTTCTCATGTGCACCTACCTAAGCCCATCTTTTGACAGACTGCTCCACTTGCCTCCTCATTCTGAAGTGTGGAGGGCAGCTACAAGGGAGAAGATCTTCTCATTAGTGGTTCCTCCCCAGCTGTAGAGCACTCTCCCTAGAGAGGCTCACCTGGCTCCCACATTAACATCCATTTGGTGTCAAGCAAATACCTTTTTATTGTCCCAGACTTTCTAATGTAGCTTTAACTTAGTTCACTGCTATTATTTGAGTCTCTGCTGTTATAGAGATTTGGTACATTTTGCACTGTGAGTTTTAACTCTCTGTGTTGTAGTTTTGATGGATTTTGATTGTTCTCAGCAAAGTGCCACAATTGTTGCATTTGACTGATTTGTTTTCATTTGTTTAAACTGCATGTCACCCAGACAACATGGATCATGAGGTGACTCAGAAGTACAAGAAACTAAATACATAAAGGTTTCATGTTTACTTGTTCACGGGATTTCTCTCTCTCTCTCTCTCTCTCTCTCTCTCACACACACACACACACACACACACACACCACCTTGAGCACAAAGCATTATATTGTGTGAAAGAAAAGGAAACAAGCATTTCCTGAGCTAAAGTAAGTTATTGCTATGAGTTCACAATTGAGTGATAAATGAGAGGGAATCCACTGGTTTCAAATTTCATCTCAGATCATTGTTGCTACAAATCAATAGAATATGCAGTCTGACCCTGCGCATGACCTAGAAGTCCCAATGTGTTAAATGGGGCTTCTTCCTAAGCAGGGGCACCAACCTAGACCTCAGGTTATGCGTGCCCAGCACACGCAACATGGTGTCATGATGTCACATTGTGACGTGACGTCATGACGTCACACGCTCCACAGCCTTGGACAGCATTTCTGAGGTCTCGCAAGGCCTCGGACATGACTTCCATTGCTTCGTGAGGCACCAGACGTTGCGTTGGAGGCCCTGTGGTATTGGTGCTGAGCACCCACAACAAAAAATATGTGGGTGCTTGGGCTCCCAGGACCCCCTATAGTTGGCACCCCTGTTCATAAGTAAATATGCACAGCTCCACAGCCCAGTTATGAAAATCCCATTTTCACCACCCCAATACCTGTTGCACTGATGTTCAGCTCGTAGGGTCCCCACAGGCATCTGATTGGTCACTTTAAGAACAGGATGCTGGACTAGATGGGCCACTGGCCTGATTCATCCAGCTCTTCTTATGGTCTTACCCTATTGAGTGTGTTGAGGGCTTCCTGAGCAGCTGCAAGGGCTGGTTCAGCTTTCGCCAAGTCCTCCTCACAGTCCTTCTGCTTCTGCTGGACCTCCTGCGTGATCAGGGCTACCTTCTGCTCCTCATCGTCAGCAATAGCCTTCTCCTTGCTGACTTTCTCTGTCTCGACGCCCACCACCTGGATCAGTTTGTCTGCATCTTCATTCTTCTGCTTCAGCTCCACCTCCTGAGCTGCCAACTTTGCCTTTAAATCATCTACCTGGAGTAAAGACGATGCAAACCCAGTCAGAGGACATGGAATTAGTATCATGGGCACTTAGATAAAAAGAATGTCTGAAAAGTGGGAGAGGGCAGTGGGGGAGAAGACAAAAGCTCTCAACAGATGTCAAGCCAATAGATTCATTTCTATGAATTGGGGGGGGGCTGGAACCAGTGTTTGGTTCTGGATTTTTAACAGCTACATCCTGGGAACCGAACTTGATAAAGTGGAAAGTGAACATCTGCTATGTCACCTGTATTTTGATCTGACATCTGGCTGATTGCTGCATGTAGCATCATATATTTAGGGGTTCTGTACCTCTTGACCCACACATGAACCAGAAAGTTGCCCCATCATACCTTTTCTATATTCACCCTCTCAACACCTGGCCTTCATTTAATCCTCCTGCTATTTCCCCACATAAGGGCAACCCTGCATCAGCTTCACCCTAATCCTATTCCTTGAGCGTCTCCTGTCTCCTCTGTACTGGGACAGAAGCTGCTGTATGGGCTGGGTACCAGTGTATCCTCATCAGTGATCATCTGCTGAAAGCTTAATTCTGCAGAACAAAAAGAAGGGCCATCAGCATGTGCAGATAAACACCTTCCAGGTGCTTTATGAGAGCCTCGGCCAACTTAAGCTGTGAGTGCATTTCACTTCCATTTCTGGGAGAAAGGCTGTCTGCTCTTTCCATCTCAAAACCCAGCTTGATCTCCCCAAAAGCAATCCAGACGGAAACTGGGATATTGTGATTTAACTGTACTCTAAGATGGCTTTTTTCTTGCCCCATACCGAAAACATCCTCATCTCAGCTGACTTAAAAACAACAACAACATTATTATTATAGATCAAGATGGTTTCTAACTCCAAGCTGCTGTGCAATTTGGGACCCATTCCTAATAACAACAAACACTCTTCCTTCTTCAGACTTGTGCATTCATGTCACATGCAGCTCTTCCTTGAGCCCTCTTCGTGTGCAGTTGGTGATGCACTTTCTGTCATTGGAGAAAAGGTGGGATGTGGCGCAATGGCTGAAGAAGACACACAAAGCAATCTCTTTGGAGATGTGTTTTTTTTAAGGATGTAGAACTAGTTCCCACATGCTATGACAGCCATACTGCTTTAAATGAAGAACTCTTTTGCAGGCCCTGTGACAGCACCAGCTTCAATTCCTTTATAAGAACACTACAGCGCTATACAGAACAAATGTTCTTTTTATTTAACCTGCAAGGGTAAGCTCTGGAGCTCCAGGGTAAACCTTTGCCTGTGGGGAAAGGCAGACATATAATTGGTCTGGGATTCCACGCCATTTTCAGCACTGGTTTTAAACACCCTGTAATCGCCCTAAAGTAAGTGGCAGGCATTTTGTGTAAGCTCTGAATAGAGCCCTGTCCTTTGTGTATGCCTTTGCAGAACGGCTAATCCATTTTCATCTCCCGTTGTTCTGCTGGAAGAAGCAAAATTACCCTTAGCTTACTTGGGGGTGCATAAGCACTTTGGTCAGCAAAACTCAGTGGCAAGTTTGGCTCATTTAAAATTCTCTGGAGATGTGGGGAAATTGAAGGAAGAGAGATTTGGGGGTTTTGTGGGGGGGCTGCTTTTAGATATGGCTTAGAGCCTTCAGCCTATGATAAGTAATTGCATGCTGGATACATGTATGAATAGAAAGTTTATCGGGCTTTAAGTGCTCCGATGAGGCAACCAAGGGATTGACTTGTCAGCTCTACACAACCCTTATAATAGCTATATAAAGGGAGAGGATAGAAATGCAATCCACTGGCTCTCATTGTAAGATGCAATGGCATTTCCAGACAAAGCCTTCTTTAAAAAAATGCAGAGTATACAACAGTAATTGAAGGTTAAAGATTTGACATATTTTTAAAAGGAACTAAAAAAAAAGCCCAAGAAAGGCTCCAAAGTATTAAGAACCAGGGTTGTATTTGAAAGCCAGGAAAATGCAACAAAGCAGAATAATTGTCCCTGTGTACAGATCCTCTGACAAAGGAAGGGAAACTGTTTTTAAAGCAAAATAAGCTTCATCACTCATGAAAAGCAAACACTGAAACCTTAATACTTAACCCTAAACTAAGCATTGCATGCAAAAATGTGTGGTGGTGATGTTATTCCAGTGGGCAATGTTTGTGTGTGGAGACACAGCAGTGGAAGGGGCATTTACACTTTCACACCCATCATGTCTTTGTTCCATATTGCTTCCTTCAATGACATTTCCCCCATGAGGCTTCAAATGCATTTCTGTCCTTGCAAACACACATTTGATGGGGGGGGGGATATATAACAATGAAATAATGAGTGGGAAAGTACAAATGCCCCCACTTCACTCCCAAATACTGCCAACACAAAGCAGCTTTTCTTGTTTTAAGAGCACCATCAAGCAAATACTTGTAATGTGAAGTTTGGGCATCTGAACCATGTCACTAATACCAAACCAATGAGAGGTGGGGAAAGTGTAAGTTGAGATGCTAAAAGCTGCACTGGCGGCCATAATATTGGGCTAGTATTTGAGCTGAAAACTTAATGTAGGTTTCAATGAAGTATTAGATCTTTATTTTGAAGATGAAGGAGAAAACAAACCCCACATGTTCTGGTCTTAATACTCTTCCATGAAGTCATATACATATTGGTTTGTTTAGTCCTCGCTTTTATTATGTATTTTGTGTTTTTTATCTTGTGAACCACCCTGAGACCTACAAATGAAGGGGTATACAAATTTAATAAATAAATAAATAATAAAATAACAATGGCTGACAAATCACAAGATGGCTAACAGGGGGCATCAACTGAGGGAAGGTATGAGAAATCTTAGTTTCTTTTATGGGAATAGGATTATCTTTTCAACCTGGTCATCAATGGTTGCAAGAATGTTTAAAAAAAGAAAGCAGTTTTTTTGTTTTCTTCTGGGCTTATACAATTCCACATAAGCCGGTCAGTAAAAACCCTTCCAGAGACATTGTGGAGAATATGGCTAACAAACAAAGTTATATATGGCAATATAGTGGAGGGTAATCATGACCAGACAAGTGGTGCAACTTTGGTATGCTTCTTACCCTCTGTGTTGGCCCACAAGGTTGAGCTAACAAGCTCAAAGCAACCCAACTTGCCTCCACACAGCTCTTCAACCCTGAAAATTAAGGCCTGACCAATCCCTGTGCTTTGTTTTCCCCTCAACTGAGAAGGGGGAAGATGTGTTTTCTCTGAGGGAACCTTAGATGGATTTGTGGATATTGACGGAAAGGAGAACAAAGCAAGCCAGATACAAGCAAGGCCAGCGCTACATAATTCCCAGGGGGACAGAAGGTAAAAATCCTGCACAAAAAGTAGGAGCATTAAGAACAGAGAGGCTTCCCAGTAGGCTCCCAGCAGGCTCTTTTAATCCGATTACCTGTGCCAGGGGTTTCAGGACTACTACATTCACTGCATCAGAAAGGTCAGCAATTAATTGCTACAGCAGGAGAGACTCAAGTCTGGAATTCAATGAAACCTTTTTTAAAAAAACAAAAGAAATGCTAACAGGTTGCCTCAGGGCAGGCACAGGAAGCTAAGTGGAATGCAATTCCCTTCTCAGGTTCTGAAAATAAAATGGTTTCCCGAAAGCTTCTCATTCCCTGCATGTACTGGCAATACTGTACAGTGGTACCTCGGGTTACAGATGCTTCGGGTTACAGACGCTTCAGGTTACAGACTCCGCTAACCCAGAAAGAGTACCTCAGGTTAAGAACTTTGCTTCAGGATGAGAACAGAAATCACGCGGCGGCAGCGGGAGGCCCCATTAGCTAAAGTGGTGCTTCAGGTTAAGAACAGTTTCAGGTTAAGAACAGACCTCCAGAAGGAATTAAGTTCTTAACCCGAGGTACCACTGTACTGTGAAGATTAGGGAAGCAAGGGCTTTTTTTCAGGGGGAGCTCCCAGGAACTCAGTTCTGGCACTTCTCAAGTGGGCGCCATTGCCATTCTAAGAAAAGACACTAACTGATGTGGAAATATGGAGAACTAAATTAAGATTGGGGGAAATGAGAAACTGAGAGAAATCAAAATTGACAGTTTCATAATTTTTTGTGGACTGGAGTCCACTTCATGAGATACATGATAAAACAACGCAGCTCTAAAAGATTCACAAAGTGGGGGTGGAATAACCACTGAGAATAGATTTCTGGGTGCACATAGGACTTACAGGGCTCACAGCTGCTTGAGATATTTTCTCTGGCAGCCTGCCCCCAGCCCTTGGCGTTTTCAGTATGCCAGCAGATGTTAATCGTTTTGCACGAGTGAACAAGTTTGCGGGTACAAAGAGCAACATGTGAACCTGGGCTTGCGGTTCATCCCCCACAAAAAACCACAACTGGTAAGCCAAGAACAAAGCTTGGTTGTAGAAAAAGTAACTGATCATGTTAGATTAGAGGGGTAAATATTAAGAAGTCCTTCTTTGTCACCTGGTACCTTTTTACTAAATTTGTAACTCATTGAGGTGGCTCTCTCTCCTTCCCCCACCTTGCCAGATTCACATTGTCCTCTGTGGTCTGATATGATACTCAAGAATTTCTAGTCCCTTGCTCAATTTCATATACATTGGTTTATGTAGGTTTTATCCAAATGTAATGTTCGCAGTACAGTACTTGCCTCTACTTTGCAATGTCTACTTTGCACTTGTACCAATGTTTTCTTTTTATAATGTTATGGTTTATATGTCATGGAATACAATATTCTATTGGGGGAGGAACTTTCAATAAATGTCTATTGCAAAAGGAAAAAGAACCAACTTTGAACTCATAGTTTGTCTGAAGTGAGGCAAACCAAGAGGCTGACTTTGCATGCAGCTCTAAGGGAAACCACAGCTTAGCTTCCAGCAGTACCAGAAGAGGACCAAAACATCCACAATTTATTGCTTTGTGTACACACATGCTTAACTTGTTCATGCTTAGCTGTGGTTTAGCTTAGTGCTGGGTCTTAATATCTTCCTTCTTCAAGGAGCATAGCAGTTGCTTCAGGAAAAAGAACAAGACGATGTAGAGCAGGAATTGAATTCACCCTACGTTCTGGCACAGCTCCAGTTTTTTAATCAGCCCACAAGCCCATCCACCTCATTATCTGATCTGTGAAAGCAGCAGGGTGCAGAGCTTCTGGGAGGAAAGCACTTGGCTTGACAATGGCAGGGGTGAGGCAAACTGCCCTGTTAATGTATCACATACACACCCCAAATTCATTACAGATAGCAAACAACAATTTATATAAATCCAATTTATATATGTACGGCTGAAGGTAGTCCTCTTCGCACACACACACACAGGCAAACAGCAGTCTAAGATACACAGTAATAGTAATACAGAAAAGACCCACACAGCCGACCCCGCACATATAATTGTTTGTTTCATATGTGCTTCTAAAGGGTACAGGATGCCATAATAGAGAAGGAAGTCATTTGTATGTGAATGTGTGTGTGTAGATAGACAGATATTCTTTTCATCTCCGACCTTTACAATATTTGCATTACTTTGCATCCTACTTAGCAACAAAGGCCTCCTCACCTGTGCAGATGTGCTGCTAAGCTTCTGCAGGCCGTTCTCTAGCCGCTCCATTTTTGCTGTCAGTTCTTTCTCCTTTTTAAGCAGCAAATTCTGATAGAGCTTAATCTGTTCCAAGAATGACTTGGGGGTGGTGTAGTTATAACGGCGTTCATTACTCAGGTAGGAACGGGACATTTCATTAACGCTGGTGTGCACATAAGCCATGAACTTGCTTATGGATTCCTTCACTGAAGCCTAAAAATAAGATGGAAGAGGAAATATTTTGAGCCAGATGGCTAAATGCCCCATGAACATGCCTGAAATAATATGGCAGCTTAGTTACCAAGCCTCACAACTACAGCAATGACATTCCAGAAGTTGTGTTATCTTCTCAAGGACCTCCTTGGGTTTTGAATCTCAGTAAAGGAAAGAAGTTATGCGGGAAGCAGTCCTCAAATAATTGCTTACCTCAATAGTTTCTGTCCCTTGCAAGAAGCGCAGGCTGACTGACTCCAGAGCTTCTCGGGGCCACTCATGGAACCAATCTATTGCTGTACAGTTAACAATGGCTGGGAACTTCCGACTACGAACTCTCAGCTTGTTCCCCACTGGGGAAAAGCAAAGAGCAACCTGGAGGAACAGAAAACAGATGCTGAGAAACTGAGAAAGTAAGATTTGAAGGAACAGGACCTTCAGCCATTTTGTGTTCAGTATTTGGTTGTAAAATGGTGACATTTGCTTTAGACCAGCCATGTCCAAAGTGTGTTTCAGGAGCCTAATCCTTTGGTTGGCCCTTTAGTCGGCCCTCACAGCCTTCACTTCATCAAATCTGGCCCTCTTTGAAAAAAGTTTGGACACCACTGCTTTAGACATTCCCCTGCACTGGGAGATCAAAAGCTCAGAGGAAGGTTAAAAACACAAGAGGAAGCTTTTGCTCAGGATGTTGTGCACAGGAAATTCAAAAGTTCAGTCTAGAGACAAGGTAGTTACGTGGAGAAAGAAATTTAATCAGAAAAACTTTTTAACTGATTGTACATAACTAATTGCACAAATTTTGTACAGATGACAATCTAGAAAATGTAGAAACAAAAATGTGAAGAGCTGCAAGAGAGAGAAAGGGCCGAAATGCTTTAAGAGAGCCCAAGCTGTTAGAAGACAGCAGGAGAAACAAAGACCACAAACATACAGAATCTGTCGTGGTGGATGCAAATGGTTAAATATTAGTTTGATAAGGGGCACAGATCTATAATAGATACAGCTGGATGTATTGATCTCTGTTTACTTTTTATTTGCTCTCTTGGGTATCTACTCAAGCTGTAAAATTTTAATTCCCCAACCAAAAAAACCTTTTAAAACTTGTTGCCTTACTAGAACCATAAGTAAAATCATTGTTTGGGGGTGGGGTGTTAACTAAGAGTTAATTGCCATATGACTCTACACAGTATAGGAGGTAGGTAACAAAAGGTTAAAGGACTATTTAGCAGAGGCAAACTGAGGGTAAGGTGTCAACCGGGTGGCAGCAATACACTTCTCAAGTAGGGAAGGATTTGTTTGACTGGTTTGATTGCCTCCCTTCTCTCACACAGTGCAGGCTACAGTCCATGCCAGTGAAAGTAGATAAATAGGTACCGCTGCAGCGGGAAGGTAAGCAAAGTTTCCATGCACTCTGGCACTCGTCACAGTCCTCCATGTGCGAGAAGCAGTTTAGTCATGTTGGCCACATGACCCAGAAAGCTGTCTGTGGACAAATGCTGGCTCCTTCAGCCTGAAAAGTGAGATGAGCACCACGCCCCATAGTCACCTTTGACTGGACTTAACCATCCAGGGGTCCTTCACCTGTTTTACCTTTACCATGCAGTAACACCACACAAAAACGTTACAGTGGTACGGCTTGTCCTTACGGCTTTCAAGCCATGCCAGAAGCTGACTTACAGCAAGTTCCAAAAAATGCATGGCACAGAACCACAGTTCAGAAACAGAAGGTATAATAATAATAATTTATTATTTATACCCCGCCCATCTGGCTGAGTTTCCCCAGCCACTCTGGGCGGCTTCCAATCAAGTGTTAAAAACAATACAGCATTAAATATTAAAAACTTCCCTAAACACTTATCTAATGAACACTTATCTAAGGGCTTTGCCACACAGTCATTCCCCTCCCCCACCCCCCCAAATACATGTGTGGTTCTTACTCGTGTTTTAGACAATTTCCCTTGATTTAATGTTTCTGTTGCAGGGATATCACATTTTCTTAGCACTCAAATGTGAATACATTTGGGAAGAAATTGCTTAGTAAATTCATTGCAAAAAGCCAGCCAACAGAAATAGCTATCGGAAGCACAAGATCCTTTATTTTTCAAAGCATAACTGAAAAGCATCAGCAGATGACTGGTCCTTGGGGACCACACAGTCCTACCTTGAGCTGCCGTCTAACTCTATCAATAAAGAATTTCCAACAGGCCTCCCTGGTGTCCATCAATCCTTGGGCTTTTACTTCATTTCTCATATTACCAATGATATTTTCAACTTCATCATCAGGAAAAAGATCAGGAATTTCTCCTGGAAACAAAGAAGTAATTTTACCCATTGTGATCTTTGCATCATTGGTAAAATGAATTCTGCACAGAGCAGAACATCTTCACACAGCTGTTGAGTGGGAAGGAGTCCAAAGCACACAGTTATAACCATACTAACAAGCCCACTTGATTTCGTCTCAATGGGCCCCTAGGTAAGCCCACAGGGACTAACCTTGCAGCTGAATTATTTCTACAGTAGGTATTTGATAAAATAGAAAGAGTACACCAAGAAGCACCTTGGGGCTGTTAGCACATCTCCCAAGATAAAGAAATAAAGCAAAGGAACAGAAGAAACAGTGAGGTGCAAACTGAAAATCAGCATTACAGAAAGAGCCATTTGTCATCATTCCACATCCCGGATGTAAATCGTTTCTTGCAGCCAAGGCGGAAACATCACCACCCAAAGTTACCACTACACCTATATACCAAATAGGCACCAAAGAGGCTATGCTTGTATTCTGACATTATGGAAAAGAGCACATTGGGCTCATGAGCTCTCTGGTGTGACCACATGGTAAAGACTGGGGCCCTTTGCTTCCGTTATCAGCTAACCCAATCACTCATTTCACCTGAATCAAGAACTTTTGTGCATGAGGGAATCAAGCCGGGATCATAAATCCCAGCCTGAGGTTGGCCATTTTGCCGAACTAACCACTCTTTGTCCAGATTCAGACATAATGAATAATCTTCCTCATGGATGTGCTAGAGAGGACACATATTTTAGCATCATGTGAGAACCAGGCCTGTATATCTTTTTATCTTTCTAAAACATTCATATTCCTATTAAACATCAGAAAGAACTTTCTGATAGTAAATGCTATTTGACACTGCAATGGATTCCCTTGGGAGGTTGTAGACTCTCCTTCATTGGGGGGGGGGCGTGTTAAGCAGAGGTTGGATGGCCATCTGTCATGGATGCTTTAGTTGAGATTCCTGCATTGCAGGGGCTGGACTAGATGACCCTCTGGGTACCTTCCAATTCTCCAGTTCTAGGATTCTGCATCAGGCAACTTTCAACAATTAAAATCACAACAAAACAAACATATCACAACAGCAATATCACAAACCAACCAACAGTACAGCACAATAAAATTCTTAAAACACAGCTCAACATGTTGATAAAAGATAAAAACAGGAAGATGAGAGGGGGGAAGAATACATGGAGCATGCAAAGTCAGTAGGGGAGTAAAAATCTTCAGGGTTGTTAAATGTTTTCTAAAATAGCAGGAAAAGTGCTATTGCTATCTGAAAGGAATGGGCCGTATGTTTAGGGACATAACAAAAACCCAGTCACCAGCTGATCTAAGCTGATCTGAGTGAGTCTTGAATATAGTCATGGCATCTACCATAGATGGCCTTATCCAGGGTTTGATCTAAAGAAGTCATCTCATTAACATAAGGACTTCCACTTGCACAACAGAACTTCCCCTCTGTCTCCCCCCCCCTCCAATCTGCTCTGTGGTTTCCCCCCAACTCTATAGAGCAGATTGGAGGGGGTACAAGGAGAGGATAAGGAGGGGACAGCCTGATGAGGAAGCAGAAGACCTTATGGTAAAAGGATGAGTTAACTGGATGCAACTCATTGTGCTCACATTCCAAGAGTTTACTTCCAGGTAAGTAGGTAGCATTGTGAACGTGTGTGCACATCCGCATGAAAGATGGATTCTGAAATAGGAACAGGAAATCTGTGGCCTTCTAGATACTGTCAGACTCCAACTCCTTTTAGCTGGAGTCTGCATGGCCAATGATCAGGGATGGTACAGGTCATAGTCCAACACATCCAGAGGGTTCCCTCATTCCTGCTATAAAGAAAACTGTTCCTTGGAATAAAGTTGCAGCTGGATCTGATTTATGTGTGTTCTCTGGAAAACATTTCACAATTTTGATTTGCTCTTGGGTTTGTCAGCCTAAAAATTCAAACTGCCAAGATCCATACCTGAAGCAAGCAAGTCATTTACCAAAACTAAAAACCTCTCGTCGGCCACTTGAGCGTCCGTCATGAGGAAGACGGTACCAACATTCTTTAGACCTGCTGTAATGTACTGTGCTGCCAGGTCTGCCTGCAGATACAAGAAAGGAAAAGGCATGTATACCGAAGCACCAAAAATTCGGCTATCTGCTATGAGGTGAAATTCCAACCATGCTGATGACTAAATTCAGAATTCAACCAAATATGCTGGTATGCCTGCAGAATAAATTGCATACATTTTTAACCACATTGCAGATCCTACTGAGTATTGTTGTACACACATGAAACTGTGGGAAGGAAATATATAACCTCACATTCTCTCCCAAGATACATAATATCAAAGCTCAGCATTATTGTCTGAGTCACAACAGTCATTAAAGTCTCCTTGCAAATCTTTATTAGAAGATCAATAACTGGACAACACCACTACTCTGAATATTCACGTCTTCCTTATACACTCCTCTACAACACTGTTATTTAAAGAAAAAAATAAATGTATAATTAAAATTCTCTTGTCATTCCATCTGCCATTCTATGACAAACTTTCCTTGATGACTGATCTTTCTTAAAACAGATTCAAATGTTCAGCAAGGATTTGCGGTTCCGCCCATGAGATTATACCACCACAGAAAGTGAGTATGGGGTGAGTGCTTATTTAAATGTACACTGGAATTAAAAGCTCTCTACAAATGGAAGGTTTCCAGCCTAGGAACCTGATTAGGTTAGGAATAGGCAGGGAGAACTCAATTTAGGAACACTTTCAAACTAAAACTCTTCACATGCATTCTGAGGCAGCGCGGTTATATGGACCTTTATGTAACTTTGGATCAACTCTAATTGTCTTGAAACTACTGAAGTTATATCACTGGGTGGGATTCAACTAATGAGTCCCATCAGCCGAAGCCCTGTGCAAGAACATCTCCTTGTGAAACAGGGCTTTCAGCATAAGTGTTTCTTTTGCACAGAGCAATTTAAAACACATTAAATTCTGAACAGAGTCTTACTCTAAGCTAACAGATAAACTTAAGTTTATTTTCACCCCCACTTTTATGAGCTGCTCACCTTCAGGTCAGGAATCCCATAGCCTTTCCTCAAGGTGATTTGGAAGACCTCCAGTGAGCTAATGAAAGCTGCCAATCTCGTCAGGCTCTGCTTGCCACTTCCTCCCACACCAACCAGTAGTGCATTACCTCTGGGAGATTCCAGGATACGATTGATACGGCAGCTAAATAGGATGGTACACAACCACTCTGTATTAAAGTGTTTTTCCTCTGTGGTACATTTCAGTATATGGCATTAGGGGTATCTCCTGTTATACTCAGAACTAGGTTCAAAATTTCAACCCATTATGACACCTGAATAGAAACACCAGTAAATCTGTACCCACTTAGTAGCATTCTGAGTCCTCTTTCATCACTTTTTCTGCCTCTTAAATGGGATTTATGTGCCTTTACACCTCTCCAGCATGGACTGAAGCTAACTGCATTTTTTGGAAACACAACTATAACAATCTATGTAATCTAGTATGCTAATAAGCAGTTCAATTGCCAGTGCCTTTGGTTTACATATCTTGCGGAATCTGAATGAAACCAGAGTTCTTGCTTAATGAACTTATCATGGTTCTGGAACCAGCAGGAAGGCAGCGCAGAAGAGATACTTCCTGAGAGGTAGGAACTACCCACTAATCTCAAGCAGGTACTAACCCATCTAGGAATTTTCTCCTAGGCGCAAGAGGAGAACGTATTATCTCTATCCCCTTGCAAGCAAATCATTGCCATTCAGGCTAATGTCTCTGGACTATAATAGTTTAGGGTTTGAACACCGTAATAATCCATGATTAACTGAAAATAGAAGCTTTCCATTTTCACCTCCTCTTAGCCACACTGGAGGAGGAGAGGAGAGTACCGGTATATGAGACCAGGCTTGTGCATGCAACCCAAATCACTGGGTGACAGAATAGGGAGCTACATTTGTTCACAGGCATGGAGGTGTGTTGCTGTATCGGTACATTCTAAGTATGATGTGATGTGGCCCGTGAAGTACAATCTGGCCTTGAAGGACATTGTTCTCTACACTGTCCTTGCATATTGCTGCCTTATAGTCACTACAACGCCATGGTACATAGTAAACGTACCAGTAAATATCACAAAGAAATCATCACTTTCATTCATTTGGATTACACCGTCATTCTTGTAGTGCATGGCACCGATGATGTCTGGCTGCCTGCATACAAAGCCATTTGTTTTGCCTGGAGACGTGAACAAACCTTGACAAAGCCCAGCAATTATTAAAGTTATGAGCTTGCAAAGGAAGGGCTCAAAACCCTTTAGTGGTTAGTGAAGATGGATTTCAGCTTCTGAGCTACTGATTCAGCTATTAAAACTTAACTTCACTTCTTGTATGTCTAACGTTCAATTCATACCTGCTAAGGGTAAAGGAGGTGTTTATTTATAACCCAGCTATCTGCCAAGGCACTCAAGGCTGCATTTATATGAGAGATGATATGCAAAAACAAAAGCAACAAATGCAAGCAATAAAGCCAAATATCATAAAATAGATTGTGCTCTCTACAGAAAAGGAAATAAAATCAAATACAGTAAGAACAAGAAGGTGTTGGAGATTTAAAGAAAGGCATTCATATTAAAAGCCTATTTTCAAAAGCGGCTAACAATGATCTTTATTTCTCTTGAAAACTTTTACAGGAATGGATTTTGACGGGTCTCCTTAGACAAGGAATGTCAGAGGCCTGGAGCAGCCATCAAAAAGGACCAGCATTGGGTCCCCACAGACCAGTCTAAATAAATGAATAACCTCTCATGATGAGGGAGCCATAATATAACAAGGGTCTGATCTGCAAATCTTTTGTGGGCAAGTTTACAGGAGAAGACTTTTCCAGCTGTCCAGGACCTGGAATAAGAAGCAGGGGCCAAATCACTTGGCCGATTTTGTGGTCACCTCCTTCAATCCAAGCAACTTTTCATCTGCTAGGAAGCTGGTCATGTGGCCTATGCCTTCTGCCATTCAAGGCAAAAAAGAAGCAGCTACTAGAATGCAACATGAGATGGCAAATTCATCATTTTATATGGTTCATTTGTGCAAGTACCAGTAGCTTCTGCTACCGGTTTTTTTTTTGGGGGCCAGGTTTAAAAGATAATAATAATAATAATAATAATTATTATTATTATTATTTATTATTTGTACCCCACCCATCTGGCTGGGTTTCCCCAGCCACTCTGGGCGGCTTCCCGTGAAAGGGGTCACGTGACTCTGACCTCAGTCACAACTTTCTGCTCTTCAAGGAAGAACAAGAACCCTTCACTCTCATCTCAGGCCAGGTTACAACCGGGGGGGGGGGGCTGGCACCTGTCTGTAACATGCAGGGAGGCTCTGTGAGCAAACGTGGCAGCTTTCCTTTTACAAGCCTGACACACAACATCACTGCGGGTGCCTGCCTTTGTGCACTGAACACCAGGTCCTAGTACAGCCTGGTCGGCACGAAACTACTCAAGATAAAATGCTCTCTAGTAACCAAATGGAATAAAAGCACTGTGGCATGCAGAGCCACTACGATTGTATTAAACATCAAGGCCCTCTGGTGCGGGAAATAAAAGGACGCTACACTCCCCAGCACACAAAGGAGGCAAGCAGCAAGTTTTGTATGCATTGTTCGCTTTTGTGACAGTGATTGAATTTGTTGCCTGAAGTTGCAGAAACAGTTAGACTGCCCCTCCCGCCCCTTTCTAATGAAAGAAATATCATTTTGTAACAGCTGGGAGAGATGGGGTTTGTGTGTGATCTGGCGTTCTGAAGCACATGCATTTGGGGCAGTCTCAGCATCCTTGCTTCTCGAACAACTAAAATCAAAGCCCATAGGCAACTGGAAAACCACTCACTGCAAGTATCAAACCACCCTCAACAAATATATTTATAAGTGTCTTTTTCTTATCCTGCTGTTTATATAATGTGGCCTTCCTGAAGCCCCAGATTGACAAGCAATAACATTTTAGTATCCATTGTCCAAACAAAGAACTTGAATATTGTTTTTCAAAAGCCTTTTGTCCACCCGTCTCCCCACCACTTTGAGGTGAGTTTGCAGACACACTACCATGCCCATCCCCAAGCGAGAGAAAGCCCACAAGCACTCCAAACAAAACACCCCCCTTACACATGGCACATGGCATCTTCAAACAGCACCAGGTTCATGGTAGAGTTGACCTCGTTGTGATTCTCTAAGGCTTCCACCAGAATCTGATTAAGTGATTCCCAGCTCTGAACAGGCATGTACTTGGGCTCTCCAATGCCTTTTACAAAATGGCAAAACATGTTCATCTTCCTAGCCTGTTCCAAGGTGTCCTCTATTTCCTAATGAGAAAGAACAAAGACACACAATGTTCGGTTTCAGAAAAGATGAAACCCATCCAAATCCAGCAAAACAAAACAAAAAACAAGCAAATAGAAATGCTCGATCTGTTGCCTGTTGGGGGGGAGATAAATTTGTTTTAAAAAAAATGCTTATGACCAGGCTCTCACCCCACCCCCTGCTTTCAGACACAGCACAGTTCACCTCCCTTTTACAATTCAGTGTAATGGTCCATTCTGTGTGATGGTTACTTGGACACAGAGACACTCAAATAACATGATGCTTATCCAGGTCAAAGATTCTGTTCCCACAATGGAGGAGAAAACAGGCATACCACCCTCTTCATCACTCCACATATGACTTTTGCTTCAGGTAAGTGACTGAAATGGGCCTGCATCACTTACATCGTAGAACTTCTTCACCATCTCTGTCTGCAGTTTATCAAAGAGGACAAAGTCCTTTTCATCAACCATCTTATCCCGGTAAACACGACTGGATTCATGCAAGTACAGCTTTACTAAGTCATGCGGAGCCTTCAAACACTCAGGAGTTGAAAACAGAATACCCTGGAAGCAAAGAGATGCATATGACATACAGATCATTTTTGGCACGGATGCAGAGCTGCAGGTCTAGCTGTGAAAGCAAAGTGAGAAATTCAAATGGCAGCTTGTGCAATTGCCATGTTCGGGAAAGTGTCAGTCCCACTTTATTCCATGCAATGAGGTTCTTGTTTTGCGTGACACAGGCTACCTCGCAACCCCTTCCTATCATTTCAGGCTGAGTTCTGTGGATGCTAGCCTGCTCACAACTAAAATCACAAAGCAACACATGCACAAGATCTGTGTGCTAAAAGGAACAAACACTTCCCCACGCCACTGCCATCTTTCTTGATCAATTAGACTTGCTGTTCCACAGACAGTGAAAGAGTGAAAGGACATGACTCTGAATGCTGCAAGGCAACCTGTTTATTGAGCCTCCATCCTGATTTGTTTGCAGTGAAGTTATATAATGTTATGCAACCTGAATTTGTTCATTGTAACCTGCTAAATAGCAACAATCTGAAAGCAACCCCAATCATTTGACCCTTCTTATCACAAAAACAAAAGGCATTTTAACTTAAGTGTGCTAAGGGGTAATAAGCCCACATGAAGTTATATTGTGTGCATACTCTAGCTCAAGTTGCCCCTTAGGAACAAGTTGTATGAGAACAAAATAAAAAGAGAGAAAGAATGTTGTTCCCACAAGAAGAATAGCCCATTTCAGAACCTTAAGCTTTCCAGAAGATTGACCGTATTCTATTAGATCCACCCCAAACCTAATCCTATCATGAATTATGCACAGATGCAACCTCTGATTTTAGTAGGATTCACACCCACTAACTTGGTACACCAATTAGGATTACAACAAAAGTATAAAGTTGCAATTATCGGTAATTGTATTCATTGTTCAGGAACCTCCCAATGCTGTCCTGATTTAACTTGTAGCAGACAACAAAAATGGAGGCCACACAAACTACCACATACGCAACCATTTCCTGCAGACAATGCCATTCACATTTCTGCAGGACAAAAGCAGCTTGGGAATAAAACTGGATGGTTTTTTAAAAACTGACTTTAATCAGGCAGATATTGCCTCAAGAAAACATTAATTTCTGCCAGGTAATTGTGGCATGTTTATGACACCTTCTAAAAATGCATATGGAAGTGTCTCTTTCAAATAGAAATCCTTTTTAACAAAGTCCATTAGCAATATCTATGGGTCCGGTGACATTAAATTTAAAAGAAAACCTCTACTGAGTTATTCAGAAATTCTAAGATGCACTTAAAAGTAATTGAAAATGCCTTGCTTCTTCCAGCTATTCCACATTTTGAAGTTTGAGCACAAATGGACATGCATTCCTTCAACTAAAATGCGGTTAAAAACAACAGCCTGGCAGCCTTACACACTCTCTCTCTCTCTCTCTATATATATATATATATGAATGTCGTAGCAAGAACAATCCTTGAAAATAACAAGGATGATTAGAATCATAGAATCATAGAATCATAGAGTTGGAAGAGACCACAAGGGCCATCGAGTCCAACCCCCTGCCAAGCAGGAAACACCATCAGAGCACTCCTGACATATGGTTGTCAAGCCTCTGCTTAAAGACCTCCAAAGAAGGAGACTCCACCACACTCCTTGGCAGCAAATTCCACTGTCGAACAGCTCTTACTGTCAGGAAGTTCTTCCTAATGTTTAGGTGGAATCTTCTTTCTTGTAGTTTGGATCCATTGCTCCGTGTCCGCTTCTCTGGAGCAGCAGAAAACAGCCTTTCTCCCTCCTCTATGTGACATCCTTTTATATATTTGAACATGGCTATCATATCACCCCTTAACCTCCTCTTCTCCAGGCTAAACATGCCCAGCTCCCTTAGCCGTTCCTCATAAGGCATCATTTCCAGGCCTTTGACCATTTTGGTTGCCCTCCCCTGGACACGTTCCAGTTTGTCAGTGTCCTTCTTGAACTGTGGTGGCCAGAACTGGACACAGTACTCCAGGTGAGGTCTGACCAGAGCAGAATACAGTGGCACTATTACTTCCCTTGATCTAGATGCTATACTCCTATTGATGAGGCCCAGAATTGCATTGGCTTTTTTAGCTGCCGCGTCACACTGTTGGCTCATGTCAAGTTTGTGGTCAACCAAGACTCCTAGATCCTTTTCACATGTACTGCTCTCAAGCCAGGTGTCACCCATCTTGTATTTGTGCCTCTCATTTTTTTTGCCCAAGTGCAATACTTTACATTTCTCCCTGTTAAAATTCATCTTGTTTGTTTTGGCCCAGTTCTCTAATCTGTCAAGGTCGTTTTGAAGTGTGATCCTGTCCTCTGGGGTGTTAGCCACCCCTCCCAGTTTGGTGTCATCTGCAAATTTGATCAGGATGCCCTTGAGTCCATCATCCAAGTCGTTGATAAAGATGTTGAATAAGACCGGGCCCAAAACAGAACCCTGTGGCACCCCACTAGTCACTCTTCTCCAGGATGAAGAGGAACCATTGATGAGCACCCTTTGGGTTCGGTCAGTCAGCCAGTTACAAATCCACTGAGTGGTAGCATAGTCAAGACCGCATTTTACCAGCTTCTTTACAAGAATATCATGGGGCACCTTGTCAAATGCCTTGCTGAAATCAAGGTAGGCTACATCCACTGCGTTCCCTTCATCTACCAGGCTTGTAATTCTGTCAAAAAACGAGATCAGGTTAGTCTGACATGACTTATTTTTCAGAAATCCATGCTGACTATTGGTGATCACAGCATTCCTTTCTAGGTGCTCACAGACTGTTTGCTTAATGATCTGCTCCAGAATCTTCCCTAGTATTGATGTCAGACTGACTGGGCGGTAATTATTTGGGTCCTCTCTTTTCCCCTTTTTGAAAATAGGGACAACATTTGCCCTCCTCCAGTCTGCCGGGACTTCGCCTGTTCTCCAGGAATTCTCAAAGATGGCTGCCAGTGGTTCTGAAATCACATCTGCCAGTTCTTTTAATACTCTTGGATGCAGTTCATCTGGCCCTGGAGACTTGAATACATCTAGACTAGCCAAGTATTCTTGTACTATCTCCTTAGTTATTCTGGGCTGTGTTTCCTCTGCTGAATCATTTGCTCCAAATTCTTCAGGTCGGGCATTGTTTTCTTTATCGGAGAAGACTGAGGCAAAGAAGGCATTGAGGAGTTCAGCCCTTTCTGTGTCCCCTGTTTGCATTTCACCATCTTCTCCTCTGAGTGACCCCACGGTTTCTTTGTTCTTCCTTTTGCTACGAACATACCCATAAAAGCCTTTTTTGTTGCTTTTAACCTCTCTAGCAAGCCTGAGTTCATTTTGTGCTTTAGCTTTTCTGACTTTGTGTCTACACGTGCTGGCTATTTGTTTGAATTCCTCTTTGGTGGTTTCCCCCCTTTTCCATTTTTTGTACACATCCTTTTTTAATCTTAACTCAGTTAAAAGTTCTTTAGATAGCCACCCTGGCTTCTTTAGGCACCTTCCATGTTTCCGTCTCATTGGTATTGCCTGAAGTTGTGCTTTTACTATCTCCCTCTTAACAAACTCCCAGCCATCTTGAACTCCCTTTCCTTTTAGTATTACTGTCCATGGGATCTCACCCAGCACTTCCCTAAGCTTTATGAAGTCGGCTTTCTTAAAGTCGAGAAATTGAGCCCTAGTATGCTTGGCTGCTCCTTTCCGCTGTATAGTAAACTTCAGAAGAGCATGATCACTCGCGCCTAATGATCCTTCCACTTCTACCCCACTAACCAGGTCATCAACATTGGTTAGGACCAGATCTAAAATGGCTGTTCCTCTTGTTGCTTCTCCCACTTTCTGGACAATGAAGTTGTCTGCAAGGGCAGTGAGGAATCTGTTTGACCTTATGCTCTTGGCTGAGTTTGACATCCAACAAATATCCGGGTAATTGAAGTCCCCCATTACTACTATCTCCCTTCCTTTTGCATGCTTGGCCATCTGTTCCAGGAAGGCATCATCTATGTCCTCCGTTTGGCTTGGGGATCTATAGTAAACTCCCACAATGAGGTCACTGTTATTCTTCTCTCCCTTAATTTTGACCCAAATGCTCTCACTTTGGCTTTGAGGTTCTAAATCTTGGATCTCTTCACAGGTATACACATCCCTGACATATAACGCTACTCCTCCTCCTTTCTTGTCTGGTCTGTTTCTTTGAAATAGATTGTATCCCTCCATTATTACATTCCAATCGTGGGATTTATCCCACCAGGTTTCAGTGATTCCTATTATGTCATATTTAGTTTGCTGTACCAGGAGCTCAAGCTCATCTTGTTTATTTCCCATGCTTTGCGCATTAGTGTACAGACATTGAAGTCCATTAATCATTCCCCCGTGTCTCTTATTTAAGGATTTTCTCCTCCCACCACTAGGTCTGCATGCTCTTTGCTCCATTCGGTCTATGACATTTGGATGATCATCTTCATCAATTGATAGACTCCTACCTTCAGGAGCACTGTCTCCCTCCCCCACATTAGTCAGTTTAAAGCCCTCCTGATGAGGTTTCTGAGATTTTTTGCAAAAACATTCCTCCCAACCGTTGTGAGGTGCAGCCCATCGCTTGCCAGAAGTCCATCTTCAAGAAACTGCATTCCGTGATCTAAGAATCCAAACCGTTCCTGTTTGCACCATTTGCGAAGCCAGTTGTTCAGCCAGTTTTTCCCTCTCTCCCTGGGCCACGTCGTTCAACTGGGAGGACAGATGAGATGACAATTTGTGCATTTAATTGCTTCAATTTCCTGCCCAGAGCCTCGTAATCTCTTTTGATCTCCTGGAGGCTATTGCTTGCAGTGTCATTGGTTCCCACATGAACCAAGAGGAAGGGGTATTTGTCAGTGGGTTTTATGATTCCTTGCAGTCGTTCAGTTACATCTTGGATCTTAGCCCCGGGGAGACAGCACACTTCCCGAGACATCTTGTCAGGCCCACAGATCACTGCTTCTGTTCCCCTCAGTAGGGAATCCCCTATCACCACTACACGCCTCCTCTTAGGTCTGGTCGGGGTTTTTCTGTGAGCTGTCGGTTCCAAGGTCGCCTGGACATTCCCAGAGGACTGCCTTTGCTCCTCGTCTTCATATACCTGATCGACTGTAATGAGGGAGAGATCCTCAAATGGAGTCTGCTCTTCGTCTTCCATGCTAGGGGAAAGGACCTCAAAGCGATTGCGTATTTCTAAACAATCAGAGCGAACCCTGGGCCTCCTACTTCTTTGAGTCACGTTTCTCCATATATCTGGCTCCTGTGTTGGTGAACTAGCCACCTTCTCAGGGGAGTCCCCTGTCTCTTCCTTGGTGGAGACGGTGTGCTCTGTTGCTTCCAAGAAGAGTTCCAGCTCTCTAATTCTTTGGAGCGTAGCTACACGTTCCTCCAGTTGCTGGACTTTGTCTTTTAAGAGGGCAATCAACATGCAATTGCTGCAGGTAAAGCTGCCTGCAACCTTTGGCAAGATGGCAAACATTGCACAGGAACCACAGGCGACTGCAGCTGTTCCCTCACCCTCTGTCCTCAAAGATTTCCTTGAGGACAGACCACATCCTGTCCTCAAAGATTTCCTTGAGGACAGACCACATCCTTTTTTAGTCTGTAACAAACCAATTTAATGTCCATAGTGTGCCACACACTCAACACAGATATGAATGGCAAGAATAAGAATATCCAGTGAAGAACAGATAACATTTTCTTAACAAATCTACAACTATATCCAGTATTCTATTTCTTAAAAGAGGTGCCACAAAACTGCTCCCTCTGACCTGAAACATTTGCCCTAATCCAAATTATTTTGGGATCAGCTGTAAGGGAAAGACACTCTCAGTATGTTCAGTGGCACTCTGTTCTTTAAGTACGCTTTGGAGCTAAGCCCGGCAAAGCTTTGTTTCACTACATCCTGAACACTATACAAATTCCCAAAGAAACCAATAACAAATTCTACACTCCATGCCTTCAACTCCTTTCCAGAGATATTTTTATTGCAAACCAAACCCTATCAACCAAGATAAACCTTTACTGCTCTCAACAAAATCCCTTAAAAAAACTCTGCCCGATACATATTTTAGAATAGGTCATTCCAATCTATGCTACATGGAGGGAGTAACCAGTCCTACCCAGGTATTATTATTTTTTAGAAACCAAACAAATATTGTGAATTTTAAATGGATGGTGCAATTTGTAGGTTTAGACCCATCACACCAAAAACCAGGTGAAGTCACCGCCATCTTGATTCAGGTGCGCTAGTGAAAGTTATTGTGTGGGCTTCCACTTGCTGGACTGGTGATCTGAATATAGCATGATATGGCCAAGCTGCCATTGTACTAGTCAATGGTTTTGTTCCTTTCGCAGACTTTTTCAGCCTGGCCAAAGAAAAGTTGTCCAGAGTCGCAATCTCACTTAAGTGAGCTTCCAGGGCATTAACATTCCACTGCACATCCTCTCCAGGCGTGAACTAGAGAAACTGATTAAGAGATACAGCTGGGATAAGGCTTCACCAGAGAGTAAACTTCAGCAATAGCTTAGCGAGTGGTATAATAACAATTAGTCCAGGGAGCAATACAATTTGAGCAGTGAAGCTGGGTAATATGGTAATTATGCACAGTAAGAAATAATTTTTGCACTTCCACCGTGCTTTGGAGCAACATCAAAGAGCAAAGATAGTGCTGAAGTTTTTTACTTCTGCAGAGCAGAGATGCCTCCATACGGATCCCGTTTTTAAACAAAAGAGAACCACATAGCGTGGATTTGGGCTGTCAAATCTGCTGGAAACAAGAGCTTCCGCCTTCACCCCAAAGATGTTAAGACCTTTAAAAACTTTTTGAAAGCTTCAGCTGGCACAGAATACAGTAGCCAAGTTATTTTTTTTAAGAGGTCAATCATAAGAAAGGGAAAAACATGGCAGATTAAACAGCTTTAAAATATCACATAGCTGTTAACCGTAGGGCGCTCCCTCACAGCAACAATGACCTTTACAGCTCCATATGCTCTGTATTCCTCAAGCAACACCTTCTCCTGTATGAACCTCCCACAACTGCTAAGACACCCACATGAGCTTCTGTGCTCACAGAACAGGGCTTTCTCTGTTGCAGCATGTCAGGTGCTGGTGTGGTTGCTCGGGAGCAAACAGGCAAGACTCCAACCTGGCTTTTCTAGGCTTTATTATCTGTACAAACTATTTACAGTGCAGAGTGTTGCAAGTCCATGTCTGCTCAGTCGCTAGCAGAATCTGGGAGTGGGTGGTCCTTATACCTTCCCCAGGATAACAGCCATGTGACCCTCAACTTTCTCCTCCCCTCTCTGCGCCAAAGACTACTGCGCAGAACGGGCACTGCCAAAGGGGGACTTGCCTCCCCTCCGCTTTGCTCAGGCTTGGTGTTGTGGCTCTCCCTAGCATCTTCTGATCCTTGCACCCCCTCCCCACTGGAGGGAAGATCTTCGGAGGCTCCCTGTAACACAACTGCTCTTCCACCTCTCGCCTCTGAGCTGATGGCAGTTCCCTGACACAGCACCATGATGATACACTGTGCTTCTAAGGCCAAGTGCCCTGCTCTGTCTTTTTTTACTCTGAAATATCTAAAGACAACCTTCCAGTATCCTCAAACTTTCCTGTTTAATGACTGGTGCAAACTGTGGTCTATATTATTTCTTATGTTTATGCTCAGTTGCTGCTGCTGCTTGGCCTTGTTTTAATCATTTACACTGCCATTGTCACACATCGTTTTCTTTATTTTTTAAACAGGAAATGGTATAGAAGTGACATAAATATACCTGTGCTACTACATCATTCAAGAGAAGAAAAAGGGGGGAAAGGATTGTTTTACAGCAACAACATGCTTACAAGCTTGCCTTGCACTGATTTCCATTGTACCATCCAAGTGAGCAATCTGGACAGATGCATAATACAGTGTGCATATGACAAAGGTCTCAATTCAGCACAGTTTTCTATTTCAGATAAGCTGAGATATCAGACCACACACCTGTATCATGGATTTCACCATACCAAGTTTCTTTCAGCCTAGATGTCATAGGCAAAGCAGGAGCGGTTTTGTAGTAAAATTTAAAAACAACCATACCAAGTACACAAGAGTCACAGAAAGCAAGAGCATCCATATATTTCACTCTCACTTTATAAATTACCCAAGGACTGTTATTTTATAGGTGTCAGAAATCTGCCAGGAGCAGATTATATATGGGGAAGTCTCACTGACTTCAACAGGGCCAAGAGGACACGAGAATGGCAGGAGCCAAGTTCTATAATAAACTTTCTCAATTCTTTGCTTTTACAAAGAAACATTAATTTTCTCTCTCCTTTTCTCTCTCTCACACATATATATACTGCTGACAATCAGGTGTGCAAAATGCAACACCCATCTGGAAGGTTTCCTTTATGCTCTCAGTGATTTCTGTTCCTGGTAATTTGAAACTTGTCAACTAAAGTAACTAAGTCTGGCTATTTTATCAGATTGGGGATGGTTTCAAGGAGAAGGAGGAACCTTATGCAACCAACTTTGCTCACACACAAACCATCTTTCAGCTCTTGCCGATAGTGATAAATACACAGTGGCCCTTTGATTACTTCACACAAAACGTGCCTTTTTGCAATAAAATCCAGCAAACCCTTTTCATACAGGAAATACGCATAACTTGGTGGTAATTATTCAAAGTAATTATTGTTTAAATTGTGATCTGCCTTACTCGGTTTGTAGCCATCCACAGAGATGGTGCTGTATGAGAGATATATGGATGTAGCAATTAATTAATACAGAAATATGAGAAAATAATGAACAAATGTATTTCTGGGATACAGCACAAAAGGAAGTCAGTTTACTCATGTACTAATGTACTATGAAGCAACAGATATGCAAAAAAAATGCCACAGGGTGCTTGAACTGAGCAGGCTGCTGACTATCAGTCCTTGGATTTGCATGCATTTTGTGTAAGATGCACTTGAATTGTGAACATCTCAAGTAACCTGAAAAACAGCTGTTGTAAGAGCAACCCTCAAGTGTCCTCAATACTGAAAGCCATTAAACACTGAACCACTTGATTTCTTTCCTAAGATAAAGGAGATGTTAAAGGGCCACTACATTTTTGCATTTGCATCAACATTAGCAGTTAAAAGGGAGTTTCTGGTGTCTAACGCCAAGCAAATTGCAAAACAGGAAGCGATAGCCTCAAACCAATTTTAGCATTATGTTCTTTCCAGAATGAAAATGAAAGCCACTTCATGCAACTAGGTAGAAAGACAATCAGAGCTTCTTATGACACAAGCACATTTATTGTTAATTATTTCAAAAAAAAAAAAAGCCTTCTAGTTTACAGTCTCTGCAACATGACAACAACGCCGCAGAAAGCAAAGTGTGGTTTCCAGCATTCTCAGGAAAGGATCGAACAATGTATAAGGCAACTGTAGGACTGAAAAGTTGGAATAAAGCATAACTGTGCGGCATATAACCAAAACAGTTTGTCTGTGTATATGTGAGCAAAATCCACTTGTCAGTCTCCAGTAAGTGAAGTGTCACCTTGGGCCTCTACACACATTTGGGGAAGACAAGACCCCTTTGATCACCGTGTATCCCATTTAATCCTAGGAAGGACAAACAATATCTCATGGCCTCTGCATCAGCCATACATTATATGCTATGGCATGTCATGGTTCTATACAGCATCAACATCACTCCTTTTCAATTCTAATTTCAAAGTTTAATTTAGCTAAGGAAGCACACAGCTCCCAACTGGAAGAGCTACTTACTTGGAAGACATTGGACAAATCTCTCAGGTTGAAGTTGTAATGAAATTTGATAGCTGTTGGCAGGAATGTTGCCGCCACTTTCACGTGCAGGGCAAGAGCCAGACTTATTAACTGCTGTGATGATTTCTGTAAAGCCGCAGAGAAGTTCCCCCGCTTCAGGTGCTGAGTTAGGATGGTGCTGTAAATCGTGGACAGAGCATCTGACCCAGGGAATGAGAGAGCAAACACACTGAAGTGGCGCTGCATAAAGGAAAACACAATACAGACTAGTAGGTATTGCATGTAACAGAAATAGGATGGGTTTGGGCAGAATCACTTTCACTGGCGCAACTTTTCCCTTGACCTGATAATAGCAAATGCCTGAGAGTTTTCATACACCTGTCTCCAAAGGGAAGAATCATCAATCACACCCAGTGGGCCACAGACAACTACTCAAGTGAAACTCATAAATAAAACACGGATAGAGATGGTGATGCTGGATCATAGGCCCAAGGCCACATGTAGAGCAGTGCTTGACCTATATTGCACACCTCATTCTTCCTAACTCCCAGATGCTGGAAACTGGGAAATCTGCCTACCAGGAAAATAATGGCATCACTAGATAATTCTAAGCTAACTTCCTGCTACAAGACTACTACTACTACAACAACTGCTGCAAAGGACATGGTTGGTGCTGTGGTCTACACCACTGAGCCTCTTGGGCTTGCTGATTGGAAGGTCGGCAGTTCGAATTCATTTAACAGGATGAGCTCCTGTTGCTCTGTCCCAGCTTCTGTCAACCTAGCAGTTCAAAAGAACACCAGTGCACATAGATAAATAGGTACAGCTGCAGCGGGGAGGTAAATGGCGTTTCTGTGCACTCTGGCTTCCATCACAGTGTCCCGTTGCACCAGAAGCAGTTTAGTCATGCTGGCCACATGACCCGGAAAGCTGTCTGTGGACAACTGCCAGCTCCCTCGGCCTGAAAAGCGAAATGAGCACCGCACCCCATAGTCGCCTTTGACTGGACTTAACCATCCAGGGGTCCTTTACTACAAGAGGGCAAAGCATTTGACGTGACACTTAAAACAGTAGCAGCACTTGTACTAATAAATAAAGTACTGCTTTAAGAATGTTGAAATCTGCCCCTATCCATTATTACAGAAATCCAAACAACTCTGCAAGATATCTAAGTATATTCCTCCTGCGTTGCAACTTAAGAATAGGGAAGGCTGTGGTTTCAAGACAGTGGCTTTTGCCGTAGACCATCTTGGTCTTTGAACAAGGAATTTTCCAGCTAATGCAAGAGGCACTGAACTATGCCAGTTTTCAGGTGCCTTATCCCTCTCCCTAAAATAAAAAAAATCAAAGTCACACTTTTAAATTACCAAAGTAACAAAAAGGTTAGAAAGGTCCTGTGATTCTTCTTGTAAAGGATATTTGCCAAGCAATTAGCATATAATCCCACTACAACAGGACACCCACTGCAACCTATCACTTGGCTTCCTAGTGTTTACATGGCAAAAAGCCAATTTCATCTGTGAATTCTACAAGACTCTTCATACCCCAAAAGCTCCAGCCCTTTCAATATGGGCTTTTTAATCAGGGATATGGGCTAGATGAAAATGCTTGATGAATTATATGTTAGAAAGTAGAAGAAGAAAGTAGAAGCCACTGAAAAAGAAACAATGCTGTTCAAAGTTCCAGCAAAACAAACAGAATTACGTACTCCAGTGTATGCCTTGAAAAGAGTTTGCCACTGTCCTTGGTCCTGAAATATCATTATATTGGAACTGTATTATGAAATCAGATTCCAACACATGGGATGCAATATAAGATTTTCTGATGTTTAAAAACAGCAAAGCACTGATGGGGGTATGAATGGGCTCTACACAGGGAAGTTGATACTAAAAATAAAATAAAGCTGATCGGAAGGTCAGCAGTTCGAGTCCCCGCGCCGGGGTGAGCTCCTGTTGCTTGGTCCCTCCTCCTGCCAACCTAGCAGTTCAAAAGCACATCAAAGTGCAAGTAGATAAATATGTACCGCTCTGGTGGGAAGGTAAATGGCATTTCCATGAGCTGCTCTGGTTCGCCAGAAGCGGCTTAGTCATGCTGGCCACATGACCCGGAAGCTGTACGCCGGCTCCCTTGGCCAATAAAGTGAGATGAGCACCGCAACCCCAGAGTCATCTGTGACTGGACCTAACTGTCAGGGGTCCCTTTACCTTTTAAGTTCAGTACATCTTACACCCCACTTTCTTCTCATATCCAGAAAAAAACTAAGTTTTACTTCAAAGTTTTCATTTCTTAAAGTTTGTCTTCAAATGGAGACCATCTAGGATAGCTTGCAAACAAATGAGAGTGTTAATCCTTCCAAAGACTGAGTGAACCCAACAGCGGCTTTCTCCTTGCCAGGTGAACAAGCAATACCTGCAAGCGTGGGTTGATAGTGAAGCTGCCTGCTGTGGGATTCATGCACGACACGTACTGCACATTCATGATCTCCTTCAGGGACAGCTTGTTTCTGTCATACCTTTGCCAGAAGAAGAAAAAAGAAAAGAATGCATCACCCTAATCACATCCTATTAGTGACAAACAAACAGCAGTGTGCCTGCCGGACTTTGCCAAGTCTCAAGCAGCATGTCAGATGTGCACTGGGCACCTGCTGTATCCCAGCTGCTTTCAATTAATATTCTAACAGAGGTTGCACAATATTGGGGAATGAGACTAGGATTCGCATATGTCTGCATAACATCTAGAACAGCAGGGACTCTATATCGGGGAGAGTATCAGACTTCCTTTACTGTATTTACAGGCAATGCTCTAGGACAGGGGTCAGCAACTTGCAGCCCATGGGCCACGAGCAGCCCACGGAGGCAGTTTAACCAGCCCACAAGCTGCTCCCAAACTGAGCCGCCCGCTTGGTGAATCCCTGCGTGTTGTGCTAAAGCGGCGTGGCGCAGGGACTTGCTTCTGTGGTGCTGGAAATCGCGTCTGCGCACGCCCAGACACCAGATATCATGTCTACACATGCCCAGACAACGGAAATCATGTCTGCGCATGCCCAGAGGCCAGAAATCATGCTCACACATGTGTGCAATCCAGCCCACAGAGAGATCTCCGCAGGACTTGACCAGCCCAGGCAGGTAAAACCTTGCTGACCCCTGCTCTAGGGCATGATGAGTGGGATAGAAATTCAGCAGATAAATACTAATAAATTAGCCCAAAGCCAAACTTGAGAGAAATACACATATAACATATATCTTTTAAAAGGGTCTGAAAGTGATAGGGAAACAGAACAGAATTATGGCTAAACACATGCCAAAGTGACAAGGACTGTAAATAGAGATATCTATCCCTATTTTACCAGTGCCCATAGTCCAGATGTTGCCGAATCAGTGTATGAGGCTGGACTGTTCCATAAGTGTCTACTTCAGGCATATTCATGTCGTCGATGAAGTAGATAAGCTTCTTGGTGCCAGGAGGGCCATAATTCCTTCCTGCCTTTTTATCCAGCGGCTTCTCAAGAACAGCTGTGAAGAAAATAAAGGCTCGGAGTTTTCAAAAGTGTTCTTTCCAACACTGTGATACTAATCCATAATATGAACTGTAAGGCAGCAAGAAAGTGGTGACTCCCTTTGATGAGGAACCATACCCCTGGTGCCTGTACAGGTATGTGGTAAAAGTGGTGTGTTGCCTTAAAATTATTTACAAGAAACAAGAGAATGAAGACGAGAAAGGCTGATGAAAGGATTGCAATGGCTGGGGTTTAGCAGACTGGCAAGGCAAAAAGAGAAAAAATGTTAGGCAGAACCTAAAACAGGAATAAGAAATCTACAACCTTCCAGATATTGTTAGACTCCATCTCCCAACACCTGAACCTTGGCCAATGAGGACCAGCAACATCTGGAGGGTTGTACATCCTTGGTTTAAGTTAGGAGTGACTGAATATGGGAAAAGAAAGAAGAATAAAATGTCTCATCCAGAGTTGTATCCAAGCTAACGCTGAATAACACAACCTACCAGTGTAAGGATTTCTACTTGTGCACTGGAACCTCCCCCTTCTCCTCCCCCTGAATGGTCCCCTAAACCAGTTCTATGAGTTCCCCCAACCCTCTGGATTTGGGTAGGATTCAGGGCACACACTTGGGTGAGGAGTAGAGGAAGTTATGTGGTGCTAGTGGAAATCTTTGCACTGACAGGAATATGTGTGGTGTGGTGTTTTGTTGTTTTTTAATACCACCCTCAAACTGCAATCCTTAGGAGATGAATCAAAAGGGACATGATCATGGTAGAGAGAAAATAAAGAGGGGAGACACACAAGTCACTTCTGCTGACAGAAAGTTTAAGATGCCACATCTCTAATGGAATACAGGGGTGTGGGATTTCACCCTGCACATATTTAAACAATACTTGGGCTGGAGGAGGGAATTTGCAGTACTGGCATATACTGAAATATGCAATGCAATGATGTGATATCATACATTTTCCTTACTGGGTGCTAAGGAAAGAAGAGAAGGGGAACTCTATGCAGAGCTGCTGTTTTTTGACAAAGGCTCCAGAATCAGCATCATGTTTAGACCCAATATTGGGCAGCAGTCTTAGATGCAACCAGTTCTGGCTCCCAGGGGAGTGTTTTAAATGTGGCATGCGTGTTTCTCGGGGGGGAAATGATTTTTGTTTGCATCTGCAAAAAAAAAGTGAAGCAGCCTGTAGCATTGGATAAAGACCAAAAGGTAGAATAAAGACCAAAAAACTGAGATAAAATGCCCACTAAAATTAGTCAATAAAACACTTTTGGCAGCACAGTTGTATTTTTCAATGTGTAATGGTTCTACGGTGCAGATCATAATTCATCCAAGATATTGATCTATTTATCCTTGGCCCCTGAACCATATTTTGGCTTATCAGAAACAATGAGGAGTCACTCACAAGAAGAAAGCCATTGTGTGTTGTGGCAAACCATTTATAGGGGCCCTAGAAGATATCGATCAGAACTGTCAAGCAGGTTTCTCTCAAAAGCTTGGAATGCAACCCTATTTTTTCTGTAAGAAGATGACCAAGTTACACGCTTTGGTATTTGGACATCTATATGCATGCTTATTACCCAGACAGTCATCAACAAGTTGTCTGGAGCCGTGCAAGGAATATTTGAATTAAAAGCTAATCAGCTGCATACATGAGAGATTAACCTGTGCAAATATTGCACAAAACCAAGTGATCAAGACTGCTAAGCTAGAACGAAGGGCTAGTTTGGCCTGAGAAACATTAATCAAACTGAAGCCTTTGTCGCAGAAAGGTAACACTTCGTCCAAAGTGAAATTGGAAATTGTACAATACAAGCTTCTTACTAGTCATCGCTCAAACATGCTCAATCTTACACATGGACAATAGGAACAGAAAACAGCTTGATGTCAAGGTAAGGTGCCACGGGCAAATTAGAGGTTTATGTAGATGGACAGAGGAAAATCATCCAAATGAATACCACAATTTCTTTTGCACAGTGCAACAAGGCATAAACAAGTCCTTTCTTCAATTCACTGAACTTATGGCATTCAACAGTAAGCAACAGTCATGATTCCTCTTGCCTTGTGATTATGGTCTGAAATACAGTCTTCGGCTAAGGGGGACAATATTGGCTAAGGTGCCCATATTGTGTGAATAATCCCTGGCTGGGAAGACCAGGACAAATTGTTAAGAAAAGAAAGAGTAGGGTTAAAAGGAAGTGGTCTCACTAGAATAGGATTTGCTTCTGGGAGGACTATTGCAAGAAGGCAGTGTGCCAGATGGTAATAATAAGTTCTTAGCTCCTTTTATTTGCCCCCTCCTGCCCTGCATTTGGTACACAACAGAAATATCTGGATGTGTACTCTTTTAAAAAAAATCAATGTTTTATGACAACAAACTGATGTTTTAAAAGGTGCCAAGGTTTGCTTCTCCCGCGTTTTCATCTCTCTAGGCAAATTGCTTTGCCAAAAGAATCACTATCATGGCAACTTCACATATTCGTTCTTTGACATAGTAATCGCTGTGCCACCAAAAGCATGAACATTTTAATGTATGTGCAACAGTACAAGTATTTACCCTGAGTGCAAATATCAAGAAGCAGGTGCATGTATCAACATATCTATGTTGAACAAGATATTTGCACTGGCTTATATACATTACAAGGTACAAACTGCTAATTTTCTATTGCCTTATTAAAAAACAACAACTGGCAGTTCTTAGTAGCCTTTCATCATAGTAGCAAAGCCTGCAAGAATGTTTTCAAAGATCAGCATCTTGCAATTGACAATGAACTTCTCAACAATCACCAAGCTATTAAGGGTGTGCTATCATTTGCTTTTCACTAAACTGATCACATATTTGCAGGTTATTAAAAACGCTTTTTGTTTTGTATTTAGCATCCACTGCTAAGAATCCATCTCATCTTGACAGTTTGTGGCACAGAAAGATCCTGAAATGATGGGTGCAAGATAACACCTCTGTCAGTGAGGAATCTTCCTCTTTAAACAACACCCCCCCCAAAAAAAAAATTAAATTTCTAGAAGTGAGAGAATGTCTTTCAAATATGCATTTAATTAGAGCCTAATTAACATAGAAAACATCCCTTTTAGGGATTTAACAAGTATGCAAAAGATATATCAAATTGAAATGCAATTACTGAGAGATCAAATGACATGTTCGTAAAAGCAGCATTTTAATCTGAGAATGTCTCTCACAATAATATCAAAAGCCACATGTCTCTTGCACAGATACTCAAACCCCAATTATACTGGAATAAACAATCACTGTGTTTTAGGGTTATTCAGCATCTGCTGTGCTTTCCCAGAGGCTGATGGGCTGAGAGACATCTATTTCTGTGGAATTCTCTGGGGGCAGGTTTGCCACATGAAGAAACCTTGCGCAAGGCTCCGTAGCTTGAAATGGGATTTAGATGGCTCAGTGGCCTTTTTCAGAATCTTTCCAGGATTAAACGCATTATGTTCTACAGTTAATTGCATCTGGAAATCTGCTAAGCACCATGGCCGTGCAGGGGAATGCAAACATTTTGCAGAAACACAAAGCTCTTTGATGCCACATGAAGCATCCCATCATGTTACCTTTCCCAGGGTGGAATTATTTGCACCTAATCACTAAACATTTGTTTGGACATACAAATCTCTTGCATGTGTGGGATGTCCCATTCACTAAATGGAGAGATCTGATCTGCCCGCATTTGCCCTTGCAAGGGTAGATCAGGTACTTTCACCACAATGCGTGGGAATCTCTTGCCAGCAGGCAATACTCTATATGCGTGTTAGAGGTGTTACGCTCATCAGAGATTTTATGCCCATAAACAATCAATCAATGGTGGGGCCTTCCATCTCCATTTGCAGCATGCATTGGAACATGACAGTGCTTTACCAATACAGGAGCAGTCATGTGATACTAAACATATTCTGTAATCATGTAACACAGAATCTAGTGGCATGTGTAAAACCACAAATAATTTCAGTTTTATTTGAAGGTGCTAACTACATGTCACATATATAGACCTTCATTAATAGAGGCCCGGGGGGGGGGATCAGCTTCAGAAAAAAGCCATTTTTAACAAGTAAAGAGGAGAGGGGGTCAAAGTTCAGTGATACAGCACTTGCATTGCATACAAAAGGTTTCCGGTGCAAACCCTGGGGTCGTCTGTAAAAATGAAAAAATCAAGTAGCAGGTGATGGAAGACACCTCTGCCAGAAAAGGTGCAGAGTCACTGTGACTCACTGTAGACAGTACTAAGCTAAATGGACCAGTAGTCTGAGCTGATATAAAGTAGCTTTCCAGGTTCCTATGTGAGGAAGGCCTTTCCTCACCAGCCATTTCTACACTCCAAACACCATTTCCAGCTGCTGCTCCTTCCAGAAGAAGAATTCCAGATACGTGCTGGCAAGGGCAAATATGCTCCTTAAACCCCACTGAAAATGGAATTTGAGAAGTTACAGGAAGCAAGATTATTAAATATATGCACCCCAAGATGGTTCTCCACTCCAAATCCCAACCTCAAAACTGCTTTTCTATTAATGCATGCAACATGTAAAGAGTTTTCAGATCCCACGATCAGCGAGACAATCCTGAAAATATGCTAGCAGTATAAAGGGCTGTGAGAAGTCTCAGAGTTGTGGATTATTTTGCACCTTCTCAAAATGCCACAAATTCCCCTATAATGTTTGCAACCAAGAAAGCTAAGTTGGAGCTGCAAGGAAAGAAGGCAGGGCTGCAGGCGGATAGTGCCTGTAAAAACTGTGCCATTTTTCCTCACAGACTTGCTATTTCCTGTGAACTCCTGCAAGGGAGTCTTCCAGTCTTCATTATAGGGACATGGTCCAGCACCCTTTCACGTCCATACTAATACACACATTCTTGGAGCAAATGGTGACTAAATCAGTCACTCTAGTGATGAGGAGGTCAGTTCTCCCTGATAGGACTGTGAACAGATAGATATGATCTGTGGGTCACAGACCCCCTTAGGTCAGTAATGCAGCGCTATAGGAAAGCATTGGGTAGTTTCTTCCTTCTCCTGAAACTGATGTTGGGCAAACAAACAGTGTCTCTGAAGCTCTCTGGAATGTCATTTATTATTCTGGCTGACTGTTAAGTTTTAAAAAGAGTGAAACAAACACCCGTTAGAAATAGCCGGCAAATGATAAACTGCAACACAGGACCAGGTAAATCTAAACACTGAGCAGTATAAACCAAGGTGCAAGGGGTATAAATCATGTTCAGCACACACCAGCAACCATGTCTGAGGCACATTCTTACACTAACCCACCCTGTGGATAACTTATTCGGATTCTGTGCCCCAGCCTCTGGCCATAACTCTCCGTCCAAGTAAATATGGGGGGAAATGTTGCTGCCATTTATCTGTTTACATCTCAACAGCAAGAAAAAGCTTTTCCCTCTGGCACTAAAATGTGTGTGTTGGGGCTCACTTGTGCTCTAAGGTTTTATAATCTTGTGATGTTTTTATTATTTTATTGTACACCCTGCTGATAGTCTTATCTTAAGTGGCAGTTTATAAATTTTCCTACAAATAAAGATATACAGAAACACCAATGGGTTTGGCTCATTATGAACTCTCACAAACTCCAACCCCTTTCAAGCAGAATTTGGAAAATGAAATGACGCATGTGTTTGTACTTTAATGACAATTAACACCTTTCCTCTGTTTGAAATGTGGATCAATTTTTTTCTCAAAAGAAGTCTTTGCTGCTGAAACTATCAGAGATGCATGACATTTGTTCCCCAGGCCATAGGGATACTCAAATGTTAACAGTGGGCAGGGGCAGACTTTGGTCTTTCAAAGGCTAACCCAGGGGTCAGCAACCTAAGGCCCATGAGCCACAAGCGGCCCATGGGGGTCGTTTAAACAGCCCATGAGACACCCCTGAACCGAGCCACCCACTCGGTGAGTCCCCGCGTGCTGCGCTAAACCAGCGCAGTGTGGAAACTCGCTTCTATGGCACTGGAAATCACATTTGCGCAGGCGTCAAAAATCACGGGCGCGCGTGTGTGATCCGGCCCATGGAGGGATCTCTGCTGGAGTGAACCAGCCCAGACGAGGTAAACCTTGCAGACCCCTGGGCTAATCGCTCGCCTTCCATTCTGCTCAATTCACTATGTGATACTTGCAACACCCTGCGGTGCTCACTAGGCTCAGCAGCCAGTAGGGCGGAAGCAGTTGCGCTGCCCCAAATCCACCTTTGCAGTGAACCTGTTCAGATTATACATACTCAGACTCTAGAGTTATGCTGAAATCAGGAGCAGCTCTCAGGCATATGCATATTTTCTCCACCTCCTCCATACACCTTAACTGAGGGACACCAAGTTTATTTAATTCAAGATCTCCCTGATCTGGATCCCATCGAGATCACAATATATCTATAGTTTTCAAAAGGTGAGCATAGTCTGGACATCACCTGTCATCGTCATCCCCCCCCCCCTGACTTTAATGTATATTTATCCCAAACAGGTGCATTGGTGCCCCTAAAGGCAGGTAGATCCCTATAAATGATTCAATATACACAACAGACCACTGTAATACAGACACTGGAAGAATGATACCATGAATAGGCCCCCTCAGGGCATTTTCTATATGCATGCGCTACCTGAAGCTGCATTGTTTACACAGCATTTATTAAACTATGACCAGGTTTCCAGCTGGGATTATTAAAAGACAGAGGAAGCTGTGAGCAGTGACAAATCACCTGCAGCATTCTCCATGCCTAAATATTTCTAGTTAGAACTACTTATTCTGTTGCTGCAAAATGTATGAATTAGTGGCATTCCTGTTTTCACATATGGTGCCTTTTATACTAAAATATTTAACTTGCATATTCAATTAGAGCCAAACAAATGTGCTGTAAAAAAAAACCCCCAACCCTCACTATCTGACTCCCCAATTCGAAACAATGCACTAACACTGGGTTCCCGCCAATGAAAAAGCCATTTGAGTGAAGTGGCATATGCACACTTCCTTCAGGCCCATTTTAATCTCAACAGCACTGAAGTGAAGAACAAACAAAACAAAAGCAAAAAGGAAATTGTCTCTTATTTAGGGCACTGTTGCAGGGATATGGATCAAGCTCACATCATTTATCACAGAGCGGTTCCACAACATAAAAATACAAAATGAGAATACAAAATACATAATAAAACAAAAACTCCCACAAATGCATTTAAAAGAGAATGTTAATCAGCCAAAGGGCTGGTTATAGAGAAATGTTTTTGTTTGGTGCCTAAAGATACATAATGAAGGTGTCAGGCAAGCCTCCCTGAGGAGAGCGTTCCACAAACAAGGAGCCACCACAGAAAAGGCCTGCTCTTGTGTTGCCACCCTGTGGACCTCTCATAGAGGAGGCACGTGAAGAAGAGCCTCAGGTGATGAACGCAGTGTCCAGGATGGTTTATATGGGGAGAGGCAGTCCTTGAGGTATTGTGGTCTTGAGCCATGTAAGGCTTTATAGGTCAAAACCAGCACATTGAATTGGGCCGGGAAACTTATTGGCAGCCAGTGCAGTCAGATCAAGATTGCTGCAATATGCTCAAACAGTCTTGCCCCAGTGAGCAGACTGGCTGCTGAATTCTGCACCAGCTGAAGTTTCCAAACCATCTTCAGAGGCAGCCCTATATATAACACACTGAGGTAATCTAACCTAGAGGCTACCAGAGCATAGACAAGAGAAATTAGGCTATTGCTGTCCACATAGGGATGCAGCTGGGCCATCAGCTAAAACTGATGGAAGGCACTTGACACTACTGAGGCCACCTGAGCCTCAAAAGTGATAGCAAAGGATCCAGAAGAACCCCTAAGCTACATACTTGCTCTTTCAGAAGGAGTGTGACCCCATTAAGAGCAGGCAACCTCCTATCCATCTGGTCTAGAGAACCACCCACTAAAGCCTCCTCCTTTAAGACTCACCACTTTAAATTTAGTCTGACTTATAAATTGACAAATATGATGGAATTTACCCTCTCCTTTTAGGGATGTGGGTGGTGCTGTGGTCTAAACCACTGAGCCTCTTGGGCTTGCCGATCGGAAGGTTGGCGGTTCGAATCCCCGCGGTTGCTCAGTCCCAGCTCCTGCCAACCTAGCAGTTTGAAAGCACACCAGAAGTGCAAGTAGATAAATAGGTACCGCTCCAGCAGGAAGGTAAACGGTGTTTCCGTGCGCTGCTCTGGTTTTGGTGTTCCGTTGCACCAGAAGCGGCATAGTCATGCTGGCCACATGACCTGGGAAAACTGTCTGCAAACAAATGCCGGCTCCCTTGGCCTGTAAAGTGAGATGAGTGCCGCAACCCCAGAGTCGTCTGCAACTGGACTTAACTGTCAGGGGTCCTTTACCTTTTTTTTTTTTTTACCCTCTCCTTTTATGTATGGATTACTCTCCAACATGACAAAGGATTCTGTTTACTCTCTGAGTTGCGATTGTTATGCTTCCAGTTACCGTATTCCTTTATGTGAAACTATTTTAAAATGCAAAAGCAACTCAGAACAACAGCTTCAACACTTCAGTTCAGCCACGCAACAATTTCTTCTTAACCCCCTTTTATTTGGAGTATGCATTTATTCTGAGTGTCTCATAGCACAATTTATTCTACCTTAGTAGCTTCCCTTTTAATTTACCCTTTTCATTTCACCTACTTATTTACCTTGCAGCATGGCAGACGTGGTGTAGTAATTAAAAGGAACGTTCTTCACCAGGTACTCCTCGGAATCCAGCAGAGACAGTTTATCTCCTACAATCACAGACTTCCCTGTGCCTGCATTTCCCACCAGCATGACTGGTCTACGTTTCTCCAAGAGCTGATCCATGAAGTAACGCACCCGGATGGTCTCAGTGGTGTGTACTAGGCAGGCCTGATGGGAGAATGAGAGGTATCTGTAGTGAGCCCCACAGCACCCTACATATCTAAGCAGGGCAAGTCAGAAACATGGAACTGGTAGTTGGCACTGTGTGGCATCAGCTGAAGTGTGGCCCCTTCCCCCAGCCCTCCACTGATAACGATACCACTGATAACGATAAGTGCTGTTGCGCTTAGGGCTGTTTCCAGTGTAGCATATGCTTCAAAACACAAGGAAGCAAACAGAAAATATTTGCAGACACACAGTGTCAGAGCTGGCTCCAGGTCCCAGCTCACAGAGGACCAACGCTAGCCGGCAGTAATGTACAAAAGTCTTTATTGAAGTACAGTTTCCATTTCCAAACCGGAGCGCCCCAGCTCTACGTCTTAGAGGCTAGACCGGCGAAGCTCCATCTGAGTCTCCGCCCCCTGTACACCAGTTTAAGACTCTAACCTTACTCCACCTCTTCCGTCTCTCCTTTCTCCTCTGGGTCCTTCTACCCCCCGGGGTCCCTTCCGTCCTGGACTCTTCTGACGCTGACGCTGACCCCCCTGAGTCTCCTCCCTCCTTTCGGCGGGCTTTAGGACCTGGCTCCCTCTCCGGGCTGCCCACTGCGCCTCCCTCTTGTACATTTGAACTTGGCGCGCGCGCCCAGTCTCCGACCTTCCTTTTGACCGTTTCCTCGCTCTCCGATGGAGGTGTGGCCAATCCTGACTCATGTCCTCCCGCTGGCGGTGCGCCGCCTGATCCCGATGCCTGGGACTCCTCCCCCCTACTGCGCTCTGGTGGAGAAGCTGGTCCTGATTTCCAACTGCTGCTCTCTGAGTCCCCTCTTGCCCCTTCTTCCTGGGGTGTCCCCCTAGGCACCCCCCTTGCTCTGACCATGGGAGCCCCTTTCTGTGAATCCTCCGAGTCGCTGGAGAGACTCAGAGACCTCGGACGGCTGTCATCGCTAACATTTCCTTCAGATTCCTCCCCCTCGGTCTCTATTTCCTCCCTCTCCTGTGCCTCTGCTCCTGAGCCCCTGACACACAGAGAAACGTGTGTCTTTTAAATGTGGAAAGACACAGACCCAACCACTCAATACAAGCAGCTTGTTAAGAAGGTGTATATTTGGAAACACAAACAGCAACTCATAGATTGGACTGGTTCATTAATGCCTTCCAGGTTAATTTCCAAGTAGGCCTGGTTGGCTCAAAAATCCTCTCCCAGGTGTTCAGTGTCAGGAAAGGCCAACTTGCAGAACTCACACAACTACTTCCACCCATTATGCTTCTTCCTAGCCTCACTGACTCACACCAGCAACATTTGCTTCCTTTCATTGCGGACAACACTGACTTGAATCAACTGTAGGGGCTTAGACAAAAGCACAACAGCGCATTAGCCACAGCCCACCTTCCAAAGAAAAGTAACTTGCTATGTGGAGTGCAGGTCATCTGCACACACTCTTTACCTAGCATTTGGGGGAGCCTGGGGAATAAGAATATCAGAAAGGCAAGTGGTGACCCCATTTTGAGACTTTAATAATCCCACAGCCCTAGACAGCAATATAGCCATGTGATGTGCACCAGATAATATCAAACCAAATGAATGCTTATATTGCCAGTATCCCTTGTGAACATCCTGACACACAAAAATAAGAACTGTATTTTCTAAGTGTGTTGCAGAATGCCAAAATGTGGATGGAAAAAAGGGAAATGAGCAGAGGAGAAAAACAGCAAGGACATATACTTCATCAGTGTCCCGTACTGAGCTCTCTTTTGAGTAACACTGCTTGCCACAGTCAGATGCCTGCTCTCTGCAAACAAAATATTGTGTGTGTGCATGCGTGTGTATGTGTGTTTCCTTAAAGAGTGATGAATAAGCCAAATGCTGTTTTCTTATTAAACTCAGTTATAATTTCATTTGGCTATTTCCAACTAGATGGAATCAGAACCTGTCATTGCAAGCATCTTTGCACAACATTAGTCAGAGGCCAATACATTGAAACAATAATCCCACTGAAACAAGAACAGAGAGATTCAGTTAAGAGCCTGGGATCACAGGCTGTTCTCTGTGTAGAGACCTTTTTTCAGGCAAACTCTGCCCCCCTACGGCCTGCAGGCCATGGTACAGATATCCAACTTTCTATCAAAATGACAACTTCAATACCAGCCTATAATAAATATACGCGAAAGAGGATAAATCAGACCTGCCTCTCATAAGTGCTCAAAAACTAGGAACTATGCATCACAAAATGCAAAGATTGGCTTTGAAACAGAACCAGTAAATAAAATGAATTCATCAGGGGGCTTCTTTCCTATCTGAATCCTTGATTATCTGTGAATGCCCTCCAACAAACACACAGTTCCATTCAGTGCAGTGTATCTGATGCTCTGATCAGAAAGCTGCTAAAGGTGCTCCACAGCCTCAGTATATCAGCTGTTTCTCTGGGAATAAAGGCTGTTCAAGGTAACACACTTAGTGTGAAATGGTTATCCACAAATATCTGCAATCTCAATATTTGGTCAGAGACAACCATTCATCCTCCGTGCAAGAAGGGATACACCAGCACACTCCTTTACATGAACTTCTTTTCAATGTACACTGCCCAGTTCATTGAAAAGGCACTGTCCAATCGTTATAACCACCTAAAAACAAGGAAAAGCACAGCCAGGAGCAGCAGCAGCAGCAGCATGGAAGTAGCAGCAGAGAAGGGGATCAGAACTGAACAGCAACACCATGAATGACTGGAGCACAGGTAAGGCTACCACTCCTGCAATAGGTGATTGTATGGCCATTCTAGTAGGCATAGCATCAATTCTCTATTATAAAGCAACATTCAGTACCAATGTGCAAAAAGGAGGCAATATGCTTTCACATTCTTAACCAACCTCTTTGTTTAACATTGTCTCACAAACACACACATAAGCATAATTACCTACCTGTAGTGGCATTTCTGGATCAAAGTCAAATTTGGGGATGAGCTTGGACCAGTGCTCAAATTTCTTTGTTTCTGGGTCAATGTAAAAGTCAAAGACTGTTCCATGGGAAGGAAACTTGATGGTCTTGAACTCCGTCACCCACCATTTACTAAATTCGACCCTGTAGTCTACAAGCTGCCAAGAAAAATGTGGAAGAGGATTTAATGCACAGATAAATCACTTTTTTATTAGCATCATCGCCATTATTATATTATCAACATTATTACAGTTTGTTTATCACCTTTTGGCCCAAGGGCACCCAAAGTGGAGAACAGCATATTAAAAACAAAATATACAGTAAAGTAAGAAAAAAATGCCATAAAATCAATGAAAACAATACAACACATAAAAACCACAACACAGGAGGATCAGAAGAAAGCCTTCCCAAGTTAGAGGATTAAAGAATGCTGTCACCAACCTTGCATTATATATACCGAAGGGCTAAAAACCTGAACAATGAGAAATACTTCTTGCAGGAGGAAAGCTAGCCCCAAGTTGAATAACTAAGAGTGGTCTCACCAGCACCCTAACTATTCAAGGGTTCAGGGTGAATGAATAATTGGTGCCAACGGACGCCATTTTAAAAATAAAATAAGATTAGGAACCCTTGCAATATTAATGGTTGTCACAAAGAGAAAGTGTTCGAAACTTTACCTCGTGCTTTCTCGGCAGGTGCAATCCTCCACAAAGGTTAGGATAAAAAGTATGTGGCCCTCACCCCTAACCCAAGTCAACAGAATGTCCCTAAGGACCTTTGCTTAGGAAACCACCCTGACAGGGGCGGATCTACTATGAAACTAATGAAGCTCAAGTTTCAAGGGCCCTAATCCCAGAGGGGCCCCAGAAGGGACTTTATTCATGCATAAAGGTAAAGGGACCCCTGGCCATTAGGTCCAGTCGTGGCTGACTCTGGGGTTGCAGCGCTCATCTCGCTTTATTGGCCGAGGGAGCCAGCGTACAGCTTCCAGGTCATGTGGCCAGCATGACTAAGCCATTTCTGGTGAACCAGAGCAGCGCACGGAAATGCCATTTACCTTCCCACCAGAGTGGTACCTATTTATCTACTTGCACTTTGACATGCTTTCGAACTGCTAGGTTGGCAGGAGCAGGGACCAAGCAACGGGAGCTCACTCCATCGTGGGGATTCAAACCACCGACCTTCTGATCGGCAAGCCCTAGGCTCTGTGGTTTAACCCACAGTGCCACCCACATCCCTTTATTCATGCATACATTTCCCTAATATGCATCCTCCCCACATAACCTGAAAACTATAAGGCATAGGGAAACTCTATTCACACCAGTGACTTTGACATGTGAGATGATCCAGTACAGCAGTTTTAAACAAAGTCTGGGATGCAGCAGTTCATTTAAAAAAATTAATAAATCTGGTGATCCGTCGTGGAACAACCCCACTGAAGAAGATAGCAGTAGTTGCCCAGACCTCATTGCTGGTTGCGAAGGGGCACTCACAACAGTTCAAGCTCCAGGGCCCCCAAAATGTAGGTCTGCCACTGCATCCAGATGCTTGCTGGTGTCTTCACACAGCAACCTCACATGCTGCTTGGTCTTCACGTGTGGTAGAAATGGAAACCTGCAGGCTACACCTTGGCAGCTTGGCAAGTTTATAAGTTTCATACTTTTCCAACTTTCTTCTCTTCTAGGGAAAAAATCCTTCCAGAACACTGCTTTCCTGTCATTAGAGTTTTTCTTTTCATTTTTAAGGGAAAAAATATCCGTACTCTTATGTCACTAAACAAATAATTATCTATGATGGGGCCTGATGCAAGATCTATCAGAGTTAATTAAGCTTGTGTAAACAACTAGGCAATCAAATTGATCAGCCAAAGAAAGCAGAAGGCTCACATCAAGCTGTTCATAGCAAAATCTTTGTCCATCAATCACCACTAGCTTGCAATTTACTTTGTCAAAGTCCTTGCCCCAGAACAGAAAACAGATGCCTGAACACAACCAGTGCGCATTTCTTTCATGACACAGTGACAGTGTACGCCTACCTTAATTATAAATCTTACAGCTGCAAGATTTGTAAATATCATGATTCGTTGAAAAAGCCAATTGCGCAGGGCAAAGTACAGTTCACCAATAATCAGCCTGCCTTCCAGAGAAGGGCATCACTTTTATGTGTGTCCTTCATAGCAAAGCATCTGAGATGTATTCACAAGGGCACCAGATGACTGTCGTGTGGAGCTAAAAGTGTTAATTATCTGCTACTCAGTATCATGTGAAAGCGTTATTGGCTGCCCTATTACTATTCAAGTAATGGCAGAAATGCCATGACCTGTTCAGTTGCAAGTTTGCTAGTGCCATACGCCACCCCCCCACCAACACATGCACACAAACAAACACACACAGAGAGGGGGGGGAGGGAGCTTTGCTGCCTAGTCCTAGATCCTTTTCGTTCACCAAGTGCAATTTCAATACTAAATGCAACCAAACAAAACATTAAGACTGAAGTTTCAGTCTTCAAGGGCTGGATCACACATGCATGTTACGTCACTTGTTTCTGTGCTCAACATTTGATAACTCACAACCTACGTAATCCAATGCAACTGAAAAACCTTGTGATTTTGGAGTGATATGCATCAGTAATATTATTGAAGTAAAAGTCAGTAAAATTAATGATCTACAATGGTTCGTTCACATATGCTCACTGATGCTGAAGTCATAAAATTTGTTTAGAAAATGTTACAGGTAGGTAGCCGTGTTGGTCTGCCGTAGTCGAAACAAAATAAAAAAATTCCTTCCAGTAGCACCTTAGAAACCAACTAAGTTTGTCATTGGTATGAGCTTTCGTGTGCATGCACACTTCTTCAGATACACTGAAACAGAAGTCACTAGACCCTTATATATAGTGAGAGGGTGGGGTGGTATTACTCAGAAGGGTGGTGGGAATGGGTGATTGGCTGATAGGTGTGGTAAACCATTAAAACCATGGAGAGACCTGGTCTGAATAGAGATATTGGATTCTTATCTCATTATACATGATAAAGCTATTTTTAGCCATTCAAATGCCAACAGTGCCCTTCAGCTCTCTATATTGGACAAACAGGCCAAACACAACGCCAAAGGATAAATGGACATAAATCTGACATCAGGAATCACAAGACAGAGAAACCAGTAGGAGAACACTTCAGTCTCCCAGGACGTTCTATACAAGATCTCAAAGTAGCTGTCTTATTACAAAAGAATTTCAGAAATAGACTGGAAAGAGAAGTTGCTGAATTGCAACTTATTACCGAACTTAAAACCATGGAGAGACCTGGTCTGAATAGAGACATTGGATTCTTATCTCATTATACATGATCCATCTCACCCATTGCTTTTTCCTGTAAGACAAATTGCAGCTGTTAACAGTCGTCAACAGGTTTACCACACCTATCAGCCAATCACCCATTCCCACCACCCTTCTGAGTAATACCCCTCACTACCCTCTGACCTTATATAAAGGTCTGGTGATTTCTGTTTCAGTGTATCTGAAGAAGTGTGCATCCACACGAAAGCTCATACCAATAACAAACTTAGTTGGTCTCTAAGGTGCTACTGGAAGGAATTTTTTTATTTTGTTTAAAAAATGTGTATGAGTGTGGGGGGTTTTAATTTATTTCTATTGCAGGCTGTAACTTTTTGTATGCTTTAACTTATTGTTGTACATTTTTTAAGTGACAATTTTATTGCTTTATCTTTTTTGTAAACTGCTTTGAGGTTTTCTCTACAGTCAAGCAGTATGTAAATTTTATTAAATAAGTAATAAAACGATCAACATTCAGGTCTTTTAGTTACTCAGTGCAGGCAACAGCTTTGCTTCCACTTGTCCACACCAAACTTCCCAGAAGTGCTTCAAAGAGAAATCCACCTACCCTGAAGGTAGCACACAAAGGATGGTGAATGAAACATACTGAACCAGACATTGCTGCCTACCCAACCTCCAACTCTCAATGAATTCTTTATGGATTATATTCCCCAGGTTTATCAGCTTCAAATGCTTTTCCAATACAGCAAATCAGCTGAGGCCATGAGTCAATTTCACTGAGGTTAACCAACTTCCACTAGGGAGCAATATACACTCCCCCCCCCCACACACACACACACAAACATGAGCTATCAAAGCTTCAGTCTTCCTCACAGATAATCCAGAGAGGCTGTGTTCTCACCTCACATATTATTCAAAGCCTCCACAGATTTGTTCTTCCTTAAAATAATGCTCATTCCATCTAAAGGGGCCAGTACTTTTTCTTATTAGTTGCAAAGGGAGCATCTGCTGCATAAACAAGGCCTCTCCTTTAAAATAAAATAAAAAATGCCACCATACAACTTCTGGTGCTCCTCCAGCTCCTTCCTCAGCCCACCTCACCAACTGCCTCCTCCTCTCTCTTTTTACCATTACAGTGGTACCTCGGGTTAAGTACTTAATTCTTTCTGGAGGTCTGTTTTTAACCTGAAACTGTTCTTAGCCTGAAGCACCACTTTAGCTAATGGGGCCTCCTGCTGCTGCCGCGCCACCAGAGCACGATTTCTGTTCTCATCCTGAAGCAAAGTTCTTAACCCAAGGTGCTATTTCTGGGTTAGCGGAGTCTGTAACCTGAAGTGTATGTAACCTGAAGCGTATGTAACCCGAGGTACCACTGTACTATTAAGATTTTTATTGATTTTAATTTTTAAGACGCAACCAACATATGTTACCCAGATGATCTACCAACTGCCCTTCCTCACTTTAGACCATATAAGAGAGGGCAAGGAAAAGGCAAATAAGAAAGAAGGGAAGGCTGAGAGAAACTGGCTCTCTTTTTACACTGAAATAACATTAAACTGAAGGAACTCAAGTAACCCTCACTGCCAGAGGAGTGATAAATTTCAGCCGCTCACGTAATGGAAGCTTGCTGATCTTAATGCTTTTACCTCCATCCCTGCTTTTTAGAGAGGGACCTTCCTGCCCACCTCCCAAGCCTGCAATAGTGGGAAGGCATTCATATTGTTTATTCTGACATTTCAGCAGCAAAAGGTCAGAACTAAGGGCAATTTCTATGGCGAGCAATAAACAGATTTTATATTGGATCATTTTTCACCGGATCTTTGCTTGTTCTTATTCAGACTACAGCACTCCGGATCCTTAGCTCTGACATTTACAGAGAAGCAGAGGAAGAAACATGGAGTTCACCATTAAGAGCAACGTTGGGGGTGGGGGGAGTTTGTCTGATCAGAACTCCAAATGCACATTGCAGAATAGTCCTGCAGCAAGCATAGACGCTTTCAGAGGATTTGGCACACTCTGTTAGGGCAGAGAGAGCAGAAACCCACATGGTGACTTGGAAAATTTCAGAGAAAATCATGAATTCAACCCAAGTCCTGCATGAAAATGGCTCTCATTCAAGCCATAAGAATTCATTATGTTTATGGGTGAAGGAGAGTTTGATGCAGCAGAAAAAGCTCAAGGATATCAGGCTCATAGGTATCAACGAGGTCAACTAAACTAACTGCAATGGCTGTGATCCTGGTTATGGCAGAGGTGTATCTTTGTAATTGGTACAAGCTCTTGCAGCAGCCTATTCCTTCATTCTGGGGCACCCAATTCCTTCCCCCTTAGTGGAGAATAGGCCTCTGTTAATGTGTTTAGAGGAAAAGATTGGCTGTTTGAAAGCCAAGAAGAATGGGGTGATGGATTCAGAAAAGTTATTTTTTACAGAGTTATTTTAAAAAGCAAAAACATGCCAAATAAAATATGTATGATCTGCATGTGCAAGTAACCAGAAAAAACACAAACAAACAAAGAAACAATAGGCCTGTATACTACACACCACACACACATGAAACAAGAAGATAGACAAGGGAACTCCTATACAGTGGTACCTCAGGTTAAGTACTTAATTCGTTCCGGAGGTCCTTTCTTAACCTGAAACTGTTCTTAACCTGAAGCACCACTTTAGCTAATGGGGCCTCCCGCTGCCGCTGCGCCGCCGCTGCACTATTTCTGTTGTCATCCTGAAGCAAAGTTCTTAACCCAAGGTAATATTTCTGGGTCTGTAACCTGAAGCGTATGTAACCTGAAGTGTATGTAACCCGAGGTACCACTGTACAGTGACAATAATGGTCCTGAAGGGAAGCAAGTTAGAGGACAGTAAAGGAAGGTCTCCGGTAGGGAATCTCTCTCAACAAATAACATTTCATATATTCATCGTAACAACTGCAGAGCTTTGGATCAGGCTGCCCTGCTGTCTCTCTTTTACACTCTCTGGCCCTGTTTACATCCAGTACGGCTGTTCAATGAGGCATGATTTGTTTGAACATACACAAGTGACGAGTTCGAACATTGCTTCTTCCTCTCATTTGCTTGACTGCAAAGAATACTTCCTGCTCTCTTACTCCAGTTTTACAAGATGTCCAAACCAGGGAACTGTTTGCAGACCACCATGAAGCCACCATTTCCTGGTTCAGGTATCATAGAAAACAGTGGTATAAGAAACCTGAAAGTCTCCTCTACAGTTGGATGTGCAAGAGAAGAAAGGGGAGGGAGGGGGAAAGACTCAAGCTCGTCAGCCATGCATCGTCAAACAAGGTAAAAAGGTAAAGGGACCCCTGACCATTAGATCCAGTCGTGGCCAACTCTGGGGTTGCGGCGCTCATCTCACTTTATTGGCCGAGGGAGCCGGCGTACAGCTTCCAGGTCATGTGGCCAGCATGACTAAGCCGCTTCTGGCGAACCAGAGCAGTGCACGGAAACGCTGTTTACCTTCCCGCTGGAGCGGTACCTATTTATCTACTTGCACTTTGATGCGCTTTCAAACTGCTAGGTTGGCAGGAGCAGGGACTGAGCAACGGGAGCTCACCCCGTCGCGGGGATTCGAACCGCCGACCTTCTGATCGATAAGTCCTAGTCTCTGTGGTTTAACCCACAGCGCCACCCGTGTCCCCCATGGTCAAACAAACTGTGGTTTATTGAGCAGCCTTATTACATATGAAGTGGGCCTCTCTCTCTCTCTCTCTCTCTCTCACACACACACACACACACACACACACACACACCCTCCTGTTAGTTAAAACAACTGTCATCAGTCATTTGTTGCATTAAAATTTTTGATTAATACATTACTACCTGAAGTGATCATAGTTCTCAACACTGCATATTAATCTTACTATGTACACAAAGGTCAGGATTTCCTTTTGTTTCTTTTTCTGCTTAAATAATAAGCTTTGCAAAGCTCAAACACATAAGCCCCTTTCACAACTGAAATGTATATAGTAAAATGGCTTCATCTGCTTTGCCCCACAGCATAAAACAAACTGAACCAGAAAAACTAATCAACTCAGATACCTAGGTTCCAAATGAAGAGTGGAATTAACTGGGCCTTACCAAGAGGAGCTAAATGTTGGTGCATACTCATCTCCACTCTTCTATGGAATAATGCAAGCATAAGAGTAAGCCATGGGTTATTGTAATGGGTTGTGATTTGTTTATCTATAACTAGGTGGAGGCATGCAAGACAGCAAGAATCAAAGAAGTCAAATGAGAAAGAATCAAGGCATCTTGTCTCATCTTTGAGACAGGAGCCTGAGACATAGAAAATAGGTGTTGGAAAAATGCGGTTCCTTCCTGAAGAAGTGTTAGAATCTATTTCCACCAAACAAACTCTGGAGCGACTGAAACACCAATCATTACTGTCATCAAAAATTGAGAACATGAATACTGAAATGAGGAATGGGCCCTAGGCTTGCATTAATGATATGAAATACTAAACTAATGACTAAGTAAGAGAGGTGAAAAACAGGATTATATAAATAATTGGATAATGAGGCTGATTTAAATACAGAATAATCAGAGAGAGAGAAACCCTCCTATCTTCCACCTGCCAGTCAAAAATTGTGAAGACTGAGCTCTATTCTTCCCCTGTGCCTAAGGGGACACTGTTTATGAAGGCAGGAAAATCAGAGTTTCAGAGCCCTCAGACTGATTTTAAAAAAAACAACTCGTAGATCCTACCTCATTCTCAGAGCACAGATATGCCTAGTCCTACGTTCGAAGTGTATGCCATCTGAAACCATGCTGTTTGGTTACTATAATTTACTAGAACCCATCATTTCATGATGGGAATGAGTGACTGGACTGGCAGGGAAGGGAATGGGAATGGCTTCCTCCAGAGATGCAAACACATCAAATTTACTTAAGTGGAGTAAACCTCAGTCTGGAGACCATCCCCTCTCAGATAAAAGTTAGGGGCAGTTTTCCACTAGGGCACATATTTGCACACTTGAGTCCCTTGGCTCTGTTATCTAACAAAACCCAAATTTCAAATACCTGAATGCCAAAGCTGGATCAATTCTAGAATAGTGATGGCTATTCAGTACCTCCAGGGAAGTGGCATATAATGTCCCATCTCTGTTATTTGGGAGATGGGGAGAAAGCAGCATGAGCAATGACTCACTCCAGCCAGGCTAGCTCATCAACAGTATTTCAGGATCTTCCTTATGTAGACGGTCTTGACAAGGACACCTGCCTCTCTAACAGAATTTAGTAGAAGTAGAACCACTGTCTGGTTTTTGCTATACAGTGGTACCTCGGGTTAAGTACTTAATTCGTTCCAGAGGTCCGTTCTTAACCTGAAACTGTTCTTAACCTGAAGCACCACATTTAGCTAATGGGGCCTCCTGCTGCTGCCACACCGCCGGAGCACGATTTCTGTTCTCACCCTGAAGCAAAGTTCTTAACCTGAGGTACTATTTCTGGGTTAGCGGAGTCTGTAACCTGAAGCGTATATAACCCGAGGTACCACTGTACTGCAGTTAGTAACTGTGAGCGTACAATATGATTGCAAGTTCAGAGCTACCACCAAGTCTCATTTAAATCTGGAAGTTTCTGCTAAGACACACACACACAAAAGGCCTGAGGAAGCTTACATGGAACTAAAAGTTTCAATAATCCTAGCCCTCTTTTCTGAGGGATGTTCCTGCCACTGGGTGGAGGCTCCTCAACTCCATCTCATCTCACCTCCCAGTAAGGATCACCATTCACCTCTGGGGTAAATCCAACAAGCAACTGATCACCAGTCACCACATCTGATCATATCCTCTGGCCCATCCATTTTGAGGGTGAGGCTCAGGTTTGCAGTCAGTTGCTAGTTGTAAATGTGAAAATGTATTAAATCAGTAATGCTGTGAGGAGGACATATCTTCTTACCTGGTCTTGGAACATAGACCCACCAAAGGCCCAGACAGCAGCAAATACAAAATACAGTTCGTAGAGCTCTTTGGGGCAATCCGGAGGAGTGTTTTCCTTGGTGAGGAGGCATTCAAGGAGGTAACACAACATCTGAACCATGCTCTGCTCAGGAACTGGAATAATCTTCTTAAATCTACAATGGGAGAATTGAAAACTTATGAAGTTTAATTGGATTTAGCATGACTGCCATTTAACAATATGAGGAGATAGGCGTATAAATCCTCTTTCCGAACATTAACATTTTAAAACTTTCATTGTGTATATCTTTCTTATCCACTGCTACAGAGAGCTATAAAATACCATCAGCACGCAGCCAAGTAATAACTGTAATCATAAGTTTGAGCCACTCTAAAACTTTGATCCTCTTGAAAGAAGTGAAATGGAAGCCTTGCTAAGGGCACTGATTTGCCACAAATGCAATGAGTTCAGAAGTGGTCAAATAACAGCGTAATAAAATAATCCCTTTCATCTCATATTTTACATGGGTTTAGGCTACATTTACAGATGTGTGAAGCCGGAAGAGACCTGCAGTTTGCTAAAAAGTAATTATAGTTATTGGAATGGCCAGCTGTACAAAATATACTTGTATTTGGAACCATTGGCTGCTCACCCTGAAATCTCCACGTGAAGCATACACAAGGCATCAAGCGGCCCTTTCCCCCTCTGCCTACACTATTTGGGGCTATAATACAGCCTTACTGACTGTAGCAGTTAGAAAGCATAGTGATAACAGCTGCAAAAAAAAAAAAAAATCCACACTTCTTTTCAGTCTGAACTTTAGTGCACTTCTAGCCTTTGGTTTTATTGCAGGCATAGGCAAACTCAGCCCTTCAGATGTTTTGGGACTACAACTCCCATCATCCCTGACCACTGTTCCTGTTAGCTAGGGATGATGGGAGTTGTAGTCCCAAAACATCTGGAGGGCCGAGTTTGCCTCTGCCTGTATTATGGCCTGGGCAAGTGACTGTGTGTGTGTGTGTGTGTGTGTGTGAGAGAGAGAGAGAGAGAGAGAGAGAGAGAGATGGTCCCTGTTTTACCCAATTGGAAAAGCAAGTTGTTACTCATTCATCTAAGAGTGCAGTGGAGGAGCCTTTCTGCCATCTGATATTCTTCTGCATAGATAGGCCCTCCGTTTGCAGCCAGGTGATGGCATATATGCAGGATGGACAACCCTATGGTTTGTTGAGAGCCGCATGCCTTCAGGGTCAAGCTGCCAGGGGGCATTTACAAGCAATAAGTGGGACAGCCATCCAAATGTGGACAGGGCTAGGATCAAAAGTGGATAGGTCCACCACTTTTCTCTCTCTCTCTCATGTCCCCTTCTTGCCACTAGAACAAAATTAAACCAAGAGTCACACACACACCTTCCTCAGCATACAGGAACCTTCACATGCACTAGACAAGCCACTTTTTTGGTATTACTATGCCAACTGAATCCCACCTTGATCTGTTCTGCAGATTGTATACACATTTGGTGGGAATGTTAAAGAAATTAATTTGGGTCAAGGCCTTGAATCCAATGTCCTACTCAGAGTAAAGGTAAAGGTAAAGGTACCCCTGCCCGTACGGGCCAGTCTTGACAGACTCTAGGGTTGTGCGCCCATCTCACTTAAGAGGCCGGGGGCCAGCGCTGTCCGGAGACACTTCCGGGTCACGTGGCCAGCGTTACAAAGCTGCATCTGGCGAGCCAGCGCAACACACGGAAACGCCGTTTACCTTCCCGCCAGTAAGCGGTCCCTATTTATCTACTTGCACCCAGGGATGCTTTCGAACTGCTAGGTTGGCAGGCGCTGGAACCGAGCAGCGGGAGCGCACCCCGCCGCAGGGATTCGAACCGCCGACCTTTTGATCGGCAAGCCCTAGGCGCTGAGGCTTTTACCCACAGCGCCACCCGTGTCCCCCTACTCAGAGTAGACTCACTTAAATTAAAAGACTTGACTAACTGGGATCCATTCATTTCAATGGGTCTACTATGAACAGGATAACCTGCTGTAATTAAAGTAATAGAAGAAATCAAGTCATTAGGAAGGCTTGGTGACTAAATTTAAGGGGGGAAATGTAGGAAGTATGTAAGTTTCTGCTCAAAAATCAGAGACAAAATTTATCAGAAACAGCTTTTATCAGTAGAGGATTGAAGGAGTATATGATAGTATAGGATAACATATTATAAGAAAATATGGGAAGGATATGCAACAAAAATAGATTCATTAGGTTGTTGGTACTGGAACCAGGGAACAAATTATCAAAGGTCCTGTTGAAAAGAGGTCTTGGAAATAATTTAAAGGATTAACATGAGACTAAGACAAACCTTACTGCAATAGCATAATCATTAAAATAGTTAAAAGATAATTGAAGATTTATTTTATCTTTTTTGCTAATGCCTCTGCAGATACTAATTAAAAAGTGGATTCTGTGCACAGTGGTGCATGCAAGCACTCATCTCCTCCCTCCTCCTTTTTTATATAATTTATTTATAATTTTCATTTATATACATTTCAATAGTTTAACCACAGTTCTAACATTTCAAACCTCAACTTTCTTCCTCCTCTTTCTGCGGTTCCTTAAAATTATTTTATCATCCCATGCATATTCTAAATTAACTTATTCTTTAATTCATCTATTTTGATTATATATTCTTTTGAAACTGCAGGTTATTACAGTAATCCTGCCAATGTCTTTATCTGTTTACAATTTGTTTGTAAATATTCAATAAACCATTTCCATTCTTTTATATTAAAAAGTTTGTTATCTTGATTTCTTATTCTTCTGGTAAGTTTCGCCATTTCTGCATAATCCGTAAGTTTTTGTATATATTCACCTCTCATTGGGACTTCTTCTTTCCATTTTTGGGCAAGTAACATTCTTGCAGTTGTAGTTGCACACATAAATAAATTTCTATATTGTTTGGGTAGTTCTACACCTATAATTGCTAAGGTGGGAAACCCAGCCAGATGGGCGGGGTACAAATAAATTATTATTATTATTATTATTATTATTATTATTATTATTATTATAGAAAAGCTTCTGCTTGTTGTTTTTTACAAATGTTATCCTGTTCCTTCTCCTCCCCAATGCTTATTTATGAGGGAGCCAAGGACTTTTTTTTTTACTCTTTCTTGGTATGGAAAGCCTAATTTTGACAGCTCTTACTGCCTCCTCCTTTGGAGAAGGCAATTGGTGGCTTCTTAAAAGGGAAACATGGATAAATGTGAAATGGGGAAGTACATGAATGGATGAAGCCCTGCCCACCACTGGAATACAGCCCCTGAGACGGTCATTCATGAGGGAATGCCGCCCTCAGGATGAAAAGGTTTCCTCAGACTTCTTGTATAGTATACTTGTGCTTTAAGATTTTTTTCTGTTACAGTTAAACCTCGGTTGTCGAACGTAACTGTTCCGGAAGACCGTTCGACTTCCGAAACGTTCAACAACCAAGGCACGGCTTCCAATTGGTTGCAAGAGCTTCTTACACTCAAGCGGAAGCCACGCCAGACATTTGGGTTCCAAAAACATTCAAAAACCGGAGCATTTACTTCGGGTTTTCAGCGTTTGGGAGCCAAAACGTTCAAAAATGGAGCCGTTCAAGAACCAAGGTTTAACTGTACTAGGTGTCACTGTAGTGCCTCTACACAGCAAACAACCTTAGGGACACACCTAATGGCAAAATATTATTTACTTATGACACTTGTACTCTGCTCTTCCTCCACAAAAGCCTTAGAGCAGCTTATATGATACAAAGAGACATCCTTTGAAGGCAGCCATTCTGCATTCATCTTCTGAGACTGGAAGAAGCTCTCAAGCCCCATAGGTACGATGCTGAACTTATTTTAATACAAAACAAGAAACCAGTTGGGGAAGCTAACATGTAGTACTTAGGACAAATGGTCATAAATGCACATAGGGTAAGCAAACCTGTGTGAATTGTTCAGTGTGCTCGACCGTACCTGGTTCTAAGAGTGTCCAGACAAATTGGCAGATACTTGTCAAACAAAATGGTCAGGTTAGCTCGCTCTGACTGGATTTCTCGTCTGTCAATCCAGCTACTCACGGGAGGATTCCAGCCCAGATCAGCTGGATTGATGTAAAGGATCCCTGGGAATGTGAAATATCAGAAGTCAGCAAGAGAGTTACCCAGTTTTTCCACCCAGTTAAGTTGTGGGTGAACATATCAGACGACACAGCGATTCTTCAAACAGCTCTTGTTTACTCACAGGCCAGGACAGAACTGAACTGAAGGGTTCAGTCAGCGTGCTTATATAGAGCTCCAGTACAATGTAACTGTAACAATTTTCTAAAACTATCCAATCACTGAACGTCACTTTCGATCCCTTATTTGCATAACTATCTACAGTATCCTCCTGCTGGCCCAGGGTGAGAACTTCAGTACATAACATAAGTTATAGGTAGTTGAAAGATAATAATCTGGTATGATTATGCAGTGACAGCAGCAACTGGGTCCTTGGACAAGGTGTCTGCCATCACTAGCATGGCAGCCATGCTAGCTGGGGCTGATGAGGATTGCAGTCCAAAGCATCTGGAAGGCGGCTGGTTGGCTACCCTGGCTCCCTTCATGAATCTTAGGCCAAAACTAACCCCCATTCACTTTCCACCATGCCAAAATGAAATGCCACCCTCTTCCTCTCCCTTGCCACCTACCTGCTCTAGAGACAGTGGCAGGAGTGGCAGTCCGCAGGTGACTGATTTCGAACAGCAGCCTCATGGTGGGATTGAGAGGAATCCTTTCATTGCTTGCTAGTGTCAGCACCTGCAAAAGGATAGATCCAGTCAGGTTGGGAACACAAAGAGCACTGTGATCTGCAGAGACTTCTCAGAAGTGTACTGATTGTATGCAACCCAGGACAGTACCTTCCCTGAAACACCAAAACTCTTTATATGGAGTTGCAAAGGTTTCCTCTAGTTTTCTCCCGACTGCTCATTTATTTAAAGCATGAGAATAACGCCACTTACATAAAACCCTGTTGATACTATGTCAAAAAACAATAGATGGCTTCCTTGTTGCTTCTGCTCCTACCAACATCCCAGGAAGAAAGTGTGCATTCTGCATTAAAGATCCTTTCAGTTTATGGAAACAATCTTTTGATAACTCACAAAAGGCGCAGGGCACCCACCAAGTCTCTACCCTCTTCCCAAATTGCATTCAACCACATGTGGGGACTGCACAAATACCAAGTGGTAAGGTTTTCTGGATATAGGTTTGTTTGTTTTTTTCTTCCTGAAATTGCAGGGTTCCCACCCTCAGATTCTTGAAACAAAGAGAGTTGTGAAAGTTTGGTCCTATGGTTTACATCCATGTGCCTTTTGGCAAAGGACATGTTATTCTATGTACTCGAGAACAGTTGTTGCCCTCAAAGTTGTGTCTTACCTTATTATCATCCATGACAGTATTAAGAGACTCAATCCACATCGGATCAATATCACCATCCAGCACAATCCATTTGGGGCCGTCATGTGTAATATTAGCTAGGTCTCGCATAATTGATGAGAACAATCCTAAAGAGATCACAGGCACTGAGTGGGATTCTCAGAGGACTCTGCACGCTCCCTTTAAAAACGTACGAGTGTTTTTGTCGCTGTCGTTAATTCAGCTTGCATACGAACAAGCAAAGCGAAATCTAGATGCAGTTAGTTAAATTTGATAATTACGAAAACAACAGGGTATGAATAGAATCTCCTTCAGGAGATAATGCATAAGCGTGATCAAATAATCTCATTGAAAATAATCCCAGACCACTTAATACTGCTGAGAACGGTTAAGGACAGAGAAGAAGAAGCAACAGCAACAACAAAAAATCTCGGCAGCCCATTCAGAACAAAAAGGGGAAGAAGAACTGTGATTATGAAAAGCATTTGACTATGACTTTGCTGTTCTCCCTCTCAAGATGACACCATCTTCAAAGAAAGAACATAACCACAGCAAAAGTTTCAGAAGTTTAGATGACAGTATACAGTGGGCTGTCTTTTTCCTATTTGTCCAATATAATTTCCCTGAAATTTCCCTTATAAATGCAGGTACAAACCAAAGGGAGCTAAGGTGCGTCCGTCCAGATGTAAATGAACTATGCCCACCAGTCCTGGCCAGTATGGCAAGTGAACAAAGATTATGGGATTTGTAGTACCTCTGTTTTAAACAGTTAGGTACTAGCAAAAAGTTACAAATTTAGCATGTACTTGGTTCTGCCCTACACTCTGCTCTCATACTGCAATGTAAAAGCAAGCATACCATGCAATGTTAAACATATTTCCATGTCTCCAGGTCCACATATTAAGTAGTTCAGCACCATAGCAAATTTCTTATTTCAGAGTATCTTGCAAATATTTTGCATTTCCAAGATAACCCAACTGCCTTTTATGAGTATGAGGAACTATTATGTACATGATGTTAGATTCCTCAATATTTTCATTGCTAATCACAGGAGTGAATGTAATACAATAGTTATATATATTCTCCTCATAATCCACAGTTGAAAATCTGAGCCACACCCCCAGCTCTCAGTCAGTCATGCTCCTGAGCTGCTTTTCACTCACACTTGTTAAAATTATAAGACACATCAGGGATGCCAGCTGGCAAACCCAAGAAGATAACAAAGCTTTGGCCTATACTAGTGAGTCTGTCGCTGAGAACAATGGCATGGTTATACAGTGCTGAAAAGATATAACATCCAGTATCTCTTGATATTAGGGGGTGGAGGGGAGGGATAGACAGAGGAAGATTAGAATTGCAGAGACTCCAGAAGGTCTTGATGCACCATAGATGTTCCTGGAGTTTGACAATCCCACAAAGAAAATAGGGTGTTAGAACCAGGGCAAAGATATTACGCAAGGTTCATTCTATCCTGCTTACACACACACACAGTGGGTAAGAACAGTGAAATGGGGCTGGGGAAGCCCCAAACCTCTATATAGGAAGCCTGGGAGGGAACTGGCACGTCAGCAAGTCAAAGTTCACATGTCTCAGAGAGTAGAAAAGAGACAAGGAAGCTCTGGAAAGGCCATTTCCATTTAGATATTATGGGGTGGCCAAGGAACTCCATAACTGAACAGAAGCACAGAAGCAAGACCAACTTCCATGAAAGAGGACTGGGAAACATACCCTGGTAAGGTCTCAGGCTGCTGTGTTCTCTCTCTCTCCCTGGCACCTCAAATTAGATTTTAAAAAAACATGCCTTGCCTTCTTTCCAGGTCACAAAGGCCACCTTCTTGCAATAGTTACACTTCAGGGGGCCCAGGCACTGAAAGTGTGGAACCATACAATGCATTCCGAAGATTACATATCCAAAGATATTTTTCTTGCAAAAAAGTTGAGTAATATGCGGGGGGGGGGTGCTTATGAAATACAAGGAAATTAAGAAAACAAAAGTGCCTCTGGAGAAGTCTGCAAGAAAGTTCAGATGAGAAAAGTACGCAAGAACAATAGCAGCCGTACTGCACGGCACACCAGAGAGAAACACGAGTTATTACTTTTCATGAAAGCCTCATCTATGAAAAGCGCTAGAGACATGCGAGAGAAAACGCTGGAAAAGTTCTAACGTGATGAGAAAAATCTCATACCTTGCAATGAACTCTCAGAGCACACATTCTGGATTAATTTTTTGGATTTTTTAATTTATTTTTAATTTATTGCAAGTGGCAAGAAATATGCCTCTCTTCCTAGGTTTTGAAGATGTGAGAACACCCTTACCATCCTTCCACTCTCTTGTAGCAGGATTAATGATGCCAAAGAGTTCATCATTGGTAACCGCCTTTGGATTGAGGTCCATCCAAACAGGCCGCCTCTTCATGATGTGATAGGTCTTGTTGAGAGATTTCAGCACCTGTGACTTGCCTGTACCTGCATTTCCCACCACAAAGACAGAGTGCCGAACTGCCAGGAGTTCTTCCAGCTGCACCACCTACACACAAAAAAGCCAACAAAAGTACCCACATCCCATTTTACTAACCATGCCAGGTTGCTCCCATAATGTAAATTCAGAACAATGTATATGGTTCTCAAGGCCTGCAAAAGCAGTCATCATCAGAAGAAAAAGGAAGGTCCCTTGCAATGTGATGCGTGAATGACCACAAACCAAGAACAGGAAACAGGCAACAAATGATAAAACAGGTGTGGGAAACCTAAGGTCCTCCAGATGATGCTGAACTACAGCTGCCATCAGCCCCAGCAAGCATAGCCAATGGCAAAGGAGGCGACAAGTGAAAAACCCGAACATGCAACAAAAATGCACCAGGGATGCCTTCATGCACACACACCCTTAGCTAAGTTCCTTTTTACAGTAGACAGAGAAGACTGTTTCACAGAAGCACAGAATTGCAGATTTGGAACAAAGTTAAGTAAAGAAGATCCCAGAGGACTCCTGCAGCCTAAAGCTTGGGTAGATGAAAGCCGCGACCTTACTTTGAGCACAAAGTTGTCCTCTGGTTGCAGCTTGAGTTCCAGCACAGCTTGCTTCACGAAAGATTCGAAGCTGAGATCTCGCTTTCTTGGAACATCCAAAGCAGGAAAGAGGTCCCCAATCAGACCCATGAATACTGGCATGTCATCCGTCACAATCTTAGGGATGTTGAAGTCCCGAAGAGAGCGCATCAGCACCTGGTCTTCAGGGCGGTCTGGGTCTCCTCTCTTGAGAGATCCAGCAACAACCAGGACTGACTTAATTGCACGTAAGCCCCAGTCATAGTGATCCTAATGAGAGAGAGGAGGGGACGATGTATTTTTTACTTGGCCTACACATCAAACACTGGAAGTGTACCTGCAGATATCAGCATGTTATCAAAGGAACACAAATTAACTTTCCTCTAACTCTGATCCTCAGCTTCGTGCTGGAATGACTTGAAAGTACAGCCTCCCTAGGCAATAAGCAGTCAATACAGAACCAGTCAGGTGGAAGAAGTGAAGCGAGGAGGTGGAATCCCAAGGGGCCTGACCCAGAAATCATGAGGACCAGTGAGGTGTGTAGAAGATCCCAGGTCTAGGAACACCAGGACTCACACTAGCCCGCCACCACACATCCCATGCATTTAGCATGGGAATGTAATCCCAGGCAGGAGCAAAATAATAATGGAGAGCAGCAGTTCACAAATGTACATTTGATTGTGAAAAGGGAAGAAAGATGTAGATGTTCATGAGATGCATCATGGAGATGTTTACAAAAGTAGAACATGGCAATACCGTGTGATATCGGATGATAGAGAACAGCTAATGAAATGCAACTTACCTGCTTTGACAGCAGTTCTTTGCATAACTGGTAAAGGGTGATGAACTTCCTAGCTAACAGCCGGGCCTCTATGAATCCTTCTGCTACCAGCATAATTTCACAGATCAGCTCGAAGTCTGGCACAACCATTGCACAGGGCCTAGGAGAGAAACTCGGTGTATGTATGTAACCAAGCCACGCAGGAAGGTGTCTTATACAAGGTCAGGCCATTTGTCCATCTAGCACAAGACTGTCCTAATCCAGAGATTGGGTGGGGGGGTGTTTTATTCTTACCCCAAGGGCCTCAGGCAAAGCAACAGATGAAGAGCTCTGCTTTTGTGTGAGAGGCCTGCATTTCAGCCATACAAAAGTCACACGCATAGAATCATAGAATTATGGAGCTGGAAGGAACCCTGAGGACCACCAAGTCCAACCCCCTGCAATGCAGGAATATACAGGTGTCTCATACTGGGACCAAACCTGCAACCTTGGCATTGTCAGCCCCACACTCTAACCAACTGAGCTATCCACACACACACACACCTGACCTTCCATCACAATCTAAAAAGGTAAAGGTTCCCCTGCCCGTACGGGCCAGTCTTGACAGACTCTAGGGTTGTGTGCCCATCTCACTCAAGAGGCCGGGGGCCAGCGCTGTCCGGAGACACTTCCGGGTCATGTGGCCAGCGTGACATCGCTGCTCTGGCGAGCCAGAGCTGCACACGGAAACGCCGTGCCATCACAATCTAGGGGCACATTAATTAGTTACGGTACTTATTCACTATACTTATCATCATCCAGTCAGCCAGCCAGCCAGCCAAAGAGCTGGTTGTGGGATTTTCTGCCTTAGGGACCAAAGTAACTCTGCTGGCCATAGATAAAGTGCACCTTGACCTTGGGAGGGGGCATTTGATGCTCCACCTAAGGCAGCAAAATGTTGTGGGCTGTCTAGGCATGGAACTGAGTATCCTGAACAGGAGCACTCAGTGAACCGTTTTGTCCCAGGCCCCACTTATAGTGATCACATTCAAAATACTATGACTTCCTATCTCCACCAGCTCCATAAGCACAACTTCAGAGATACTATGTGACTCACACAGGTGTTTCCTGGAATTTACATAGAGAAGCAAGAGCCTTATGTGCTTGCATAGGACCTGGATAAAAGGCTCTGAATGAGTCACTTATATAGCCTGCGTACTCCAGAGCAGCCCAGACTGGTCACTTTCACCCATAAACCAGAAGACTAAGCACTGGGCTACACCTTGGAGGGAAAATACTGTGTATGGTTCATTTGCCCTTGCCAAAGTAGAATAAAATACACATGGCAAAGGGAGATATCATGATGAATAGTGTTGGGTATGGAGCAGGGCATCCCAGGTACAATTTCCAGTGCAATGACAAGCTGCCAGATTGTATACTGAAAACCTCAGTTGACGTTCCATAAAATGGGAACAACAGCTACTTACCACAAAACACTCTTGCAGGAAGGAATGAGGCAAACGTTTTAACATACTAAAATGTCGAAAGCTAAAAGGAACGTGATCCATATCTTACCTGAAAAGAGCTTTCAAATTCTCAGGCAGCTCCGTACGACCGGCATAGCCAGGATTCATGGTGATGAAAATGCCAACAGAAGGAACTAGTTTAATGTCTTCGCCGAGGAAATTAAAATTCTGCTTTTTGTCCCTTATGGCATCCTGTATGCTTTTCACCTGAAAATGGAAGAAGATGGGGCTTTTCGCTCTCCAGCTCCACGGATTTTTTATAAAGCATGCTTGATAAAATGTGTGCTAAAAAAGCTATGTGGTATTATGGTACATATTAGAATCGAGCACTTATCTACACTGCAGCATATCTAAGCAAGAAGATGTCTCCTGTGGGTTGAGAGGGCTGGCATCATCTTTTTTAAGTGATTGCTGTTAAAACTGCTGCCACATTATGAGCAAACTGTATCTTTATGAGCCACTGTCTCCCTTCCCCCCCAAAAAAAATGAAGGGGGGAAGGCTGCTCCATGGCTCTGTCAGTGTAAATTTTATCCCCTATGAAAGATGACCCCTTCTGCGCCAAACCATTAGGGCTCCTCCAATCCTGTTTCATGGGACGCAGGTGGCGCTGTGGGTTAAACCACAGAGCCTAGGACTTGCCGATCAGAAGGTCGGCGGTTCGAATCCCCATGACGGGGTGAGCTCCCGTCGCTCGGTCCCTGCTCCTGCCAACCTAGCAGTTCGAAAGCACGTCAAAGTGCAAGTAGATAAACAGGTACCGCTCCGGCAGGAAGGTAAATGGCGTTTCCGTGCACTGCTCTGGTTCGCCAGAAGTGGCTTACTCATGCTGGCCACATGACCCGGAAGCTGTACGCAGCTCCCTCGGCCAATAAAGCGAGATGAGCGCCGCAACCCCAGAGTCTGCCACGACTGGACCTAATGGTCAGGGGTCCCTTTACCTTTTAATCCTGTTTCAGACAGTGACTAACTAACTGCATCCGGGAAGCCCAGAAGCAGGGCACAAGAGCAGCAGCCCTCCCTAATTTTTTGTCCCCAGCACCTGGTATCCAGAGGCACATTGCCTCTGAAGAAGTTTTTCCACTTGATTCCAAGGTTAATGAGCAATTGATGACCTACCCTTCATGAATTCGTCTAATTCTCTTTTAAAGCCATCTCAGTCAGTGGCCATCTCCACCTCTTGCTTCAGTGAAGTCCATAAATGAATTATGCTTTTAGGTGAAGAAATACTTTCTTTTGTCGGTCTTGAAACTACAGCCAACTTCACCAGGTGGCCCACAGTTGTAGTGTTGTAATAGGGGAGAGAGGGGTGAATAATTTCTCTCCGCCCTCTTTTTTTCCCATGCCACGTGTAAGGTTGCATGAACATTAAATTTAGGCCAGAAAGACCCCTGCCTACTATTGACAGAAACTGACTGGTAATGTGAGCAGTTCTCATGCAATCCAGGAACAAAATTTAGGATGGGTCATGGAAGCAGGAATGAGGAAGCCTGTGACATATCACCACCTTGCAAACCAGGACTATTCCAAACTAGCCAAGGCAGGAGCAGCTATATAGATTCATTGATACTGGGATAAAAGAAATGAAAACCCTTCATGCCATGGAAAAATGTCTATAGCATACATTTATCCCCCTGTGTGATGGCTCTGCATAGCCAACATCATAGGAATATATTCAAGGCTAAGAGCTAATTAAAACAGAACACCCACTGCTTTGGGCCAACAATGCAATATCTATACATGCTAAGCTATCCAAGGTAGAATTTTAATTGACCTGGAAGTTAAGTGAGATTTTGCGAGTGGCTGCCTTGAATGTTTAATAGCAAGACTAGCACATCTACTACAACATACATGACTTGCTAACTTTATGGCCTGCTTTGTTCTGCTGTGTGGCTTGCACCTCTGAAGCACAGATTCATCGTCTAGACTGTTATTCTTTGGAGGGCTTAATGTCAAGAATGTTTTTCCTGTTGTGCTGCTTTCTGAGAGGAAAAACAGATCATCAACGCCATGTTTACTGGCTCAAGATAATCTCTGTATTAACAGGCTGTCTTCAAACACAACCAACACTTGACAAGACACTCAACACTTGACAAGACAAGCATCTGATTAGGGCTTTCCCCACCATCACATTAACATTCCAAATTGTATTTAAAACTATGATGATAACTTTACAGTGGCACTGCTTATTTTATTTCAGTAGTCTAACTAATGGAGAAAAAACATGTAATGTTGAATCTACTAGGGACTTTTTGTCTGAGGATACCATTTCTCCTTTAATCAGATAATACCCTTTTCTATCTTTTCCTGGGCAGTGCACATTAACAAGCTCAACAGTGTCTAATGATCACTACGTGGGTTTTTTACACACATAGCACTTAAAATGAACAGGCCTCATATTTTCACAGAGCACTTCTGTACACAGCACTTTGCAACTGTACATACCTTTGCCAAATAACACTGCCTAAACCAGAAAGGAGGAGGGACATATAGAAGAGTTTGGATTTGGTATCCCGCTTTATCACTACCCTAAAGAGTCTCAAAGTGGCTAACATTCTCCTTTCCCTTCCTCCCCCACAACAAACACTCTGTGAGGTGAGTGGGGCTGAGAGACTTCAGTTAAGTGTGACTAGCTCAAGGTCACCCAGCAGCTGCATATGGAGGAGCGGAGAGGTGAACCCAGTTCCCCAGATTACGAATCTACCGCTCTTAACCACTACACCACACTGGCTCTTACATATAGCTATGCTACAACTGCCATCGAAGCATTATGTTCTCTATTTCTACTGAGTATCCCTACAGCAAGATCAAATGCCCCTGTTCCTCTCAGTACCCTACAGCTTCCACATTCTGAGTCCATTTATGATACCAGTTCTGCACCTGGAACCAGGCAAAGCTGATATACAGAATTCCCACCTCACCCAACAGCTGTCAAGCACTGGAACTCAACAAAAATAAAAGAGGAATTATGCTTATAATGGGACCGAATTGCATTTCCAAATAATACAACCACAATACGTTAAAAGCAATATTAAAACCAGTAAACCAAGCCTCCCCCCACTTCTTCTGGATCCAGGTAACCCTATCTTGAGGAAATCTGGTAAGTGGCAACCAGGTATAGGGCTTTTTCTGAGGTGGTGCCCCATTCATGGAATACCCTCCCAAGAAAGATTAACTTGGCATTAACTCTTATGTTTTAGATGCCAGCTTCAGACCACATCATCCTCTCCAGCCTTTGATGGTTACTTGCTTTTCTGCTCTTATCATTGTTGTCCTTTTCCACTGGATTGTGTTTATATTTTAATGTTAATCCATTTTTATCATTAGCTCTCTTGAAGACTGATCAGTAGAAAGATGGAAATAGAATGAATAACATAAAAACAGTGACCATTTCTGGGCATCACACTAAAATATGGTTTAGCAAGACATAAAGGAGCCTTGCCTCCTTCTAGGCTTGCACACTGTCTCTCCTTTCCATGCAGCCTGGAGGAGGAATAGCTTGAAAGCCCTTGCTTCCACTTTTCTTTACCCACAGCATGACACATTATTTGGACTGCAACTGTGGTTAAGATTTACTATGGTCAGTTTTAACAAGCCTGCTTCAGAAACCGTAGTTTGAAGTCGGCTTATTTTAAAGGAACCATAGTTAACATTGCCCATAGTTTGTCAGTCTGGACTCAGCAATAAACCATGATTATTTGAAAGCAGAACAGAAGGCCATGCAAGAGGGAAGAGAGGAGAGCCCGGGAGGAGGTTTGGCTCATTCATGTCTCACCAAACCATAGTTTTGGGTGACATACAAATGCAGCCAAGCTCTCAAGGCACATCCCTGCCTTATACTTCTTTCCTACTTATTACTTACCTGTACAGCCACCACTGACAAGACTTCAACAGAAATTCTGTTAAACTCATCAAAACAGCCCCAAGCACCAGTCTGGGAAAGGCCTTTGTAAATGTTCCCACAGGACTGCAACAAAAAAGGGGAAAGGACAGCAAAATTACCCACCTATTTTGTTTCGGTGAAATGTGTATACAACCTATTTCCAGTCTCATGAGCAATTTGTTCTGTAGGCACTTTCTAAAGAGAAAGGGAACGGAAGGTGGAAGCTAATAACAGCAATGATGAACTTGGATGGGTTTCTCAATTGTACAGTTTTATTACCTATATGCAAACCACCCATTTAAAGATGATTGGTACTGGCTGACAGCACTCCGAGATCAAATAGATGAAGGAATAATTCTAGGCTTGCTTACTTAGATCAATGAGAAGCAATGAAGAGCCATTTAGACAAGGGCTGGGGAACCTGCAGTCCTCCAGAGATGGTTGGACTACAACTCCCATAAGTCCCAGAAATCACTGTCAGTAGGCAAGGGGGAAGAGATGTTCTTCACCCCTGCTCTAGTTTAATGAAATGTTTCTTAAGCTTTGATTTCAAAACAGGATGGCGCACACCTATGAAATTGTGACTGTGTGAGGCTGTTGTCTCAGCACCTGACTTGAAAGTGAAACAGCCCCACCTACTTTTTGCTGTGCTGCTGCAAACACACAATGCTGACTGCATTGAAGGTAGGTGCACTCAGGTCTAGCATTGTCTGTTGGCCACGATATAGCAATAGTAGGTAAGGCAGTTTCATTTCCAGGTCAGATGCTGAGGCAATCCCCTCAGAATGCCACAACTCTGCTGATGGATCCTGAAAGTATTTCAAATATTTTGGGAACTTCGTTCTTTAAAACAAAGAACTGGATACAGCCCCACAGCTGATTTTCCCACAAGAGGGAAAATAGTAAGCTTTTGGGAAATGGAACAGAAGTGAACAAGGAGAATAAATCTGCCCTGGGGAGAACTGCACAGCTTGAGTGTGATCATGCATCACCACAGTACTACTCTGTTTTTATGCAAATCCCATTCAACTCAATGCAGATTGTGCAGAAAAAAACGTCCCAGTGGAACTGCACCCCAAAGAAAGTAGAATGAAAAGTATGCCAGAACTAACTATAAATGCAGTTTCTCCAAACAAACAAAAATGTGTAGCAGTAATTATATGTATTAAGCTTTCTGCAGAGTTTTGGATTTCTAGTCCTCACCATACCTTTTAAGAGAAACTTCCCTAATGAACCAGCATTTAGTTGAGTTTTCTCTCTACATAGAATCTTACTAGTATGCTATTATTCTTAACTGTTTCTTTAAAACAAAAAAAATTCCTTCCAGTAGCACCTTAAAGACCAACTAAGTTAGTTCTTGGTATGAGCTTTCGTGTGCATGAAGAAGTGTGCATGCACTTCTGAAGAAGTGTGCATGCACACGAAAGCTCATACCAAGAACTAACTTAGTTGGTCTTTAAGGTGCTACTGGAAGGAATTTTTTTTTGTTTTGACTATGGCAGACCAACACGGCTACCTATCTGTAACTGTTTCTTTAAAGTTACCTTGTAGTCCATTTGCTCTGAACAGTTGAAAACATACACCATGATGCCAAGAGCTCGCCCAAGATCCTTGGTAGTCTCTGTCTTCCCAGTGCCAGCTGGCCCTGCAGGAGCCCCACTCATGGTTAGGTGCAAGGACTGGGTGAGGGTGATGTAGCATCTTCAAACAGGAAGGAAAATATCATCATCATCATCCTGCCTTCTTCCCATATTGGAACTCAAGGCAACTTACACAAATTAAAACAAGACAGAAAAAACACACAAAAAGCCTAAAAACATATAAAAGATAACCATTTTTAAAAACAATTAAGCTGTAATAGAAATCAAAACAATATGAAAACAAATATATTGAAACGTAGATAATAAAAACAGCAAAAACAGCAGGGCACTATTAAAAACCCTGTCCTTAAAAAAATAAAATTCTTAAAAATAAAAAAAGCCTGGAGCTGCAAAACCGTGAATTGCACATCAGAAATAGCAAATTTCTGCAAAAACAAAAAGGGAGGGTGAGGAGAACAGATTCTGCAACAAGCTGCCAACCTAAAGCTCCCTTGTCTGAGCCCTTCCAGATACCTACCTGTCTGTCAGAGGAGTGATGACCAGGCGGGGTGTGTTCCCAAGGTATTCATAGGAATATAGAAACTGTGCATCACAAATGTTTGCGTAACAGTGCTTCTCCTCATCTGCCCACCTGTGTCGGAGTTGAGACAGCCAAAGAAACACCTGTGCATTGTCCACCTTCAAGAGCAGAGAAGAAAATCAACATAAAACAGCTTATGGAGGGGCAAATGGTACAGCTGGAATACCAAGGTGATCTACATGCTCCACAGCGATCGTGAGTGTACTTGGGGGCAATGACGTCACACATCTCACCATTCCACAGTGAGGCAAGTGCCTTGACAGGAGTGCCAGTCAGGTCGGGTAGAAAATCCCCCAGAGCAACACAGTAGGTCCCCCATCCCTGCAAGTGGAGTAGCTACATTCAGGGCAAACTTCTCCAGGGAATGGTGGGCTCTCCAATCAATGGAGCATTAGCAATCCATTCTATGTCAAGGGCATGCCCAGCTACATGGGCTGGAACATTAGTGTACTGAGAGAGCCCCATGGTTTTCATGGAGGCCATGACGTCCCAACCTGCTCCATTTGAGGCAGCTTCAGCATAGATACTGAAGTCCGTCCCCCCCAAAAAAAAAATCCACTGTGGTAGGGTTTTCCAACACCACATGCAAGACTTAATTCACCAGCTCAGCCAGGGAGGTTGCAGAGCAGTGGGGTAGATGGTACATTAGCAACATCCCTGTGCTGTCTCTTTGGCCAAACTTTCACAAACAACCCCTCAAACCCATGCACATTGCCAGTTGGTATTCTGGTAAGGACGATGAAATTCTTCTGGATAACTGTAACACCTCCTCCCTCCCCCTCTGACCTGGAATGGTGCTGCACCGAGCACCCTGCTGGGTCAGCATAGGCCTCCCAGCCCATCTGCCAAGGTCGAAGTTATGCATGACAAGTATGCCCCATCATACACAATCAAATAATGGATGATCAATGATGTATTATGGACAGACCTGGCATTTAGCAACTACATGACCAGGCAAGGGGGCCAACTGACCAGTGTCCCCAGATTCTGAAATACAGCAGCTAAAGCAGAGTGGGCAAAGGCTTTGATTTAACTTGCCTTCCTCCCACCTGTATATTTTTGCCCACTCTTGCCTGCCACCACCAATCCCATATCCACACTACCTTAGCTAAGACACATAACGCCATTGACCCACCTCAAAGACCCGAATCAAAAACTAGGCGTGACTCACACCCCAGCTCTCACCTGGAACAAGAACCAAACATTCCCTCCTGTATACAGGATGAATTCAGCATATCACCATCCTAACTTTGAGAAAGCTGGCCCGAGGAACCCTGAGTTAGGATGTAAAAAGGGCAGACAGCAATGGCAGCACAGCTTCAAAGTAATCCCAGTGCTGGTTTAGCCAACTACTCGTCTTCACTAGCAATGCACAAGCTCCCTTCTCAGTAATCCTGAGGAAAAACAGTATGGAAAAGATCCAGCTGTTTGTGTTGTGTGACACACCTTCTGAGCGATCATCTTGGCCACCACATCTCGAGCATGCACATCAATGGTGCAGATGGTCATGATCTTCTGCCTGTCACCCTTTGAGAGATGTCCTATGAGCATGGTGATGAGGGTGTTCAGCTGGGTCACTTGCTTCTTGTAGTACTCCTTCATGGCATTCTCATAGCCTTCTTCCAGCCTGGCAAAGGCAATCCCAACCTCTGTGGTCCACCAAATCTGAGTACAGGTGAGTGCCACCTCGGAAAGAGAAAGAAACCCAGAATACTTTGCAAAGTCAGAAATAAAGGGTGGATTTCTAGGCCACAAGAGTCTAAAGGGTGGGATTCAACCAATGAGTGCTATCAATGGAAGCCCTGTGGAGGGGCTTCTGCTTCAGCAACAGAGTTTTCCTTCTCTCTCCTTCTGACCCTCCCCCCCCCCACATCGGAATTGTGTCAGAGGGGTCAGGAGAATCCGTGGAACAGCATATGGGGTAGGGGAGGAGATGGGGGGTTATTCTGTCCAGCAACCCAAAATATTTGCCCTAACAGAGGGATCTCTGTGTATAGGGTGGTATATATATTCAATAAATAATAATAGTAATAATCTTCTTAGCATGATGCTGAATTCCTCCCAAAATGATTTTTTTTTCATTCATAGAAGAAGAAATATGTGGTAAAAAATTGTGTCAGGAAACAAAAAGACAACAAAAATAATTTGTGGATAATTCCTGAAAAGGCTACAAGGATTTCGTCCTGTGATACAATGCTTTACTACAAGAGTACAGTGGTACCTCGGGTTAAGAACTTAATTCGTTCTGGAGGTCTGTTCTTAACCTGAAACTGTTCTTAACCTGAAGCAGCACTTTAGCTAATGGGGGCCTCCTGCTGCCGCTGCGCCGCCGCTGCACAATTTCTGTTCTCATCCTGAGGTAAAGTTCTTAACCCGAGGTACTATTTTTGGGTTAGCGTATGTAACCTGAAGTGTATGTAACCCGAGGTACCACTGTACTGTATTCCGCCATTGTTCAAAATTGCTACAGATGAATAAGTCCAGAGATACTTCAGGAATTTTCTCTGAGACATAAGCTGGGATAGATTATTTTTTTTCATCACTACACCCTCTCCAGCATTAACCAGTGTTTCCCAATTTAATGGGCAAATGTTCCCAGGAGATGGCAACTCATCAAATGAAAAATCCACCAAAGGAAGAAGATAAATTGCAATTACCCTGAGGTAAAAAGATTCCTCAAAGGCCATACCTTCCCACAGGGTTATGGCCACAAAAGATCATGCAGTCATGGCCTAGAATAAAACCTGGGATTTAAACATTGCCAATCCCGAAAACATCCCCACTGGCCACCTGCATTAGGTAATCTATGAGAAGCCATAAAAATGTGATATATAGAATTATTGCCACTTAAAGGTCAAAAGATAGAAACGGTGGGTTAACAAATATTGCAAGTCAAAATAAATCATCAGGAAAGGGTGCTTTTTCATAAATGAGGGTAAGCAAAAGACCTAGGCCATAAAGCTTTGCAAATGGTTCCGAAGCAAAAATATTTCCAACTTCTTAAAAAAACAAAAACTGGTGAAATGTTGTGGCCTAGAAATACCACCCATTTTTTTTTCAGTGTCAAAATTCTTAATAAAATTTTGATTTCCATACTGGAAAAACAACCACCACTCAATATATATATATATTTTAAAAGGCAAAGCCATGTCCTCCAAGCTTCTATTTATTACATATGGAGAAAATGGATTTTCTTTCTTCTTTTATAGCAAAACTAAAATCCTCTGAGCTGTAAAACCATCTGATAATCTTTAGTCACTGGCAACCCAATTCTTAAAGCACTTACCCAGCTCAGAAACTATTAAACTGGAGCGAGTGTTTGCAGAGGGTGGAAAATTATAAAAAGTTCAACTGTTAATGCTTTACTGTTAGCCATCGTTTCTTCCAGGGCAGGCGCTGCTTTTTTCACCCAGTTTGCAAAGATCTGAGATATGCAAGCTCCTCATTCTCCCACTGGCTTTACCCCACAACAAGGCTAATGTTCTTTTCAGACTACAGAAGCCGTTTGGTTTTTTTTTCAGGAAGCTTCCATAGGACTCCTACTTCCCAATGATCCATTAGGCTGCACTTCAATTCTGAACTCTGGAAAGCAATCAAGGCTTAACAACCAGAAGCAGCATCTGCTGAGAATTTCACAGCCAGGGTGCAAGCGGGTGCCCCAGAGAACTGATAGTGCTTTGAAACTCCCATTGTTCTAGGGACATTTTGCGATAGGGAATTTTGTTAGGGTGAGCCGTTTCTGAGCTCTGGCCGCTGTACTGGCCTAAGATTTCAGATTAAAACGGCAGAGTAGAAGGAAATGAGGACCTGTTTCTGCCTCCCCACTTCCAGCTACTCTCTGAAGACTGGAGAAGAGACCCTCTTAAGAATATTTTAGGGGGGTGCGCAGGGGAAGGACTAGACCATGTGAAAAATCAATATTATTTCAGCTGCAGTTCATTCATTTTCAGATTTGTATTCTGGTTATTAAAAAAGTGTGCCTAGACATTCCGTTGTGTTTAAGGTGTCATTTAGCTCCTAGCTTTCATACCTCAGTTTCTAACACTGCCCATCAAATCTGGAAAAAATGCACTAGTTGCCTATTATCTTCTGGGCCTAATTGAAGGTGTTATGGGGTTTAAAGTCCTAAATGACCTAGGTCTAAAATACAGTGGTACCTCGGGTTACATACGCTTCAGGTTACAGGCTCCGCTAACCCAGAAATAGTGCTTCAGGTTAAGAACTTTGCTTCAGGATGAGAACAGAAATCGTCCTCTGGCGGTGCGGCGGCAGCGGGAGGCCCCATTAGCTAAAGTGGTCTTCAGGTTAAGAACAGTTTCAGGTTAAGAATGGACCTCCGGAACAAATTACCGGTAAGTACTTAACCCGAGGTACCACTGTAACTAAAAGAACGCCTCCTCTCATACTGACCTTCCCAAGTTTTAAAATCTGCAAGGAACCTTTGCTGAGGGTCCCTACACCTAATGAGATTCTGTGGGGTTAAAGACCTGTGGGAAGATTCTCTGTGGTGGCCCCTCATCTTTGAAATGTCCTCTGCTCTGAAGTGTGTCTCACCAGGATACTGCTGTAATTTCAGCAGCAGGTGAAATTTGCCCAGGCCTTTGGGTATATTGGGCTTTTCCATTTCTGTCACTGTTGCTTGTTTTACCTGCAACCAAATTCTGTGCAAGCAACTCCCTGTTTGCTGATGTTCAAACAATGGCTACCACTGGCCAGTTATCGCAAGACCGACCAGGGCTGAATCTACACATATATTTTAAAAACGCTGTGAAATGCTTAAGAAGAAAGGAATTCACCATTAGCTCACCATCTAGTGTCACATATGTATAATGCACTCAAAACATTATATTTGCAGCTGTATAGCTGAGTCCCAGGTGCAGCAGAAATGACAGCTACTCAAGCTAAGAAGGCATAAAATGGGATTTGCCCCAGAACCATGCTTAGCCCACCCTACACAACACGGATTGTTCATCTGAAGAGGAAACAGAGCAGTACCTGTGCTGGGTAGTCAAAAAGCCACTGTTCCCTTGCCTTTTCCTCATAAGCCATCACAGCCTCTGTCATCTCGTGTCTCACAGTGGCCCGCATGTGGTCCAACACACGGTTCAGCCAGCTCTCCACCTAGGGGAGAAGAGGAATCCAGGAGGAAATTACCACCAAGCGTTACTCACCCTGGAGGTGGTGGTTCTTCCCTCCCTGAAACTACAAAAAAAAAAAGGATTGTTGATCAAGACAAGAGCCAACTTGTCTTGTCCTCTGTTGTCCCCTGTGGCCCCTAGAAGCACCTCACCACCATTCCATCTTCATGCCATGCTTAAAACAGCAAAATACAAAGAGGGGCGTTCTTCGTTATAAAAACTCTCCCACTGGAAAGTGCCCAAAGCGTATCACTGACACTGACTGGAAGTAGCTCTCCAGGGCTTCAGGTGACTCTACCTGGAGATGCTGGGGTTCAGCCTGGGACTTTTGGGGTGCAAGGCCTGTGTTCTGCTACTAAGCTGCGATCCTTCTTCTTCTGAAAGACTTGCCTTTTCGGGTGGCCAGAAGGGCTAACTTGCAGGATTTATTTTCCTGCTTGAAGTTGACCTCTTGCTTTATTCTATTTATTCTGTTACAGTGGGGTTTTATGCTGATTTCCCGCCCACAAAATTGTAACCAGACCCAACCATTCGAGATGAATCGGGTTATAAATAAATTACTTTTAAAAGCAGCCTTTCCTCTTGCATGCTCACCGTATAATATTAACATCAGGGTCACTTCATACATAAATGCATTTTTCTACCAAGAGACAATATCACGGTCGAAAAATACATGTGTATTAAGGGTATTTACATAAGTGAAGAGTTATAGGGAAATTGACTTTATAGATCTAAATATATGTTATCAGAAAATAGGTTTTTATCAAGCAGCGAAATTAAAAAAGGAGAGTGAACATCTCTCACGGTTTAAATTTTTAAAAATCAGATAGTTTGTCTGCTTTTCGTGGAATTGCTCACTGGTCAGTTAAAGGAGGTAACATAATTTGAAAAGAGGTTTGATAAACATCTCTCTATCCATATTACACACACATATATGTATAAGGTATTATGGAATTGTGGTTAACTGGAGCAAGTAAATGAATATACGGTGTGCTGGGTTCAGGATATAAGTGACAATATTCATAAACAAGTTTCGGAATATTTATTAACAACAGTAAGGAAGCTTTCCTTTTAACAAGGTGCTACTATTTTCTTGATTATAAAGGCTGTTCATACCAAGTCAGAGAATTAAGTCCACGTAGGTTCAGTATTGTTAACACTGACTAGCAACAGCTCTCCAGGGCTTCAGGCAGGGGTCTCTTCTGGAGTTGGCAGCTACTGCTTTGCAGGGTTTCTGCTCTACTTGGATGGCCAACTCTATGAGGTTTTGGTAGTACTGCCCAGTCCTGCAGACTCTCTGGTGTAGAGTTCAACAACAGTCTATATCTTCTCCTCCTTGCTGCATGACACAGGAGTCCCCAAACTAAGGCCTGCGGGTTGGATAAGGCCCGAGGGACTCGTTTATCCGGCCCGTGGCGACCCCTGCCGTTGCCCGCTCTTACCGGCGCTGCGCTGCGCAGCTGCCCACTTCCGGGTCAGAGGAGCACCAGAAATAGCTTGTGTGCATGCGCAAGCGTTATTTCCGATGCACATCCGGGTCAGAGGAGGCCCGTGCACATGCGCACGAGCAATTTCCGGTGCTCCTCCAACCCTGAAGTGCTCCAGAAATAGCGTGTGTGTGTACATATGGGCACGTGCTTCCCCGCCCTCCGGCCCACCACACAATCGGCGCTGGAGACACAGGCCCAAGGCGCGGTAAGTTTGCTGACCCCGGGCATAACATCTAACATGGAACTGCTGAATGGGGTAATCTGGAGTTTGGAAGTGCACTGCCATAATATGCTGATGACACATAGCTCTGCTTCTCATTTTCCTCTTTTACAGGTGAAGCTTTGGTTACATTGAACCAGTGCCTGACCACAATAACGTTCTAGATGAAGGCCAACTTACTGAAACCCAGTCTAGATGTTGAGTCGGTGGGTCTTCTGACCAAACGAGTGATGTTCAACTGATCCTGGATGGGGTCAAAACTCCACCCTGAAGGAATAGGTTCATAGCTTGGGAGCTATCCTGGATCCATTACTGCCACTGGCCTCAGTAGCCTCAGTAGCATGGTGTGCCCCCTACCAGCTTCAGCTATCCTATGAGGATAGGGATAACTTGGCTTCAGAGGTAAACTTGGCTTGTTTTTACCTCCAGGTTAGATTACTGCTATGTGTTATATGCAGAGCTACCTTTAAAGACTGTTTAGAAACTGGAGCTAGTGCAGAATGCAGTGGCCAGAGTAATAATAGAGATCAGATAGTATGACCATATTACATCAATCCTGATCCAGCCTCAGCGGCTGCCAACATATTTCCTAGATCATTTCAAAGTGCTAGTCTTAACCTATAAAACCTTATACCGCTCAAGACCCCCAAATCATTCATAGCGCCACTCTGACAAGAGCCTTCCCAGACTCAGAAATGATCAGCTGATGTCATAGTGATGTGGGAGAGGGCCTTTTCAGTGGTGGCCCCCCTGTCTATACAATGCTCTTTCCAGTGAGGATCACTTGGCACTATCATTAATATATTTTCAGTGCCAGATAAAGACCTTCCTCTACTCCCAAGGCATTTGATGGTAACTGTTTTGTTGCTCACATGTTATATTCTCTGTTGTGCATAATTCATCAGCTGTTGTAACAAAATGTTATAGGTATTCTGAAGGATAAAATACGTTTTAAAATTGCATTGCTTTGTTCTTCTGTTTCAGCTTTCCCGTGCTCACTGTTTGTAAGCTGCCTTGTGATTGCTCAGGTGTAAGGCATCAAATAAAAAAGTAAGTAAGTAATACTGAATGTAATGTCACCTCAATCCATGCAGAAAAGGCTCAAATTGTACAGAGAACTCTTAGGCTGATTGAACTTTCGTTTTTGCTTGAATCATGTAACCAGAGTAGGTACATCGCAAGGCAACCTGTTTACAGCACCCATTCAGTGTGCCAAATAGGAAATGCTCTGTTATAGTCTGAACAAAAACCACAGGCATAGACCTTGTTCACAGAAGGAACATGGGTTTCTTGACATCACCCTAACCTGTCCACTGCAGTCACATGGCTCGCTGAAGTTAACATATTCCTCCTCTTTGCTGTACATCCCTAAGCCCAGCTTGGTCGAACTTTGGTCTGAATCCACCTGAAATTTCATCTTGGCCATATTATCAAAGAGTTTTGAAAGATGTCGCTGGACCTGCAAAATATATATATGTATACAATTAGGACTGAGCACCATGCAGCTAGAGCACACAGCACTTTTCCATATTGCTTCCAAGAATAATGGGCCACAGTTAGGAAGACACAGGAGGATACCATCTACGAACCCACATTCTCTTGCTGCTGCCTTTAAAAATAGTACCATTGGACCCCTGCGTCAAAGAGAAAGACATCTTACATTTATTGTTCATTGTCTTTAGTTAATGCTCTTTCTTTTGGAGACCTAAGTTTTGTGCAATGCCCAACAGCCATAATTGGCATTCAGCAGCTTACAGAACCAGCTCACTTCAATCCTGAAAGCTCCTTTTATGTACAAAACATCCCTCCTTCCATTTGATAAACTGTATATAAAGCATTCTCATTCTCTACCAACTTGTCCCCTAAAGCTTTCAATTGCACTTAAATCATTGCGAGTCCAACACTAGGCCCACTAAGATAAAATTGTTGTGTATTTAATCCTCCTCCTGGAATCAGCAGACAGAGCTCAGAGACAACAATGGAAAGGCCACAGGTTTATCCATATTTGATTCTACTTGACATTTATTTTGATTTTACAGCAAATCGCTTTAAATAGGAATAACAGACACAGCTCAAATAATTCCTCCTATATCAGTGAGCTTTTCAAGGCAATATTTTCCTTTGTGTTTTCCCGTGTTTTCAGCTGTGTTCGAGGCATTGATCAAATTGAAGTTCTGAGCCCAATAAGTAGCTGAGAAGGATTCTGCGCTGGAAGAAATCAATGCCTTTTTTTGCTTTTTTCTGTGTGCAGAAGCAGTTAGTTATATAAAGCCTGCAATTGCTTAGAATCCAGTTTAACAGGTGCAGACCTCTAAACGGTGTAGGCCTGTGATATTGATGGTATAAATGTGTTAAGTATGGTGACATTTCACCCAATCCACCATTCTTTTCTCACCACAATACACTTTTTCCAGGTGTACTTTGACAAGCACTAAACAAGTGGTACTCAAACACAGATAGTGCTCACTTGGTATGCTACAAGACCAAATTCCTTCCTTTTTCTTTTTAATATAGTTTTTGTGGGAGAAGGGGATTCATCCACAAACAAGGAACGGACTTAGGACTCTGTCCTGCATTGTCATCTTGAAGCCCTAAAGGGGTGGAGAACCTCAGAGCGAGGGGACTTTACCCGACCCTCAGGACTCTCCTTGTCTCTTTCAAGGAGACAACACCTCTGGATCCAATCTGCACTCCCCCTAAGTGCTTTTCCCTGCTGGAATATGATTTCCTCAAACTGTGATTGTGCCTCATTTGCTTTGATTAACACTGAAGATGTGTATGTATTGGGTGGGGAGAATATAGAAACTTCTGACTTTTGCATGTAGCCTACTGTACAAAAGTAAGAATCGCATCCCTTGCCACACCCACTTTTTCTCCTCTGGCCCCTATCCGCCACTGGAATGCAGCCTCTGAAAGGCTGCCCTCTCGATTGTGCAGTGCTCTGGCTGAAAAAGATCCCCACGCCTGTGTGAAGCAGAAGAGACATTCATAGCATTTGAAAGAAACATGAGTCTCAGTTCTCCGAATTCTCAAATATGTTCTGGCTGTTTGCGCTGGGTAGCCAGAGAGGCCAGCACAAATGTAACTGGCAGGTCATCTGCCAGGAGTGGAAGCAGTGATTGGATTAGCACCATTGGAGTTCCTTGCCACCTGTATGTCCTCCTATACCTTCCAACGGGTTTTTACTATGTGTTTTGTGCATATTTCTATATGGCAGAAGGAGAGTCACAGCTGCAGGGACAGAGGCACCATCATCAGTAAAAACACAGTAAAACACAGCAAGCATGGAAGAAAAGGCCAAGGGGCGTGGGGACAGTGTATTTTTTATTATTTTTTATTATTACTGTTATTGTTGTTACATTATTATTATTATTATTACTATTACTACTACTACTATTACTATTTCAGGGGGCAAGAATGTCATCGGATGAACCTCATGGATATATGTACAAACAATACAAAGAGAGAAGCAATCCTCTGCTCTGTGCAATTCTCCAAGAAGAGACAGCATTTTGCGATGAGCCGTTAGAAATTGTTAAAACGAAAGAAGACAAGCAGCTCTTGGGACATCCTGTAAGTACAGGTAACTCATAGCCTACGTGAGGGTTCAGTTCTGAAGGTCCACGAATAAACTCAAAATTGCACAAAGCCAGGAACCCCTGGAACCAGCACCTCTCCCACTCATGACCCATCCCTACCTGTATGAAGCAGGCCTTGCCCTGACCACCTCTGGGAAGTACACAGAAGGGTTCTGAGAGTGTCCCAGAGCCCCATAAGCAAGGCAAAGGGCTTTAAAAGCTCCTTCCACAGCAGGTTTCCCCCACTCTCTTATTTTTCTGCTGCCCATGTAAAGTTGCAACCGCATAAGTGAAATCAGCTTACACTGCAAGTTGCCCTGTACTTTAACTGTTTCAAAATTATTGTTTCCTCTTCAATAAAAGCGCATTGGGTTTATAAAGGATGCTTCCTTTAAAAAAAAAACAAATCAGAAAAATGCCACTCCGAAACTGGATGGACCTGCAGGTTAACACATAGCAAACAAGTCACAAACCAGCTCAAGACCATCCCGTCTATTCCTTGCTGCTTTAGTGTCTTTCTGTTTTGTATTGCTGTACGCTGCACATATGTATTTGTGTAAAGATTCCTTTAAAGTAAATAAATGAGAACAGCCATTCTGAAGGGCCACAGGTTCCCCCCCCCCATCCCTCCATTACGTCCTGAGGGTTCTTTTAACAACAACAAAAACCTTAAATCTCTGTGAATTCCTTATTCTTGTCCAGGCAGAAGCTCTTCCTACCCCACCTGAAAAGAGCATGAGAAAGCAATGCCAAGGAAGAGGCACCCCAAAAAAGTGGGGATGAGGGAATCACAATGTAATTTCAGCTTTGGACTTTGCTATGTTGATTCTGCTACTTCAGTCTGGACTGGCATCAATCAGCAGAAAGATCGGCAGAGTTCCTGTGAGGCTTGCAAGTATTAGGCAGTTGAATCTTTGCACCCAGCACTCAATAAAAGCCTTCATCTGCAAGCATTCTGACACCTGGGTAAGCCCTTTGCCTCTCTCCTTTTGTGAAAAGGATGCACAGATTATACTTAACACAGTTCTATAAAAACCAGTACAGGATGTAGATGCTGCCATCTAGTGGTGTTTCAAAGACTTGCTGCTTCTCGAAAGGAAAGCTTATATGGTCAAGGTCACAAACAAAGCACTGATAGAACCAGTCTCCTTTCTACAGCAAGTACCTAACAGTTGAATCAAGCACATTCTACCAAAACAAAAGCCATTTCCATAGGTAGAAAAGAAGCTAAGGTGTCTTACCAGCTGCGGGTTTGTGCCATTCGAAAGGATATCCAGTAAGTCGGCAGAAGAAATAAAGTAAAACCTAGGAAATGCCAACCGCTTGGTGTCCAAATACTCTGCTAAAGCTTTTTCACACAAAGACAACCTGGCAAAATCAAGCACAGAAGAATGTGCATACATTTAAATTTATAAAAGTGCAGAAAACTAAGAAAAGCAAAGATACCTTTAGAAGAAGCACATACTTTTGTCTTGCTAACTTTGGGAGGGGAGGCACTTTTTGGAGAAGCTTCACTGCTTTCACGGGTTACAAATACGTGTTTTCTGCCACCTGTGCACATCAGAGCCGCAACCAATCCCTGTTGGCTGGCATATGCACCTTTAATATGCACACAGTGGACTGCTTGAGATGGTTGCACACATATTACTTTCTGGCAGCGCCACTGCACATTTTAAGAGCACAGTTTCAGAATATAACATGTGAAACAGCTTGAATGTCCTCAAAATGGCTCTCTTTTTTTTACATTTTTATTGAGTTTCTTTATTATAACAGATTACAAATACAAGTATCCAAATTTTATATTTTACAATCCCCACCCTCCCATTGACTTCCCTCATCTTCCCTTTCTGGTTTATTACATTACTTGTTATCTTCTGCATGTTAAATAACTATACATGTTATTGCTATCTTTCATCATATTCTACTTAAATAAAGTTGTGAATGTTTATTCAAAGCCTGCCATTGAGTCCATCTCTTTTTGTTGTTTCTGTAAGTAAATTGTAAAGGGTTCCCATTCTTTTTTAAAGTCACTATTGCCCTTTTCATGTAATTTGTCTGTTAACTTTGCTAATTCTGTGTAATTCATCAATTTAATGTCCTCAAAATGGCTCTTAAAGAGATGTAGAACATTTATGATTAACTAAAACCAGAGTTTCCATTACATACATGCAAAAGGAACTTAAAGGAACCATTCCTAACCAGGAACAGCATTTCAGAAGCTTCTGCCATGCGAGTGCTGCCTACCTGCTTTGGATATCTTCCAGTTGCTCATAAAGGCCAGGCTTGTTGGTTGCTTCCACTACATTTGGGGTTCTTTCAGCATCATACGCCAGCTCTTTGAAATCAACATCAATTCCTTCAAAGCGCTTGGAATCCTATGGAAGACAAGAAAGACAGACGGTCCGGCTGCCGTTCCATATATCCCTCAGCTTCAGTATATCCTCTTTCAGTAGCCAGGCAGCTAGGTGCAGCCAGTTTAAATTTGGGTAGAGAATGGTGCCCTAGGAAAGTTGATCTGATGGTTGAGGGAGAAGCCCGAGGTCAGATAATGGAGGATTTCTGAGATTCAAAGGCTCCGGGCCCTATGTGGGGCCTTCAAGGGGGCCATGGCTCTCTCCCCACTGACTTTGTGGAGCACTCTGGACAGGAGGGCCGAGGTGGGTGAGAAGAGAGGCATAAAGGAAGCCTGGAAGCAGAGGAGCCTTGTAAAAGACAGGGCAAGAAGCTTAGGGTCACAAGGCTGGTCCAAAAGTTTATTATGTATTCTCTGCCTTCCTGCATGACTGGAGGATATAACCCAGCATATCTGAATACCTCATCACTCCTCTCAGCTCCGGTCATTTCTCATTAGCACAAGAGATTTCTACAGAACCGTTCAACATGGTATACCAACTTTTTTCATTCCCATCCCTTTCATTAGCAGGAGTGAAATACACTATTTATATTACCTTTATGTCACTTCCATTACATTGATTTCCCCTAAAACAGGGATAACAGGGATAGCTAAGCTGTGCCCCATCAGATGTTATGGGACGCCCATTAGCCCCAGCCAGCAGGGCCAATAATCAGGGGTGATGAGAGTCGCAATCCAGAAACTTCTGACAGTAACACGTTAAGTCACTCCTCCACTAAAGAATCCTGGGAACTGAACTTGGGTGGAGTGCTGATACTTCTTTATTAGAGATCCCCAACCATGACACAAGTATCAGGATGCCCTTGTAAACCAGCCTGTAGGCGGGCTCTCCCCTAAATAATAAACAGCAGCAGTCCAACACATGCTTTTGGGGGTTTGTGGGGAGGGGAGGGAACTATTCTGTAATTGCAGCTCACATAATCTGTACTGGGAGCCAGTGCCATGGAGTACCTTGAACAATTATGCAACTGAATAAGCAGGACTCCCAGAACAGCAGCCTCCCTGAGGTAAATGCTCCCTAAAGAATGGAGAATCACCCTCGGCCCTTTCCTGTAGAAAGCAAATAGGATTTTTATTACCTCCGGAAGTTGTGCCCGGATATCTTCCGACCCAATGAATATGCTTTCCAAATGAGACCAAGTCCGCTGAACCTCAAACCAGATGGAAATGACGGAGTCTGCCGTTGACAACTTTCTCTGCCAGAAAGACACTTCCTCCAAGAAGAAAGCGATGTATTTGGATGTCATCAGGTTCTGCAGCTGGACTTGGTTGTCTTCAAGGGTCTCAATGAGCTCCTCGTCAGATTTCAGCAGGGGGACATTTGTGCGGGGGTGAGGTTCGTACTGGAACTCCATGCTGGCCCAGGTTGTCTTCAGCTCTTTCACAACCTTCTCCATGCTCATTTCTTTAACTGCTTTGTCCACTATGCTTCTCACCTCATCCTCAAAGTTATGCAGGTTGAGTTTAAGCAGGTCTGCCAGGGTGGTGTCTGCATCCATGGTGAACTGCACACCTGTTGCTTGCATCAGCTGGTTCCAATGCCTCTCTCGGATGGCCGGATTCTGCAGTTCTGACACAGCCCTCAGAGATGTCAGGATGTTTTTCACTTTGTTGTCCAACCCGGAGAAAGCATCCCAGGCCCTCATTTCCTTATCCAGGCTCCGCGTGTCTTTGGCGAACTTTTTGCACTCCAGCTCCATGTTTTCAATGTTAATCTCTCGCCATTTCGTAGTCTCCCAGTCATTCACGCTAGAGATCACTATGGAGATCATATCCCAGAGTTCTTTAAGAATACGCACTTCCCTCCGGCACTGCTTGAGCTGTTTGTATTCTGGAACATTGACTTCAAACAAATCAGCTGCATCATAAATTGAGGTCATGGTAACTTCCATCTGCATAAGCTCTGTGTGGGATGCATCCAGCATTTGGTAGGGATTTGTTGCGTCAAACCTAAGAAGCAAGTTTTAAACTGCATTCAGTCATGACTAATTCTTTCCCTACAAATGCACTAGATCCCCAAACACTAGCAAGTATGTGTGCAATGAAACATAAAGAGACATACCCAACTGCAAGTTGTAAAGAGAGGGCATGCACATTTCTGAATCTTTCCCTCAGACTTTCAGACCTAACTTAGCTACCCCGCCCACTCTCTCTCTCTCTCTCTCCAGGCTCAACCAAAACTATTCCAGAACTATAAGCCTTGGACCATACTTCCTATCCCCTAGACCATAAAATGAGAGGAAATAAAAGGCAAAAACAAATTTTAAAAAGGTCACCCAAAAGTGACATTCAGCTTCTATAGTCTCTCATAATCTAACACAGGCATAGGCAAATTCGGCCCTCCAGATGTTTTGGGACTACAATTCCCATCATCCCTGACTACTGGTCCTGTTATCTGGGAATGATGGGAGTTGTAGTCCCAAAACATCTGGAGGGCCAAGTTTGCCTATGCCTGATCTAACATGACCGGAAGCAAGCCGAGCTGTGCTGCTCAACCCTTCTGGTAGCATTGCCATATTTTAAAGTGCAAAAAAGAGGACATATTTGCCAATGCCTGGGGTGGGGGTGCAGTAGAGAAGATGCTGGCCTAGATAGCCCTATGGTTTGGTCCTGCAGGATCCTTTGTACGGCCCTGTGGGCTCAGCCTAGAAACTCTAACCACTGTGTCATGTTGTCTCTCAGCTTAATTGAGATAATCCTCTAAGGCCCTGTTCCCCCTCCATCCTGTGGTTGAGCCACAGGGTAGGGCAGGCATCCCCAAACTCGGCCCTCCAGATGTTTTGGGACTACAATTCCCATCATCCCTGACCACTGGTCCTGTTAGCTAGGGATGGTGGGAGTTGTAGTCCCAAAACATCTGGAGGGCCGAGTTTGGGGATGCTTGGGATTGGGGCTTTCTGATGTTGACGTTAAGAAAGTAAGCTCAGCCTCATCACAGCACTCCTTTTGATGCACAGGTTTCCCCACCAGCATACTGAATTCCGAGTTTATTGTTGTTTTAGCCTAATTGCATGCATTTTATTGTCTGATACTGTTTTAATTTCCTATCATGTTGTTTGCTGCCTTGATTTATTTTTCTTTTATGGCAGAGTAGACAGCTGTTGAAAATAAGTAAAGGAATAACCAGACACGCATGTCTGAATGAGCTCTTGTCCAATTTTAACACTCCCGGAACAGCAGTTCCCATGCACACATGTGCTCCCTTGGTACCAAAGGAAAAAAACGAGGACATTTTGGCAAATTCAAAAAATCCACCAGGACAGAAATTTTACCCCCGAAAAAGAGGACATGTTCTGGAAAAAGAGGATATATGGAAACCCTACTTCTGGTGAGAAGAGAAAGGGGAAGAAGTTTTTGACTGAGAAGGCAAAAATGAGGTGGTGGCCAACTCAGGTCATATCATCAACTTAGAATTTTCACTTCAAGCAGTGGCTTGAGAAGGTCAAGGACAGATCAATGTTTTCACCAACAATGCATCAAACTTGTGACCTCACTGTAGGGTGCAATAAATGGCAATGCAAACCATCCATGCAAGAGGCTTAAACATACATAAATATTTACTCTTCAATGGCTCCTACTGAAAAAAGGGTAAGCAAAAATTATTGTTTTTCACAGTCAGGAGTTGGGCACCAAGGGCACAAGAGATGTCATAATAATAGTATGCTACTCTAGGGAACGGTCCTATTAGTGGCCTTTGTTATTTGGCTGATTTTATCTTTCCTTGGTAGCCGAGATGAAACGATAAACACTGCCACTGAAGAACACACAAGTCCTCCACCTTTTACACCTGCTATCTGCTCTAACCTGAATGGTGCCTGTTGGTGAAATCGTTCCCTGAATTTATGTTGCTCCACATCAAACACAGCACACTTCTTGCGGAGAACCGTCACTTCATTTCCCTGCAAAGGAGCTACATGGTGCTTCACAGTTATTGCCAGCTTCTTCACGTGGCTCCATTTTTCTGGCAGCTCCTAGAAGCAAATTCAGATTACAACAAAGATAGATGCTGGAGGAGAGCAATCTCAACTTGAACTAACCTGTCTCCAGCCTGTTTGTTTATAGCGTGCACACACTGCTGGAACACACCAAATTTTACGTTTGCAACAGCAAGACTATGATAATTATTTTGCCAGGATATAATTGGCAACATTATCCCTTGCTAATCAAGACATTGTCCTAATTTGATTATTGTTCCTTCCCCTGCTCCCCTGATTTGGAGACCACTAGTGACAAGCCAAAAGAATTATTTTAGTCCTATATGAAGATGGGGAGTGTATTTGTCATGGTCTTGAGTTATTAAGCACCATACCTGCATTCTCAATAGGCTAGTACAATTGAAGCTTCTGAATCCCCAACCCACTTAAAAGTTGTTAGAATGCTAATGGGTGAAAATGCATGTTTCAAGAAATAATAGAAATAAAATATTGCATTAATAGGTGAAAGCAAGTGTTTCAAGAATAGTAATAGATAAAAACAAAATATTGAGCCTAAACTAAAATTCAGCAGCGTCTCTACAAAATATTTTTAAAAGCATCTCAAGACAGGCTTAAACAGTGGCATTTCAGCAGCTGAAGTGCAACAAAATTAAATGGACAGCAATGATTTGCAGTCCAATTCTAGGCACATTTCTCAGAAGCAAATCTCACTGATCTCAATGGTACTTATTTCCAAGTAAGTTTGCTTTAGGGCTCCAGACTCAAGGTATAACATTCAAATTGCTTATTCCAGAATACTTCCCAAATACTTCAATGGAGCTATTATGTGATGTAATCACACTGAGGTGTGCAACTAGGATTTATTATTTTCATATAAGTACTATTTGGGAGTGCCCAGCGCTGCCTGAGATTGTTTAGAAACCAAAAACTACTGTGTTTCATAAATAGATAATATAATTTGCAAGTTTGGGCCCATCACACCCGAAGCCGGGTGAAGTCATGGGAGGAGGGGAAGGTTGTTTGCACAACACTGCATACACTGTAAGGTAAAGGGAGGTAAAGGGACCCCTGACCGTTAAGTCTAGTCGCGGATGACTCTGGGGTTGCGGCGCTCATCTCGCTTTACTGGCTGAGGGAGCAGGCATTTGTCTGCAGACAGCTTCCGGGTCATGTGGCCAGCATGACTAAGATGCTTCTGGCAAACCAGAGCAGCGCACAGAAACATTGTTTACCTTCCCACCAGAGGGGTACCTATTTATCTACTTGCACTTTGATGTGCTTTTGAACTGCTAGGTTGGCAGGAGTTGGGACCGAACAACAGGAGCTCACCCCGTTGCGGGGATTCGTACCGCCAACCTTCTGATTTGCAAGCCCTAGGCTCTGTGGTTTAGACCACAGCGCCACCTGCGTCTCCGCATACACTGTATTTCTAGTCTATTCTTCCTGCAGAAAAAAGCTCAGAGTTGGTTACTTCCTAACCAGATGCTGATCAGTTCCACCTCTTTGTAGTTCCCCCAGTGCTGTAAGATTGATTCTTCCCTGAAAATTTGCTTGGGTCATGTAAATGAAAAATATCTCAATGAAACTTTACATTATGGAATTAGACTAGCCTTCCCAACAGTTTCTTGCATCCTCCATTTATCAGAGCAATCTTCCTACATGTGCTGCATACCTAAAGAGCATGTGTTCTGAGGATAACTCTGTTCACAGATGAATGTAGTTCAGTTTTTAATCTGTCCACGCATTTGCATATTAGCAGCATGTTTCCACCTACCTCCAGCTGCTTATAGACTTCCCCTGGCAATTCCTGCTCATAGATCTTCAGCAATTCAATTGTTTGTTTCAAGGGCTCAAACATCTCATCAGTGCTGGTCTGTCTATCTTTAACAGCCAATAGGTGGCCCATAACTTCCACCAAGCCCTCATAATCTCCACTCTCCACCGTTTTGCTCAAACCAATCTCGGCAACTTTTACGAACTCTTCAAGGTCAGCCAAACTAAAGGCAGTGAAAGAGAACATACATTGAAAACATGTTGAGGATTGTGAATATTAAGCAGCCCTACCACTTAAAAGCAGGAATGGAGAACCTGTGACCCGCCAAATGATGCTGGACTCCAACTTCCAAAGGCTACAGCCAACAAGGCCAATGGGTCAAGGATGATGGAAATTGTAGTGCAGCAACACCTAGAAGGCCGCAGGTTTCCAGCTCCCACCCCTAAAGCAAATAACAGGAAGAAGCAAAGTAAGAGTCATTTCTAGTTCTGCCAACCCTGTATAGCCAAAGGGAATCACAATTTCCACAAATTTTAAAATGGGATTTAAAATGGCTAACTTTAATAACTTAACTGTTGTGTGGCCTTTCTTCTATCCTTAAACAGGAATCACACAAACCCTAAAGACTATTTACCGTATTTTTTGCTCCATAAGATGCATTTTTCCCTCTTAAAAACTAAGGGGAAATGTCTGTGTGTCTTATGGAGCAAATGTGTGGTCCCTGGGGCTGGGGGGGGACCCGGGCTTCCCCCGCCAGCCCCACAAGCTCTAGGAGCAGCGGGAAGGCTGCATGCAGTCTGTCCGCTGCTCCCCAAGCTGCTCTTTGGGGCTGGGGGGGACACACGGGCTTCCCCCGTCAGCCCCACAAGCTCTGCTCAGCGCTCCCTTTAAATAATTTTTTTTTCTTGAATTGCCCCTCTAAAAACTAGGTGTGCCTTGTGGTCAGGTGTGCCTTATGGAGCGAAAAATACGGTAAGTGGTGCAGCAGCGAAACAATGATACCTGTGAGTCACATGATCAATGAGGTGCTGCTTGAACATAAAGCTCCACTTCTTAATTATCTTCAGAAGGGACACCTTGAAGGGGCGGGCATCAACTTTCATCCAGCTGTCAAATACAATGACTGGCTCCAGGCATCTCACTTCCTCATAGACCTTCTCGTAAGAGTCTATCTGCTCTTTGAACTGCTGCAGTGTAGGGGGGCTCTCTGGGACGCCATCCTCAGCATGGGCCTCTATCTCCTCTGCAGTGAGGACATGGCTGTACAAGAGGAACTGGCGCATGAATTCTTTCCTGTCATCCACATAGAGATATGAGTAGTGGTCAAAAGAGCTGCGGTAGTCACAACAAGTTGACATCATCTTCCGGATGCGATCCATTAGGATGTGGCGCATGTCAGCAAGTTCAGACATCTCCTCCATGTCATCCTGAAGAGAAAAGAAGTACAAAGCTGGGTTATTAAACAGGACAATCACCCAGATGCAAAAAAAAGGACAACAGCTGGCCAAGGTTAAAGACCTGATAATGGCAGAAAGTGCTGTGGTCTGCAAGCCTGGGAACCAGGGAAGACACTCGATATATATCATTGACAAGAGCCTCAACCAAATCATAAAAACCATCAGAGGCACCAGCATCCAAAGAAGGACGGAATATCATCTCTGGAACAGACAAATCCAGCTGCACTTTGAAGAGAGGAGCAAGGCCTGCCTTGGAATCTGTAAGACAGCATAAGAAGGTGGACTAAGTTTCAGACAGTTCTTACCAACCTCCCCAATGGAAATTACTAATGAATATATAGAAACAGACAGACACCAGCATAATAGCAATGACAGAAACATACTTTTTGGTTTGAATGCATTATTTTTGCCATCAGCAAAGTAAATTAATTTATTTGTGGCATTTCTAGTGAAAGATCCCAGGGTGAGAATACAACATCCTTAAAATGCAACAGTAAATAAATCAAGATGCAGAGGAAGGTGAGCAGCTTTTAGAGGACAAATATCTTACTTGCTTTCAGTGGTTGTATATTGTGTCCAATCTCTCTCTCTTTCTCTCTCTCTCTCACCCTACTTCTGCTACTCCCACATAATCCCAATAGCAACAGAACCACCCTCCTACCCTAGATAAATTGATAAGTAGCTTGCATGAGCAAGGACAAGTTCACCTGTGTTTTCCAAAAGGTACTTCAGTGAACATTCAATGACATTAAAGAATCCATCAAGAACAATCTCATCCACGTGCTCCAAATAAGCTTTCCAAATATCAGAAGTTGGATCTGCTGCAAATAGTCTCAAGTTTTCCTAAATATATAGAAGCCACAATCAAATGAAGGTGATCTCAACATTTCAGCATTAACAAAAGGTCAGACAGTCCCATAATAACCAGTCACTTGTATTTCTCCTGTTGTCTTACATCGTTCTAATATTCTCAGCCTATGTGCAGCTTACTAAGGCTACACAGACTTCACAGTTCAAAAGGTTATTAGTATTTATAAATACTGGGAGAATATACCAGTTCTAGTGCCAACAGCTTGCTGGAATACACTACCTGCAACATCTGGAGAGGAATTCAACATAGCTGCACATATTGGGCATGCCTAAAACAGTCGCTGCCTGTATAGGCTGAGCAACATGTTGAATGAAGATGTCAATGTACAGCAAGGTGATGGCAATTTAACAGTCTGACTTATTCATGCCCCTAGGGAAAACCAGACAGCCCCTTTGACATTAGCCATTTATGGCCAGTTCTGTAATGATGGAAAATAAATAATTGCAGATAGCATTTCCTGGGAGAATCCACATTATAATTTATGTCAAAAAACAAAAAAACTCAACCTTGATTAGTAAATGGATCTTATGCCCCGAATCTGTGATGAGTCGATAGTGTTTCTCCAGTCGTTCATGTCGACCATCTAAGTACAGCAGAGATTCTTTCTTCCCATCTTTTCTTTCAAAAACTGGGAAGACCCAAGTTTTCATGATATTCTGAATTTCCTCAATGTTGTCCTTGGTTTTCTGGATTCTTTGCTCAAGATCTCGCACACCGTCAACTAGCCGTGAAACATGTTCCCAAAGCCCTTTCAACACCAATGGAGAGAAAGTCAACAAGCATTCAATTGACAACCCAGAAACAAACTAGATAATTTTAAAAGTGTATTGGTTACTGAATTGCCATAGAGAATCCAGGTAGCATTCCTACCATGAGTACATCTACAGGAAGAAGACTGCAATTTACAGCATTCAAACCAGAGTGAATCAGTAGGACTTTGGGCCAAGAGATGGCCTAGATGAAGGAAGAGAAATCTGGGCCTCAAATTATTTTATTTATTTGCTTTTCTGGATACCTTCATCCCTGCCAGGTTCCACAGAACCTATTACAGAGGTACTTCTTACCTTCTGTTTTCCAGTTCAATGTTTCTTCTGCCTCTCTCAACTGACTATCAATCTCCTGCAGCTGGTCCTGTACAAGGGGGTATTCCACCTCCAGAACTGTGAGCAGGATTTTATTGTACCAGGTGACCATCAAGTCTAGGTTGGCTACCAGCTTCCGGAAGGACTCCTTGGAAGAAAAGATTTCTGCTGCTGCCTCTGGTATCTTCCCAGTCTGGCTTGGCCCAAGGTAACTCACCTCTCGCAAAACTGACACCAGCTGCAAAACATATTCACACAAACCTTTGGATTTCTTTTTTAAAGAGTCCTATTTCTTCTTCTTCTTTATAGCACTGTTTCCTTGTCTAGAATTGCTCTAATCTCAAAACTGGAGGAAAGAAAAGTTCCTGCTAGAAAACTGATGTTGATTAGAGACGAAGTTGGCGCAGCTCTTAAAGCCAGTCTGTTCCTTTAACACCATACATCAGCGTGAGAGTAAAACCGGGATATCTTAGTTACTAGGACATGAAGGAAGGTTATGCTCTTCTAGATAAATTTATGGAGGATAAGGGGGGGGTGCAACCATGCTCCTTCTGTTCAATCTCTCAATGGTTTCCAGTACCATTCAATAACCTTCTGGACTTACTAAGTGGAATCGGTATCAGTGCCACTGTGTAGTAGTGACTCTGTTCCTACTTGAGGGATCATCTCCAGAAAGTAGCAATGGGAGTGTGCTCTTTGGACCCTTTCTGTTTTCACTATGGGGAGCCACAAGGCACTTTTTGTCCCAAATGCTACCCAACATCTATAACGAAGATGAAGGGAGCAGTCAGTTGAGGTTTTGCAGCAAGCTGTCATCACTATACTGATGATATCCAGGTCTACTTCTCCATTGCATCTGATTAAAGGAGAGACCGTGCAAGTCCTGGACTTAGTGGTGGACTGGATGAGAGTCAGTAAACTGAGCTTGAATCCTGGAAAGATGGAGGCCTTGTGGGTGGTTGGTTAACTGTGACCGGAAGATAGGTCAACTGCCTGTCCTGGATCGGGCGGCCCTGCTGTCCAAAGAAACAGATACATTTTCAAGGATACTCCTTGGCTCATCTCTCTCACTAGAGGCCCAAGCGACCTTTCTGGCAAAGTATGTGTGTGTTTTTAGCAGCTCCAGCTAGTGCACCAGCCACTGGCAGAGGAAGGAGGTGCGGGGGGGTGCAGTTCGCCCCGGGTGTCATCCCTGAAGAGGGGTGACATCGCCATGCTGCCCCCATGGGATGCTTGCCCTGCCCCCAGGTGCACAGCATGTGTGCCGCTCCGGGTGTTGGAGCAGCTAGTTCCGCCTCTGACACCAGCTACAATCATTCCTAGACCATGACAACCTGACCACAGTGGTCCAAGCACTGGTAACCCGAAGGCTTATTTACTGTAACACACTTTAGGTGGGGCTGCCCTTGTATCTGGTCTGGAAGCTTCAACTACTGCAGAATGGCATGGTCAGACAGCTCACAGAAGCAGAATACAGGCAATACATTATTCCACTGCTGAGAGAGATGCACTAGCTGCCAATTCCAGTTCAAGGTACCTGTTCTTCCTGTTGTTTTGCCAATTATTTTTTACTGCTTTTCAAAAAAATCAAATAAACAAATGAATGAATATAAAATTAATTCAAATTCAAAAGTTGACTTCCCACCCCCCTTCCATTATGTTTCTCTTCCCTCCCTTACTCGCTGCTCAGTATAACATACTTTTCCTAATTCCATTTCAATACTTAAAATATTTTAGTATTTTACCATTAATTCCCTCCCCCTTTCTTTGTTGATTCATAAAGCCTTAAACAACTTGGGCTACCTGACTCCTTATGCCAGGCAATGGCAAACTCAGCCCTCCAGATGTTTTGGGACTACAACTCCCATCATCCCTGACCACTGGTCCTGTTAGCTAGGGATGATGGGAGTTGTAGTCCCAAAACATCTGAAGGGCTGAGTTTGCCTATGCCTGCCTTAAGCTCTACCTTGATCACTGAGATTCTCTGACAGGGCACTTGTGGTTCCAGGTGCCCCTGAGGTTTGGTTGGTCTCCACTAGGAATCAAGCCTTTTGTGAGGCAGGCCCTGCCATGTGGTATTTCCTTCCAGCAAAAGATAAGCAGATTGTCCCTGCCTTCTTTCGGTTGTCTTTTGAAAACTATTGTTTAGATAGGCCTTTGAAATATTATTTTTTCTCATTTTAACCAATCCATTTTTACTGATGTTTTACCAATGTTTTCAATAATGTTTTTATGGATGCTTTTTGCCCATTTTATATAAGCACAGGTTATAAATGAAGAAGTAAGTAAGTAATAAAACGCTCTCACATCTTACCTGAGGGTCAAAATTTACAGCAATCAGCTTACTTTCCGAATGCCTTCGGATGATCGGTCGAGTGAGGTTATACTGCGATTTTTCAGACACAGTTTGGAACCACTCCTTATAAAGTTTCTCTTGGTATCTGCCATAAGACCACAACCACCATGTCAGGCTCTGTAAACCGTTAGGTGGCTGTCTGAACCCTTTTTGCTGGAACAGATTTCCTAGCTATGCTGCAAGCAAAGCTGTGGAAAGGAAACTGCAGGTGCCAAAAGCAGCACAAGATGGGAGTTCCTGCAGTCGTGTCCCTTATCCTTCAGGAGACGGCTAAAATAACATCTCCAACCCTGAAGAATCTATAAAAGGGGAGGCGGCCTTTCATGTAATCTTGTTCATGGTTTTATGTGTTAACAAGAAGGCACTGAACATGGCCTGGTAGGCGATCAGTAGCCAATGCAGTTCCCTAGGCAAAAGTATAGATGGGTGCTGTACTCAACAACCTTGCCACAGCCTTCTGCACCAGTCCCAAGGGAAACCCCATACACAATACATTACTGTAGTCCAATCTTGAGATTACCAATGCCTTAATTGCAATGGCCAAATTATCCCTGTCCAGGAATGGGCATAGTCAGAGTTCGCCACGGAGTTCACCTGAGCATCCAGTGATGAAGCTGGATCTAGCCGTATGCCTGAACTATGCAGCTGTTTCTTCAGAGGCAATGCAACCCCATCCCAAACTTATGAACTTCCCAACTCCTAGAACTCAGAGTCACAGACACACACACAAACGCTATACGGTTAAGCTGTGGATTTTAAGGTATTTGAAACTAACTTCCTTTACTTACTAGATATGCCCAGTCCTGAGTTAGTGCAGCTCCTATGTACACCCAAGATGCATAAACGTGCAGGTATATAATGGGATGGCTCAGCACTAACTGTACAGTAAACAGAACCCAAATGTGGAACCTTTGATAACTAGATAAAGTGAAGATCAAATTGCAGTGTTTCATCCATTTTTGCAATCAAGTAGGCAGCATTTTGGGAAAAGGCACACTGCCACAGCTCTCCCTAGCCTCCAAGAAAGAACAAGGCTTCAGAATTTTATTACTGTGCTAACATAAAGTAATTCCAAAATATGAAACTCAGCCAGCACAACCAAGGGAGAGGAACAAATTTAAACTAAATTAATATAAAAGACAACTATTAGATATGCATTGCCTGAATCCATCAAAGCTATAAAGCATAGGTAGGCAAACTAAGGCCCAGGGGACGGATCCGGCCCAGTCGCCTTCTAAATCCAGCCTGCAGACGGTCCAGGAATCCGTGTGTTTTTACATGAGTAGAATGTGTCCTTTTATTCAAAATGCATCTCTGGGTTATTTGTGGGGCCTGCCTGGTGTTTTTACATGAGTAGAATGTGTGCTTTTATTTAAAATGCATCTCTGGGTTATTTGTGGGGCATAGGAATTTGTTCTTCTTCTTTCCCCCCCCCCAAAATATAGTCCGGTCCCCCACAAGGTCTGAGGGACAATGGGCCGGCCCCCTGCTGAAAAAGTTTGCTGACCCCTGCTATAAAGCATGCCTTAAAAATGGCTAATATATTCTCAAATCATGTCCTAAACAAACAGACTTACTTTTCAAGCATCTCCATCAGATCTTCATACTTCTGCACCATTCTTTTGCCTTCAGCAGAGTCCAAGCAACTGCCAAAAAGAAACATCAAAATATATATTAAGACTATGTGGTGTAATAGCCATTATATGCATGTCAATATTACTTTCTCTTGTTTTTAAGTAGCTTTTTAAAAAGTGCATATCACATTCTAGTCTGAAAGCCCTGAAATGCCAAATTATATACATATACCTTTCCTGTCAAATATTTTTTTCTGTCTGACCTCTCAATTTTTCTCCTGTTTCTCAAAGCACAGCTTCCTTTCTCTGTAATTCACCTGAATAGCGGTCCTCATTTTCATTCACTGTCTGGTTTTAAAGACCATGTTTATTTGGAGCCATCTTTCACCAAAAACTGGCTCCCTCAGCAATTAACAACTGAAATTGACCTGAAGCTATAAGTGATCAGGTGTCTGTATGTATACTTAGATGCCAAACGTCACAGGACATGAACACAAGTGTAGACTTACTATATGTTAGCTGAAATAGGCTGGTCCTCCCATACGGGAAGAAGAGAAGAGAAAGTACAAGGAAATGCCATAAATAGAAAATAGTTTTCTCACAATCAGCCAACCAGCTATTTCAAAGCATATAAAATCCTGTTCTCACCGTTACCTCATCTAAGCATCTTGGGCAGAAGTCAATATTCTATGAAGGCAATTGTTCTGTCTGTGCAAGTATTTCAGCTTGCCAGATGGAACAATCCCCCCTCTCCCCTAAGCTGTTGTGGGGGTGCTCCCAACACCTTCGGGGCCAGTTTCAGGGGTTCACACATGGGGAAAGAGAGGGGGGCAAACTCTCCATTGAGCAAGTACAAGTGCTTCCACAGGCCTTCCACTGGCAGGGCTTATTAGGTGAACTCTGCTCGCTTTGGCTCCAGGGCTAGTTGTAACATTTCATCTCATGTCAGCTTCCTTGTTTCTGCCTCTTCCATTCTGATTCCATTCACCAACCAGAGCAGGCCACAGGCTAATCTAAAGGGGCTTATAGACGGATCAGGACTGGACCTAACCACCAGTATTTGAATGATAGTATCTGGAAATTCAGGGACGCGGGTGGTGCTACCAGTATTTGAATGATAGTATCTGGAAATTCAGGGACGCGGGTGGTGCTATGGGTAAAAGCCTCAGTGCCTAGGGCTTGCCGATCGAAAGGTCGGCGGTTCGAATCCCCGCGGCGGGGTGCGCTCCCGTTGCTCGGTCCCAGCGCCTGCCAACCTAGCAGTTCGAAAGCACCTCCGGGTGCAAGTAGATAAATAGGGACCGCTTACTAGCGGGAAGGTAAATGGCGTTTCCGTGTGCGGCTCTGGCTCGCCAGAGCAGCGATGTCACGCTGGCCACGTGACCCGGAAGTGTCTCCGGACAGCGCTGGCCCCCGGCCTCTTGAGTGAGATGGGCGCACAACCCTAGAGTCTGTCAAGACTGGCCCGTACGGGCAGGGGTACCTTTACCTTTTTATCTGGAAATTCAAAATATGCAGCACTTAATTCCTTAGGCAGGATATACGCGCGCGCACACACACACACACACACACACACACACATCTTTTATTCCATTTATTCTTCCTTCTATCCTGCCTGCTTTATCAGCTGAATTTTTGCCAGTGGACTCTTTGCAAAACAGTGGTACTGCATGATTCTTCCTACTGTGACCTCTGACTGTGCACTGGGCATCTATTCTTTACACTCTGTCCATGGTATCCTAGACCTAGTTCTGCTTAGCAAGATTAGATTGTCCTTTAGGAATTATGTAAGGTTTTATCTAAATGCAAAAGCTCTGCAAGCTACCGCTTTGCCTGCCTTATGAAAGCTAAAGATATCCCAGTTCATCCCTAGAAACCACTGTGCAATGTCTTCCTCAGACTTTTGACTCTCTCGACAATCCATTGTCTATGAAAAGCCTGCTTGCATCTTACACAGCCTTGCTAGGATTACTGATGTCAAAACATAAAATTAGGACAAGTCAAGAAACCATTTTCAAGCTTAGCTTGTGACGTTAAGGCCATGGAGACAACCTTCTCAATTTTCCTTTAAGCCCCAACATCTCTGTAGTACAGAAAACAAGGCAGCCCACTGATTCACAGGAGCCAATGAAAAAATAAAATGCTTATATCAGTGGTAGAGAACTACCGACTGGCCAAATCCTTACCTTCTTACACCCCCACAGGCCAAGTTTGACACATGGGTCAATATCACAATGACATCAGCTGATTATCGGTGCTTGTGACAGAGCTTTGCAGGCACTGGTGACTAGCAGGGCCTACAAAAGCCCCTTTTGTCCAAGTCCCACCTTTACCTGCCCCACAGCTGACATCATGTATGACATCGGGTGTACAGAAGGTAGGCACAGATTAGCTGAAGATCAGAGGTTCCCCACCCCTGGCTTAAATGAAATAAAGATACTCACAGGTGGGTGACATGCCTGAAATTACTAAATGGGATCTGGATCCTGTCTTTTAATTCCTGGGCCCAGCGAATTCCTCCAGCAACCAATGGCATATTCCTGTGCACTGTAGGACAACCTGAGAAAAACAAATTCATCCCGAAGTGAGAAGCATGAACCAGTGCACTGCATGGACCCAGCAACAGAGATTCTCTGATGTAAAACAGCCAACCAAAAAAATATGCAAAATACCCCTCCTGGGTTGTACTAGGTCAGCCTGCAAGCAACTCAATTTTTGAATGCTCTCACACTGAGTGGGAGAGGGGAAACTTCTCTGCACAAAGAAAGCCTACTAGAAAAAAAGGGTTTTAGCCTCCCAACATGCTACATTTTTGCATGCAATGGTTTTTTTCTTCCTATGGGCTTGGAAGAGAACAGTCTCCAACACAAACCATCTCTAGCAGCTCAGCTCCTTCACATTCTGCTCAGGACTCAAGTACAGAGAAAAAGGTTAATAAGAATTCAAATCTCTTTTACACTCCATATGCAGAAGCTTCAATAGAGGTGGACAGTCACATGACATAAGAAGAATCTGCTAGATCAGGCCAATGAACCATCTAGACCAGCATCCTGTTCTCACACTGGTCAGCCAGGTGCCTGTGGAGAGCATTCAAGTAGGACCTGAGTGCAACAGTGCTCTGTCCGCTTGCGATTCCCAGAAACTCAAAAGCATACTGCCTCTGGCAGTGGAGGTGGAGCACAGCCATTGTGGCAAGTAGCCACTGATATGGCGTTATCATCCATGAATTTGTTGAATAGTCTTATAAATCCATTCAAGGTGGTGGTCATCACTTCCTCCTGCAGGAGGAATTTCCATTGTCTATTTACGCACTGTGTGAAGAAGTATGTTGACTAGCAGAGAGCAATTGGGCCAGTATCCCAAAAAAGCATTTGTGATAGATAATATGGCGGCCCCTTCTCAGGTCCGGTGTCTGTTTCTGCCTCTCTGACAGGACTGAATGACACATCAACCATGAGGCTTTAAAGCAGGGGTCAGCAAACTTTTTCAGCAGGGAGCCGGTCCACTGTCCCTCAGACCTTGTGGGGGGCCGGACTATTATGGGGGGGGAATGATGCAAGAGCACCACGAGCCCTGGTGGCTGCTTACCTGTGTCTTGTGAGTGGCAGGGGCTGGCGGTGGGACGATGAGCGGCGCGCGAAAGGGCTCCAGAGAGGGGCTGCTTAAAATGGCAGCCGCTTGAGCGCTGCTGCTGCTGGCATCAACAAAGCCCAGTCCACTTCCTCCTCTAGGCAGGGCAGGGAGAAGGAGGGAGAGAGGGAGGGAGGAGGCACTGCCGCTGCCATGTGAGGGAGAGGGAGGGAGAAAGAACGTGCGTGCTGGCAATCCATGTGGCGATTCCCGGACCGTCTGCATGCCGGATCCAGAAGGCAATTAAGCCTGATCCGGCCCGCGGACCTTAGTTTGCCAACCCATGCTTTAAAGTTTATTATTGTAGAGGTAAGGGGGCACAGGAAGCTCTCCTTTCTCAAGTTCTGGAAAGGCTTGTAGGTATTGTAACGAAATGACCTAATATGCTGTAATTTGCACAGCGATCTTGCTTTAATTAATTTATTTATTTATTACATTTTTTAAAAATATAAAGAAGTCCATCCTACTTAAACAAAGATTTGCAATATTAATTATTGCAATTATGCAATATTAATTATTGCAATTATGCTTAAAATAATTGTGCACTTCCTTGCTTTCTAAAGGCATCTTGTTAACTGAGCATAAAGCCATTCTGAAGTTGCTAACAAATACCTAGTTCCAACTCCTCCTGAATATGTTTCAGGTAGATCAGTTTAGCATCGTCCAGGTCTCTGTCGAACATTGTGATGAGAAGATGATATTTAGCATAGGCATCAGCTGCTATCAATGGCCGTTCCAATAGACTCCCAAATATGTCTATCAGCTACCATACAGAAAGAAATGGGAAATATCTGTGATTCTGTGTACATGCCCTCGGTCCAAACAAGACCAGCAACCCTTTTCAACACCCACATATTTCTTCAATGACCCACCTAGTTACTGCAGTTCACCAATCTATCTGATGAATGTATGAAACAGGTTTTAATCATAAGCCATGTTTGATATCAGTTACACATTGTAATGGTTGAAATCAGTTGATAGAATGATTCCAATGATGTATTTCCCATCCCCAAAAGACAGGACTAGATTCATTCATTATTTCCCCCACCCCACTTGTTGTTTTTTTTGTTTGTTTTTTTTGCAACAAATACATCCCTTCACTACAATCATTACCAAAGACTGCTTCCGCCTCCCATCTCCCTATGTTTTTATTGTTCTTTTCCTTTCTAACTAAATGTTCTGCATCTCCCACTTCACCCAGCTTTAACTAGTCTGTCCTAACTCTCCGACCTCTTGCTGGTAAGCAGCAAATGAATGCTACTAGCCTTTCCTTGAATAGTGCATGAACAAGGATGGGGAAGTGAGGGAGGCAACTCCTGCTCTCTGAGATCTAGCAATTTGAGGTTTTAACTTATCTGGTAAATTTCCTTCACCAGATAAAACTGTGGCCACAAATCATTTTATCACAACTTGGAACTAATAAATCCAGGCTAAAAGGTGGCTTCAGGCCTCCAAATCAATGTGGCTCTCCCTCCCTTTGCAAGGGATCCTTTGGAGCAGCATCTAGAACCAAAAAAACGAGCCAGCACTGTGTGCTTAGCGAATGCAGATAAGGACCCCTGGACGGCTAAGTCCAGTCAAAGGCGACTATAGGGTTGTGGCACTCATCTCTCTTCAGGCCAAGGAAGCCAGCGTTTGTCCACAGACAGCTTTCCAGGTCATGTGGCCAGCATGACTAAACTGCTTCTGGCGCAACGGAACACCGTGACAGAAGCCAGAGCGCACGGAAACATAGAAAATACATGCAACTTTTTACATGGCCATATATTATTTGTTGGATTTTTCCTTTTTATTATTATTATTAAAGTAAAATTGTTTGGTTCTCTCTCTGATTGTTTGGTCTCTCTCTGAATGCTCAGCAGCTGCAATTTGAACCCATGGAGCACTACAGCTCTGAAGGTCACCAGCTGAAAAGCCTATTCACATGATTAATGGAATGCAACTAACATCTTAAAAGTGGTAGGAAGATATAAAATACCATTAACTGGCAACTCTTCAGGGCATTTGTAAGAAAAGAAAAGCTTTGTGTATAGAAAAATACGGCACATTCACTACACACTGCATTGTCCTAATACAACAAATACAAACCTTGAATGCGTGCTCTATGCTAGCTGCATCATCGAAAGCCTGGGCAAAAGCATTCCCTAGCCTCCGATCCATATCTTCCACTTTCTCCTTGAAGTCATACACATCATCTTCAAATTCCTAACAGAAGCAAACAACAGCCCAATGAATTCATGTCACAGTTGATGCAGCAGTTTCTGGAAACAACTCTCCCCAAATACCAGACTCTTCAGTGTTAAGCTCGTAACATCCTCTTTTGGTATAAATGTTCAGCGTGAACATAAGGTGAGTTATTATGGAATCCAGAACCACCTACCATGTTGGCCACATCCAAGCAGTCATATGTACGATCGGAAAACACTTTATAAGCCTCTTGGAACTCTTCATACATGCTCAGGACTTGCTGGCTCAGAGATTTCCCTTTTATGCCACTGAATTCGAGCTTCTCCAGTTTCTCTATGTCCAACGCAGTCACCAGAAGGTCCTACAAATTGGGATAATTAACAGTTATTACCCACAACAGATTATGGCACTGCTTCCCAACAAGTGGACTAGGCCAGGCTAGACCCATGACTGCCTCACACTGGTGCCTGAGACAAAGAGAAGATATAGTTTATTTTTCATACTGTTATAGGTCAACCCTAGCCATACCACCTTCATTATCATCCCTAAACTTAAGACATATATAACTTACATATGCATATTTTTAAATAGTTAAGTGACTAAGACTGTTGTTGAGTTAGTGCTGGTGTGGAGCAGGCGGGGGCATTAAACTCAATGATATACAAATCGCTAACATCTCTGTTTGCCTTTCTCTCATTAGATCGGCTCCTGCCTAGGCTACAATCATTTAGCTTACTTCCTAGCAAGACTTATTGGGAAATATCAATATGGCTTTAAAGAGGCATTGATTATTGCTGTGCTTTCTGCAAGGTTAATTAAAGGGGTGTATAAAAATGCAGCAGGCCTCCCCTCCAATCAATACTACTTTGCATTCAACTGAGATTCTGTGCTTTAAGACAAGAAGAGACCAAAAAAAAAATCTAATTGAAGCCATTTTTCAAGGGAACTGGAGCATGTGTCAGCCGCCTATATTATGCTTCTGAAGTCTTTCAGTTTGGGGTAGGAAAGGAATGAAAAACTCACTTTTATTGCAGCCAACCAAAAATCTTCTTAACCTGTGAAATCCCGTGGTGTTTGAAACTAATGGAAAATCTGACAAGTGGAAAACAAATTGCAGCCAAAATGCTTATATACAAAAGTTGTATAATCTGAGGAAATTGTGAGCCAGGAATTCTTCTTTACATTTTACAGGGAGATTCAGGAGCCCGTGTAAAGCCAAAGAGATATAGAATACCCCACAAATACCACATCTGTCAGCAACAGGTCAGCATTGGGCTTTCTGTCACATTTCACATGTGCTGATTCAGTGTATCATATCCCTGCATATTTCACACAATTGTGCTAACCTCTAGCACCACCTAAATTGGGGTGGGGGGAATGAGTGCTGGTTTAGCATCAGATTATATGCAATTTGACAAGGCTTCCCCACGTAATGTACAGCACATTGACTTCTCAGATCTGATGGGCAGCAGATCAGCATTTGCTTCTTTTGAAACTATATTGTCCAGCATATATTTCACTCTTCTTAACAGCTGACAATGTTGAGACCTACAGAAACGTTCTCTTGTTCTAAAACCACGCAAATGGAACATTGTGCTTTATTCAGACTTGGATAAGCAAAAGTCTGCTCATGCAATGGGGGTTTCTTGACCTCTCATTGTGCCAACGCTTCCCTCAAAAAAAGTCAGAGGACTCTAAATAAAGGTTTGGGATGGGGGCGTGGAGGGGCAAGAAGAAAGTGGTGAAAATGAGCAGAAGGACTTCTGTTGAACATCTCTAGATCTAACTGTTATATCCTAACTGTCCTTATGCCATAAATGTCATGGGCTACATACCACTATTGTCTCTCTACACCCAATTCTCCATACCCTGGAAATGTCTATTTTGTACACATATATAAATATCAGAGTTAAATTCAATTATTTAGGAAGTTGGCGCATGACTACTGCAAAAAAAAAAATTGGTTGGGGGAGGTCTTAATACCTGAGAAAGGAAAGGGGCAATTTCCATGTTATATTTGAAAAAAGAGAATCTGAGCCTGAGAAATTGGGTCATGCCTAAAAAAACAAACAGCCAGGGTAAAAGCTGTAGAACAAGATGCCATTGTAAGAACAAAGCAGATTCTGATTAAGTGTGGGAGGCATGCCCTATAAATACACACAGCATTGGGCTGCTCTTGGGATCATTTAATCTGTATCTAGCCCCATTTTATCAGTGTAACCTTAAAGGATGAGGAAGAAGATAACAAAAAGGTAACTTGAAGGGTGAGGAAGCTTATGCATCAAGAGCATCGCCGTCAGCTCTTGCTCAGAAATCCTGACAGCTTTTGCAGATCTCCTGTGGCAGAAATCTGCATTGGTGAGGCAAATGCCCGAGAATTCAGGAACTCCTTGGGTGAAAAATTCAACCACATATTAAACAGTAGTATTGTTTATTTACCACATTTGTGTCCCACCTTTCTTCAAAGGAGCTCGGGGTAGCCTATATAAGGTTTATCCTGTTTACAACCCTGCAATACAGAAAAGGCTGAAAAGCAATGGCTTGATCAATCATGCCTGCAAGCTCCATGACTGAATGGGGTGTTGAACCCATGTCTTCCCAAGCTAAATTCCCTAGACACCAAGAATCCTGACCCCCTGGAAGCAAAGAGTCAAGGGAGTGAGACGAGTTACAGTAAATTATTTCTGACACTATATAAATTGTTCTCTATATACATCAACATTTGTAATATTCCATGGTACTTACATTTACCATGTGGAGCCTCTCTAGAAAATTATCCAATCGTGCAAAAACCATTATAGAAGGGAAATCCCACTCCTTTGCCTCTAGGCCTGGCTGAAAGTAAGTGCTGAGATTGTCTCTTCTTTCCTCAAAGGTCTGCTTGAAATAGTTGAAAATATCAAAAGTTGTCTGCACTTTGCCCAGACTTTCTTCAGTTTCCACTTTAAGCAGATCTTCTGCATTGAGATAAGTCCTAGCCTAGGTAGACAGAGAAGAGCAACAAATCTTGTCATTTCAGTGGTATGGTTTGCTTGTTTTTTAAAAAAGGAAGAGAAAATGAAACAGGCACAGAAAGACAGAGTATTCAACATAAGAGGCCTAATCCTAACTTAAATTGGTCATTTGGAAAACTGACAATGGTTTTTTTTTAAAAAAATACTTTTTATTGAGTTTCTTTTCTTAGGATCATAAACACAGAATAGAAAGAAGAAGAAAAAAGAAAAAAGGCAAAGAAAGATAATAAAAAGGTTATTACAATCCAACTTTCGATAGTTTTTCCAATATTCCAAATGGACTTCCCCACATCCTCCAGACTCTGCGTTCTTTGCAATAAAAGTCTCAGCAATTTGTTACCTTGTTTCTTAACTTACTGTGTCTTTCAGTTATTATGTTTCTAAGTTCACAATATTGTATCCCAATTTTGTACATTTAAAATAAGCATAATAAAGTTGTTTCATGTTACACCCTCTTTTTTTCTTGTCACTTAATTTTCAATTTACCTAATCAAGTTGCTAAAGCAAAAATTTCCTAGTCGTGCGTATTCTTAACATTCGTACAACTTATAATGTTTTTGCAAATAGTCCTTAAATTTTTTCCAGTCCTCTTCCATTGTTTCCTCGCCCAAATCTCGGATTCTGCCAGTCATTTCAGCCAGTTCCATATAGTCCATCAACTGCGTCTGCCACTCCTCCAGCGTGGGTAAATCTTGAGTCTTCCAATGCTTTGCAATAAGAATTCTTGCTGCTGTGGTAGCATACATAAACAAAGTTCTGTCCTTCTTTAACACCTTCTGGTCCACCATGCCCAATAGGAAGGCCTCTGGTTTCTTGGGAAAGGTATACCTAAATACCTTTTTTAACTCATTATAAATCATTTCCCAGTAGGCCTTCACTTTTGGGCAGGTCCACCAAAGATGGAAGAATGTCCTGGAAAACTGACAATGGTTCATCGGGATTGGTAGTACCAACCCAATGGAAGGAGGCACAACTGTCCACATATCTGTCAAAGGGAAGAGTAAGGGACATGTGCCTCTTTTATAACATTTCCTACAAAAGCAAAACACTGCCAAAGTGTCTTCTAAAAAAAAGGCAGCATTCCTATATTTAAACCTCCAGCACTTGCTGGGATTTTCAGAGAAACAGGACATCTCTCTGGATTTCCATTTTGCTGCTCCACTTAAAAAGGCTCCATGCATATCCAGGGCAGTTTAACATGAGGTCCTCTCATCATGCCACAGTACTCCTCATTGCCAAGGTACCTCTCCTCTCACTTACCACTGCACTGGAATGACAACTGTGGGAGGTACACATGCCCGCTGAGGGCAACCGAAACCCAAGGGCTGAAGCTTTACAGTGACAAAGTGAGTGCTGCAACCTGTAGACCCCAAAGCATTATTGGAGCCCTCATACTGTGTCTGCGTGGAACAGCAGTATATTATTTTCTCCATTTTGCAGGGGGTGAGAAGAACCACTACATGGCCTACCTGCTGAATGAGGAGACTGCAGGTTTCCTGAAGCAGCACAATTATCCTTGCAGGTGTGCTGTAATATTTGGACGTGGCCCAGATTAAGCACACCACATGAAGCACTCGGTTTAGTAATGGCTTCAACTCGTTGAATTCCGCATTTTCTATTTCCTCTAGAGGGCGCTCTAGGGGCTTTAGGTGCACATTTATATCGTGGGCCTCAACCAAAGCTGTGATTTTGAAGGAAAAAGAAAAGTTTCACACAAGAGAAGTTAGGGAAAGGTGCTGTACATTACTCAGGAGATCTTAAATACACTTCTGTGGAAACAATTTTGGTTTAATTCAACTGGGCTTACTTTCAAGCATGTGTATTTCTGAATTACAGTGCACATTAAACTCATTTTACACACCACAGAGCAAAAACTGAAAATTTAAAGTATGACGGAGGAAAACCCTAAAGAATACAACAACACATAAGACAAAATATGGCGCAGCTCCCTCCTCCTGGGACATGTCTGCCGCTCTTCAAAGTCCTTCAAAAGCTCTAAGCAACCTTATAAAATGATTGAACCTTTACCCTGTCACATCCACTCTTTCGACAAGAACTGAAGAAGCTGCTCTCCACATAGGCCAACCAGGAGAGGTTAGTGATCTGTGAATAAACACTATAGCACAAATTTTCAAAATCTCACCTGCTTCTACATCTCTGAAAATTGACCTGAATGCTGGAAAGTAGGTGCTCTGCACTCTGTCAAGAAGCTCCATCATGGTCAAAACCCTTCTGGCTTTCAGCTGGCTGTAAATGCACTGCAGATCTTCAAATCTACAAGAAACACAAAATGGTAAGGCACTGAGCAAAGACACATTTCATGTCAAATATCCAGGCAACATACTCCCCCTTACAGCAAATCCAGGTTATGCATTTGCCAGTTTTTAAGATATTCCTAGGCAAAAGTTTCCAGGGCGGAAATTTATTTATTGTGCTAATCAGAAAGTTAACAGTTGTACAAGTGACGTTAACAGCAGTGGGTGTTTCCACATCAACTAGAGTCGAGATCAAACCAAAGTTCTGCAATTGCGCTCTTATAGAAGCAGCTCTCGCTACTCTGCTTACGTCTTCAGTGCAGAATGAAGCTATAAATGTACCTGCTTTTCCAAAAATCCAGCTCCACCTTTGGACTGGGATCTTGGCCTTGCAAAAGTGGTTCTGAAGACTCTCTCTTTAGAACTCCCTGGATCTGGTGGGTCCATTCAATAACAGCTGATTCAATTGCATGGACAATAGATTTATCCACGAGTTCAGTGCTACAGAAAGCAAACATATCAGCAGATTAGTTTTACCTCCCATCTGACAGTGGTAGATAAAAAGGCAGATCTAAAAAACAAAAACAACATGTAATTCTATCTTGCAATGAAGCAATAGGGCGCTTATCACGGTATAATCTATGGTTCACTTTATTGACCCACATTATTTCTGTTCCTGGTGTGCCATACATTTCCACACTTCTTTCTATTACAGTAACTACACAGAGTGAAAACCTTTACATAAAGCACCTCAGTACAATTTATTCAACACCACATTATTACCAGCAATAACTATCAAAGCCTTAATATGGAATGGTGGAGATATATACTGTACTACAGTGCTTTGAACAAAAGATCAAGCAAAAATGACAGATACTAAAGTTTTAGTAAGAGACTAGCTGGCACCTAGGGACGCGGGTGGCGCTGTGGGTAAAAGCCTCAGCGCCTAGGGCTTGTCTATCGAAAGGTCGGCGGTTCGAATCCCCGCGGCGGGGTGCGCTCCCATTGTTCGGTCCCAGCGCCTGCCAACCTAGCAGTTCGAAAGCATGTCAAAGTGCAAGTAGATAAATAGGGACCGCTTACTAGCGGGAAGGTAAACGGTGTTTCCGTGTGCGGCTCTGGCTCGCCAGAGTAGCTTCGTCACGCTGGCCACGTGACCCGGAAGTGTCTCCGGACAGCGCTGGACCCTGGCCTCTTGAGTGAGATGGGCGCACAACCCTAGAGTCTGTCAAGACTGGCCCGTACGGGCAGGGGTACCTTTACCTTTTACCTAGCTGGCACCTGGTATACTAGCAAGGAAAACACACAATCGTAATGTCCAAAATTGCACTGAAGGCAAACATCATTTACCAAAAAAGAAGTTCATTCTAACTAGTAAAAACAGCTGCCCAACACAAAGCACAAAACAAAACACTGTGGTTTAAATTGGGGGAGGAGGGGAGGCTATGCTAAGTTACAGCAAAAAGACCAGCTGTTAATGAAAACTCCGTTTTTGCTTTATAACACAATGCCTAGAATAAAAGCAATACTGCAGTCACTGAGTACATTAAAAATGACCATTCATGGCAATAACTACAATATTGCTACTTACGTTTTCTCATTGTCAGAATCTATATATGGGTCTCTTTCAGGGTCAGCAGGGAGCGGCAGCAAAGTCTTGCCTTTAATTTGTCCAACAACTACAAAAACACTACTTTTCAGATTGCAGATGTGGTGGACGATATCCTGTGACACCACATGGGGCCAGCTGGGATGGTTTTTCTGGTTCCCCAAGAGTGGCACCACTACCTAGAAGACAGATTAGGTTGAGAAAGAGAGAAAATTTCAGAGCCCCTGGTTTGCCAGGTTACATCAATCACAACAAGACTTAAAAGTTTTACTTATAAGTTTTATAAGTCCCATATTAATTCCCGAATCCTTGAGAGATGGTTGCTCTGATGTTCCCTGAACTAAAGAAAAAGGGTCAATTTGGAGAGCCTAGAAATCACTTCAAACCTCTGGCGCTCAGATCATCACTGGTGAGTCATTGTAAGGAAAGAGGTCTGGTGAGCAAATAAGGCACTTATCCATAAAGAACAGGAAGCTAGGAGTCCATCTACTTTCATTTAATTTGTTTCCAGCATCTCTCACCTCTTTCCTTTATTCAAGGTCAATTTCTTTAAGTTAACAGGAGCTGTAACTATGTTTTTACAAATAACATCGTTTTGTGTGTGTTTTGTTAGGTTGAGAAGCAGGTATGTCATTCCTACAAAGGACTCCCAAGGCATGCTACCAACCTGTTGCAAATATACATAAAGGGATCGATTTTTTGTTTTAAAAATGGCTGAATTTTTCAGACTGCCATTTGTTTCTATCGTTCCAGTGGCAGACGAACAAACTCTTTGTACACTTACAGACATGAGAATCTGTCTTGCACCAAGTCAGACCACACTGGCACATCTATGCCCAGTTACTTAGACTAGTAGTAGTTCTCCAGGCCCAGGGAGGAAGCTGTTCCCATTACCTGGTAGCAGAGATTATTTAACTGGAGGTTCTAGGGATCCATGCCTAGTTACGGCCTCTCCCTTTCACAAACAAATTTGGATGGGTGCCATGTCTTCATTTTGCATTTCCTCATTTTGTGGGTTTGGGTTTTGCATTCTTGTTCCTCAGCAACTTTCTGAATAAAAGTGGATCACCTCCTCTTAAGTGTAGGCTAGGTTTATTATAATTATTTCATTACTATTGTACTGTCAGTCACCACATTACTGCCATCAATAAAGGCAGCTCTTTACAAAGGTAAACACACCATGTTTATTGACGGTGACCTGCGGTTTCCAGTTTTTCAATGCTGCACTGTTGTAATGTGATTGTTCTATTTTTTATTTTAATTATGTTTATATTTTAATGTTTGCATAACTGGTTGGTATACTGTGTAAACTCCTAATTTAGTTACGTTGGTACTAAACAGTAGATAAATTTATAAATAATAATGACAATTTCCTCCCCTGAGTCTCCTCACAGGGCTGATACTGTATACAGAAACTAATTCAGATTCTTTTTACCTTCAACTTAAAAGAGTATGTTTATATGCTTGCCTCTCTCTCTTCCCCCCACAAGGCCCTGTGTAGTTCTCTCTACGAAGAATTTGTGAAGATGAACCCTATATTGCATGTGTTTCAAAAATCTGTCCAAGCACAGGAGCTGAAGTGCTTGGAAAACAGATGACCAATGAGCTAAGGTGGGAGCAGGAAACTCAAATTATACTGGACTTGACAGCAAGGGACACTCCAATACTCACCATGACTGGGATAGAAAAGGAACCAGGTGCTTTTTGGCTAGCTGCTCACCCACCTGGCACTCCCCCCTCCCTTTGCAAACCAGTAATAAAAAGAGGATGATGAATGTTCATCACTCTGATGAAAATTATGATGAAAACGCTTATTACAAAAAGTTGAAGGGACCAGTAGCATAAACATGCAAAGCTACCTTAATAGCAAACCTGACCCCATTCATCCAGGTAGCTCCAAAATGTCCACTTCCACAGGCAACAGCTCTCCATAGATTGTAGAATTGTACATTTGGACGGGACCTCAAGAGACATCCAGCCCAATGCAAGGCTAGAGGCTTGTTTCCCAGACAGGTTCTCTAAAACCCTGTTAACAGAGGGTGCTGGGGACCAAACCGGAGACCCTCCTGAGGGCCCTGAGTTATATAACCCGTTCCTGTTCAGAGGGCCACCCCTCTTCTTACTACATGCTGCTACCCAGTACTTTTTTCTGGGGGGGGGACGCAGACCCCTAAACATTTTGTGAATCTTTGTACTTTTGTCCATTTACTCTATTTATTTCCCCCAAATTCAACTATAAAATGGTGGTTTTCTTGAATCAAAATGAGAGTACCCCTATTTATTTATTATTTTAATTATGGATGTTTATATTTTAATATTTGCATAACTGGTTGGTATACTTTAACTTAGTTGCATTGGTACTAAACAGTAGATAAATTTATAAATAACGATGACAATTTCCTCCCCTAATTCAGATTATTTTTACCTTCAATTTAAAGAGTATGTTTATATGATTGCCTCTCTCTCTTCCCCACACAAGGCACTGTGCAGTTCTCTCTATGAAAAAAAGCACTGCTGCTATCCTGGGTCTTGCCACTCAAAGGAGGCGATGCCTTCTCACCTGTCCCCCCTTTTTTCTGTCAGGGTCCTAAGTTTAGCAGCTTCTTGGCATACCAAAAAAAGGGGGGTCAGCAAGGGAAACTACTCACCTGCTGGACATACAACTAGTATGCAGCTGCTGCTACAGCTACGAGGTGGGAGGGGCAATGCCCACCCCCTTATGCGAGACCTCTGACCCGAATTCAGCCCTCCCCAGAGCGCCCGGCCCCTTCGAGCAGCCCTACCTCCTCCACGAGGGCTGCGAGGTGCTCCAGGGGCGCGGAGGACAGGTCCCCATAGAGCAGGTGGCCGGGAGCCGGCGGGGAGCGCAGCGGCCCGGGGGCGAGGCGCAGCAGGAAGACCCCCTTGCCAGAGCGACCGGTGCCAGGCGCCAGAGCCAGCCGGTCAGCCAGCGCCAACTGGCCCCCTGCGCCCGGCGTGACGAGCAGCAGCCGCTTGGCCGGGTCGCCGTCGAGGAAAGCGCGCAGCAGCGGGCGCGCTTCGGGGCTCCCCGCGCAACGCTCCCAGCGCTCGGGCTCCACGCGCAGGCTGCTCGCCACGCGCGCCCCCAGCAGCCGAGCCCGGGGGTCCGTCTCGGGGGCGCTCTCGAAGTCCGGCTCGGGCTCCTCGCCCCCCATGCTGGCCGCCGGCACTTCCAGCTGCCACTGTTTGCGGGGCGGAGCCGCTGTTGCTTTGGGGACGGAGGACGCCGCTCCGCCGCCGCCGCCTCCTGAGAGGAGGAGCGAGGCGACTTGGCGCGCCGCCTCCTTGCGTTCCGCCCTCCTCTTCCACTTCTGAGGGAAAGTGCTGCAGCTGGCGACGGATGGTCATTTGAGCCCCCTGGACTCGGTTCCGAAGCGTCTGCAGCCCATGTGAGGCTGCGTTTTAGCCGTTTAATCTTGAGTGCATTTTAAGAACAGGCTTGCTCCGCCTTTCCAAAGCCCTGCTATTAAGTAATATACACCACTTGCAGGCGATAATTTTGAGAATTAAAACCATGAAGTCTACTGAAAGCAGCAAGTCTTTCTCTTTTTCAGAAAGGGAACTGCGTGTATGTGTGTTATCAACCCTATTTCTCCTTCCTTCCTTCTTTCCTTCCTTCCTTTCTCTCTCTCTCTCAAAAAAAGAAGTTATAATACCCAACTGACATCTGAACAGCCTAAAGCTATAACCCACTATTATGGCTAAAGGAGGACATGGACCAGTGGGGAAAGCTTAGCGTCACATACTTATTCAAGGGAAGTTTTTAATGTCTGATGCTGTACTGTTTTTAATATTCAGTTGGAAGCCGCCCAGAGTGGCTGGGGAAACCCAGCCAGATGGGCGGGGTATAAATAATAAATTACTATTATTATTATTATTATTATTATTATTATTATTATTATTAGTTCTACCAGCTTGGCTTGATGGAAATATCCTTGTTAAATGGCAAAAGATGGATGATTTCATCGGTGAGGGCAAAAGGTATACAGGTTCAATGGGCTGGAGGTTTAGGGTTTCCTAACTTCCAGTGCTATTACCATGCCTACCAGTTTAACAAAATGATTCACATGATGAGAGGGGACCATGAAATTTACTGGCGCTCTATGGAAATTGAAACAGATCAAGTGTGTTACAGAGCTCTCCCTTTCTTGAAAATAGTGAAACGGAAAACTCTTCTCAACCCATTTTATGCAACCACTTCAAAAACAGGGGGGAAATGGTCTTCACACTGGTTATCTTTTCAATCACTGCTACTGCCATTTTTGTTACTCTTCCTTTCAAGACAATAATGGTATATTTTAAAACTTGGGCAGCAAAAGGTCTTTATCAGCTGAAAAGAGCTTTTAAATGATGGGAGTCCTGTTGACAAAGGAGCAAATAAAAGCCCAGTTTAGTGATGATCCTCTCACAGAGTTTCATGAATTTCAAATTTGTCCTTTAGCTCAATTTGGCCTGAGACATTGAGCAATCTTGTTCATAAATTTTTGATTTTATTCTCTTAGCAGACTAGAAGTAGCAAGACACTGGTGTCAGAACACTTCCTTCTCTGCTGGGTTGGTAGTGCAAAGTGTGGGATACTGCTCTAATGGAAAAGCTGACTGATATGAGCAGGATTGGTAGAGTAACAAATAACTACACAACCTTTAGAAGGTGTCTGAAGGCGGCCCTGTATGTTTTAAATGTTTTATTATGTTTATATATATATATATGTTGGAAGTCACCCAGACTGGCTTGGGCAACCCAATCAGGGTACAAAGAATAAAATTATTATTACTATTATTATTGAGTTAAAGATGCTACCTGCTAACAAATGCATCCACTTACTGTGTATGCTCTTTGTGCCAGTCTCTCAATTCACGTTTCCTTTTATTGCTTTTGCTATGTCACCCATGTATTGTACCCATTATGACAGGCACCCCCAAACTCGGCCCTCCAGATGTTTTGGGACTACAACTCCCATCATCCCTATCTAACAGGACCAGTGATCAGGGATGATGGGAATTGTAGTCCCAAAACATCTGGAGGGCCGAGTTTGGGGGGTGCCTGCATTATGATGTGCATAGCATGTTGTTGCTTGTTACTGTATTTTGGTCAAGCACATTTAGTAAAAAATTAATGCTTAAAACAAGGAGGAATATTGTTCAGATTGGAAAAATGCAGTAAAGGGCAAGAGCAACCAGTGATCTGTCCTGTTGGGGGGGCTGGGGGGGGTAAAGTAAGGGAGGACATGGTAAAGAGTACAAAATTATGCACAGTGTGAAAGAGTGGACAGAAATAAGTTTCTCCCTAATAATCCTAGAACCAGGAATCATGCACTGAAGCTGCACGGTGGGAGATTCAGGACAGACAGAAGGAAGCAATTCTTCACACAATGCAGTTAAACTGCGGCCGTTGCACCTGCAAAATGTGGTGCTGACCACCAACAGATTTGTAAAGGGAATTAGACAAATTCATGGCGGATAAACCTACAAATAGTTGCTATTTCCAGGATCAGTACCAGCATGTCTCTGCATACCAGTTACAGGTGAACGTTGAGTGGGAGATGGCTATTGCTCTTATGTCATATGTAGATTTGGATGCTGGGCAATATGGGCTTTTGGTCTAACCCACCAGAGCTTTTCTTCTGACATGTTTACTCCAAAATGAATCAAAAAGGCAAGTTTGTTACAATAGTTCTGCTTCCAAAACCTTGTCGTCCAGGACAACATGCGCGTTCACGCGTACACACACACACACACACACACACAGCTAATTAGTAAATATGATTTACTGGTTCCCTTATTTTAAAAAAATACAAGGAAGAATGACCTACAGCATCAATGCTGCAAATACCAAAGTGGTGGTGAGTTCTGCAAGATGTAACCTAGGTATCTTGTATTACTGCTGCAAGCAAGCATAGCTACAACACATCACATCACATCCTCTTCCATAGTGAGGTATTTCCCCACTAAAAATGATAAATATTTAGGAAGTCGCAAAATAGACAGAATCACCCCTTATTCCAGAGGTCCTATCCCCATTTGTTAAAATATCCTGATTTCCCTTTGTCTAAATCAGTGGTTGCCAAACTCCCCTGCTTCCACAGACAACCTGAAAATTGCTGAGGGTCTTGGTGGACTACTTAGTGATTTTTCTGCCTGTTGTAGCAATTGTAACGCAGTGTGCTAGACGATGCATGCTTTTTTACTGCATTTTTAGAGACACACCACAGATTACCTGAAGCTCCATGGACCACAAGTTAGGAGCCCCGTCATTTGCTGATATCTGCCTCAACGTTTATAAAAAAGGAAAAATATTTCTAGCAAACAGTCAGACAAGCCATTAGACTAGATCTGCACGCTGTAGCCAGGAAGCACATTTTGTCAGCTGAGCTAGTCATATGTCCAGCGGGAATTGCACCTGTAGAAGCAGCACAGGTAATTTACCAGAGGCCAACCAAGTTTGGCTAAGCTCAAGTGTGCAGCTGCCTTCCAGAATCTTCCGTGCCGTGCATACCACATGTCATGCATAAGTCACTCTCCCTGTCAGAAAGGCACAAAGGCAGCTGTCTGCTGCTGTGCTCAGCTGAGAGTTTTTAGCTTTTTGTTTGGCGCTCCGTGAGAATCCTCAGTGTGTTCCAATTTCATTTTGGCTGGAGCCTTGTTCTCAACAACAGTCCGGGCCTCCGAAGCTTTAATTGCCTCTTGGAGGAGACGCAGCTCCCGCTTCTCCCTCCGCTCTTCCATCTCCCCAATCTCATCTGCGAACAAGGCTTTCAACGGCAGGATCAGTTTTGGAATAGCAGCAAAATCGCCAAAACGCACCTGGCAATGAAGGCAAATATTAGAGCAGCAGGAATTATGCAGTACTGTATCTCCCACTCACCCACAGCCAATAATAAAGCAGGAATAGCTAACCTGTGGCCCTCCAGCTGTTGTTGGACTACAACTCCCATCATCTTGGATTATTGGCCACGCTGGCTGGGGCAGATGGGAACTGGGAGTCCAACAAACATCTGGTGGGCTACAGATTTTGTTCCTGCTATAAACTACTGTAATAGAGGAGATATGTGCATAGCATTCTCTTGGTTGTGGACAAAAAGGAGTTCCTTTTCCCAACCTTCAACTCCCCTTGACCTGTGTAAAGGTAAAGGTGACCCCTGACCATTAGGTCCAGTCGTGACCGACTCTGAGGTTGCAGCGCTCATCTCGCTTTATTGGCCGAGGGAGCCGGCGTACAGTTTCCGGGTCATGTGGCCAGCATGACTAAGCCGCTTCTGGCGAACCAGAGCAGCACACGGAAACGCCGTTTACCTTCCCGCCAGAGCGGTGCCAATTTATCTACTTGCACTTTGACGTGCTTTCCAACTGCTAGGTTGGCAGGAGCAAGGACCGAGCAACGGGAGCTCATTCCGCCGCAGGGATTCAAACTGCCGACCTTCTGATCGGCAAGTCCTAGGCTCTGTGGTTTAACCCACAGCGCCACCCGTGTCCCGTTTGACCTGTGTAGTGCACACAAAAAGAAGGTTCAATCCAAGCCAGCACTGCCACAGTGCTGGACCACTGCAGCCTCTGGAGCCCCAACATACTTTTCTAATGTAAGTAAGTTGGGATCCCCAGCAAAGACCACCCAACAAAAGCTGACATATGACTGGGGAATGCTAGGAGCCAGCTCAATGTGGGTTTGATAAAGGAAGGTGAAACAAGCATCTCTGATCCCACTTGCTCTTGTTCTGTATGGTCCGCCCTCTTTGCAGATGCTAAAAGCCTGATTTAGTAAACATTTTCAAGGGAGAGAAAAACTTCCCTCAAATTACCTGAAAACGTGGAGCTCTCTTATACCTCAAAGCTCAAGTTCTTCACTCACCTGCATGTGATCGAATGCAATTCCAACTTTCTCACTGAAATCCTCACTGAAGAGAGGGATTTTGGCATAGCGCTGGCTGAAGTGATTGAGCATGATGAAGTCTGCATTCATCTTCATCCCAACTCCAATTGCTTGGGAGGTAGTACTATAGGAAGGAAGAACAGTAAAACAAAGGACTGTACAATATGAATTGCAAAAGGCTCCCCTCAGGTATCATAATAGCCAATACCCAGCATAAAAGAAAATACTAAGAGGAGTGGGAAACCTATTATAACACTGCAGGAACAATATTTTATGAGCCAAAGCTTCCTACGCAGTTTAATTCTTTCAGTTGTTATTATATATAACAAGCAAGCAGAAACACCCATGTCAACATGAAATGAAATGAGTTTGGGTCTTAGTAGTCCATAGCTTCCCTCCTGAGTTATGCTCTGGAACAGACTGTGATTTCATATTGTTTGGCTTCAATCTGTGGACATCCTGCCAAAATGCCAAAGCTAATTCTGCTAGAGATTGGGAAAAGCTGTAACTTTTCACTGCAATTATTTACTTTCCCAGTAGAAAGCTGTATTATTTCAAAGCACATAACCCTATCATTCACCCTTTTTTAAACATTTAAGATAAAAACAAGATAGGTCCACAGAAGTGCCGAAGGCAGAAACAGCTAGTTGGTATCTGCACCAATCTTACACAACTACTAGAGGAACACAAGGTGCCTCTACACATTTCCCATTACTACTTCGATTCAAGGAAGTACTGCATTTTCATTTCATTTATGCCACTCTAAGAAAATGCCAATACCACTCCCCCTTCTATAATTTACCTGTGTGTCTTCTCTATAGCTTCCTCTTCTAACCCATCTTCCAGTGTAGCTTCATGTATCAACAGAGAAGCATTTTTCCCTGTAAAAATGATTTGTCACATTTTAGGGGGAAGGGGGGAAGGAAAATAATTAAACAAAGAGACATTTGGCTTTCTACACAGCATTCCCAACAATTATCAGATAATCTAGAACCATTGACAAAAAACAAACAATCCACTTACCCATTTCGACTAAAGCATCACATGGCATAGTGTCACCAGAATATACTATTTTCCACCCAGATTTGTGAACCATGGAACAAGCAAAGGCATTCTTACAGTGCCGGACCTCACATGTCTGAAACTAAAAAGCACAACATGCTGGTCACTGAGATTCTCCTGTAGGGGAAAGAGCTTGGTTCCTTCACTGGAGGTCAATAAGACAAGGTAAAGTACTCAATCACATTTACTTGTATGTACAAAGTAGCATCCCCAATGCAGAAGTCACTACAAGGATTCAAACGCAATACAAGCATAGATACGATGTAAAAATCATCAAACCCACCCCTTCATTATGTTAGTTTAACACAGCTAAAAAGCATCATTTAGCAACACTAACCAATTAGCAGCTGACACCTTTTGACACGTGCAATTTGTCCACTTTGTTGCTACCCTAATTTTACAGCAACAGCTATTCAGTAGTGCTTAATCTGCAATTCTCTTTGAAGCTTCTACAGCATTATTTGTTGCATTCCCCAGGCTGTCTTATCTTTAGTCTCTATTCAATCACATAAATTGTGGCCTTGTTTCTTTCAAGCTGGTTGTTTCTAAGAGAAGACAATTTAGCTAAACAATTTAACTCTTGCGCTTTCTACACTCCCACAGGAGCTTCCTTTCTTCACCCATCCCACCACAAACCTGCCTTACCTTTGCAAAGTCGTATTTCTCCAGAAGCAATCTAATGAAAGCCTTTGCTTTAGGTTTAAATACATCACAATCTTCTATTAAGAACCGTGCAGGAATCAAGCTGCAAGGGGGGTGAAAGACGCAATATGATTATTCCAAGATTTTCCCCTCCACCCCACAATTACCAAAAGAATAAGAACAGCAGTACCACCTAGCGCAGTCAAGGGGCAGCAATTAACCTCTTGAAATAGTACACTCCCCCATCTGCCTTCATAATCCCCTATTTGCCACTTGCTCCCAGATTTTGTGAAGGTGGTGATGACTGGAATCAGATGATGGTCAGGGACAGGGGGGTTGAATCTGGCTTTCTTCAGGGATCAACAGTGTGAACAATTATCTGATTGACAGATAGGCCTTACTTTGGGGAAATGGCCTTGTGGCCTTCCCCACTCCTGTGCTACGGACAAAAATCACTCTGTGATGCATTGCAAACTCTGTGATCTCTGGAATATGTAATACATGGTTCTTATTGGCCAATACAGGAGAGAAACATAGCAAGTGATTAGACTAAAAAAAAATCCAAGCTTTAAGGCCACTTGCTAGTGGGGCAGAAACACCAAGGAAATCCCGTCTCAATAAGCCTGCAAAGAGTTCATCATCTTCACCCTCATGGGTAAGAAAAGATGGGAAGCATGCATTAATACAGTGTTTCCCAACCGGTGTTCCGCGGCACACTAGTGTGCCGCGAGACGTTGCCTGCTGTGCCGTGGGAGGGAGGCGGGCGAGTCGGGCGGCAAGAGGCTAGGAAGCAAATGGATTGCGAAGTCTGCCAGGTTCAGATTCGGGTCTCGGCTGTTTCCGGCAAGTGCAGATTCGGGTCTCGGCTGTTTTCGGCAAGTGCAGATTCCGGACTCGGCTGTTTCCGCCGGCCCAACTCGCCGATCCCGCGCCGTACGTAAGAATTCTCGAGGAAAGGCGCAGGCGCATTCCTCCTCGGAGAGAGCGGCCGTTGGCGTCCAAGATGGCGGCTGTGCTGGCTGAGGAGAGCGCGGGCGGCGCCGAGTCCGAGGCAGCGGCTGTTCCGCCCATGGCGGGGCTGGAGATGGTCCAGCAGGGAGCTGAAGCCCGGGTCTACCGGGGCCTCTTCCTAGGCCGGCCAACTGTGGCGAAGCACCGCTTCCCGAAACGTTACCGGCACCCGCTGTTGGAGGAGCGCCTGAGCCGCAGGCGGACGGCGCAGGAGGCCCGCTCGCTGCTTCGCTGCCGGCGGGCAGGTGGGCGCGCCTCGAGACTGGACTGCGCGGGGCAGGGGCGCGGGCTGGGATTCCATCTCCTTTAAATTGCATGGCCGGCCCACCTCTTTGCAAGGAGTGCGGTTGGGAATTGCAAGCAAAGCAGCCACGCAGCTCGATTCCAGTCGTTAGTGACCGAAACTAATCCCCCCCCCCCCCCGCTATAGGCAAGGAAGCTGAAGACTGGTTATGGAAGGCGGTGGGCTAAGCCACAGGTGTTCTGGTTTGCGAACATTTTTCAGAAGCCAAACGTGCTCCATTTTGCGTGCCATGCTTCTGTTTTGCGGTCTGTCTGCTTTTGCTGTTTATTTTGCATTTTTGTCTTTCTGACTTTTTTGTTTTGTTTTTGTGACTGATTGATTGACTGATTGTGTGACTGCAGTACATTGTTTATTGCTTTCATTTTATGGATCAATGGTCTTTATCGATAGTAAAATTCATGTTAAATTGCTGTTTTAGGGGTTGTTTTTAAATGTCTGGAATGGATTAATCCATTTTGCATTACTTTCAGCCAAACAGGCCCAGGTTGCGCACTGAATAAAGTATTTTATAATTTTTCATATTTCTGTTTACTTACTATTTCATAATAAAGTAATTATAAAATACTATCTTTGTGTTTATTTGATTCCTATTAAAGAGAGTTACTTTATATATAGTCAATATAGGCACAGAGTTAATTTTTTAAACATTTTCTAATGGTGGTGTGCCTCGAGATTTTTTTCATGAAACAAGTGTGCCTTTGCCCAAAAAAGGTTGGGAAACACTGCATTAATACGGATTGAAGTAAATACATCTTAGCCTATAAGTGAGCATGAATAGCTAGACAATCTGGACCAGCAATAGATCCTTCAAAATGGACACAAGCATTTGCTATTAAACTAGCAACTATGACGGTCTTGAAGGTTTGGATGAAATTAGATACTTCAACCCAAACTTGACCACTATCTAAAAACATTTCCCACTTTAAGAAAGCTTAAAAACAGACTCCTTCAGAGGCAGGACAGTGAGACATAGCAGAGGACAGCAAAAAAAAGCAAAACAAAAAACACATTTCTGCAGCTGCACACCACGAATTGGGGTAAAGCATGGCAGCAGCTGCATCTGAGAATAGATGCAGTGCATCTGAGGGCCCTGCAGTGTTCCATAGCAAAGCAAGACACCTGGTGTATCTACTCACTTGATGTGCCTCAAGATTTCTTGGCAATGGTCATGGTACTGGTGCAGCCATGTCATGATCAATGTGGGTGCAACCAGCAACAGCGGGCTGGAGGGCTGACCCAGGGTCATCTGAGGTAAGAGAGAAGCAAAGGTCGGAGATGTTGCAAGGCTAAGTAAATAGGAAGCATGCATCAGATCAGATGCAAGGCAAGGGCTGACTCTGTTAATGTGTCAGTGCTGCCACCCTCACAAAGTTGAGCTCTAGCTTTAAGGCTGACATACTTACAAATGCCCGATGTCTCTGCAACAATATATTCAACAAGCCCTAGGAGAGAGGAGAGATGCCCATTGTAAATAAGACATCTGGCTGTACACTTGTCCATAAGCAACAAAAACTGAAATGAAGTACAGTGGTACCTCTACTTACGGACACAATCCGTTCCAGGGTGCTGTTCACACCCCAAAAAGACCGTAAGTAGAGAGTCGCTTCTGCGCATGACGCAATAGAGCGCTCCTGTGCATGCGCGAAGAGCGGTTCTGCACGTGCGGCGAAACCCAGAAGTATACACTTCCGGATCTGCTGTGTTCACATCCCGAAAATCCACAACATGGACCTAACACAACTAGAGGTATGACTGTACTACGCCAATCTATTTGCTTTAAAGGGGGGGGGCTACTGCTTGAAAAATAAAAGGAATGTTGCCATATAATGTACTTCCAAATATATGGAGACTGCACACAGGAAAGATAAAGTAGCTTTGCCGAATTTTAAATGTCAGGTAAGGTTTTTTTAATAAATATAAATATAATAAAAAATAACAATAATAATTGAAGTGCACTTACCACTGCAAATTGTTCTAACTTACTACATCTCAAGACAAGGATTTGCTTTCAAACATTAATTTTATGGAAAGAAAAAGGTCCCTGCAGCATTTCAAAGATGTTAACAAATTGGGTTAGCTGCTCAACCACACAGTATCATCGTAACTTCATAATGGCTTGTCACCAAGAAAGAATTAGCTACACCAAGCCACCTTTTTAAAGGCTGGTAGAAAAAATGAAGGTGCAGAGGAGGACATAGGGTAAAAACTACACACTACCCCTGAGGACATTAAAATATAGTGGGGGGGGAAGAATGCTATAGTGCCCATCCCTATACAATACTCACCGTATGATGGTCAGCATGTATATGAGACACAAACACAGCTGCAATGTTACACAGGATTCGGTCAATTTCATCTCCATAATGACGGCAAAGCTGGCCAAATGTTCCTTCACCACAATCCAGAAGCAGAGACTGGGTAGGGCTAGCAAGAGAGTGAGTGCAGGTTTGTACCACATCTACTAGCATCAGTATATTGAGATATCTGTCCAGCACCCAAGGAAACAAAGGCCGGCAAAAGCTTTTGATGCTGACAGGATACAGCATCCAATGATACAACTTCAGGGAAAAGGGCAAAGACAGTGGTTCCCAATTAACTAAGTACTGCATGCCCCCTGTTTTTCAGAAGCTAAGCCATGGACCCCCTACTTCTGAAAACTTTGATATCTCTATGGTAGTTCTTCTTATGTGAACAGTGCCACAGACCCCCCCCCCGGGTGGGTTACGTGGACCACATGGGAACCACTGAGCTAAGGTATCAAGTGAGGAGATGTTGCTGCATGTTCTGGCACCACCCGATTAATAGGAAAGCACAAAAGAGCTTTCTCCATTGTTGTGCCTAGGCTGCCCTTGGGACATCCATCTGGCCCACTCCTTCCTCATGGCTTTTCCATCATCAACTCAAGACTTTGTTTCAGCAGGCCTTTGGCTTGGCCAGGCCTGGCTTTATGCCTATCTCATGCGTCTGTCTTTGTTCCGTTTTTCCAGCTTCTCCTTTTTTTAGGTTTGTGATGGAAGCTGCTTGAGCATTTCAATTTGACACAGAAAGGCAGGGTTCTAAACTGATATAATAAAAGTTTCACACGTGCAGCTTGCTCAAAATGCAACAAGCAGCATGTGCTACAGCACAAAGATAAAAGAGGAGACTTAGAATAAGCAATTGCTCGTCACATACTAAGGAGCCATCTTCAAAAAGCATCATCACTTGAGTGAAAAGTCTCAGGTTAACTTTAGAGAAGGAATGTGGTGGTAAGGCTATAGGTGTGATTGCTGGATACTGCTTGATGGCTACAACAGCTGGGAACAAAGTTTAAAAGCATTTGGGGGTTTTTAGCCCTCGCCACTTGGGACTGGGTGTTATTTGTCAACGATTCCTTATAAGAGAACCTGCCCCCACAGGACACTCATGTGTTTGTACCTACCTAAGGTTTATCAGGGTAGAGCTAACGTTTCGGATTTTCATTGGGACCGCAGAGCCTGTTCCTAAGAAAACAACTTCTGGGTAGGAGCCAGTGGTTCCTAGAAACAGATAGAAAAGAACATGGATCCTGCAGACTTCTGTACTGCGACAGCTTACAATAATTTTATTATTTATAGCCCACCCATCTGGCTGGGTTTCTACCTCTACTTCACCTGGAAAACAAAGCACAGCCCTCCGGAAGGAACAAGAAGTTAAACCCCAACAGTGTTAGAAGGACTGGATTCTGGCTGTTTTCAGGTCAAGTGAAATAACTTTCTAGTGAATAAACGGTGTGATTTTTAATACGTTTTTCAACTTTCCCATTAAGCTTTCTCTTTCAACTGGAAAACACAGCTCTAAAAACATAATGGCAACTGATATGCTGCATAGCTGATAGTGAGAAGTGGAGGTGTCCACTCTACACCCCACTAGCTGCAGTCCAGCACACCACACACTACACCTTAAGCAAAGTTACACTGTTTGCTGGCAAATGCCTTTTGCGATACAACCAAGCACTGTATCCCCCAACCTTGCTCAATTATTAATTCTGAAGTTTTATCCTCCGCCTTTTCATTCAAATGCTGCTCAAAGTGGCTTACGACAGCCTGTAATTAGACAAAATGAAATCCCACTCAGACACACACGCTAGCAGTCCCCTGACTGTTGGATGTGGTCATTTGCTGCTAACTAAGCAGTGGACCTTTACAAGCACAACTCAACAGACAGGATCAGGAAGAAAAACTTAGAAAGGGGGCCTGGCGGGAGACAGGAAGAAAACATTCCTTACTGCAGATGTTCTCAAGGGATGTAAACATTAAAGAAAATCAAGGAAGTACCGTATTTTTCACCCTATAGGACGCACCGTCCCATAAGGCGCACCTAGTTTTTTGTGGGGGAAATAAGGGGGGGGGATTATTTTCCCCCCAGGTGCTGGGCTGGGGCAGGGGAAGTCCGAGCTTCCCCCGACCCCAGCCCCCAGAACAGGCAACTCTCTGCAAGCCGTGGGAGCCCAGCGCCGGGCTCCCGCGCCTTGCGGAGAGCTGCGCGAAGTCTGGAGAGCGAGAGGGGTCGGTGCGCACCGACCCCTCTCGCTCTCCAGGCTTCAGCGAAAGCCTGCATTCGCCCCATAGGACGCACACACATTTCCCCTTCATTTTTGGAGGGGAAAAAGTGCGTCCTATAGGGCGAAAAATACAGTAGGAATATTATGTCTAACATCCCTTCGAAGATAATGGCCAACTTTTCAGACATTGTCTTTAAATAGTTCTTATTTGTTGCTGCCTTTAGCCTCCAAAACACATCAGGAAAAAGAAGGTTGTATCACCCTCCCCAAGCTTTCTCATTAGCCCTTTCCAAGCACAGGCAACCTATTCACCTGATGAGGCTGGTAAGCTCTCTTTGCACTTCTGCACACAATCCTGGAAGTGAGGGAGTTCCAAGGCTTCAGCTACAAACTCAGCAGGATTACAAGCAAGAACAGCCTCCCTGAAAAAACAGAAAGTCAAAAGTGGAGCAGGGGAGGGGGAAAGAGAAAAACAACAGCCATTAATTTCCCAATCAAAGTACCTAATTACTTCTCCCAAGCATCCCGATTGCTCTTTCCGTTCAGTAAAATTTACCAGCACCAAGAAAGCATTTTTATCTTCCACCTGCAAACCCCAGGTGCTCTGGACCAAATCCCTTGGAAGTCCACTCACCAGATGAGCATCAGCTTAAACCAAAGGAGCCCTTTGCAAGCTGCCCACCCTTCAATGCTCCTTGTCTCCCTCGTCTCCACCAGCCTACCTCACAAAGCTTTATTCCCCATTGCTACTGAAACCACTGTCTGAGTTAACAAGTAGCACTGGGGGCAGAAATAGACATTAGACAACAGGGAGTTGCCACTTGCCTCTAACCTCACACCAGGGGGAAACCCATGAATTATGTACTACAACTCCCATCAGCTTCTGTTGGTCATGCTGGCAGGGGCTGATGGGAATTGGAGTCCACACTACCTGGCACCACATTGGCTACTCCTGCTCTGGTTTAATATTAGACCAACACACCATTCCACCCCTAGAAGTCAATGATTTGGGAAGGACAGGGTAACTTCCTGCACAATAGTGTTATGTCATGCACTGTGTCAAAACTTTTTTTTTTTACTGACTTTAATATTAAAATTAACTAGGCCTTATTTGGAATAGGGCAGAAAAAGAAATGGAAAGGTAGTAGCTCCATGGCTCTCATAGTATCTACTTCTACAAAAGCGAAGAAAGGCAGGATTGTTATTTTAGTATTTAAATATTTAGGGGGGGGGGACCACAGGATTATTTTTTAAAAAAAACAACTAAGCAGTGTACATAAAATAATTACAGTGGGATCTCGGTTTATGAACAGTCCTGTTTACGAACTATTCAGTTTACGAACTCCGCAAAACTGGAAGTAGTGTTCCGGTTTGCGAACTTTACCTCAGTCTACGAATGGAAGCTGAACGGTGGAAGGGCACTGGCGGCAGGAGGCCTCATTAGAGAAAGCATGCCTCAGTTTAACAACAGATTTGGTTTAAGAACAGACTTCAGGAAAGGATTAAGTTTGTAAACCGAGGTACTACTGTATCTGAAAGTAATTTTGAAGGCCTTATGTCCTCCAAGGACAAGTTGTAAGTGCTCACCAACCTCTGCCATTCTGGTTTGGGCCTCAGCTGGTACTTGAGGAGGCACTCTCCGCGTGTGACAGGTACATCGAACGTGGCCTCTTCTTCCTGCTGGGCAGACAGGAAAATATAAAAAACTGTGCTGCCAAAACAGTTGTGCAAAAGAAAGGCACACCCCTTGCTTTCACACTCTGAAATCAAGCAGAAACTTCACCTTGCTATTGTAGCAGGTAAGCAGCGGGAAGATCTCTGGGTGGATGAGGTTGAGCTGGGTCTGAATCTTGTAGCTGCGGAGTTGGTGCACCGAACGGCAATTCTCGTTGAGTATCAAGTGCTGAGTACTGGCTCCAAATCTGGTGGGATAAGAAAAACAAAACACACGGCTCTAGTGGGTTTAAACTTGAGGTTACTATTAGAATTTGTAAATGAGGAGGGCCGTTTTGACTAGAATTGTGCCTTCCTGGTAGAGTCCCTCAATGTCCTGCACACTAACACGGTTCCCATTACTTACAATGTATTCACCTTGTCAGGTCTTGCTCCTTACTGTGTTCCCAGTCTGAACACAGTTTCCCTAGGTTTAGCCCTGCTAGAATACTTGGCCTGTCTTTCTCCCGGATAATTTTTTAATTTTATTTCCCTACAAGTTGTGTTACTGAATACACACAGAAGAACAGCACAAATCACATCAGCAAGAAAAAAAGCAAACTGGGGAAAGGAGTGCCTAAGAATATGACAGGCTTTGCTTGCAGACAGGAGTTGCAGCTAATTCACAGAATTTTTATCCAGGTAACATTTGCAAGAGGAGCAGATTTAAGCAGGGAACCTTGAAAACTGATATACTGTAGAGACTTTAAAACCACGAGCGAAGTGGTCCCTTGGACTTAGAAGGCAGCTTATCTTCCACAATTTAAGCCCAGTTATGTGCCAGCTGAGAGGAATGTAGCTGGCATGTGCACCAGCATCTAGGAGGTGGGGCTGCCCCATATGTTCAGTACCCATGGGAACATCTGAACAGGGCTACAGACAGTATAATATTCCAGCCAACACAAATACCTTTCTAGCCACTTCTTATACCGGCTGTCCTTCAGAATACGTTCTGGAGTTATATGAACAACTAAAGCCACAGGAGTCTCCTGTTTTCCTTCTTGATACCTGCAAACAAAACGAACAGTTAAAAGCAGTGGTTCTGGGATGTAGGGACAGATCAACCAACTCACATGGAGCTCACAGAGCAGGGGGTGGAGGTGAAGCTCCAGGGAGGGAGGGATGGGCTCCCAAGGTAGATGATAACTTCTTATGAAGAGCAGACCTGCTGGATCAGGTAAAATGATCCTCTAGTTCAGCATCCTGTTCTCACAGTGGCCAAGCAGGTGCATCATCAGGTAAATACTGCTGGCAGTAGGCTCTTATGACAGGGTTTCTGGGAATGGCTGCATTGTTAGTGCTATATCACGCCAGTGTGATTTGGGAAGATGGGAGTTACTGTTTTGCTCTTCTGTTTTCCCATACAGTGGTACCTTGGGTTAAGTACTTAATTCGTTCTGGAGGTCCGTTCTTAACCTGAAACTGTTCTTAACCTGAAGCTAACTTTAGCTAATGGGGCCTCCTGCTGCTGCCGCGCTTCCGGAGCACGATTTCTGTTCTCATCCTGAAGCAAAGTTCTTAACCTGAAGCACTATTTCTGGGTTAGCGGAGTCTGTAACCTGAAGCGTATGTAACCCGAGGTACCACTGTATAACTTCAGAACGCGAGCAGAGAGATCTAATGCCAATATGAGATTACCATCCCACTCTACAGACAATTGTATGCACATGACTGCACGCAATCATCTCCAAACACGTCGGTGGGCCAGATGGCTGGGTAGCAGCCCAGAAGGCAGAATAACTTTAAAGCCTGCACACACAAAACTGGAAATTCAAGTAATTAAAGAGACACCAATAGAAAGCATCAGCTGCAACATCTCTGCAACATTTTCTCTAGGATCAGCAACATGGAGAGCAAAGTGAATACAGTGGTACCTCAGGTTACAGACACTTCAGGTTACAGACTCTACTAACCCAGAAATAGTACCTCAGGTTAAGAACTTTGCTTCAGGATGAGAACAGAAATTGCGCAGCGACGGGAGGCCCCATTAGCTAAAGTGGTGCTTCAGGTTAAGAACAGTTTCAGGTTAAGAACGGACCTCCAGAACAAATTAAGTCCTTAACCCAAGGTACCACTGTACTTGACGCAAGCCCAGTGGAAGCTTTTGACAAGTTTCTTCAAAGTGGATCAACTACATCTGGTCAGACAGTAGAATACTTTCATACCACTTCCAAGATGGCCAAACACAGAAGGGGCCATGGAAGCCACGGGCATCTGTGCAAAGTGCAGTAAGCCCTTAGTTGAATAGCTATTATCGGTAGCCACGGTGTCAGAGCAGAAGAGCGATGCTCACATGGAAATATCCTTCAGACACCTCAGAACAGTGTGCCTAGGCTGTTCCACTCTTACAAGTCCATCTGGGCAGTACCACTGGCTATCTAGAACAGTACTAGTGATCTCCTAGCAGTTCCATATTGCCAGTTCCCACAGAGCAATGGTTTCTAGCCAGTTGCCCACTATTTTGTTCATGTGCACTGCATCTTTCTGTCCTGCACACAAAAATTACTTCTTGCTAGATCTCTTGCAAGTCACCCGACAGCTCCAATATGTTGTGGGCAGGAAATGCCAACTGCACAGGAAGGCACCCCCACCCCACATACTGAATATGAAGGTAGACATGCACATTCTTAACCATACCTTCGCAGTGTGTCATTTTCAAAGACTGCATCTATAAAACCTTCATGAGGACACTCCACTATTATGAAAACTGCTCCTGGGTCTGTAGGTGTGCAAATTTCTTCAGCCAAGATCTGGAACAATCACACATCTCAGTATACGCTATTTAACATGTACGAACAACACAAATTCAAGGACTATGTATTTGGTGTCCCAAGCTGACAATTTGAAAGCTACACCTAAAGAGTCAAGAGACTGGCATGAAGCAATTCTTGTCATCTATGCAAATACTTCACAGGAAGTATTGGCTTCAGAAAGTCAGTCACTTGAATCCACCATGGTGAAAAGATCCAATGCTTCCCTCCACCTCTAGCCATTTCATGACATTTCTACGTTATAAGAACAAATCAATACACCCATAACCAGTGTAGCTTCGTGTGCTAATCAGAGATCACCAGCGATAAAAGACAGAATGTTTTAGGCTGTGTTCCCTTCAGCCAAACAACAAGTACACAAGTTCAGTTACATCCAAAAGGCAGCGACTCACAACAAGAAGCAGGGTCAGACCACGCGGGTGAAAGAATTTGTCCTAAGAGCCATACCTCTCTGCCTTCAAATGTGATGTTCTCTCCATCTTTCACGGCTGCTATGATGGGAGCAATTGCTGCAGTGCCCCTAAAATAAATTATAAAAAGTTAGTCAACTTAATCAGAGGGATTAATATGTGGGGGAAACTCACTAGAAACCCTTCTGTACTTACACAGGTAAGCCAAGCTCCTTTGCTTTCATCACCAAGAAGTTCCCTTTCTTTGGATGGAGCTGAAGTTAAACAAAGCACATTTGGTCACAAGTTGTTACATCAGAAAACTCCCTTCAAGACATCTATCTACAAACTGATATTAAAATACAAGGGAATGAGAGAAAGAGACTTGTCTGACATGCCCCGAAGCAGAAACTGGAGGGGTGGAAAGTCTCATTTGGAATGAAGTCAACATCTGGAGTGAATCTTCCAACAGGCAGCCAGCTTCATAAGAAAGCAACCTAAAGCTGCAATCCTAAAAAAACTTACTAGGGAGTAACACCACTGACCACAGTGGGACTTGCTTCCAAGCAGGCAGGCACAGACTTGTGCTGCATGTGTTTTAATAACCACAACTTTGAGGCATTTCACAGTCAAAATTATCCCTAGTCAATGTGAAACATTTCCAAGGAAGCCAATCAAATATATGTTGGGGGGGGAGGGGTGTGTCTCGCACACGTATAATAAATCCTGGTGCAATACAATCGTAAGAATATCTATTCAGAACAGTGCTTAAGCCTGCAATCTTAAACATTCCTCAATTTTCCATAAGTAGGAAAAGTGAGAAAAGCAAATGACCCCTTACTCAGATAGGCCCCCTCCTAATAGCAAAGCACCAGGCTAGTATTCAGCCTCAACTGTTCTCCACTTCTGAGCTGTTAAAGCTGTGACACAAAGTCTTTATCCAGGAAGTCCCAAGTTCCTGGGAAGCATCATTCTGTACAAAGGTGATGAACCTGCAATGCCACTTATGGTGCCCCCTCCCTTAAATCTTCCCCCATTTGAAATAAGGTCCTAATGTTCAGGAAGTGGGAATAAGTGCTTCTTGTGATGGCACACTGCCAGAGAAAGAAAAAGCACCTTTGCGCGGTAAACAGAGGGCTTTCTATCCCAATCTGACACCGAAATCCGAGGAGAGATTACTCTCTTTCTACCTAGTGCTGGCATAGGGAGTAATGACAGTGTGTGTGCTTGCACATATGTGCACAAGAGACTGAAGGCATTATTGGCGAGAGTGTTCTGTACATGCAAGTGTGGGCTGTATATGTGTTCTATGTGCAGCCAGGTTTGCGTCTGAGTGTGTGTGCTTAAGATACTTTGACCACACTGCTGGCATGTGACCCTCAAAGGGTTAGCCAAACATCAGTACCATGAAAGGTTAGCTACCCTTGCTGTACATAGAAGCCAGATGTAAAATAGCCATTGAGGCACATTATTATTCAGGGCAATTCTTACCTTACAAACGAATGCAACGACAAGTGATGGGTCCCTCTGACCGATACGCCAGCTACCATCTTAAATGCAAAAACAGAAACTCTGTGTTTAAGATTCAAGTAGTTTGCACAACTTTAAAATAATGCACGTAAATTCTCTGCCAAAATTAACAAGCTAGCATGCCTTGACAATGGGCCATAGCTCAGTGGTAGAGCAACTGTTTTGCTTGCAGAAGGTCCCACTTTCAGAAGGTCCCCTGCATCTCCAAATAGAACTGGGGGAGACTCCCTATCTAAAGACCTGGAAAGCTGCTACCAGTCAAGTGTAGACAGTAGCAAGGTAGATGGACCATTGGTCTGACTCAGTACTAGGCAGCATTCTATGTTCTTATGACCCCATGATATTCAGCTGACATGGTCCCCAATACTGAAAAGCCCAGCTATCTACCTGCCCTTGGAGAACCCAAGGCCCAGTTGCTGCCCCAGGCTTCTCCATTTCTGTTGGAGGGGGCAGACACAACCTCAATGTTGTCCACTCTACTCCAATCTGGTGCCAGGTTATGGACTACAACTCCTATCATCCCAGCCACTACAGCCAATGGTCAGGGATAATAGGACTTGTAGCCCAAAACATCTGGAGGACTTCAGAATGAAAAAGTTTGTTGTAATGTAAAGCTCCCCAAGGATCCTTCCGGCTCAAAACAGGAATAATAAAATCAAATAAATAATTAAACTCCAGAGAGAAACACCTTAACCTAATTTAATATTAGTTATACCAGAAACGATATTTTGCTTTACCCTCTGCTACCATGCAGCTTAAACTTAGTGCTGGACTTAGTGCTCCTAATTTCCAGGCAGCCCTCCTTCAATATATCTGTATCTAACTGGTGGGTCCTGACACATTCTTGGAACCAATGAGTAGCAAGGCTTCCTCACCCATTTTCTCAGGGGATTCTTTACTCCTGCCACCCTGCACAGACTGCTGCTCCACAGAGGGAGATCCCCGTCCTGCGAGGCACTTTTGTTCAGCCTCACCAGCTGGCGACTCAGGCCTTGGATGTAGCCTTTGCTCAACTTCTGGCTTTTTGCCTGTTCCAGAAAATAAAATGGGGAGAGGGGTTAAATAAGTGCACATGCGCGTGTGCACACACACACACCCTTCTACCCTGGGGACACTAATTAAACTGGAAATAAGAACATATTCAACTGTTTTCATGTATCACTTTGAATATCTTTACGAGGAAAATTGGTACTCAACTTGTTAGCTGCTGCAAAATATCATCAGCCAAAGTTCCCTGCTACCATCCAGAAATAGTCCCATTGATGCTCCCAAAGTATCTGGATTCTCACAACTACCCATTTGACAAGACACCACTTCAATGGGGATATTATAGGGGAAAGACAAAAGTAGAATACAGGACAGGAAGGCAAAGAATTAACTGCTAGAGGACATTTTTGTGGGTCAGTCTTACAATTAGGGAGCAAATACTCCCTGTTAAGACATAACGGTGCAGTTTCAACTGACTGGTCCTCTTAGCAGTGCCTGCACAAGGACTTCTGCTACTGCAAAGGGGCTTCCCCCAACTTCCTCCCTTCAAAAAAGAACTGGCTCAGTGGTGCTGGGAGAACCCCCAGAACAGCACATGGGTGGAGGAGATAACTGCATTAGGCAAAAAGAAATGTTTGTGCTGTCAGAGCAATCTCCTTAGTGCTACACTGAAACCTCCTCAGCATTCTGTGTGGCCTGGGTAGATCTGTCTCAGTCATGTCTACCCTTTGCAAGGAAGTGTGGAGATGAGTGAAATAAATCATACAAAACTCCATATGCTATGGAAGCCGTTAAGCAGCAGGAAAGGAAAGTTATAGAATGAAATGAAAAGTGCAAAGTAAAATCCCACATAACCCAAACCAGAGCCCCAAGGCTGTTCTCAGCTCATGTTCATTCCTCCTTTACTGTTAAAATTATGGCACTGTACTCACCTACCAGGGGAACCTGATAGACTGTCATTGTCTCATCCTGATATTCTGGATCAGAATGGGGCCGTACAGCTAGTAACAAAACAGACAAAATACTATTCAGTGTGATGATACTGTTAGTCCACATTCTTTCTACGAATAAGAGAACATAAGTAAGATTATTTCAAAGTTGGATAAAATATGCCCAAATCAAAATCTATGGAACACAAATGCTATCCTCAGACTTCAGCTGGCTCCTTGCTAGATGCCTATGAAGAAGATGGTGAGGTCAACAACATGAAGGAAGTTGCTGCAGGGGAATTCAGCATCAAAGACAACGGCAAAGATGTGGATCAGGCTTCTGCTCTAGCTAGACAAGCCTTCCATCCAATCAGACAGCAGCTATTATGTATTTTAAGCACACACACAAACCTGCAGTACCTACCTATGTCAATTCCTTTTAATGGACCAGAAAATACTTTGATTGCCTCCAAGTAGTTTTGCTGGAATATATAGGGGGGCGGGGTAGAAGGGAGTGAAGGGGAGGGAGGGGAGAGGAAGAGAGAGAGAGAGAGAGAGAGAATGTCAAAATTACAGCATTGCACAGGTTTTTTCTAGCAAGACAATAGCATGGATTACTCTTATGTTTCCTATTTAACCATATGCACCCCACACTGCACACACAGTTTTTAGCAGTTCAAGGAATGTAACTTATACAAGTGGAGAAGGGCAGATGGCAACAACTCAGACTAGAATCAACTTAGATCAAGTTACAGATGTTAAGAAGGAAGCCATATTTCCTGAAAGTAAGGAATATGTTTTAAGTTCTCAAGTTTGCCCTCCTGACAGTACACACAGTACCACAAAAGCTTAAAGCTGCAATCCTATACAGATATATTTGGGAAAAAGTCACACTGAACACAGTGGAACCTACTTCTGAGTCAACATATACAGAATTGCGCTATTATACAAGCTCAGGGCTTTTACAACCCTTGTTGTTCCCTGTCACAGAGCACAGCTCTCAGGTGGGATGTGTTTGAGCCCACCATCACCCCTGACAACCAGGTGACCGCAGGGGTGCATTAGTTCAAACAGTTTATCCAAGAATACTGTAATGGCAATAAGGGATGATGAAGGGTCTCACAGGCAAGCACTGTAGTAACAGAATCACTCACCAGCTGTGGCGGCCCAGAAAGCACACACTTTGGAACCCCTGTTTCTTTTAAGGTAAGAATCATTCCTGGAAGAGAGAGCAAGAGCTAGTTTTCATGAAGAAACTGCAAAAGACCCTTGAATGTTTTAAAACCCAAATAAGTCTTCCAACTTCTACTACAGCACTAGATTACTAATTTACTCAAAGCAGCTCAAAACAGCCAAATTAAAACACAGAATCTATTACCTAGTTGAACTCACCTGACAAGCCACCAACATTTGCCCAGTTCATTCTGGTGATGAAGATATTGTCTAAGCGAGCCACTTTTAACCTGTTGCGAAGACAAGAATTAGAATAATTTGCCTGCTAGGATTCTGACCACCTGTGCAACCAACCTCAATCCCAATTATTATACTTACTTGTGTTCTTGCATAAGGCGCTGCACTCCTTCCCCACAATTAAAAAGATACCTGGAATGTAATATTTTAGTTTAAGGAATTTTCAGATTTATGAAAGCAACAACAAATCTAAAACACCCAGGACTGGCCCAAAAGGTGAAGTATGAGACAGCTCTCCCTCCCCAGTTCACATACAGTAGCCAACTGATTGGCAGCTGAATCTAACCATGGTGATGAGGCAGCAGATCAGTTTAGAGCAGGGTAGGCAACCTACGGCCAGGGGCCTGATGCGGCCCAATCGCCTTCTCAATCTGGCCCGCGCATGGTCCAGGAATCAGTGTGTTTTTACATGAGTAGAATGTGTGCTTTTATTTAAAATGCATCTCTGGGTTATTTGTAGGGCATAGGAATTCGTTCATTTTTCTCTCTCCAAAATACAGTCCGGCCCACCACATGGTCTGAGCGACAGTGGACCGTGGCTGAAAAAGGTTGCTGACCCCTGGTTTAGAGGACCCAGGACAGGCTGCATGGTAGCAGGGGGAGCTCAGAGCAAACAAAAAGGGGACGCTACTGCTTCCCCACAGCATGAGCTGTCACCGCACTCAGGCTAATGAAAGGGCCAGCCGTCAAGATGGCCTAATTGCACCTTGTATCCAAGGCAAAGCCTCGCGAACTGGGTGCGTCTACCTCTGACACGCATCATATGCGGCAGACTGGAGGGGCGGTCCTGGGGGAGAGATGCGTGTGCCCTGGCCGTCCTGCCTGCTCCACCGCTATGCAACTGGGCATGGCCACAACTGCCAGTCCTAATGCAGAGGACGATGGGGAGAGGGCCCAGGTGTGCTGCCTGGTGGGCCACCTGCACTAACTGGGCCGAGATCGACAGAAAAGGAAACCGTCATTTAAGGAGGAAGCTGCGCTGGAAAGAACAACCGCGTTGGGCGAAGAGAAGCGTCGCTCCTCTTCCATGAACTAAAAACCGGGACGAAGGGAAGGATGCGCTTTATTTAGGGGCGGCTCAAGGCCTCGGGACACCACTAACCGGTTATACTCGGAGAACACATAGAGCGCGGCTCCCGCATCCCGCGCCCCGGCCGCCGCCACTTGCAAGAAGACGGTCCTGGGCCCCGAGGACTGGAAGGGCCCCGTGGCTCCCTGGCGCTTCTCTCGCGAGCGCAGGTGCCGCAGCGAGTCCTTCGGCGGGCGCTGGCGACGGAAGGCGCCGCCCCCGGACATGGCTCTGGCCGTCACCCGCTGGAGACCCCGCCACATCCAGCCACCGCGCTTCGCCGCTGCTCGGGAGACGCAGTCAACTGACTGCTGACTCCACTCCGTCGCCCAGCGCACGCTGCCCAGACTCCCCGCCCACTTGGCCGCTCGCGGGCCGCTCGCGAGCGTCGTTCTAACTCCCAGCAGCCAATAGCCAGAAAGAGAACCGCGCACCATGTGAGGCAGCCCGGCCAGTAGGAAACTAACTGTAACCCGATTTCCTCGTTTCATGTGACGGAGCCTTGGCCATAGACACTTCGTATATCCTGACAGACAAGAAACCATCGAGATGATTGGATTTGCTCCTAGTCGCTGGCGCAACACCGCGATCCTTATTGCGTTTCCGGTCTGCATTTTAACTATTTCCGCTCTAACTTCCGGGGTGCACATTGCATCCTGCGCGCATTGAGAATTATGGCCAATGGGGTGTTTGGTATAAAGCCGGAAACTGTAGCAGTCTAATAATTTTCTCTCCGTATGAGTGGGACATGTCCCACTTCACATAATCAAGTTTTTTCTCCCTATTTTGTCTTCCATTTTACGAAGGGAAAAAAGTTTCTTCACACCTGGGAAATACTGAAGCTGTATTTCCTAATGTCAAAACCTGCTTCGCAAATTTTGTTAGGGAAAAGTTGTGAAAACAATACAACCCCAATATAGCTAAACCCCTTGCTGGCGGATTTGCAATATGAAAGGTGGTTACTATCCCGTGTGGAACAGTGTTTATGTAAACAAATTTCGTTATTTATTGATTTCCAAACTCGGCACCCTCACCAGTACAAAAGACCTCTATACAGACCCTATTAATGGGGATAACTCCCAATTTACATAGCAAGATTCTGATAACTCATTTGGGAACAGCTGCCCATTTAGTCATAGCTCAAAGTGGGAAGGGCGTTTGGGGGTGGATGGCATCCATCTGTATCAGGAGACAACAGTTGCGTATTTGCAGGTTAAAGTCAAACTGTTGGAAGGTTTATAGGGTCTCCTGTACCTGTAGAGACAGATACGGGAGATACATATTTTGTTGCAGCTGGAGCAGATGAAGGCTATGGTTGGGCTGCTGCAGATGCTCTAACATTTTAATAACAGCACAGAAGGCCTGTTCAATTTAAAAGACACACTTCAAAATTCAATGGCATCTGCTTGTGAAATATTTCAGTGGTACAGTCTAGTCCAGGTATAGCCAATGTATTGCCCTTCAAATGCTTCACTACCTCCCATCATCCCTAAAAATTTGCTAAGCTGTTTGGCACTGATGGAGCAGTCCGGAAGGCACCACATAAACTACCCTGGTCTAGTCCCTTGAAAGCAGTCAAAGCAACTTACAACTCACTGCACCAACAGGTATTTAAGAACCTGCATTTCATAAACACACTGATAGTAGTAGTACCTGTGTGTGTATTGGATTATAAACTATTGTCACTCATCTCCCAAATCAGAAAAGGAAAAAGACAGGTGGTGTAGGAGGAAAAGCCCAATTTGTCAAGATTATCAAAGAGAAATTCAGTGCTATTGTTTTACTGTTATGTGACTGTGCCATCTTGGTTAACACTGTACAAGCAGAAACTGTTTTCCAAAATTTGCAGAACTTTTATATTCTATTGGTTCTTAATTGTTTCACAATATTTACAAGCAGAGGTGCTTGAAAGGTTTTGAAGGGAAGGTATCATTGTTTGTAATCTAGACCACATATAGAGAACCTTGACAGGTACAGGAAGCTTCTTCCAAGAAGACTTCGGTACAGAAAGCAGCCGCAAAGTCCAGCAAATGGATCAGGGGAAGCTGAGTTTTTAAAGGACACAGAAGAGGGGCAAGAAACCCACAATGTGGCAATGAATTACTTTGTGGCTTAACAAGCCAATTGCAGAAACACTGATTAACTTTATTGATGAAACAATATAGTATGCATTGCATGTTTGTGAAGGCTGATTCACAATGTTTACACGATGCAAATATTTGGAGGTCATAATATTTTGTGTTTACCATTACAGATAGATAACAATAAATAAAAATCCAAAGAAAACTAATCTGTCCGGAAAATATTTTATTCAACACAACCCAGAAAGATTACCAATTACACTCACGAGCAATGCTTTGCTTTAAACCCAGATCAGCCACGGATACTATTAGTAAAAGTAGCACACACACACACACACAGCTGAAATTAATAAATAAGTTTATATCTGTTTGTTTTTAGTGTAAAACCAATTGAAAAATATCAGGAAACACTGTAGAGGAATGTTAAGTAAAAGCTAACAGAAAGAATTCAGTGTTTGACATGAGCATGCATTCTAGGAATCATGCCTCTCTCACCTGGTAATATTAGGCATAGTGTTTGTTCATATGTATAATTCCATTGTAATCCCATTATTATTAGACATATCCCAGGAGCTCTGGATCCATTAGCAGAATGCTGTAACTGAATAATTATGTAAGGAGAACAGGAAACTGACATGCATAATGGCCACAAGAGGGAACCTATTTTCCAAATGCAATGTTAAGGAACTTCCAGTAAGAATCCAGGTACATGTATTCAGCATGAGTACCAACAATGAACCAGAAAGGAACTGTGATAATACCTGCAGTGAACGTGTACCAGTCCAAACCACCAAACCAGAAGAGTACTAGAATAAAATTAAGTAACTTACGCATGCTACTTTTACATATGCCTCTTCCTCCGCTTCCAATTTAACCCTGCATCACACAACCAACATGAGGGCAGCTGCCACCTGGACAGAGAATTAATGCTAGAACTCTTTAATATCAGTTAGGTGTGGTAAGTCACTGTCAGGCTGGTGAAAAAACTGAATCACGTAAGACAGAATTTTACTGCAATATTACTTTGAGGAGGATGTGCTGCAACAGCATTTTGGTTCGAATTAGGGTTGCCATGTTTTTTTTCTGGCTAGGTTCTTGTGCCTTAACAACTGTAGGACACGTAAAAGATCAACAAGCAAACTTTTCCCAGCAGGAAGATGCTGCACTGAGGAAAGACGCACCATCTTTTTGCCAGTCATTTTACACTTAAATCATGAGAGCCCTGTTGGAAAAGGAGTTGGCAATCCTACACGAAAATGTGGTCCTAAAATGGAGAACAGCCTAAGTGTTATGATGCCTTCCTCAAAGTGTGTGTCACATTCCCAAACCATTGGGTAAGGGGAAACACTTTAATGAGAATGTATTTTCACTGCATTACTATCTGCCAGAAGGCATTTCATTTCATTTTACCAATTGTCAGGAGGAGCACAGGAAACTCTTAAGGAAGAATTAAAAGGCAGAGAGTCCAGCAAGCTGCCATAAGAAACTAAGTTTGAGACAGCCATATATGCCTATAAATGCACAGCTAGTTCACCAGGGACTGGAAACACATTATAAGTCAGCAGACTATTCAGGGAGGCAAGATCATGCTGGCTAGCAATGGACTCTAGCTGGAGGCTGATAGATGGAACGTAATGGCATGGAAGCAGGTTACCATAAACTGTGGTCCATACAAACTGTTCAGTCCAATTGCTACAGATGTACTGAGACAAACTTGCAATGCTAACGGCGGGGGGGGGGGGGCAGCACCTAGACTGAAACCCTGTATCTTCCCACATTGAATGAAGTCCCCAGAGACTCAATATATGCTTCCAAATCTATTTCCAATTCCAGTTCTATTTAGAACACGGCTGCTATATTCCTTTGGTATCTGTCACCAAAATACTAGGTTGAAAGATAAGTAGGAGGACAAGAAAAATCTTTCCACTCACTAAGACTGTAAATTTTCCTTTGGATGTATATGTATGGACATAGCAGGAAGTTGTTACCTGTTCTAATGCCTTGCTTGAATTTCTCCCTCTCTTTGGCATTAAAAATTTATTCCAAATTATTTGCACAGGAGGAATTTTCCCATAGATCTATGGAACCACCTCAAAACAAAACCTCTTTCATGCAAATCAAAGGTTTGTTACCTCCTTGGGCAGCTCTCTGATAAACTGCAAGAAGAGGACACCAAACCTAGGGCACAGGATGACTTGGCCTTTAGCTGTGGAAAGAGGGTGGTAGCTCAGGTTCTATTACAGCATATACACATTAGCACAGTTGAAACCACATGGTGTGTGTATATGTGTATATATTTTCCAAAACAGGGAAATAAAAGCTACAGGTAGGAATTCACTTGACCAAATTCCTCATTATATTGATAGATGAACCTCTGTACCCTCCGCCAAAATGATTCCAATGGTTCATATAGTGAAATAGCTGGTATAGCTTGAGCCGTTTATCAAACCCTGGAGCTTTGGGGATTTTGCTGTGGTAGGCAGAATAAAATGAACCACTGAAGCCACCAAACATCCCAGCAATTGCTAACTCATACTCAGAGTGACCATAGAAAGCTGCAGGGTCAAAGATAACTGGCCCAGAGTCATCTTCAGCTACATTTCCTCCCCACAGATCCCCATGTAGAAGAGCAGGAACTATTTCCATATCGCCAAACAAACTGGGCATCTTCAGCTGAAAAAGAAAGCAGGAGTTGCTAAAGTTAATTGTAAGGGGACTGGGTGTTCTAATTTGTGGCTTTAAACAGTAGACACATCAAATCCTGATACTGTATAGAGAAAAGGAGACAAACCTAGGGTGTGGACAACCTAGGTGCATAGGATTCGAATTAAAGTAACATGAACAGTAGGGGGCACATCACATCCAAAAATTAAGTAACAAGATTTTCCAGAGTCTTGTTAGCATTTAAACCAGATATCTGAGGTACTACTTTATCAAAAGGCTTAAAGAAGATTTTTAAGCCTTTTGTATTTAAATTTTAAAAAATTCTCAGACATTCCTTCACACATTATATAGCCACATACCAGTGTTTATTTCAAGGAACAGAATGCTTATTTTAGTCTTTAATTGTTTTTAAAATGTACTATTGTGTATTCAAATAGCTCCTCCTCTCCTTTCAAATATTATTTGGTCTTTTTCACGTGAGGGCTCTTTTATGCTGCTATGGTATTGCTCTTCCACAATTAGCAGAGACCTCAGAGAGATGTGGGTGAAAAGACTCTTTTCCACTAGTTTATTAGGTTCTGGGGAGAAGAGGATCATGACAT